GGCTACCGGAAACTCCCAGTAAGCACCTGCGAAGGCGGGCCACCAACTCGACCACATCGTTGCCCGCCCTTGCCCAAACAAAAAGAAAGAATTCGAGAAAAAACACCCCGGCATCGGCGGCTTCGGCATCTTCCTTGCTATCTTCTTCCCCGTCACCGCAGCTACTGCAATAGGATACTGGGCCTTCTCCAAATGGGACGGCAAATTCGGCCGTATCCGACTAGGCGAATCACAGCCCGAATCGCTCTTCGCAGGCAACTCCCCTCTCATTACCATCCCCGTCGCTATCGTCGCTGGAACAGTGGCGGTTATAACCGCCCTCCCACTACTCTTTTCTAGCCTCTGGCGAAGCTTCAAAGGATATACCCGCCTATCCAATCCCTGGGGACAGAGACAGAGACCATATGCTTCGCGAGACGCCTTTGCTGCTCGTAGGGGAGAATATGTTGGCGTTGTTGATGACGAGGATGAGCATAACTATCTCAGCTCCGTTTGAAGGTGATGACGATGAAGAAGTGTAAACTAAACGCCTTTTCATTTGCTACCCTACCTACTTACCTACTATCGTATGCGCTATGGCCCCGCGTTACATTTTCCCCGCCATGCTTACGAGGTAGTCCTAGCAACAATAGAGACCTCAATACGAACCATCTTCAGCTCTCGCGCTAGACAAGCTGTAACGGAAGCACAATTCAACCCCTCTCTATGGGATCAGTACCTCCTTATCCGTTCCGCAAGAGAGCAACATTGAACATCGGTGAAACCCCAGAAAAAGAAATAGCTAAATCACTACGGGATCAGCTTTGGGTTCTCCCTGCCAACGTCACACAACTTTTCCAGCCATCACCCGGACCACCAAGCTCATTGCTGCAGGCTGATTAGCTCCTATGCCTCTCTCGCCATGGCATTAGTTTTACATATCAGTTTAGGGAATAGTACTCCGTAGGGAAAAAAAGAATCCCACGTAAAAACCCACGGCTGGAGTCCCGCTTTCTAGACACCTGCCACCTGCGCATGTCATCAATTGCGGGCTTGCTGTCTTCTAATCATATACTTTCCGCGTAAGGCGCCTTATTCTACGATAAGGAACATATCGTTATCACGGGGATGGTGCTTCTACGGGAGGACGTGCTGGTCGCTGCCCTTGCACACGATCATCTCTGCCGATATTGAACCAAGGGAAGCCATCAATTAAGCAACGGGAAGAATCCATGGATTATCAACGGCAATCCTGCAGGGCGAATCCGGATACCACAACTTTCGAGCCCACAGCTTGCCCATAGCGAACCAAGGAACAACGTAAAAGATATAACCATTATTTCCCGGTGATCCATGCCTCGGTGTCTGGTAGGTATGAACCTACATTGGGATGATGACGTTCAAACCTCAGGGAACGATAAATGCAGCAAGATAGCTTAATTTAATCATCAACGGCCATCCTTTCTTCCTAGCGGGAATAGAATTAGTTATACGGAGTATATGAAGTGTAATTCTGCAGCAGATAAATAAATCAGTTAGTTACGTCGTCTTAGGCGCCTTGCAATATAGCTTCGTGCATTTAAAATCCAGCCGAAGTCAAACACTTCGGCAGTCCTTTTGCAAATCGTCAGATCAAATGCACAACTACAACGTGAAGAATGCAATGTTACTTGATCTTCATATGACACCAAGTACTCTGTATGGAGTAAGCTCCAGATGTATGTATGATGGAATTTCATGGGTAAACATGGTGCTGATATGCATTGTGTGCATCCTCATCTGCCTTGTCCCCCTGCTTGCTCATGGGCCTAAAATCTGATATATCACTTTTATTGCAAGTAAACGACTGACCGTTACGGGTTAAGTCAGGCGCAAAAAGTGGCTCGGTTGCCTGTCTCCGTGACTCCAATCAGGCAGGCCGTTTGGCTGGCCAGCTTGACGCTGCAGCCCTTTTCCCACTTGACCATCGCCCTGGCGAGCGAGGCCATTGTGCGGGATAAACGGGAGAAGAAATCGAGAAAAAAAGCATGGAAGACACAATAAGGAGTAAAAAGAAGGAATATGACTCCGGTAGCTCCTTGGCCTGGTATTTTGTTCGACCGGATGTTCGTTTTCGTTCTCCTGACAATAATAGGGGGTGTGGCTTTGTTGTGAACAAAGAACGATGCCTTGGTTGCTAAATAGATAATTACGGAGGGGGTACTCCGTATAATTTTGCAAAGGGGATAACCGGCGATTCCTCGGCTGGCGAAGAAGCCATCCTCTTCTCGGGTGCTACCTTGACGGAGATAACGAAGTTGCATTCATACCTGTGTGGCGAAAAGGAGAGAGAAGCCTACGGGGTAGGTAAAACTAGATGTTGTGGAAAGCTGTGACGAAATGCAATGATGAGATTAAAAGAGTGCAAATGTTGCAACTAAATAATTAAATGAGGTATTCAGAAGAGGTGGTATTATTTATTGGTTCGAGGGCCGTTAGATATAGAGGTATGTAAACGCCAATAAGTTTACATGGCTATTGGGGTAACTAGACGAGATGAGGGGATCAGGCTAGGGTAGAAAATAACGAGAATGAAGGGTAATGGAATGACAGATCCGTCGAGCAGGTATAATAATGACAACAGTAATAATACGTAAAGGTAAATAGAGAAGGGTAAACAGCTGAATTCTTCAACCATATGCGCCGAGCAAAGTTATCGGGTCATTCTCCCACCAATCTGAGAAGAGCAAGAAAGTAGGCCAATAAGGAGGGAGAGAAAAAAAAAGCTGTCTAGGAAGTAAAATTGATGAGAGGGCACGGTACATAAGAGGTTGTGGGTGTGGGAATGCATATAAGCCCGTTGCATTGTCGGGCCACAGTGAGCATGTATTAAAATTTTTATTCGCAGGTTAGCATTGCAGTGGGATCTTTTTTTCCGGAGTAGTATCGGGGTTTCCGTTCGCGCCGGGGTTGTCCAGGTGAGCAGCGACAGGTTGAGAGGTATCATCAATCGGGATCGTTAAACCATTTGTTAGCTCAGTATCTTTGTTATTCGCATCATCGGCCGGTCTCGGCTGGTGGCTGCGAGTGTGGTCTTCTATACCATTGAGCAACTGCCGGTCAATTTCCATCGATTCTGGAATTTTATTGTTATAAGTCTCCTCGTCGTTTTTCACATCGTCGGGGGAACAGTTAACTTCGGGTTGATCGGTGGGACCGTTGGCCGTTGCAGGAAATGAGTTAGAATAGTCAAATCGGTTGGTCCCACCAGGGCTTTCAACATCAGTGTCATGCTTTATATCCAGATTGTCGCCTAACATGCTACTCCTTGCCCGGCGAACACTGAAGCGTAGGGGCCTAGTTGCAGTGGAGGGTGTCCCTAATCGCAATGGCTTGCTCTTTTTGGGCGTATTCTGTCCGCTCGTTCTGGCTGGAGATTGAGCGGTGGAGCGAACCTTCTTCCGAGTCCCAAACGGCCGGCCAGGTCGACGCTTAACAGTAGGGGTATTGGTGCTAGTCCCTTGAGGCGGAGGAAAAATCTCAAACCTCGTCGCAGGAATGCCGAACGCAGGGTTTGAAGGAGTAGACGATGATTGACGGCCATTGGTACTAGGAGCTTGTTTAGCCATGACATCAGCAAATGATAACGCGCTGGTTGAAGGTGGCCCTGGAGCATCAAACAGTGAAGGCGAAGCTTCAGAGAAGGCCTGTCCATTGGCATTGGAAATATCAACACCGCTTCCAGCGACACTATTTGTCGTATCAGCGTCACTTGCGTTAATACCGAGGCCGTATGAGTTGTTGGACACATGATTAGCTGAAGCATTTGGCCCATCGGCATCAATTTCTTCGCGAGGAGCGACAGTATGAATAGGAGCATGGTCATAGTGGGACTTGTTGCTTCGGCCCATTATGTACGGCGTCCATACTAGAGAATTTGGGTTCAACCTGACGTAGCCCTTTTTCTCCCAAGACTCAATATACTTTTCAAAAAAGTCGTAGTCCAGGCGTAGTGCATAGGTCTTGGTAACAGGATCGCGAACGAGTGCACTTAGACCTTCCAAGGCAGAGATAACATCATCGGGGGTCATACCGGTCTGTTCAGATATCGCTGTAATACTCGTCGGTGATTTCTTATCCCGAAATTTGTAACATAGAACAAGACGCCAGTAGTTGCGGTAGGAAACCAGGCCCATATCAGATAATGGTTTTTCTGGAGAGCCTGTCCTTCCTTCTAGCCGAGTAAGAAGGTAAGAAAAATCAATCAGGAGATTCCCGTAACCCTTTCTCTGATGGATGGGCAGCGTTAGAATACAGGAGACGTTGTTCGAAGAGCTGGGTCTCTTCTCCTTGCTAAAGTATCCAACAAAATGGCAGCCCCATTCATCGTATTCTGTCATAACGTAGAATAAGAAAGGCTCGACGTCGTAGTAAAGTGTTTTTGATCCTAGGAAGAGCTTCGCCAGTAAACAAAGATTTTGACAATAGACAGGATTCTTCCGGCCATCCACCTCAAAGATAGAAACAGAGCCTTCACGATATATCTCATCGCCCGGAGGATGTTTTGCAGGGCACTTGAGCTTGTGTCGCCATGCAACGAAATCGGAGTTCATATACTTAAGGCAGAATTCGCAAATGTATAAAACCCGATTGCGACTGTATTCCTCGGGATATGGAGCTGCATACCACGTCTCAATCTCAAAGCCACCGAAATTGATGTACTTGATTTTGCTTGGTGGGCCTGACAGCTTTTGGGAGGATAAGAGCGCATTATCCGAATCTTCCTCGCTTGCTATCATCTTCTTTCGCCATTCTTCTTCCGCCTTTTGGCGGGCTGCTTCAAACTTATCCCTATCTGTTGACAGTGGTACTGTTCGTGATGTGTCTGCTTCGGCCTGTGACAAAATTCCGCCATAAGGTTTTGACTTGAGCTCATCATTCTCTCGGTCGTGGAAGGAGTAGAAAGGGGCAGCATATGGAGTTGGGTTCGTTGGTGCAAAATGTGATACAGGGGTAGGCTCGGGTATAGTTGAAGGTTTAGGCAATGGTCTTCGCCGTTGGCTCCTTGGCCTTGGTTTGCTGTTCAGTATCTTTTGAAGCTTTTCCTGGTCAAGGTTGAATGAGAGTATTAAGCGTCCTTCCTGTTTCTGCACAACAGTACAGTAATGTTTTTGTGTATTTCGAGTTCTCCTCTGACGAGATGCCCGGTTTTCGTGCACGGTTGCATCATCATTTTCAGCAAATTGATTCTGGCTCGCGGCACGCGAACGACTCCCGCTGGCCCTTGTTGTCGGCAAGACTTGTCCGTGCGGAGGAGGAGTGACTTTCCGTCGTTTCCGTGTGGTCGGGCGCCTATTTTCAGCCTCATAGGATGATGATTTCCTTTTTCGCAAAGAGCGGGAGCCATCCAGTGGATCGTCGTCGATGATTAAGGATTTAAATACGGAGTGAGAATTTGGATTCTGGGTATCATTGTCCGCAGGGAGCAGATCTTTTGTAACACTAGAGACGGTAGATTTTTGTCGGGCAGTGGAGGAGTTCCTTATGTCTGGTTGGGAGTTCTGAAATTTACATAACGAACACTTCCATTTACTGGCATCTAAAATTATAACGAGTTAGTTGGTCAGGATCCGAACTAGGCTCTTATGCATAGTGGCAGGGGTTTCGCTTACCATCATCATCGTTAAATAGGCCTTCCTCGCGGCCGCATTCCCTATGGCCTGTGGAACCGTTAGCTAAGCCCCCTGTCATAGTTCTAGCCAAGCCTGTCCCTGCAGAACTTACAATGAACACCACATGTGTCGCATATTAATGGCTCTTCGAAGACTTCACTTGGATCATGTTCTTCATCTTCTTTACAAACACTGAAGAAAGCATTTTTTTGGTTAGTAAAAACGTGGCAGGTATGCAAGGTGATTAATCATAACGCGATCAAGACTCACAAGCAATTATTATCAACAGGGAGCTCTGTATCGGCATCCTCTTGCTCGTTGCTTTCAGCTTCCCAATCCTCTTCAGCTTCAGAGTCAGATTCAGAGGATACTTCGCTGACAACTGCGTTGCTATCATTTGAAAGCTCTTCGAATTCCGCATCCAGTTCATCTGCGTCACTCGCAGACTTGCCATCCTCGCTAGCACTTTCCAGAACTGCGGCATCCTGATCTGTCTTCTCCTTAGGTTCATCTCCACTGTCTATGAGGTTGGGTTCTTTCTCATGGCTGATATCATTTTCGTCCACAGCGCCCCCTTCGAGAACTTCCACTTCCCCATGGTATGCTCCATCAACCTTCACAGTCGAGTCTTCGTACGTCGTGACTAGCCCAACGTGCGCAGTCGCATCATAAAACTCAGGGTCTTCGTCCCCTTCAGCGTCTTGTTCGCTGTCTATTTCCGGTTCTTGTTCTGGGTAGCTGTTATCGTAAGCGGCCAGTGGGGTTGCCGCCATGGTATGAGCCACTACAGTCGCCAGATTGGCGAGCTGTTTGCACCATCCGGAATTCCCCTGTTCTATCTCTCCCCTTCGTCTCTTTTTGTCTCTTCGTTTCTCCTCTCTTGATAAGCGGATTCAACACGTAGGCTCGTCTCGGCTTTCTTAGAAATAGGTCTTTTGCGGCTCAAGGCTTAATCTCGGTAGACGACAGTCATTGAAAAGGTCTCCACGTAAGCATAAGGAAGCATTAGCTTTGCGCAAATGCGTCTATACTGCGATATTCACTGAGGATAGAACGGTTAGCTATCCAAGTCTTCTTCTGGGAAGCTCTCGGGAGGCGTTTTCTTCAAAAAGCATGCGGACGCGACCACTGCCAGCTCGCCACCGGCCGCACCAGGAGAACGCAAAGGGCAACTAACCGGTAAGCTCCTCTGCAGCAACGCGTAAATCGAAGGAAAAATCAGTCGTATCAAGGGCCAGCGAGTCTTTTCAGGCCGTTTCTTACTCGCATCCCCTCCCTTCTTTGACTTGAAGTTCGAGCCATTCAGCGAAAATTGCTGACTTATCAACGCCAAGCTTTATATAGCGCTAGTCCATATCGGGCCCCTAGTGGCTCTGGTCTCGTTGCTTTCTCCGACGTCCGTCGACTTTTTGCCCTCGCCAGTGAGATTACGGACAGGAAGAAGCATAACAGCAGGATACTCGTTGCGTCGCAGAAATGGGAGTCCCCTTCGAGGCTTTGCTCCCTTATGGGATCATTATTGGTGTAAGTGTCGAGTTGCCCGTGGGAAGTGGGAGTGACCAAATGTTGATGTGAACTGTTTTGCCGTAGTTGTTCGGCGTGACCGGTGTTGGTCTTTCGACTCTCAAGTACTATTCAAACGGCCGCAAGAACCCAAGAAGAGGCATTGATGCGTGGGATCAGGTGAGTTTGCGGATCTACCTTCAGTTTATTCTCTCAATTGAACTTGGGCCTTAGACTAACTCTTTGATAGCAAAGTAAGTTGTGCCATTAGCATGCGAACTCGTTACGTCCCAGGCCGCCGGCTACCCAATTACTGATACAATTGTTCAAACACTCTAGTGATGGAACGAGACCTACGGCTTACAGGCCAGAGGAGAGGACAGACAAGCAACCATGCTGCACCCCCAGGCTTCGCATACAGCAACCCATGGAAGGTATGGCTGGATAGCCTTATGATATCCCACCGATCCCACCGAATATCATCAGAGCCGCTAATTAACCTGTATCAATATAGCTGGAGCCAAGAATCAACTAGTTTTATTTAGATGTTTATCCAACGGTCTATAATAATTTCGGAAATTATCTATGACATACACCCATCCTTCAAAAATCAGAGACTTGCTTGATCTCGGTGCTCTTTCCGCGAATGCCGCGGATCTCCATCGGCAGGAGATGTACATTAAAGAACTCTTTCAGCGCGTCAACGCGTTCCTCCTCGCTTTTTAGAGTTTTCAGAATTTCAAAGTTCCCCTTATGGTTTCTCTTAACGGTATCCTTTAGGAGCATTACGACCCCGTCGATGTCGTCTTCTGCCACGTTGAGCGTGAATTTCGTAAAGATGATACCATGGGTAAAGAGGCTCGCTGGGTGCGTGCTGGTCCAATAGTTCATGACCTCATAGTCGTCATGTGTGAACTCGATCTCGTAGAAACAATAGGCCATCACCCACTCGCTATCAGAGTCATTGCGGAATCGGTACAGCCATGGCCGCTGGTCAGGATCAGTGTTAATGCTTAGATTCTGCCGAACCAAGCTCATCTGGACAACGCGGGTTAGATCTGGTTCCCCTTCCTTCAGCACCAAAGGCTGCGTAGGTCCCTGGGGGCCGAATCCGACATCCACCTTTACTCTCCACTTAGTGTGTTTTCACTCGACAATTTGTAGTGCGTAGTGGTAAACTGACTCACCAAATATTTAATACCGTCTATAATAACTATCAATATTTGGTGGCCGCTATCCAGCACCAATGTTAGCTCTTTCCCAACCATTGAGTCTGCAGTTTGATAATATCACTCACAATCCATGGAACTCGGCATTCGCAGGCCCAGCAACTAGACTCCTTGTGACCCTCGCCCCCCCAGAGTAGAATTTAAATCCAAGAGTCCGAAGCACAATTGAAAATAGCCCAGTGTTTTCCACACAGTAACCGCCAAGTCCCCTTTCCACTACCTTATGGAACAGGACATCTGGATCAAGCGATATTGTATAGTGTTGAGAGTAATGGAGAACCAAGTTAGAGAATGGGAATGTCGCCAAATGTCGCCGCTGGAGGGTGAACAGGGCCTCTAGAGCGTCAGAAACGACCAAATGCTCAATATCTTTCAGTCTCTTCTCCCCATCGTCGGGCTGGCATTGATATAGTCGGCTAAAGTACTTAATCAACTGCTCCCTAGTAAAGGTGGGCAGTGCCTTTATTGTAGGTATATCCGCCATTGTATCTTTGAAAGTGCTTTGTCTCTCTGTCTTTGACTGATATTAAATTAATGGAAGAAAATCATTAAACAGCTTTGGCAGGTATGAATCCCCAGGTGGTTGGCGGGGTTAACCATTATTTATACGCTGGACTAACGAGATTGTTAACTTAGTTAACTTCAACATCTCTATTGAATCGCTATACGAGAAACCAGACTGTCACGGACGCTTTTCTATTAATAATATACGCAGTCCTCGAGCCTTTATTTCAGTAATGACTACCCGTTATTACGAGCTGCCTAGCCAGCTAGGTATTTAGCTGGCTATGTTTCCGAGAAGCTGTTGACACGGCAAAGTTCCGAATATGAACCAACAGGATTGAGTGAGTGGATAATTATTGACAGGATTAATAATGGTTTGGCGGCCTTCGGGGTCCGTCTCGCCGTTGGGATGCTATCATCAGCGATAGTGTGATGTGGTGACCAAATACCTACAATAAAGGCACCAACACTACCAACACTGAACAACCACCATGGTGAAAACGGATGATGAGATATTCTCAGCTTTGCAGGAGTATTCTGCGTGTGATGTATAACTAGTCAATTCTCTCCCTGTCTGGCTATTTATGATACTAACAAGAGCCTTCAGTTATCAGATGCACTGCTGAAGCTCGAGAAAGTCCCAAAGGGTGCTATCAAATATGCCGGATTTATAGCTGATGTCGGTATGGGTAGCAGATAGATATCTATTTGAAATACTTAACCTAACATTGAATTAAAAAAGAGCCGTTTTCGCCTTCTAGGGATGCTGAGAACCTGCCAAAGATAATCGGTTATGCATCTACGATCAAGTTTGTATCCAAGGATGATCCATTACCTGCATATTCCGAAAATGAGACACATGGGTTTCCCCCTGGAACACACTGGGTAGACAATACAGATCCAAATACCATTGTACTGCTTGATCAGCCACCCGGTCAGAAATGCGCTATTCTAGGCGGAATTATGGCATCACGGATGAAGGTCAGGGGTGCAAAAGGAGCGATGGTTAATGGCCGGGTGAGGGATCTTGCTGAGCTGCGAAGTCTAGGCTTTCCAGTATGTACTAGTGTTACTTGAGAGTTGCTCTGGGCTTCCCGTATGTAGTCAGGTAATAACTACAGAGTAATAGGTATGGGCTAGGGGAACCTCGACAGTGGGAACCGGTGCAGAGGCCAAAGCTGCGTTTCGGAATGTGCCTATTTGCATTGATGGAGTAACCGTTAACCCAGTAAGTGATTCCCGAACTGGTTGTTTGCTTAATTTAGAAGGAAATTAACTAGAGATCGTATTAGGGCGACATACTCTTCTGCGACCCTCTTGAAGGTGTTGTAGTCATACCAAGCGGGTTGGTCGGTGATGTCTTGGAGCTGATGTCCAATCTCGTTCCTGCAGACGACAAGGTAAAAGCAGATGTGTTGAATGGATCGACTGTTTTTGAAGCCTTCAAGAAGCATAGAGGCAGTTAAGCATCCTACTGTAACTCAATGTAAAGGGTGAGACTTTACTTTATATGCTTGAGATTCATTGAAAAGGAAGTGATATATATTGATATAAATACAGTTAAATCAGCTCAAGGGACAAGCCGCTTTTATCCTCGCAACATGTCATTATATACGGGCAAAAAAACAATCATCTAAATCATCTAAATGTTGGCTGCCGGGAGATTCAACATCTACTCCGCAACCCAGACAGCGGCCATACCCATTCCAGTTCCAATGCACATACTGGTAACACCGATCTTCTTGTTCGTTCGCTTCAGCTCAGTCAACAATGTGCTGACCTGGCGGGAGCCAGTGCATCCAAGAGGATGACCGAAGGCAATGGCACCACCCTTAGGGTTAACCTTCTCGAATGGAAGGCCAAGCTCCTTGGTGCACCAGAGAGCCTGGGAAGCAAAGGCTTCGTTGATTTCATAAATGTCGACATCTCCCTTGGAGATACCGGCCTTCTCCAAGGCAACGGGGATGGCCTTCCATGGACCTTGGCCCATGAGGAGAGGCTTGACACCAACAACGCTGGCTGTGACGTACTTGCCGATGATCTTCTGGCCAAGCTTCTCAGCAGTGGAACGCTTCATCAAGAGGACGGCGGCTGCACCGTCAGAGATCTGAGATGAGTTTCCGGCATGGATCGAGCCGTCGGCGGCGAAGGCTGGTCGGATCTTGGAGAGCGACTCAGGGGTGATGCCGGGTCGGACACCGTCATCACGAGAGACTGTGATGGTCTTCTCCTCCTGGGTCTTGGGGTCGACAAACTTGACGGTGAGAGGAGCGATCTCCTCGTTAAAGAGACCGGCTTCCTGAGCCTTGATGGCCTTCTGGTAGGAAGAGGCGGCGAAGGCGTCCTGGTCTTTACGGGAGATCTTGAGGTCCTTGGCCATGTCCTCGGAGAGGATTCCCATAGGAACCTTGCAGTTGGCAGCCTCCATGTGGTTCTCGAGTAGGTCAGAGAACTCCGTGACGGCTCCGGGGCTAACATATGTTAGAATGTGATAATATAAATAGCAAGGGTAAGGGAGAAAACAACATACCCATATTGAGAGGACATGCTCTCAACACCAGCTCCAATACCAACGTCAATGACACCGGCCTTTATAGCATTTGCGACATCGACGATAGCTTGCAGGCCACTGGAGCACTGTCTGTTGAGGGCCTTGACGGCAGAGGTCTCAGGGAAGCCGGCGGCCAAAGCAGCAGCACGGAACTCAGTAGCACCACCGCCGGGAGGCAGAACTGATCCAACAGCAATATCCTCAACGAGCGAGGGGTCGATCTTAGATCTCTCAATCAGAGCCTTGAAGGCGCCGACCAGGAGGTCGGCAGCAGCGGTGTCCTTGAAGCCACCCTTACCGCCCTTTGTTATGGCCGTTCGAAGAGCACATGTAACAACGATATCATCTGGGTTCTTCTCGAGAATAGCAGAGCTACCGCTCTTGCTTGGGCTCACTTGCTTAGAGATTTGAGCGAGACGCTGGTATGCTGGAGAAAGGCATCACATGTTAGTATACCGCGTGCTACATGGTTCTACGCTCTATGACGTAGCTTGGGAGGAACACTCACTGGCAGACATGTTGAATAGAGTGAAGGCAGTAGGGAGGGCAGGACGATGTAAGGAGAGTCTCTAAGGTCGGTGATATATAGAAAATGTGGTGAGAAGAAAAGGAGCAGAGGGAGTTTGGATATCTCGGGCGTTGCTCTTTATATGCTGCTTCTTTTCGTCCGCCGAACATCTGATTAAGGGAGGAAACTTTAAGGTTGGCAGAAAGTTGCCGAGGCACATGGAATGATATTTATCCTGTTCCGTGATTATGTGATGGGCCGAGCTCCCGTCACGTGAAGCTTTTGGTGCCTTTTTGAAGAAGAGCGCGAGTCCCATGTGAAGATTTGATGACAGGGCGAAGGAGGAAGATAGAGATCGATATAGATCGCAAGACCTGCTCAAGATGTCGATTGCTCCTAGATCACTGGTGTCGAGCAAAGGGGTGGGATGTGCGCAAAGCCGGCTTAGCATAGCCTCACGCATACATATTGAAACGGTAATATATCGCTCTCTAGTTAACTAACCACGCCCGAGATGCTTTTCTATATATCAATCTAACAGAGTATCAGGCACAGTCACCTCTTTTATCCTTCAGTCGCAAAATCTCTACTGCGCTACCAAGCTCGCAGTCTCTCCGCCATACCTCTACTATCCAACAACTGCCATATATATCAGCTTTCCGCTTTCTCTCGCACACCACACGGTCTGCGACCGGAGTAGCATCCCGTTCCTTTACCACCTCGAGTCGCAATGCGGCCTCTTCGCCCCCTACTGAGCCTGCCGGAGAAGAATATGTCAACCCGTACAAGGCAAAGAGGAAATGGCCACCGGACATGAGCAAGTTATCGCCAAAACAACAGTTCAGATTAGAGCGCAAGTACAGACGCCGCTCGAAACAAAAATGGGCAAGACCTACGTGGACAAAGTGGACAAAGTTAGTCCAATGGGGGTTAATTGGATGTATGTGTTTGATATTGTGCTATATTCGTTGAGCTTTATGACCCAAGCAAAGCTGACCTCGATATCACTCCATAGTTGTTTTGGTATATGCGGTCTTGTTCATGGAAATGAAGGATTCAGGCCCCAATCCATTCCAAGGAGTAAGTATTCCACTCTATATTTCACTTCGCAAGGGTATATATTTGCAAAAAGCTAACTGTGAATAATCAATAGTTCCGAGACTATGTCAAGGGGCTTCTCGATGATTCAGTATTAGCAGGACGTCGGCCCGCGCTTCGAAATGAATCTACCTCCCCTGCTGGGAAGACCGAAAGCCAGTAATCGACCCTGGCACCTTGTACGAATATATTGTTGGTTTCTTTTTTACGTTCTGTTATTAGCGGCATTTATCTTCTTGCTTGTTCATAGAACTGCATCCCTCCTCCAAAAGTTCTAGAGACATGATCCTAACTTCTAACGCATCGTCTCTGGTGGCAACGTTGTATGATAAGAGCCTAGATTGTATAATATTGTACTGTACTTATTATTGGCGGTCGATAGACCCCCTGGCTTAGCGATGGAGGCCGCAAAGCTAAATATAGACAAATCGCCAACATCTCTCGTAGTTAACAACAACATCGCCATAGAAACATCTTTGTCGTCTCGAGAGCCAACCGTTTTACTGTAGATCATCTTCTTAGGCGCTGGGAGTCGATATAACAACCTCTCTTTACTCTGAGGGCAATTTTAAGGTAAGCAACCCTATTATTCGGCTTGTTTATGCGGGGTTGCATAATATACAGCCGCAACTTTCAGCTCCATTTCAGCTCCAACTCAGCTCAGGGACAACAAGTTCACCTCCTCCTGCTGACAATTTGGCCAGCAAACTCCCAGCTACTCGTCGAGATAATCTGAATTCTTCTCTCCACCTAAACTTGAAGGTATCAGGTCTTTGTTTGAATATGGCTTTTCGCAAAGTAAAGGTCGGGATTATTGGGTACGTCACGGTCCATGTCGTGGAACACAATATATTCAACCCGTCGCTGACCACTCCACTCTATTTATATTCAATCCATAGCTGCGGAGAGGTGTCGCAGGTGATACATATACCAAATTTCCAACATCTCTCGGACATATTCACTGTCACTTACTTGTGTGATGTTTCGGTTCTGGCTCTGGAGCATTGCAGGAGCAAGATCTCCAACCCGCACCTCCAGATCACCAAGAATGCGGAAGAGCTATGCCAGTCCCAAAACGTGGAGGTCGTACTTGTTGCAAGTAATGACGCGTACCATGTTCCGCATATCCTGCTCGGCTTGAAATACAACAAGTTCGTCTTTTGCGAGAAACCCATGGCTCTGTCGATAAAGGACGCGGAAGCCGTCTTAGAGGCTGAAAAACTTTCATCTGGCAGGGTGATGATTGGGTATATGAGGCGCTATGCTGGAGCCTTTGTCGACGCCATAAACGAGATCGGTGATATTGGCGGCATCTCTCATGCAACGGTCAGGGATATCCTAGGCCCGAACTCGTGTTTTGTCTCACAGTCCGGGACTTTTCCAAATAAATTCTCTGATCATAGTGAAAATGATGCAGTAGAACTTGCTACAAGGACGAGTCAAGCCTTGGAACAGGCACTGACTGTCGAGCTTGGTATTCCAGTTAACCCAGCAACTGCCAATATGTGGAAGCACCTGACTGGCCTGGCGTCTCATGACCTAAGTGCCATGAGAGAGTGTCTTGGTATCCCTGATAGGGTACTTGGTGCTTCTATTTGTTTAGATACAGGCCCTCAGTTCTGGAGGTAAGACTTGCCTTCAATTCTCGACTAATCCTGTTCAAAGAAAAGCTCTTAATATAGTTGGATATCTAACAATTTGTAGTGCCCTGCTCAAGTATCCAGGCTTCGCCGTCTGTTATGAATCAGGGTGGGATGAGATACCACGATTTGATGCCAGCATCGAAGTGTTTGGAAGGACAAAGTCTGTGAAGGTCTGCTATGATACCCCATATGTCAAGGGACTGCCAACAACCATGGTTGTTCGACAACTAGGCCCCAATGGCGAATACATAGAATCCACCGTTCGAAAGACATATGAGGATCCGTTCACTCTGGAGATGAAGGAATTATATGAAGCTGTTTTGAATGACGAGAAGATAATCAAGACAACAGCAACGGATGCGATGGCGGACATTAAGATTTTCCAAATGATAATGAAGACTGGGTATGAACAGTCGCTATGAGTCTGTTGTGACGTTGTGTCTATTTCGTTTTTTTTTTTTTCTTTTGAGCCGTCTATCTATTCATGCCGTATTGAATTAGATGATCCTCTAAACCTTTATCAGCAGTTAGGCTTGAAGTATACCCCTTCCCACCGCCTTGCCCTTTCTTTATCTAGGTTGAGCTGGTAGACGCATTGCTGTCCCTTGCAACGGGATGCCCTCTTGGTCTACCGCAAACCGAGTAAAGTTTACCAAGGCTTGATGAAGCACCTCTTGTTCCTTGGAGTATATCCCAACCGAGACCCAACAGAACATCCACCAGCGGACCTTGGCCAGCAACCCCCAACTAAAGGGTATGCTGAAATTCTGCATACAAACATACTCAAAATATATAGGGTACCAGCCGGATTGGTCCCAGTCCAGGAGCCAGAGACGGAATTTTTCATCAACGATGATGTTTCTGGGTGCGAGATCTTGGTGCGAGAAGGTCAGGGGGAAGTGCCGGTCTGGTTCGAATGTTGCCGCCGTGCCGGTCAGTATTGATGGTGAAGAGGATGATGCCCTGTATGCCGCCGCCTTGCGTTTCCGTGAAGGTAAAGGAGATACGTTATACCAATATCGTACAAATGCCGTGATAGCCTCAGAACTCGCGTGAGGTGGGAGGCCATAATAGGTACCCAGCCACATAGACCTGCATTTTCCGTCCGAAAGGGATCCGGCAGTCTTTGAGGTCAGGCTTCTCATCTTCCGAACAAACCGCCGTAATTGTATGGCGAGTAGCAACGACCTGAGCCAGCTTAGGGAAATCCAGGCGTCTTCTAGGGTGCGGCCCCTGATTCTGTCCGATATGACATAGATGTTATGGCGGTCATGACTTTCGACGACTCGTTGGATACTCGGTACCGGGATGCCTAGCTGTCTTGCTCGTCTTATTGCTATGAGGGGACCACTCTCCTCGCCGCGAGGGTACCGTTTAGCGACCAGATTTGGTGAGAGGAAGAACAGGCTAGATGACCCTGAGGATATTTTGGATCTATTAATGTGGTGAACAAGGGTCTCCTCATCATACTGATACAGCAGATGCTCTTCAAACTCGCCACACATTGTAGCTGAGCCATATACCCTGCCTGCTCACTGGCCTATCGACGCAAATATGAGAAGATCATGTAGCATTGTGTGCCCTTTCGGAAAAGGATTACAACGAATCGGGTGCCTAAAAGAGCCCTGTTGACCGCAACGGATACCTCATCACGTGGCTTCAGCTGCGATGGCGCAGTGAGCAAAAGGTAATTAGATAGGTCCTTCGATTTTATTCATTAATAATAGTAGAATAATAATCTGGAGAATAATATAAGGCTATGGGGCAGAAATGCTAAACAACAAGCACTATGCGAGGTGCGGTCCAATCTTGCAAGGAAAAGATAACTCCAGAGCCATAGAACATATACCAAAACAATATCAAGAGGAAAAGGAAAGAAAAAAGGGTCATAAAGTCATTCCAATAAAGGGGGGAGGAGAGAAGTATCGGTGATCGTTAATCATATCCCATCTGATATTCGTATTGATAGGCTGGTCCAAAACACCACATCGAAGAATTTTTCCATATGAGTCAATCACAGACCTGCAATGGCTAACACACCAACAAGAGCAGCGTATGTAGTTTCAAAATATACTTGGGGTTAGGGAAGGAAGCCATTGTGTAGCCATTCTAGGGAGGTAGTTGCGCGAAGACAACAAGGAAAAAGTATTGGGGAAGAAGGAAAAAAAGAGAAAATAAAAGATAGGACGTCATAGCCAATCACCGCTTGACTTTCTCTGATCGGGGCTTGTAACGCCAACGTTCAAGTCTAGGCGTGGGGGAGCTTCGCTCACAATTCCTGGTCTCTTCTTCGGACTCTGATTACCGGCTGTCTTGATGGGGCTGCTGGGAGGTGCGTCTCTCGGAGGGCCTTCGCGGACAAACTGATAATCCCAGCCGTCTTCTGCGGCGGCGGCAACCCAAACCTTCAAGCCAGCGTGGAGAGCGGGATAGAACTGTTCCTTGCATGTGCGGAGGCTCCTTCCCATGACCTTTTCGAAGCCAGATGCCTTCAGGTCCGTTCTCAGCCTGTTGCGCTCTTCGGCTGTCGGCATAGAAGCAATGATACCGTTCATGAGGTCTAGGTGGTTTGCAAGGTAGCTCGTGGCCTCCCATTCCACGCCTCCGATGTACGGGGCTGCAGGGACAGGGGGGTGTGGTGGAGGGAAGTGGCGTTCCGAATAGGGCTGAGATGGGTCAACGGAGCCATCTTCCGACGACGACGTGGCCGGAACAACGTTATAGTGATGTAGGAACATCCAGAAAACTTCTTTGGTAACGTTTGTCACTTCTTTGCACCAGACTCGGTATGGTCGAGGCTGGTAGATATCTGCAATAAATGAGAGTGGTTGAGCTGTCTCTGGTGGTGCTGGGTCGCGCATATAGGATAGTATGGTATGCGCGCGAGACACCTGTTCACCAGGACCAGCATTGGATAAGAGAGTGAACAGCAAACTGATGATTATCCCGCGAGTGCTGAATTCGCTGGGACCTTTCTTTTCGTCATCGAAAAGCATGTTAAGTAATGTGGGGAAAAGATGGCTCTCTATGGAGCGAATGTGGTTGAGCGCAGTTGTAGTTGTGCATAGTGCCTTGAGACAAAGTAGAACTTCGTGCATGAGGGTATCTTCATGTTCCTCCCTATGATAGAATGTCAGTATTCGTCATAAAAAGCAAAAGCACCATCAGGGAGCTCCGGGACAACTCACCTCCATTCTACTTTGATAATTCTGTAGAGCAATTGAATGAGCTCATCCATGCCTCCACAGGACATGAATTCAGTGACCCAGGCCACAGTTTCATTTCGTAGCAAGATACGAAGCTTGTGTAGTTTGGCAATTTCGACTATTTCTGGTTTCTGCACTTCTTTAAGGTAGTGGACAAAGTCTGATGGTTCATCAGTCTCCTTGGGAGTGCGAATATACTGCAAAGAGTTAAGCACAGTGGCGGATATGCCTCGAGAAGAAGAGCTTGATGGTCTAGAAAAGTCGACCGACTTTGGCCGCTTTGAAGGTGTGGTTTCCCCTTTACCTTTCTTTGAGTTAGATGAATCATTTTTGGTGAAAGTGCGGCTCCGAGCGCGAGTCTTGGTTGCAGATTTGCGGGATCCACTATCAGCGCCCTTTTCGGCCTCCTTGTCACTGCTGAAGAACCCAAACTTCTTCTGGCTGGTGCCAGAGGGGGTAGTTGGTGTCATTTCATGCTTGTTCACAAAGTCTGCTTTGATATTAGTGTCCAGAGCCCTCATTTTATCACGCATGTTGAGAGGGATGTTTCGAGATTCCTAGAATACTGATGAGTAACTAGTTCGTATGGAAGAGGTCCAAAACCAAACAAACTAACCAGAAGCTGTTCGAATGCATTCTCAATGGCGGTAGCTTTGGGGTCATTCTGCTTAGGAGTAGCGGACTGCTGGTCTTTAGCATTGAAGGCCGCAATTGCAGCCATGACCCGAGAGCTTCGGCGGCCATTGGAGACTCTGCGTTTTGCTAGAGCCTCATTGGATTTGGATGAGGCTTGAGAGTTGTTGCTGCTGGAGCTGCTCTTCCGCTCGGGAAGATTAGAGTTGTGTGGGCCTAGAGGACTTGGCTTACGGCCAGTAGCCAGCATTTCCCTAACGCCGGCAGAAGTTGAAGGAATAGATTCAGATTTGCGCCTAGACTTGTCAGAACGGGTAAGACTAGGTTGATGGTGGTCGTGAAAGTTTCTCTGCTTCGACGGCGAGTATCCCTGTGGAGTGTATAGTGACATTTCCTCAGCCACTGTCCGTCTGTTCTCTGGAACATAGCGGGATCCAGAGCCATTATCCGGAGGCAAATGTGCAGTATAAACGCTGGGGACGATGGAAGCAGCGTCATCGAAGATATCAGTAGGAGAGAAATTCTCCTTATCCCTGGATCCGGAATCGTTATCCTTCTGGCGAGACTGGTGCTTCCTGAAGAGCGAAGACAAGCTTGTCGACGACTTTGTCCTCTTTGGTTTGGACCGTCTGGGAGCTGCTTCTTGCTTTACTGGTTCCTTCAGAGCCTGGTCCTTGTCTTTGTCCTTGTCCTTGGTGCCTTTATCCTTTAGGAGGGACTTGAGAGATAAGGTACTCTTAGATCTCTTGTGGAGGGCCTTTCCAGGAGGGTTTGAGTTGTCCTGCAACGGAGCCCGGGAATTTGAGGCATTCCTATTTGCCTCACGATCTGGATAAGGCTGCTGGTATTGTTGTTGCGGGCGGTAGTGGGGGTGGTCTGCTGGTAGCAGACAATTGGCAGCCAAAGGGTTACTTTGATGGACAGGGCCGCCTCGAACAGCTGCTTCAAAGGCAGATTTGCTTCTCTTGTGTCCGCCAGAAGGCAGAATTGACCTAAGAGCCGAAACCTTGGAGGATTGAGGGCGTGAATCGCTAAAAATCGACGGGGTCATGATGGTTGCTATGGGATTGCCTGTTGTTGGTGTTAGCATCTAGGCAAAGCGCAACAGGACGGACATAATAAACCAACCACACTCGAATGAAGTCAATTAAATCGACAAAGAAGAAGCAGACAAATAACTAGAGCGAGGTCTCGTCTCGCCTCTCTCTCTCTCTTGGTGGTTGTCCGAGGCGAGAGAGCTCCGAGGCTGGTGGACTGGCGATGTTTATGTTGTGCCTGGCGAGAAGGTAAACAACCGGCGATGTAGGATAAAAAAGGTGGAGGAGCGGCGTATAAATACAGATCCAGAAAAGAAATGTGATGAGAAGGGAAAAATGCACGCTTGAAGGTCATCCGCAAATCATCATGGACCGCTTCACTTCGGTTCTGCGTCGCGGCGCCGTCGATGGTTGTTGTCACAGCAACGGCGCTGCGATGGTTGTTGACGCGGGAGTATAAAAAAGCCGGGAACATGTAAGCGCTGGAGTTTTCCTGCAGGACCGTTATTTTACACCGATAGCAAGGTATAACATACACGGGTGTCCCTTCATTAATATGTCGGATATTTATTTTGTTTACAGGGAGCCAGGCCGGTCCTATAGTTCAGTCGCTTTTGCCTTGTTTACCTTCGACCGGTGGTGGTGTTTATCTTGTCAGTTGGTCTGACAGCGTGTAACCGACGGTGACGATAGCTGGTTCATGGCAAGACAGGCAGCACACTGAGCCACGGGAAGATGACAGGACCAGACAAAGAATAGAGACAGCCAGAGAGAGGTTTAACTCGTAGGTATGATCCATTTATGTACGGAACGATGCCCCTCTAGATGTTACATTTTGGCCGTAAGGGAGGGTTCAAGCTTTGGACACAAAGCGCTACAAAAGAAAGGAAGAAAAGAAAAGAAAAGAAGAAAGGGAACAACCTTGTCCGCGCCATTTACCGTCGAACCGAAGGGACGAGCTGCAGGAGGAGAAACCGCATGCAGGAATGAATACGCTGGCCTGTACGTATATGTATGTATGTGTGTGTGTGTGTGTGTGTGTGTGTGTGTGTGTGTGTGTGTGTGTGTAGGTGAGGAGGTAAGGCTGGGTGGCATCTCGTCATAGCGGCCTCGCAGATCAGCCACCTGCCACCTCCTTCATCTTATTCTGCTCAGGCGGCTCATCAATGAACTGCGGAGGAGCAACCTCGTCCTGCATAAAGGACGGTATGGCCTCCTCCCCGCCCATGGCCTGCTCAAACATGGCTTCCTCTCCCAGAGCCTCCAGCTCGGCATCGAGGTCAGCCTCGTCCACGTCCTCAGGCACGTCGTATGCACGACTGATGCTATCCTGGATCTCATTCCCCATGTCCATCAGGTCCTGCATCTCGTCCTGCATGCGCTCGATCTGGTCGATGTCGAGCTTGCCGTACTGCTGCTTGAGCGACTTTGTTGTAGTCTTCATAGCATCGACAGTCGTCATGACATTACGCAGGTTGTCCTGCATCATGCCGGCCTGCTCCATGTTCCAGGACTGCTGCGAGAGCTGGTCCCGCTGGCCCTCGTAGCGTTTCCGTTGCTGGAGAACCTTGAGTGCCTTCTGGCGCATCGCCGTCTTGCCGGGGCCGTCTCGCATCTTGGACATCTTGGTCTGGTAGGCCGTCAGCTCGGCGTTCAGCGCAGCCAGCTTGACGTCTATACTTGATATCCGGGCATCGACCTGCTCTGGTCAGCTTCGCTCCGCAGTTCTGTTCATCGTTTCCCCCCAGGCTGCTGCCATGGAAGCACATACACTTGATATCGCGCCCTCCAGCGTCGGCTTTGGAGCTGTATTCTTCGTGCCAAAGAGGCGGTTCATCTTATTAGTCTCTCTGCTTATACGCTTAGTATCTTCTCTCAGTATCCCCTGCTTCTTCCTGCCGCTGTCCTGCGTGTGTCTTTACTGTCGCTCTTGACGTCGTCCCCGAAGGCGAAATCAGATAACCTCACGTGACTCTTCCCTCTTGTGGGGCGCAAAGAAAGAAAGAAAAAAACTTCGAAACAACCAAAAGAAACAGAGAAAAAGCGACGAAAAAGCACGAAAAAGCAGCCGCAGTTGACGCACTTCTTCGTCTTCCTGCGACTTGACACTGCTCAGCGCCGGCTCGTCTTCGGATAACCAGAGAGCGCCCTGTGTTGCGGCCTGCCCTGCGTGACGTGGCTTGCACGCCGTCGTTCCTTTTTGCGCACTTTCGACCGCAGACGCAGCTAGCGCCGGAATCGTGCGATCTATTTCCCCGACAACGAGCAGTTCCAGTTCCAGTTCCCGGTGCGCCTCGAGAGCGACCACCCACACCAACCGGAACGCGAGAACCGGAAGCTTGGAGATCTTGCAAGGGCAGAGAGGCAACAGTGGGAAGAAAAGCAAAGAAGTGCGTGCCCAGGTCAGGTTCGAGCGACTGCTGCTCTCTGGGTGTATATCAAGGGCCCCCCTTTCTGCTTGCCAGGTACGTCATATTAGTGAGTTACGGGTGTTCGTTTCAGTCATCAATCAGCCTCCTTCGTGTCTCTCGCCGACGTCCCGTCTCGAGCCACCACCAACAACAACACTCGCACAACACTGCCCTACCTAACGCATCGGACGGTGCTAGCCACGGCATTCCTGTTGCTAACTGTCTTTCTTGCTCCGGACCAGGCCTCAGGTCGACTACGGCGTTGTCTTCCCTTTCCTGCCCCTCCATCGTCCATCAATCAATGCGAACCTCCGGAGCATCTTGGACCGTCTTTCAAAATCTCCGGCCGCCGCCCGTCAGCCATCAATTCTAGAAAATACTGTACCGCCGGCTTGCCATACCACATAGACCACTCACGATCCCGGCTCTGGATTGCCTCTCTCTCTTTTTTCACTTTCCTTCCTTTTTGTGTTGGGCAAAACCAACAATAACAACAAACAAGGGCCCGACAACTTTTTCTCCACGATATCCAAGATTGCTTTTCAATGCATAACGATTTCCCTATCTCTCACCGGCATTACAAACTTTCATCATGTTCTGGAAATATGGCGGTTACGCGAATGTGTCACCCATCACCACGCTCCTTGATAAACCCGATGTCAGGGTGGAAGAGATCCTTGATGAGTCCGACTTGATGCAGGAGATAAAACAGCATAATACAAGGTTGATAGAGTATTTACGGGATGACCATGTTCTGAAGAGATTGTTCGAACTCATCATCTCTCCAAGTCTCCTCAACAATGATGATGACGGCCGCAAACACAATGATTATGATAATAATGAAGATGGACATGACGAGACGACCGACGGCAAGAAAGAACCCGAATCTCCCGAATCATCATCCGGTGAAGGCCAGATCCAGCTCTCGGAGTTCCCCAGGATATCGCCAAAAACGAGCCGTGAACCCAAGGACCTGGAAGAGGCTGAGAAGAATAGGCTGAAATATGCTTACATCGCCTCCGAAGTGCTATCGTCGCCTTCCTGGTCGGTCATCGAAGCCATGGTGGAAAATGAGGATGCTCTACGATGCTTTTGGCAGTACATGTACAGGCCGGGAGAATTGGACTCTGTACAAACAAGTTACTTTGTAAAGGTCAATGAAGTGCTGTTGGACCAGAAGACGGACGCCATGATTGCGTTCATTATGCGTCTGGATAATATCATACAGATGTTGCTGCAGCATGTTGACAATCCCCTGGTTATGGATCTCGTCTTGAAGATTATCACTCTCGACAAGATCGAAGAACAGAACGTAACAGAGGTATGCACATACACTCCACCACCTACTTCTCCCTCCGTTGCTTGAATACTAATATGAGACACAGTGGCTCCAATCCCAGAACCTTATCCCCACTTTTCTGTCGTACATCTCAAATGACCATCCACCCGAGACTCAAACAGCCGCTGGTGATTTGCTGAAGGCCATTGTCACCATCTCCGCCAATGCTGCGCAGAACGAACAGCCCTGTATTGGACCCAATAGCTTAACCCGACAGCTGGTATCAAAACCCTGCATAAGGACACTAATATCTTCCATGGTTCAAGGCGGAAACCCCCTTACCGTTGGCGTCGGCATAATTATCGATATCATCCGAAAAAATAATCCTGATTATGACCCTGAGATGGCGGAGAACCGCAATTCTACACCAACAACCCATGACCCCATATACCTTGGTACCATGCTGAAGGAATTTGCAAGCCATGTTCCCCAATTCATGGAATTAATGAACAAGAGAAGCAGGCCAGCCAACAGTAAGCTTGACACTGCTTGGGGAGAAACTATCGAACCCCTTGGCTTCGATAGGTTTAAGACTTGCGAGCTTATGGCAGAACTACTCCATTGTAGTAACATGTGTCTGCACAATGAACCCGGTAGTCATGGAGATATGCTGGCACGAGACTTGGAAAGAGAACGGCTACGAGCTTTAGGATTCCCCCAGAATACCGAAGATGGCTTCGTATATGCAGATAGTATTAATGGTACCTCGGACTCGAGAATGGACACCACATCTCCCGAGGAATCAAAAAGAAGAGGACAAGCTAACACTGGCGAAGAGGAAGCATTCGAAGAGATCACATCTTCCGGAGTGCTCGTTGATAGGGTCAAGGGCTCTGAAAGCCCTGCTGGATGCGATACCAAGCCTACCGCTGACAACACGTTTACGAACGTTCCAAAGCTAGGACAGGGAGACGACTTTGTTGATGAACCATTAACACCCCCGAAACTAAACACATCCAAGAAAGAGCCTCCAACGGCTGGGACAGGATCTGACGCTAAGAAATCCGTCTCTTCTTCGATACAGTCCGATCTGACCGAAAAAGTAGACGAAATTCACCTCAATAAAGAGGGTGAGGCCATGAAGGAACCTGAATCAGTTTCCAAGCCGTCTGACACTCCCGCACCTGAGCCAACTGCTGGGCAGTCGGCCAGTACAGACACAGTACCCCCCTCATCCGCTCTAACAACGCCAGAAACTACCCCAACATTATCGGAGGAAGGGCATCCACATCCATCTCACACAGATGAGCTTACGCTCGAGGAATCCAAGTATGAGTCTGATCCGTTCATTCAAAGAGAGCCTGACGGAAAGCCCGTTGTCGGTGATTATATGAAGATCATGTTCCACGAGCACAAAGTTGTGCCAACGGTATTGGTAAGTATTCTTGTAATATTAATAACCTTCAAGTTTTTCAACTGACCGTGATAATCAGTCTTATTTCTTCCGTTTCCCTTGGAACAACTTCCTCCATAATGTGGTTTATGATATCGTGCAGCAGCTACTTAACGGTTTAATGGAACAAGGGTTCAACAGAACACTGGTCATTGATTTGTTCGAAAGTGCCGAAATTACTACGCAAATCATTCAGGCCCAACGACGCAGTGAAGAATCCGAAGCTAAGCATAAGATGCGCCTTGGAAACATGGGCCATCTTACTCTCATTGCTGAAGAGGTAGTGAAGTTTAGTGAACGTCACCCGCGCGAAGTGCTTTCACCACACGTTATGGAAAAGTTAACGCATGCCGATTGGATTGACTACGTTGAACATGCCCTTTCAGATACCAGGGAACGCGAGAACGCTATCCTAGGTGGCGTAAAGCCCGATATCACTATGAGCCATCGTCAAGCAGTCCTAAACGCCATAAGCGCGCCCACTAACCTTCAAGGAACTTCTTCAGCCTTAGCCGATGCCGGTCTCAATGGAGGCTTCTCCAGTGGCTTCTCTTTGAACAATCTCACTTTCGATAACCAATCCTCTGCATCTGGCGGCGCTTTTGGCTTCAGCAGCAACCTTGGGACCGGAACAGGGACCGGAACCGGCGTATCTTTATTCAGCGGTTTCGGAAGTGACGATGACGACGAAGACATGGAAGACAGAACGGATCATCGTGATCCTCAATCAATTGGAGCAGGCCTTGTAAGTCCAAATTATGGTGATGGCAATTCGTTCGAAGATATTGATATGAGTGACGAATAGTAGAGGCCTCGCTTCTTGCGCAGTGCCCTCTATATACATGAAACGCTCCTCACAATTATTCACTTCCCTTTGTTGATATATATATACCTATATATCACGAGGCTATTTAGAGATATCATGTCATGTCTGCTGGGGGTTTCTATGACTTAGCTTGCTTGGGTTTTAGTTTCCTGCCAGGCATTTTCTTTCTTTTCTGTGGATGATTGTGTTCCGATCTCTATGGCCTCAAATTTATTACACTGGATAATGTCTCCCTGCATGTCTCACCTTCATGTCCATACTTTTTTGTTATCACTTTTCTACACATATTTTCTATTCATATTTATCTCAGCCTGTTCTCTTTCCCGGGAGCTAACGAGAACTTACTCAAAACACAGGCAAGCATATTTGACAATTCAGAAACCCAGCCTATTCCAATCCTCCCACCTCCCCCGGCGCCGTTGAGTACTGGCCCATCACGAGCACGACGCCAACTTGCGGCTCGACTTGCTCTCCAAAAGCAACAGGCTCTTGACGCTGCTGCTGCTAACAACGAGGATCAAGAGGAGGATGGTGAGAACTCCCAATTTACATCCTAGCAACCCTAGAAGTTTCTTCACAACTGACTATGTTGTAAATACAGGCTTTGCGAAGGAAGAAGGCGAGGACAGCTCTGGTAACGCTATGCATGACGCAGACACTGCGGGAGACTCAGATCACCAATCTTCGTCTTTCTCCGGTTTCCAGGACGTAAGTGGCTATTCAGACAGCTCATCTGACGAGGATGGCAGTCTTCCTATGGAAAGTGTAGAAAGGAAATTCCGACTACCAGTGGATGCTTTTGACGACGACGACGAAATGGGTGATATGGTGGGGCCTTCAACTTCTTACTCTGACGAAGATGACGAGACCATAATACAGGAAGCGCTAGGGTATTCAACTTTCTTAGGGTCGGATCATCATGGACTGGACGGCTCGGTATACCCAGAGGAGAGAGAACTGACCCCAGACTCAGCAAGAGGTCAAGATAACAGTGACGGGGAAGACGACGGACTTGTTGAGATATTAGTGCCTGGGAAGAGATCAGTGACAAAATAAGCTTCAGCCTGCCCTGCTATTCCGTCATATACCTTCATTTTGAACGCTTTAGCGAACTTCATCTTGCCAGCCGTCTCTATATCATCTGAACTCATATATGGATCTCCACAGTCATTCACCCCGATCATTCCATGGGATATATTCTTCAATGCGTCTGTGTCCATTCATCCCATTCTCTGTACAATATTTATACCCCTGCTCGATACTCGTTTTTGAGTACTTTCTCTATTTCTTCTGTGCATACGAACCCGCATCATCGTTACGTTTTGTTCATTCGACGCTTTGCCTTGCTATCCATCTAATTGCCTTATTCCGCCGAATAACCCCAAAATTCTACGAGGGCATATACGTGCATCAAATCACTAGTTGCATTGAGGTACTGGTTACCCCGAACAGGCGCCATTCTCCCGTTTGAATATAATGTTGAAAGGTAATTGCATTTTTGAATTGAAAAGTGGTCTTAAAGTGAGAAGCATCAGAAGGCATTTTATATCCAGTTCAGACCTAGTGGGCTAACTAGGTACTCGCTGGGAGCTGAGAAACGTAGAAATAATTATCAGTATCCATGCGAACAGGTTCATTTGAAGCTCCTTTTGAGACCATCTCTAGCGGGTTTCTCAAAACCGTAACCTCCTCTTCTTGCACCACATATGCTGCCCATCTCAACATATCTAGGGATAGCCATTGATCGGATGGACCTAGTATAAGACCATAAGACTTTCGGGATTTTGCCTCCTCTATTGCCTTAGAAATCACGGCTATCTCCTTTTCCACTTCTTCTTCCAAAACGTCGCCAATAGTTTGTTCATCATCCAGGGGATACCAATCAATAAGCTGAACGACATACTCATCAAGGCGTTTAGGGAATATACCTGCTAACGTATTGTGAAATTGCTCTCCTGGACTGATGGGGCTAACAATTGCCTTGCTTGCCCTAAGGCATATGAGGAGGAACAGAATGTATGTCACGGTATTGGGGCCTAGTTGCCGATTTGACGGGTCAATAAGGCTATCAACGGTGTGGGATATGTCATTGATGAATTCACAGACAGACACTTTCGTATCTGACGGATCCAAGAGGTCTAATATCTCATTCCCGAGAAACAGCTCGCCTTGCTGGGGAACAATAGAATTTGATTCCTTGATGACATTCCTAAGGCGCTCACGGACCGTGGGTGATGGGATATAAGAGAGGTGCTTTTCAAGTAGTGTTTCCATGTCATTAGAACCTGATGTTCTCGATCGAGTAATCGCCCATTCACATACTACCAGGCCAGTCATATAAATTAGCCATTCGCTTTCTCGGTATATTTGAGCGAGTTTCTGTTTATCATTTGACGGCTGTTTCTGAAGGTAGCCTCCACGTCCAATCCTGATAATCCTAAATGCAAGCTCGGCCGAACCCTGGCACAGTGCATTGAGGACAATACGGGATCCTGAATCATGAAAATTTGCATATGTACGGTCTTCCGTTACTTCGATATTTTGAGACTCTCGGGTGTTTAGACGGGTTAAACCCAGTGCATCAAGCAAGTCACGGGAGAATATACGTTCTTCTATTGTAGACAGTTCGCTGGAGAAGGGGTAAAATATATTGAATAGGAAGCATTTGTTGTCCGGGGATTTTCCCTGTGGTTCTTGAAATTCTTGATAGCGAAACTGTCGAGCGTTGGCGAGAGGCGTTCCTGGGGGAGCATTCACGTTTAAATCTCGGAAATCACATGGATTATCAACAATGCAGAACCCATACGTTGTCATTACTGTCTCATGTTAGCTAAAGTTAAGTATGACTTAAGGGCATAATACGCACATTGTTGATTGTTAAGTGGTCCGTAATTATTGTGAATCTCCTCTTCGGAAACAATAGGTTCGACCACTTTTAGGCCTATTTCAGCAGCCTCTGCTCGCCATTCAATTTTTGCCAATGGTTTGTGGTTAGAGGAATCAACCAAAGGAAGCAAGATTTGGAATTCTTCATCCTGTTTAAGAGCTGGATTACGGGAGAGATATACACTCAGAACTCTTGATGTAAACGCACGAGAAGCGATAACCGTATATGCCCAGCAGAAGAGATCCCTGTAACATGTAATTAATCAGTATATGGCTCTTCTGGCTATGCGTGAATAATATTGTCTCACCAGCTGTATAATTCCGCAGCTAAGCAGCCCTCGTCTCGTAAAATAGATATTGCTGAATCGTACTCTTCTTTCACCGCATTCATGTATGCTTGGTGGGTTTGGTATAAATTGGTACCTTGCAGCCATTCAAGATCATCGCCATGATAGAAGAGAGCCGATGTCAGCTCGCTAGCTCTTGGAAGAGTTGCTAGGTATGGCCACCAGTGGGAGCCTTTTTCTTTTAGCTGTTGATGAGCAACGAACAATGCCAGAATGATGGTCTTTCTGACTCCTTGAGACAATCGATCAGAACAATGGAAGTCATGGGGTGGAAGATTGGGATCCAAATTCTTCGCATTGAGTATCGACATGGTTGCAGAAATTGGACATCTGGCCACGACGGTTGAGGAATCCAGTGACTGGCTGCTTCGGACTCGGAGACATGCCCCTCTTTCAGCATCTCTATGGATTTCGACTGTAGGATCTAACCCTCCCCCAAGAGCCGTGATCCAGTTGGCCAGTTCCTTATCTGCCTCTATCTTCTCAGATAGTGTAGCCGGGGGGCTGTCGAATTTCAATCTATCCAATCGTTAATTATTTTTCAACTCATTGGGGTGGCCTATAAGTACCTATTGTTTGCCATAGTGAAGTAATATTTAATAGCAAATTAGTGTGTTTGATTGGTAAAAGAGTCTCCGCTACTATCATAGTAAATGCGCACACTGTGTCGCCAGCAACGAATCGCTCCCCTTCAACTAGGTAGTTATCTATGATTAATGGGGAAATGTGGGAATATAGCGGTTACTGAAGACTTAATTATACCCGGTCTATTAGGCTCACAGGTTATCCCTACATTGAAATTATGTGTTAAAAATTATCACTCACTGCCACTATAAAATCCTCCCCATGTAAAGTATAATACATATTTCATCATGATATCCTGCAATATCACCGTCGCCATCGTTTCCTCCGTCTTTTGTCGTCTGGCGTCTGGCGTCTAGCGCGTGTTAATATTATTCACGTGATCCGACCAATCAGATACCGCGTAAAGAAACGACTTTGACCAACATCAACCTCACGACGGCCGCAAAAGTCGCAGCATCACCAGCTTCAAAACCGCATCTTCCATTGGGCTCAATTGGGGTCGAGTAACGACGGGTGACCTGCCCACCATGATCTCCAGAGCTGCCGTGGCTCCGCCAGCCCACGCAATCCCATATGTCTCGTCTCGCGCCCTTTCCTCTGCGGCCGCCGCCTCTCTCCCTCGCTTGACATCTGCACAGCCGGCCGCTAAACAGTCGCCCGCACCACAGAACCAGCAGCAGTCCCAGCAATTAGCACAGCAGCCGCCGCAAACACAGCGACGAGGCTTTGCTACCGTTCAAGATGGCGCTACTGCGCACCCACCACGGGTATACGGCGGATTGAAGGACCAAGACCGAATATTTCAGAATTTGTACGGACGACATCCTCCGGACCTAAAACATGCCATGAAATGCGGTGATTGGTACAAGACGAAGGAAATTATTCTCAAGGGCCACGACTGGGTGAGTTCATGCCGTTGGGGATGCCCAGTTTCGGATATTCGCTGGTAGGAATGCACATCTCATGCTAATGTCTTTTGGTAGATCATCAATGAAGTCAAAACATCTGGACTTAGAGGCCGCGGCGGTGCTGGCTTCCCATCTGGATTGAAATGGGTATGTTTAACTCTTTATTTCACCGCTACAATCCATTCAAAGATCGCCGAAACGTATCGTTCGGAAACTACTTTATTAGTCTTATGTCTCGATTGCCTTATATCTAACGATTCTATTGAATACAGTCTTTCATGAACTTCAAAGATTGGGACAAGGACAATAAGCCCAGGTACCTCGTTGTGAACGCCGATGAGGGTGAGCCTGGTACATGCAAGGACCGTGAAATTATGCGCAAGGACCCCCACAAGCTTATCGAAGGGTGTCTCATCTCTGGGCGTGCCATGAACGCAACTGCAGCATACATCTATATTCGAGGTGAATTCTACGAAGAGGCCACCGTTCTACAAAAGGCAATCAACGAAGCCTATGCCGCCGGTCTGATCGGGAAGAACGCCTGTGGTTCTGGATACGACTTTGATGTCTACATTCACCGTGGAATGGGCGCCTACATCTGTGGTGAAGAAACTGCTTTAATCGAGTCTATTGAAGGAAAGGCTGGAAAGCCTCGCCTAAAGCCCCCGTTCCCTGCTGCCGTCGGTCTTTTTGGCTGCCCCAGCACTGTCACCAACGTTGAAACTGTTGCTGTTGCTCCCGCTATCTGCCGTCGTGGTGGTAAATGGTTTGCTGGCTTTGGCCGTGAGAGAAACCAGGGAACTAAGCTGTTCTGTATTTCTGGTCATGTCAATAACCCCTGCACCGTTGAGGAAGAAATGTCTATTCCTCTCCGCGAATTGATTGACCGTCACTGCGGTGGTGTACGAGGTGGATGGGACAACCTTCTTGCCGTCATTCCCGGCGGCTCCTCCACTCCAGTTCTCCCCAAGCATGTCTGTGACGACCAAATGATGGACTTCGATGCCCTCAAGGACTCTCAATCCGGTCTCGGTACTGCAGCCGTTATTGTCATGGACAAATCCACTGACATTGTTCGTGCTATCTCCCGACTCTCTGCTTTCTACCGCCACGAAAGTTGCGGACAATGCACTCCTTGCCGTGAAGGAAGCAAATGGACCCTTCAAATGATGGAACGTTTCGAACGTGGCCAGGCTCGTGAGCGTGAAATCGATATGCTCCAGGAGCTAACGAAGCAAGTTGAAGGCCACACCATCTGTGCTTTGGGTGAGGCTTTTGCTTGGCCTATCCAGGGCTTGATTCGCCACTTCAGACCAGAACTTGAGGCCAGAATACGCCAGAACGCACAGGCAAATGGAGGAAAAGAGGTCTTTGCCGGTGGCTGGGCTCCCAACACCCGCCTGGAAGGCAAGCTGATTGCTCCCGGGCAGTAGTTGACAAAGAACCTCTCAACTCGAACCGGTTTTGGGGGGAAAGGTTAAATCTGTCTTTTTAGCAAAATGTATTAATCATTCCAAGAAGACTACACATTGTCACTCTTGCTCTCCTAGGGCCCTGTATATTGCGGTTGGTGGCAACACTGGATTTCCATTGTGTCATCTATTCTTGTCATCCATCCTGATTCGCATGTTCAAAATATCTGCGGTTTGCTCTCTTTCTGCGTTTATTATGTTTTTTGTATGGATTTCTAAGGCAATATTTACCTTTTTACACTTTAGAAAGTTTTCTATCTACTAACTAGTTGTTCTTTTCAATTACTTGGGGACCAAAAAAGTATGGGTTTGGGGGGTTCATTCTTTGATTCAAAGTACTGGCTAGCTAATCTATGTAAGAAATTCGTAGGTTTTGTGGCAAAGGTCAAATCAAAATGTCGGGATGGGGGATGAACGGGGAGATTTTAATAAAACAATGTCGAGGGCATAATGGGATGGTGATCGGTGATAATAAAACAGGTAGAAAGTTTAAGAAATTAGGAATGAATAGCTTAAAACGCCCACAAAATATCAAAAAGAAGAACAAAGGGAATGCCGAGGTAGGTCATGATAATCTAAGCGCCGTTCAAGGGAACATTGGTTGGCATGGGTAAAAGGCTTTGACCTGCTTAGTTGCTTCCGCCAGCCATGATTGCGTTATAGTAACGTCGGCTGACTTCCGCAGTGTGAGTACGTCGAGCATCCCTAGTCAATGGGAGATTGAGGATGGTGGAAGACTCGATATTCTGATGCATGTGTTAGCTGTAGTTCGTTGATAATGTATCTTGGGGCGCGCTAATACTTACGTTTCCAACATCTCTTGTGGCCCATCCCGCAACCAAACGGCTCATTTCCCTGAAAGCGATTCGCTCATATAAGCTTGAAGTAGCTGACTTTTCGACTTTCCCGCCAAGATGGGCAAGTGCCTTAAGCAATCGCTTTAACGGAGTTGGGTCTCTCCATCCTCCCTTTGCATTCACCAGCTGGAGGAAATCCTGGTAGACAGCACCACCATCCGCCCAGTCTCTAACCCTCCTTTCTGGGTTTTCACCAAATCCATTAAGTAGGGAAGCAAGCGTATCATAGTCTCTTTCGATAACTGCCTTGGGAGCAACAATGCGGTAAAAGGTTCCGTGGGCCTCGTTCCAGTGTTTGGCATGAATGAGACACTCCACTTCGCTAGCAATATCACCAACAGCTCGGGCATGTAGCGCCTTGGAAATCCAAAGCCAAGCTGGTGGAATCTGAAGCTCCACAGTAAGATATGTCCATAGAGAGCTTGGGGTTCCATTTTCAGCTGTGGGAGAAGGAATCAAGGAAGCAAAACGGCTTAAAATCTCCTTAACACTCCGCTCCCGGTCTGCAGGGCGAGAGAGGTGCAAGAGAACAAACAGAGCAGGCGCATATTGCTCGGCAGAAGTAAGCTCCCAGGCGAGATCCCACGCAAGTTGGTCTGCTCGAGACTGGTCAACAGCAAGAGCATCATAATGCCCCACCACCTTAGATAGCTGATGGAATAGTTGGAATGACAGACGATTGAACAGCATGTGGCCAGAGACTGCGATTGGGGTTATGGCGGCTGGCATTTGAACTGGAGCGATTTCTGGGTGAGTGCCATTGTTGACGGCAAGGGTATATGTTTTCAGCAAAACCCAGAAGGGAGACTCGCGGCCAAGAGCGTCGTCAGTTGTCTTTCCATCTGAGGCATTAGTGATCACATTCAGTGGATGCTGAGGTTCACCTTCGTGATATAAATCATGATGAAATAAGGTTACAGCGTCCTCAATTGGATCATCGTCTGAAATTCCATACCACAGCCGGAGGCCAAATGCCTGGAACCAATCGAGTTCAAAACGGTCCGAAAGATTGAAAGTTGAGATTCGTTCTTCTGGGGGGCCGCTTGGTTTTCCTTCACTGCGTAGGCAGTTTCCTGCAAGCAGCTCGTAAATGGCCCGGATGGGTTCACTAATCTCACAAGAGATACCACCCTTGCGCCACGACTCAATCTGGTCTTGCATAGCGTTTCTAGTACCTTCATCACGACCTATCTGCGAAACAAGTGATGACAAATGCGGGTTTCCAGAATCAATAAGTACCTTGCATGCTTCTTCAATACGGTGGGAGCACAGGTAGGAAAAGGCACGTTCTTCGGGTGTTTTGAGGCCTTCAGTTCCGTTTGGGCGATGAGTACGGATGATCGTTTCCCACAGCCGGCCAAGGCGGTCTTTCTTGATTCGATGTTGGTATTTATCAAGGAGTCCAGCAGGAACACCATCGGAAATGTCATCCTCCAAATCATCATTGAACAAAATGTTAGCCAATTGCCACAGCCATCTCTCACTGTCTGCCTCTTTGGTAGTGTCAGTAACAGCTTGGGCTAAGGCTCCAAAATTAGGAAGGGCCAAAGAGGCGAAAGGCACATTGTCGATTAGGCGAACAATTGATTGTGTTTTCTGCAATTGTAAGGGATTTTGGGCCTTCAAACAGAACTCTAAGTCAGTAAGCTGGAAAACGCTTAACCTGAGGAGAAAAAGGACGTACCTCTGCAGTCTCATGATCAAATTTGCTGGCGTTCACCAATTTCTTCTCTCCATAAAGAGGAACTTCGGGTTTATTGTTTGGAAGCAGAACCTCATCAAGTACACCCCATCGTGCCTTGGTAGAATTATGGAATGAAGCCTCAATTTCTGCCATTTCACCTGGCTTTCCCGCAAAAGTCTTGGGTTTCTTTGGATAAGGCCACTATAGAAAAAAGTTTTAGTATGGTTTCATCTTCATTCTTGCTAAATACACAGCAGATTATGTAAAACGCGATTAAAATACATATTGGGGCCACATGGTATAAAAAGCAATTGGGGGCTATTTGAATAAAATGTTGAACTGGGAGGGAGTCAAACCTCTAATCCACTCTTGGCTTTCAATGATTGAGCAGGAGCAGGAGACGCTCCTTGCCGTTTGGGTTGTCGGAATAAAGAGTTCATAAGGTCGATACTGGTAGTGAACTGCGTTGGACGTTCCTCGGTTCGTTTCGATGCTGCAGTTGGACTATCATCCTCGTCTCTATCCAAAAAAGCTCTATCTTGAGCTTCTCGAAGTGCCTGTCTGTCTTGCTTTCGTGGACTGATAGTTCGTTGAAGTTGTTCAGCCCAGTTACCGTTAAGGTTGAGATCTGCGGACTTAGTGGGAGTGCCAAATCGAGGCATGGATTGAAACAAGTTATTCTTCTTCAAGGGGCTAGTCAAGGTGAGCTCCACGGTTTGGTCAGGGATTGGGAAGGAACCAGCCATTTCCATATCCTCGTCCCTGTCCGATTCAAGTTCTGATGCTGAAGGTGACATGCTTTCCAGCTGTCCTTCACTTTCATTAGTAACTGAACCCGCGGAGCCGTCCTCTAAAAAAGAATCCTGGTCGGTTTCGTCTTCGTATTCCATGTCTTCCTGTACTGCTTGCATTCCATTTGGCGCCTGGCGAGCGAATGTCCCTGGAACGGGTTTCTTTTTCTTAAATTCAAAAGTATCGTCTTCCACACCGCTAACAGAATCGCCAAAAAGAGAGCCCTCGATACTCATTGAGGTATCAAAATTGCGCATTCCGGACGACTGTGTAGGGGTCTGATCATTTGAAGCGACAGAGTCAGGAGCAGTGCTTAAAGTGCTTCGATCAAAGCTCTCACCTTCATCCTCGTCATCATCATAGTCAAGCCCATATGTCGTAAAGTGAGGGACAGTGAAGATCCAGGTACCGGTCTCCTTCTCGTAGTCAATGAATTCTGTGTTCGTAACCTCCTTGAGGCGTTTGATGTGCTTCTCGAATGTTGGTCCGGATGTGAATGGCGATGGGCTTCTCTTGTCTCTACCACGAGGCCAGGAGTTCTCAATGCGAAGAGTAGATGGCATGTTCAAGCCCTTGCCGCGAGCAGGCTTAGTGGCCTCGTCCGGGTAAACGGTAATAGAGCGGATGGTGATCTTGGCAATTTTGTCAAAGATGTCATCAAGATTGACAGTGGTCAAGTCGACTGGTCTGTCAAAGGTAACAGATCCACAACGGACACGGCCAACTGTGAAGTTAGGGACCTGTTTCAGTTGTTCACGAGACATTTTGCTGAGCTCTGCCCGAGATGGCTTCATCCAGTATTCACCAGGCTTAGGGTCGACGGTTGGAACGATAACGAGTGGCTTATTGGTTGGAGTGGTGAGGGCAACTTGCTCGACATTCTCTGGGACGGTGGCTAGCTCTTTGCCTCTAACCTGTTCCATTTGTGGAGAGGACGATGCGCTCGAACCTCCGTTAGGGAGCTCAGTGCTCTTGGGTGCTGCCGTTGGAGTCGAATTGGCAGAAGACTGTTTACGAGCAGATCTCAAGAATCCAAGTTCTTCGGGAGTAGGCTCAGAAGTATCAGATTCAACACGGATAATGGCCCCGTTGGTCTTGTCAGCAGAGTCGCCTGGGGCAACAGCATCATCAAAGCTGACTTTCTTCTTGAGTTTGCTGGATGGCGGTGCACTCTCATCGCCATTGGTCAAGGCCGAACGGGAAAACAAATCAGTACGCAGATTGCGGTCAATGGTCAAGCGCTTCAGGCTTCCGCTTTGTCTGGAATTGCCAGCAGAGAAAGCTCCCGGGGAAAGGACGCTGTCAGTCTCCGGGTCCCAAGTCTTTCGGAGGCTGCTACTGCCTGTCAAACTTTTGCCAAAACTCCTTCCAAGGCTGCCACCGCTTCTCAGACTTCCTCCAAAGATACTGCTATTCCCAGATGTGCTTGCAGCACTGGAAGTAGAGTAGCTAAATCCATAGCCTTGACGAGTGGGAGGAGTAACCAGGCGGTTTGCTGCAAGTGGAGATATTTTATACATGGGCAGTGGCGTGCGCTGCTTTTGTTTGATGCTGGCAGATAGGGGGGTGGCTAGTGGGCCTGGGGATGGGGCGTTGGGCGCAGGGAGGCCAGAGAAGATAGACTGGCTGCCATATGGGTTGCCATCAAGGAGAGATGCCTGGAACCCAGAGGGCGATGGTTGTTGCTGTTGCGGCTGCTGTTGGGATTGGCCAAATAGGCTGCTTCCACCAGTCCCCAATCCGCCAGTCTGCTGTTGCTGTTGCTGGGTGTTTTGAGCCGTGCTGCCAAGGCCAAAAATGCTTGAGGATGTAGGGGCAGCATTGTTTCCTCCGAACAATGAAGAACCTTGGGCAGGCGTCGTGCCAAACAAACTACCCGTCTTCTGTTGCGTGTTTCCAAACAGCGAATTGGTCTGCTGCGCAGGTTGAGAAGTACCCAGTCCAAATCCGGTGGTGCCTGTCGTAGTAGTGTTAGTACCGAGACCGCCACCAAACAGACCTCCAGGCTTTTGCTGCTGCTGCTGATTTTGCTGGGTATTGCCGAAAAGGCCGCCACCGGTACTGGTTTGCTGGTTCTGCTGGCCAAAGATCGATGATCCTTGTTGCTGGTTATTGTTGCCGAACAAGGAGTTACCAGTCCCGGAAGTAGCGGTGGTGTTTCCAAAAAGGCCTCCACCGGTTTGCTGCTGTTGCGGTTGGGTTTGACCAAAGCCTCCGAATGCTGGCTTGCTTTGGTTTTGGTTCTGGCCGAATGTGCCAAATGTGTTGCTTCCCTGCTGGCCAAAAGTGGTTGAGGTTGTATTACCGCCGAACGGCGAAGCGTTAGTTGTATTCGTCTGTGTACCGAAGCCCGTTCCTAGAGTTGGGGTAGCGGTAGTACCAAAGCCGGTGGTCTTTTGTTGGGTATTGCCGAACAAGCCGCCGCCAGTGTTACCTCCTCCGAAGGCATTGGTAGTCGATGTTCCAAACCCTCCAGTAGTTCCGGAGGTTCCAAAGCCTGTGGTAGGTGTGGAATTGGCTTGACCGAAGATACCGGTGGCTGGTTTTGTTGCTCCGAACAATGGGTTAGAGGAAGTATTTGAGCCGAAACCAGTGCTCTGTGTCTGATTTTGGGTCCCAAAACCAGAAGTAGCTGTGGTTGTTCCACCAAATGGAGATGAACTGGCGGCTGTAGTACCGAAACCGCTAGACCCTTGTCCAAATCCAGAGAAGGAGCCAAACGCGCCTGGCTGGCCGCTAGCGTTCCCATATCGTCTTCCTTGCTCATAATCGGCGACTCGTAATTCCTATGTAGGGTTAGCCATCATATTGCTACATATTCAAATGCACTTAAGAGATACTTACCTCGAATGAGTATTTTTGATACGGCGTCATAAAGCTTATGCTCTGATAATTGCTGGTGTTTGAGGAACCAGGGTCCTTTTCGGTAAATGGGCTGAATGTTGGGTTGGCAGTACCTTGAGAGGGAGGCACTTCACCAGCCAGAGCAGTTCCGCTGCCACCGAATCCTGAGGCAGTGGTAGCACCTCCAAAGCCCGTCCCCGTGTTGGTAGCTGGGCTGGAAGTAGAAGTGCCTCCGAATATGCTTCCGGTTTGATTACCCGTTGATCCAAATCCGCCAGATGGCTTGCTACCGAAAATTCCACCACCTGTTCCAGTGTTGGAGGTTGAGCCAAAACCACTAGTACCGGTTCCAAAACCGGATGAGCCGAACGCAGAGGTTTGGGTGTTTGAGCCGAATCCGCCGCCAGTAGTGGTGTTAGTGGAGCCGAATGGTCGATTTTGACCCCCGAACAATGAGTTCGATGTATTGGTATTGGACCCAAATCCTAAAAGTCATGAACGATTAGCACATCTGCATATGGCAGGTTATTCAACATGCATAAGAAAGCTGGAAGAAAAAAAATCTTTAGGTCCATTGGCCGCGCAAGCTCATATATGATAATAGGAGATATCAATGCCGTATCTCGGGGTTATCTGGTAGTATTTAACCGAGATTTTGGAATCAGAATTGTGAGCCACGCGACACTGGAGGGCGCATATACGACCAGCTGCCTTGGATCCGCGAATAGACAGAAAAGAAATTTTTGCATCAAGAATTGGATCGTTTGAGGAAATATCCGCCCCGAGAAAGAAATGTCGAGATAGCCAAATTTCAACCATTCCCTTTTGTTGTTTTAAAAAAGCGACAACTATAAAACAAGGTCTGCGTTGACGTACCTCCTCCAGTCCCGAATCCACCGGAAGAGCTTCCGAATGTATTACCGGTATTTGAGGTATTTCCAAAGAGAGGGGTCGATCCAAAACCTAAATGTACCAAAGAAAAAGAGGGAAAGGCAGAAGTTCTTGGTCAGAGGAGGGTTGTTCTCTTTCTTTTATGCCCGCGTGGTGTCGATATTGTTCCCAGCAGAGTTTGTTCCAGAGTCGCAGCTTTTATTCATCGTTTGCGCCTTTCTGTCTTCTTTTATGTCTCCTTTTATGAATTCTGGCGTGGCAGTTTTTGTAGAGAAGATTCTCGTGGCCCGATGAAAATGCATCTCCTCGTTTCAAGCTCATAGTGGAAACAACACGAACCATAAAAACAATCAAGTAAGGAATCACAAAAGGGGAAAGGGGAAGGGTATCATAGAGAAAAACATAGAAGGCCTACCAGTGTTTCCAGAAGTGTTTCCGAACCCAGTTGATCCGAATCCAGTATTCTGTTGCTGATTGTTATTGGAGCCAAAGCCTCCAAAGGAGGAGCCCGTTCCGAATCCCGACATCGCGTCCCGCGTTGTTAAGACTTCTGGCAAAGCGAAACAGGATTATCGAGCCATGAACAAGCAGATGTCGAAAACGCGAACGAAGCCTAGGAGGAGGCGAGGTAGAGTAAGTGGTGGTTGGAGCCGTCGACTTGCTGCGAGGTTGGGCTGGGAGGTCGCGACGTGAAAAGGTTAAACAAAAAGAGCTTGCGAAACCGACAAGAAGCTAGCCAAACGGGTTTTCTTCCACAGATATGAGCAACTTATCTGCTTTCCCGTGCTTTAGAAGTAGAAACAGAGAAAAGAAAAGGTGTTTAGACAGCGAGCGCTGAGAAAACGCGGATGTTGCTGCTCTTAAGAAAAAAAAGTTGAGGTTCGAAGAGTCGAATGTTAGCCCAAAGGGGAGTGTTGGTCAGGTGATGCGATTAGTCATGCTGTTGCCTAACAAAACTTTAATACGGGCCGCGGTTAGCCCCATCCGAATCGAGTAAAGCGCCGTGTCGCCGCATCCAGGCTGCTATGACATGCAATTCAACAATACATCATACATCCTTATTTATTCTTCCTTCATTTTTCTATCTCGCAGTGCTCTCCTCTACTTAGCCCAGGTGCGTTGTTTGCATATTCATCTCATTGTTGTACACTAGATCATATAGGGTTGACTAATTCTTCTTTCTTAGGGCTCTTAAGTAGAGTAATTTTAGAATCGCTCCCTTCCGCAGAGTGCCCGCGCTCCAAGTCCTCAATCCATTCTTTAGAGTAACTCTCCCACTGGGAAATAAGGGCCACAAGCTCCTCCTGTTCTCTTTTATACCCCCTATATTCTATCGACTTAATAGCAAGCTCGTGATCCATCGTCACTCGTGTCTCCCTCACTCTCCTTAGCTGTCGAAAGGTATCCAAGAAGGAAGGCATGACGATATAGGCCGTTCGACAACTATACCAGTATGCGATGCCAAGCACCTCAACATGGAGCTTGATATTGCGGTCGCGAAGTTGTGTTGCAATAAGCTTAGTGTTGTTAAGGGTTGCTTCATGTCTATCAGCGACACGCAACTGGATGTGAAATTGTTTGAAGTATTGCCAGGACCCAGGTTTCACCGATAGGCAGTTCCTTCCCAGAATACACACAGTGCCTTCGTATAAAAAGACCTTGCATACGAGATTTCGATAGAGGATATCAGTTGCCTCCCTGAAAATTTGGCGGTTTAGTTGCGCTATTTTCAGAAAACTGTAATATGTGTAGAATTGAACATATTGGCTCTGATAATCATCAAGGATATATGAGAAGATCTGCTGGCGAAGCTCGGTGGGTAGACGCAGTATGTAGCATGGCAGAGAATAATCCGCGTGTTTGATACAAAGTTGCCGTCTTTCGGACCAGGGAATCTTTTTGAGGCACTTGCGATCATCCTTGAGCCTTGCCTGACAAGAGGTTATCGCCTGTCCGAGTTTTCGATGAGCCCAGCAGAGTGGGAGTTTGTGCAAAGTTCGTGCGGTGGACGCTCGGTTTTTGCATGCACCGAAGGAATGTGTCAGAGCGGAACACGGGGGAGGTATTTTCTTCTGTCCAGGTATGCTATTTAGGCGTTGTTTGCTTCGGGGTATGCAGGAACGTGCCATTTTTGGATATTTATCCCTATATGAGAGCCTTGATGAGATACTCTGGGGGAGGGTGGATGTTAAGACAGGCATAGTATAAAAGAGCGCGTCTTTAAGCGTCTTTAAGGGGGAGACACGCTTCGACAAGGCGGGTAGTTCATAAATGACAAGCTAGTTATTTAAAATATCTGTAGTATTATTGGCTGAATAATCGTCGGCCTAGACCTCCTTTGAGTGTCCTGAGACCTTCAAATGGACTGAGACTGATGATGGCGATGGACACAATCTTGATGGAAAGCGGTTGCACATCACACGGAGGTACAAAGTCGATATTAAACATTGAATATGGGCTGGCAGACACCAACCAAACTTGATATTCCTGGATAACTAAATCTTGCTCAAGCTAATGGAAAGGTAGTACGGCTGCCTATATATAGGTTTGAAAAGTCCAGCAGCGCAAGAAAAGACAATACCCACCGCAACTCTAGGAAGAAGTTTAATTCTTCTTTGTCGCCTCGAACATCTCGATGATTTTGGGGACTACAGTTGGATCCGAAAGCTAAAGACATCATTAGCCACCAGTCATCGGTAAACCGAAAGCCTATGGAAGCCTAGAAAGTTACTTACCGTCGAAATATCACCCAAGCTGTCGGCCTCACCGCTCAGGATCTTCCTGAGGATACGGCGCATGATCTTTCCGCTGCGAGTCTTGGGCAGGTCTTCAACGACAAAGACGGCCTTAGGAGCTGCAAATGGTCCAATAGACTTTCGAACCTGCAATACCAGCTCCTTGCGGATCTCCTCGCCAATTTCATTGCCTGTTTTGAGAGCGACAAAGGCGTTGACGGCCTGACCGGTGAGTTCGTCGTGTACACCAACGACGGCAGCCTCAGCAACCGCAGCTACATATATATGTCAGCCTTCTTTTTTTATACCATTTTACTCCATGTAAATGGCAGCCTTACAGTGTGTGATAAGAGCAGCTTCTATTTCGGCGGTTGAGAGACGATGACCGGAAACGTTCACGACGTCGTCTACTCTGCCTCTGATCCAGTAGTATCCATCGTGGTCTCGGCCGGCACCGTCTCCAGTGAACTATTCCTGTGATCAGTATGGAACGAAACACGTCTTTGGGTTTTGCTTATTTATGTTACTCACGTAAAATCCTGGGTAGACGTTGAAGTACGTGTCCATGTATCGTTTGTGAGCACCCCATACTGTGCGGGCCATGCTGGGCCACGGTTGCTTAAAGGCTAGCACACCCTCTACATCGTTACCCTTCAACTCTTCACCAGTAACTGGGTCAACGATGGCTGGCTCAATGCCGAAGAATGGCAAAGAAGCGCTTCCTGGCTTGGTAGGCGTGATTCCACCTAGGGGTGTAATGACATGGGAGCCAGTCTCAGTTTGCCAGTATGTCTGCATTATCACTGTCAGACATCTCATATGTTACAGAAAAATATGAGAAGCAGTACTTACGTCAATAACTTGGGACTTCTTCTTTCCCACAACTTCATAATACCATTTCCAGATCTCAGCTGCGATCGGTTCACCAACACTTCCCAATACTCGAAGATCCTTCATCTCATGGTGAATGTGTTGGTCACCAGCACGCTTGAGAAGTCTCAGGGCGGTTGGGGCAACGTAGAACTGCGTGACCTTGTTCTTCTCAATAACATCCCAGTATCTTGAGAAGTTTGGATAGGCTGGAGTACTCTCAAAAACCACGGTGGTAGCACCTAGAAGCAGTGGGGCATAGACAACATATGTGTGACCGGTAATCCAACCAACGTCTCCACCGCAGAAGAATCGGTCTTCCTCGTGGATGTCAAAGACGTATTTTCCAGTTGCAGCAGCGCCAACGAGGTACCCAGCAGTGGTGTGCATCAAACCTTTGGGCTTTCCCGTCGAGCCTGAAGTGTATAGGAGGAAAAGAGGGTCTTCCGAATCCATGGACTCCGGGGCAATATAGCTGGGGTACTTCTCGACCTCCTCGTGCCACCAGAAATCGCGTCCCTGTGTCCATGGAACTTCTGTTCCCGTCCTCTTGAAAACGAGGCAGCTGGTTACTCCCGGGCACTGCTTCAAAGCTTCATCAACGATCTTCTTGGTCCCAATGACTTTTCCTCCTCGCTTGCCCTCGTCAGACGTAATGACAAATTTGGAGTTGGCATCATTGATACGGTCACGGAGCGAATCGGACGAGAAGCCAGCAAAAACAACGGAGTGTACAGCACCAATGCGGGAACAGGCAAGGAAAGCAACCAGTGCTTCCGGAATCATGGGCAAATAGATAGCTACCGTATCTCCCTTCTTCACTCCATGCTGCTTCAAAGTCCATGCAAGACTCGAAACTTGTCTGAGCAGCTCGCCATAGGTGATGCTACGGCCTTCACCTGGCTCATCAGCTTCGTAGATGATAGCAACCTTGTCCGGGTTCTTGAGCGCATGACGGTCGACGCAGTTGTATGAGGCATTCAGTTTTCCGCCAACAAACCAGGCATTATCACCTCCCTTTAAGGAGCCAATATGCGTTGTGGTAAAGTCCCTTTCAAAAGCCACTAGCTCTCGCGCCAGCCGTGCCCAGAAGGTATCCGGGCTCTTGATAGACTCTTCATAGAGAGTCTTGTATTCCTCAAAGTCCTTCAGGTACGTTTTGGTCGAGTGTTCGTAGTACTCCTTGGGCACGGAAATGGTCTCGATGTTGTGGGCTTCCACGACCTATGCGCCAGTTAGATGCGCCGCCTTTTCTTCATTCTCCTTCTTCTATAACGCAGAAGTGAACGTACCACCGGAACCTTAGTAGCGTCTGCCTCTCCCATGGTCGTCGTTTCAATTTAGGCTGGCGTGCACAACGTTGTATACAAATCGCGGGGTAGCGGGGTGTAGCTATCAAGATACGAACACAAGGCCTCCCGCGGTGCGACAAATCCTTCAGGAGGGAGAGAAAAAGAGAAGGACGAAAGGAGGCGGGAGATGATCGGTATATAAAAGGGACGAGGACGAACAGACTTCAGGAAAGATGGGTCGGCTTCCCCAAAGTTGAGTTTACCATACCCGAATTTCCGTCCTGACTTTACCATCTAACTCGTTAACTAGCATCTTCACGTCAAAACTGAGCCAGCCACATTAACTACCTAGAGTCACACACGGCAGCGCCAGGGTCGCTCAGGTCAGGGATCCCACGCCGCGTATCTTCTCCATCGTCCTGATTTGGCACCCGTTGTCACCCCCTGAAGCCGGTCCATCGAGATGCGGTTCCTCTAGTTACTCTTCGGCATCAGCTAACCGATCAACTAACCAGTTAACTATGCGGAGGCTCTCCATTCAACCGAACCACCAGGCGGAATCACTATAATTAATTCGGTTATAACCACGGCCTTTTACTGGCTACAGCGAGGACACGGAAGCCCGAGGTCAGAAGATGATCGGGGAGGCGCCGGGATAGTTACGGTTGAGGCCCCCTTGCTGCAGTGACACAGGCAAGCCACCGAGGGGCCAGGTAGCAACACAGCATGCAGCAGGGTTACATAGTTACATGCCTGTTCAATATGCTGTTCAGCTATCTGTGTTCCCTGTCCTAACGACATCAGTATAAGAGGTATAACTACTACACAGCGACGGAGCATGTGTAGAAGCATAGGACAAGTGTTGGGACCTCCAGCACGACTGCTACCCTGTTACTCTACCACACGTACAGCTGCAAATGCCTGTTTGGTTTTTGGCTGCCCGTTGTTGCAACCAACCAGCTATTTTAGTTAAGTATCAACACCCGATAGCCCTCTCCTTATACACGATATTTGCACACGCAAAGTCTGCCGAGACAAGAGCCCGTGACGCGTTATGTTAACACCGAAAAACGAGACATCTTAGTTCTATAGACTAGTTAAGTATTGGAATCAGCCAAAAGGCTTCGATCACTACCTTAACTGGTTAACAGACCAATCACGGCGTAGTTATCGACGGTACTAAAATGAATAAAACCACTTGATATATCGCCATCTTCAAGCTTTCTTGGCGACAGCTTTGGCCCTTTTGAGGCGGGTTTTCCATAAGGGCTGTCATACCGGAAATCTTTTCACAGGAAAAGTTGCCATCGAGCATCGTTCATCATATATGTCATAAGTCAATCAGTCATAGGCTCTATGCGCCGATGACCCTATTTTCTAATCCTATTCCGTTTTGGCCTTTCCCCAGTTGTTCATGCATAGGGACCCGATGCCCAGAATAAAGATCATTATCTTGCCATCCCTTAAAATGTCGGAGAGCACTCGTTTGCCTGTCTTAAGCATCCCGATGACACCATTACCGGCCCCGTTCCCATCATTATTCATAAATATCTCCCGCGTTCCGACAAGTAGCAGCTCGCCCATGACCAGGATAAGAAACGGGTTCTGCACGGTTGCGGGCGGTGGTAACCGTTCACCCCCTCCATAAATGTTAATAGTTGATTGCAGGAGCATCAAAAAGTATAAGCTTGTGGCCGTTGCAAAGATGATGTGAGCGATTTTCCATATCGAATTGTTCCGTTGGGCAGAAGCTGAAGCGGGCCCGGCTTTGGCCTGCAGGAATAAGTTGGCCATGGAAGGGGAGATTCCAAGGGCGGAGGCTAAGTCGTTGGGGGAGAGCTCTGGAGCATCACCGGCCGTGGGTTGAAAGGAAGGGGTCCCCCCTGGGGTCGTCATGCCAGCTCCAGGTGGAGGCATACCAAATAGGTTGCTAAGTAGTTTTGTGGTTGGATCCGCGTTGTCTGCTGTCGAAGGCGGTGGCTGTTGAGCTCGAAGGAGAGCCCTGATATACTCTTCTTGCTCCTTGATGGTCTGTGGAGAGCTATCTCCGGTATTCGGGGGCATCCCTAATCCAGCAGTAGTTCCCAGTGTTGACTGTTGCCGTGGCGGTGATTGCGCCGGAGGTGATGCATATCTTGGAGGGCTTGGAGTGTTTCTAGCAGACGGGGAATCCTCATGGACTGTGAACGTCACTGTCAGCAAATGTCTGAAGGACATGATCGACCTGAGTGTTACATACATGACATTGAACGGCCACTTAAACCCGTTATCTTGTCTAATCGTGCAGTTCCAGTGGCCGCTATCTTCGCTGCTCGCTTCTCCCGCCTTAGGCGAGCAGCACGCTGAGTCTTCGTCTCCTCTACCTCAGCCATCATAAGTCTTCTTCTCTGTCTTTATCTCTATCGAGTGTGAGGCTCGCTCCAAGCTCGCCTTTTCTTATATTTGCTGTGAGTGACGTTAGGGCTGGACCTCACCAAAAATTCTATCACGTGACAAATAACCGCCGGTTCGGATTAAAATGATTCCGTTAACCATTTGAGCCGCCAGGCGCGATACAGTTAAACGTTGATAGCAGAAGAACGGAAAAGGGGGATATCTTCACATGGAAAATAACCCGATAAGAAACGTTTTACTGATCTCAATAGTATATAGCTCCGATATAACATCATCTAAGATGTACCGCCACACGCAATCTGATTACAACAATGTCGATCAATCTCACAGGAAGTCTAGTGTGGGAGGGATTACTTCATAGTGCGTATGGACGCGAGGCCTCCCTGCCAGGTTTTGGAGCCAAGTCAGTGGCCTCCTTATTCTGGCCATTTTCTGGATCCGCCAGCTGCGGCACCTACAGTTCTGCCCAGTAATACCAACCCCAGTCGTTTGTCTGACCTATGGATAACACGAAAGGCATTGGCTTGCCACGTATGACGTCAGAGCCCGGGAGTCTTCCATCGAGTATCAATATCAGGGATCTGAATGCCCTTATACCTATATAAGGGCTGCTTAAATGGAGTTGACGAGAAACTGTGCTTTCAGCAGGATCTGTCTATTCTTAAAGGCCTTCCATTGACTCAATTGCTATCGTTCATTGCTTCTGTGTATTTTGAACGAGAAAAGATCGAGGGAAATCTACCTCAAATGATCCATCGAGCACAGGGAATCCTCTTACAATGACGACTCAAAAGAAGCCTGGCGGCTACTGGAGCGAGGCTAATCCGGTCCCGACTGTACAGCAATTCATTGCTGAATTAGATGCTGGAAAGGCAGACCGAGATAAGCAAATTGATGAGGAGGCGCAAAAGAAAAACGCGCCGCCGAAAAAACATCCAGGAACATCTGCTCCTCATAGGAAGCCTGTGCCCAAGTCTAAATCTAAGAGCCGGGTAGTGACTGATCCAACAACTGGCACAGAAGTGGAAATCGACGATGTAGATAAGGAATTTATGAAAGCTGTCAGAGAACCCCAGGTAAGCTTTTACCCCCTTTTGTATCCACGGGTAGCCAAAGAGAAGTTTTTTGGTATACTGACGAGAGCATGGTACTAGTTGTCTGTTCCTAATGCGAACCTTGGGTTGCCAACCGTAAGCATAACTCCTTGGAATATATATATCCAATATCATCCACTCTAACCTGGATTTTAGTCTGTTCAAACCAAACCATCACAATCGCTGGAGGAGTATAAACATAGTCAGGATATAGTATCTCCACCGGAGCCAATTGCGGCTGGAACTACAAGCGATGTGCCCATCCATGGGGAAAGAACCAATATTCTATTCCACCCAACACCTTCAATCAGCTATGAGCCTATGTTCAAAATATTGGAGAAAAGAGCCGGCGTCTTATGCTCAGTTATTTTCGGTTCCATTTTGGTTGCTGGCCGCTTCGCAGGAGGTGAATTGAAATGGATTTTCCCGCTTGCCTGTTGCGTTGCAACAGGCGTATGGTTCTGGACATATGATGTTATCCGTCGAGGCCGGACTTTTGAATGGCATTCCGAAAAGCTTCGTGGACAGACAGTACGTTAAACCCACTCTTTATAGAATTCCTTAGTCCTATCTGTCAAAAGGTAGTATTGACACTGTGACTAGGCGACTGCAAATCTCATACCGGAGTCCGCAGAATGGTTGAATTCGTTCGTTGAGATATTTTGGGGCTTGGTCAACCCGGAAATGTTTGCCAGCGTTGCTGATACAATCGAGGATGTTATGCATGCGTCGTTACCGGGCATAATCGAGAATGTCCGGATAGCTGAAATAGACCAAGGATCGAATCCCTTGCGTGTAATCAGCTTGAGATCATTGCCTGATGGCCAGTGTTCAGATTTGATACAAGGGTTGCGCTCTTATAATCGGGAAAACAAAGACGAACAGCAAGCTGCCGCTGAAGAAGAAGGCGGCCAACCTTATAATCTTGAATGCTCATTTGCATACCATGCCAAACCATCTAGCGGAAGCACATCCGCTAAAGCACAAAACATGCATATGATGGTGGTTTTCTACCTTGGAGTAAAGGGGTTATTCGGGGTCCCTTTTCCTATTTTCGTTGAATTGACAGAGCTCGTTGGCACCGTCAGGCTTCGTTTGCAGCTTAGCCCTGAAGCGCCATTTGCGAAGAGTTTGACATTCAGCTTAATGGGGATGCCACATATTCGAGCCGGCTGCACTCCCATGGTCAAACGAGGTATAAACATCTTGAACCTCCCGTTGATATCCAACTTCGTCAACTACGCCATTAAAGCCGCGATGGGCATGTATGTAGCACCAAAGTCAATGTCAATTGATCTTGGCATGATTCTTGGAGGGGATGATATCCAGAAGGATACCAGCGCACTGGGCGTTTTCTGGGTGAGGATCCATCGTGCCAATGGTTTGAGCAAGCAAGACAAGAGAGGTAGCAAAGGTGGTGGCAGCGACCCTTACATTAACCTCTCATTCTCAAAGTATGGGAAGCCAATGTATTGTACAAGAGTTATTTGCGACGATCTCAACCCAGAGTGGGAGGAGTCTGCCGCTCTCCTTGTTACCCCTGAGCTTATCAAGGCCGATGAAAAGCTTAGTGTTGAATTATGGGATTCCGACAGGAGTACTGCCGACGACATCGTCGGTAAGGTCGAGCTGTCTATGCAAAATTTGCTTCAGCACCCTGGAAAAATGTTCCCTATTACTTCTAAGCTTCAGGGTATGGATGCAGGAACTGAGATGCCAGGAGAACTACACTGGGAAGTCGGATACTTCCGCAAGCCACATTTCCGGCACGCTCTTCGTACTGACGGCAAAGATGAAAAGCTTCCCGCGGAATTCAAGGACCATCCCGCTCTCCAAGACGAGAAAGGGAATGTTCCTGAGCCCGTTGATGACGCGGAGGCAGTTACCTGCACCCCGCCCGATCCTCTCTGGCCAAGTGGTATATGCACGGTAGTCATCCACCAGGTTGTTAACCTACAAGTTCAGGATATCAAAGGAACTCTCAAAAACCGTAAAGGTAACGAATATGATGCTGCTAGGTCATATGGAGAGAGTACTGGGGAAGAAGGGAAGCAATTCCCAACTAGCTACTGCACCATCCACTTGAATGATGAACCGGTAAGTAGTAAACTGTCCCACTTGGATGTGATATCAGATAATCTAACGACTGTTGTGTCATAGATATTCCGCACTCGGGCCAAGGCAGTATCTAGTAAACCTATATTCAATGCTGGAACGGAGAAGTTCGTTCGAGATTGGAGATCAGCCATGGTCACTGTCGCCGTCCGTGATCAAAGGAACAGAGAGCATGATCCAATCCTAGGTATTGTGCCTCTCAAGCTTTCAGATATCTTCCAGGCCAGCTCTCAGGTCACTAGATGGTATCCGTTAGATGGAGGTATTGGCTTTGGGCGCATTCGGATTTCTCTTTTGTTCCGAAGTGTCGAGCTTAGGCTCCCACCCCAGCTACTTGGATATGATGTCGGTACCTTCAACATCACATCGAGCAGGATAACATTGAAAAACTGTGCCTCTCGTGGCAAGATGAAGATCAGAACCAGTGGAGTAAATGTTTCGATACCCCGTTCTGCATGGAATCCAGATTCTATAGAAGAAAATGGAGGCTTCTTCGACCTCACATCAGACTTGAAGGAGGAAGTCGTATTGCCTACTAAACACCGTTACCGGTCTGCGATTATTTTCGAGGTTCAACATAGCTCAGGCACCGCCAACGCCCTCGTGTGGCTCCAGAATCTAGTTGACAACGAAGAAACGCCCGTCGACATACCTATCTGGACGGCTAAGAATTCCGCACGACTAGTTCAGAACTACATGACGGAAGAGAACTGGGAAAAAGCAAAGAAAAGTCCTGGGCTGGAGGACCTTGAGATGGTTGGGCGAATGCAGTTCAGCTGCCGCTTCACCCCTGGCTTCCATCTGAGCCATGAGAAGCTTGTCAACAACAATGATTCTAGAGAGGCGTTTGAGACTTGGGAGGCAAGTGTATCTGAAGGCGTACGAGGGGATATTCAATCTGAAGTTCCGCCAACGGTGCAGAGGTTGCATGAGATATCCCTGGTCCAGGAACGGGATATCCTCCGTCAGGCCAACGCCAAACTTCGGAGGCCGAGATCTAAAGATAGCGACATATCTTCAATTGACGATGTTATCCGAAAGTCGATGACGGGAAACGCCAGCTCTCGTATTGAGGGAGATGCATCTCAAGACCTACACGAGACCCAACGCAGGGATCGATCTCGTCCGACAACCGCAGGGAGCGCAAATACAAATACCAATGCAAATGCAAATACCACTGCAAATACAAATTCAAACGGAGCCGTCCCAGGACCCATGATCATGGGTGGGGATGGCATGCCCGAAAACGACAACAACACCCAAAGGGGAGACCACACCAATGGCCCTGCCGCTGAAGATGCTGATAGACCCCTCGGAGATAGTGATGCAGCCAGAGCTGAGGCCACCGGTGGAGCTATGCCTTCTGATCAATATGATCTAGATGACGACTGGGAAAGTAACTACGGCGATGGCAATGGCAACACCAATGGCAGTGACAACAACAACGTGGATGGTGCACTGGTGGAAGGGGTCCTCTCGGAGTCAAGCCACGAAACGACGGAAGAGAGAAGGGAGCGAATTGGCAATAAGGAAAACCGACGAAGCGAATGGCGAAAGCATCGTGGCGTGATGCAATGGCGCCCAGCCCGTAATGCTGCCTTCGTCAAACACGAAGCTACCTTTGCGATGAAGAAGGTGAAGGACAAGTTAATGGGCGACATGACCGGCAGGGAACCAGATATTCGAACCGAAGTTGGCTGAACTGGTTTCGAGTCGGAGATGCTAGGGTCCTCTTTTGCTTCTTTACACCGACTAAGGGTCTTTTTGCTCAGCTCTGCACGTTCCTTAACTTGTTTACGGGGCGTCTGCATGTTATCCCAGATCGATCGTATATCATAATGTATACAAATTTTTCATTTTTCTCTGGTTGGCAGTTCGGCTTAGTGCTATTGCTATCAGCACTAACTGAGTAGGAGTTGTTCATGACCGTTATCAAGTAGAAGTAAATAGATACTCGCGCACGGTCATATACTTTTTTTCAATCTTACGCCTGCGGTCTCTACGCTTGGGATAAACGGTGAACAGACCAAATCCCGATTAGCTGGGAAGCTGGACGGTGAGAGAGAGAGAGAGAGAGAGACGGTTATCAACTTCTCATCCAGCTTGTATACGTCCAAATTCTATAAATAGAATGTCCAGACTTCCCGTCTCGTATTCTCTCCACCGCTCTCGAAAAGATGCCTGCTGACAAGCTAGCCTACCCGAAGAGATGCATCAAAGCGTTAGTTAAGTTAGCTACCTTAGATATTACTATTAAGAAGGAAAAACAGTCTTCTTTGCACAGTAGCGAAGCCCAGTTCTTATTCGCCTACCTAGCAAGACGTCTGTATAGATTTTAGGCACGATGTACATAATTAAGAACACTAGTATACAACGTATATCAGCCTCTGCTTCTAGGATTGTGAAGCAATGCCCTAATCCGTCAACCAAGGGTCTTCGAGAAGCTCCTTAGCCGTAGCTCTCTCTTCAGGCAACCAAGTCAGGGCCCGCCGGATGAATCGTAAGAACATTTCTTGCTCTTTGCCCTCCAACCGAGTCTCGAGGGCTTCCATCGTCCGATTTTCCGGGATGGGTGCAAGATCAAGCCATTTACCTATAAATATAGTTAGCCATTTATATACCGATTTATTGGAGAGAGTAACTAGTTAACTACCATTTTCATCCCAGAAGTCAGCCTTTTTCTCCGGGTTTCTAGCTAAGAACTCAGGTGGTGGTGGGCCAAGTGCAGCGATTAGCTGTGCAAAGTGAGCAGCGTCATATACATCGCCATCTTTGTCTTTTGCTGTAAACAGTAATTTCTTCTCAAGCATGTCCCATGCCTTTGCAGAGGGTTTAGCTAGGGTGATATATTGTTTGGGTGGTCAAAACATACCGTCAAGCCGACACTCCATATATCAATAGGATAGCTCCATCCCCTGTATAGTAATACCTCTGGAGCCCGATACTGGAGAGGCATGACATCGCCAGCATGCGGCCCAGAGCCAATCCTAGCCTCGCCAAAGTCGGCTAGAAGCATTGGGCCTTCTCGTGGCTTTCTTATCCGGGAGAAATATATGGTCCTAGATTCTGACACAAGTTTGCGAGGGGTGGGAGCTTTAAATTCCGCATCCTCTAGAGCTCGCAGGATATTATTATCATACACACCTAACAGCATATTTCCAGAGTGTACATCTATAGCCGTCAGTATACAGCCGTACAAGAAGTCACAAAGGGAACCTACCTGTGTGGACGATATTGGCATGGGTGTGTAGGAAGTCCAGTACCGTGAGAAGCTCAATAATAGCACCCTTCACAAACTCTGGATCAAATCCATTAGGCATGAAGACTAACCTAATGTCACGTAAACTCATTTGTGCAACTTGGTGTACAAGAACCATGTGTTTGCCACCAGGGCCAGTTATCTTAAAGGAGCCAAGTAGTTGGCGAATATTCTCTCGCCCCCGGTGTTTGACTGTCGTATATTTCGAGAGGTGGTCATAAACCGGAAGCTCACGGTGGAACGCAGAGCTATTTACATAGAGCTTGAGCGTAACATACTGATGTTCTCTAGAGATAAAGATCTATTGTTAGCTAGACACCGCTAGTTAAGTGGTTGTACTCCGTAGGCAATATGAATACATAAGATCTCGAGCTAGCCAGACCGTCGATGAGGACCCGAAGCCCAGTCCCCTTCGTCTCCAACGGATGGCATGACTGACTGACTGTCTTTCTATCATCTCAGGCGGAAGAGCTCCTTCAAAACTCACTAAGCGCCGCTAACTAAGACCTGACGGCCCGTTCGGCCCCAGCCACTGGCCAACTATGGCGCTTTCTCTCTCCTTGTCCCCTAAACTTCCTTTTAGGCCTCTCCCTGGGCCTCTCCCTAAATTTTTCTTCTTAAGCCTCTCTCTACTTACTACATTTCCTACTTAAGGTTTTACCGCTCTCCTTTTATTTTCTACCACCTTTAATTTTAGTAGCATGGCCGCTAACTATCGCACGGGCAAAGGCAAGGAGTAATGAAAGAGGTGGATATGGACTCACGGTACTTTAGCTGATACGAGATAGGAATCTGTGCCTAATGAGTACCAAGAAAGTTAGCTATCAACGTCTTTCCGCTCTCTGCTGTCTTTTCTTTTGGCATCTCCATTGACCGTCGGCTGTTATTCGGCCTAAAGAAGGAACTTGAGCCGTCCGTCTGCAAATAACTAAATGACGGCCCACCCAGCACAGACAGTCTGCAATCTGGAGTAGCTGTTATGGAGCATATTTAAAGCCAGTTAAGGCGTTTCAGCCCGTGGCGGCAAATTCTGCTTTGACTCTCAGCCGTTTTTTTTTTTTTTTTTTTTTTTTTGATTCCTAAGGCGATGTTCGATATCTCGATCCCTGGCCTTGCATGGCGTAGGGAGGCGCTTATCTTTAACTAACAGAGACACCTCCCTGTCCCTGTCCCTGCTCGTGTAGCAGAAGGCTGAAACGTTACACTATCACGAGTCAATATCAGTCAGTTGGTCTATTTGCAGCTCTCAGGGCTAGAATCATACTGAAGGAGTAGAAGGATCCTATCTTCTATTCCCAGTAGAAAAGCGAGGCGACCTGGGCTTCGTCTCGGCTAAAAAACAAGTAAGCCCAGTCAGCTCTAGGCCTGATGGTCAGGTCAACCGTATGGAGTAGCTAGCTGCCAAATATATGAGCAACAGCAGGGGGGGTGAAGATGATACAGGCTTCACCTCATGATGGTGTAAAAATTAAACGAAACTGGAGCAGTCAGCACTGAGGCCGCTCGGTTCTTTGGGGAGCATCCGCCAGCCACTCCTCCAGTGTGATCCCTTTACGATTGAGCTCCTCGGCGAACCAGTCAAACGTGTGCTGGCCCAGGGACAGTTTAGCTAAACACTGCGCACTGTGCCATGGCGACCTGGATGACATACACCTCCTCGTAGATGAAGAGACTTGAAGTTAGCAACGGCCCAGGCCGCCGATGCTTAACTAAATAATGACGTCATAGGCTGTTAATATCTATTTGCCTTCTACAAGATATTCACTCGGTCGTTTTGAGGGATGGTATGCGTGTTGGCTTCGCTATTCTGGCATTTCTCCTTATTCAACTCCACCTGCTGCTGTATACTCACTTGTCCACCTCTGTCTATCCGTATGCCACTGTCTTCCAAGTGACTCAGCTAGCCAGTCGATGACTATAAATCTGTGCCTAAACTTGAAAGATCAACTTATTTCTCTTAACAACTAACTGCCTGCCCGCATCATTCTCAAGTCCTATCTCGACCGCCACGATGTTGAACATTCCTCGCTGCCGAGCTGATCACCGCCGCCCAAGTATACTAAGTTACCTGACCAGACAGTTCTTATGGCTATATTGTATCTCACCCCCCACGGACAGAGCGGCAAAATGGGGTTACGACATAGGTAACCAGCTAGTACTATCTCTCTTTCGGTTGAATGGCATATATCCACAGTATGTTCAAAACGTATCCCACCATGAGAAATGGCCCATGAGATGGAGTTTCCTATGGAAAGGCCCATGAAATCGTAGCTAGACAGCTGGAAATGTTCATTGAAGAAGAAGAAATGAAAATGAACCTGCAATACCAAATCATTGGCTTCAGAAGGGCTCGAGCAACTAGCAGCACTTTCGTCAAAGAACCTAGAAAGCACAGACGCGGGTATTGAGTATGATAGCTTCAAGGTGTCATCCAACGACGTTAAAACGCGGTTCAACCCATCTTGCTGTCGAATCTCTTCTGCATGAGAGACTAGGCTGGGTGAAGACCCAATGGCTTTTCGAGTTTATATAGCCATCAGGCGCGCCATCAATATCCTTAGACGACGTCCTCGACAGTTTTCCATAGAATCACAAGTTGATTTACTTAATACGATGACTTAGGCAAACATCACCAACGCACTTTGCAACGGCATTAACGCCGTTTGCGCCGTGATTTCTGGGGGGAAAACGTCGGTCAACCCTTTTCTTACTATATTCCTTATTCAATACCCAAAGGCTGGTCCACACCTAGGTTAAGGCGGCATCAAAGTGAAATATGTATATCAAGATTTCCCCAAAAGGACGATGGCTTTGGGCAGCTGGTAAGCCTGATGCGGGAATCGCCTAGGCTACAAGTCCTCATAAAGCTTACAATTGAGAAGAAAGAGGGGGTGGTCTGGCGTTATCGAAAGATAACTCACTCTTCAGTTAAAGGCATTCCAGACTATACGTTACGTCAGACACGGCCAGTTCGACAACGACACCTTGTCGGAATTCGAGTAAGGAGCGCTTTGGTTATTCGGCAGGCAAAGTGAAAAATTGCCAAAGCCATGCCTAGCTTGGATGTAGGACTTGACGGCAAGATATTTCAACCTTGGAAAAACTGATGAACTTCGAAGAAGTTGGTTCGGGGGGGCTAGATATCCTTCTTTTTCCGCCAAGCGCAATTCCCGAGTCATTGACCGATAGGATCGGTAATTAGTCGGGTTAAAAGTCGCTCGATAAGACCATTGGTATCATGGCTCTAAGAATTCAAGATCAAGAATCCGGCGGATCAACTCCGTTAGAAGGCGATTCAGAGAACGCCGCAACTGGGCTAGGTTTGGGGTATCAAGGAAGAACCAGATAAGGACACCCTCGGAGCCCTGGGTTACCGCGGAGTGTAACTACCCTGTATGTACGGAGTATAGTTGGCTATTAAGCATGAAGACTCAGATCCATTCTCACGATCTTGCAGTAGCCGTCAGTCGATAAGATAACTCCAGAAGGACGGCGTAGAATTTCAAAGAACTTACTAACGGTTAAATAAGCGGTTGTACAACTGGCTGCTATTCTTAGAAATGTGACAGAGGACTAGCTCAGCAGGGTGGAGTGACTGGTCAGCGGCTAGATGTACGCAGGGATAACTTAGAAGTCAGAACCGTTGTACTCTGTACACACGTCTACGCTCATCCAACAGCTTGCATGCGTCGGGCATAGGGCGGTCAGATAGCTATGGATGTGATATCTCATTCGTCCCCTGTCCTTGCATCGTCAAGATGGGCAAGTGAGATGCACATAAGCAATTCCTGGGGGGTGATCCAACACGTCGAAGGGTGTCGGCGAACATCCGCCATTGGTTGCCCGGAGACCAAAGGGAGATGGCCGTGGTACATCCTGTCCGGGCCAGTGGGACACATCAGATGCCACGAAAAGGTCAATGTTGGCTGTCCCGGTGCTTTCGTGTTTGTTGGCTGGGTGGCTGATTCTGTTGACGTCGACGTTTGGTGTTGGTGCTGGAAAGACAAAGCAGCTACACCGAAAGAAGGATATATAGCCAGAATCCCCACCTCCCTTTTTATGCTTCAGGCAAAGAACTCTCGTAGAACTTCGAGCAGCCACATCGGAGAATACTTAAGAAGACGTGATGGGGGAACGATACGAGCGCCATCGGGGCCGAATCGTAGCCCAAGTCGGAGTGAGGAAGGTTGGCGGTAAGAGAGGTTTGATGGCCGTGGATGGATACGAGACGACCGAGTCAGGCGAACTGTTAACTGTTACTTTGTTATCTATATTTCTTTTCTTTTTTGTACTGTCTCCTCCTTTCTATATATATACACAACTCTTTTTTTTTAAGAATGTACATGATAACGTCATGCGTGTGTTTGATTAAAAGTAAGGTAGATATAGCCTTTATTCTCAATATGTCCAGCTATTGAAAATGTAAGTAAAGTGTTTGGTATTGGAAAGAGAAACGCTACATGGGTATACAAGCCAAAGCTTCTTTTTTGCTCCCAGACTCCCGCCAAAGAACAGCAATGAAAACAAGCAAATGGGTGTTATGTTTCGAGGGCACTGAGGTGAAAGTGCCTCTCCCAAGCAGAGTAGCTAAGAAGTAAACGAGAATGGAAAGAAGTAGCCAATCCGGAAGGTTAGATAAATATATGTATATGTAGGGAGAATGGTATGTATGCAGTCGTCACGTTCGTTGGCATCGTTATTGAGTAACGGTACGGAGTATTCGACGAGGAGATGGTTTCAGTCTTTTAACATGTCAGCCTTAAGGAGCCTGGCTTGACAACTGGGCTAGAACAGATCCCGGAACCTTGAGATGGAGGAGGCGTCATGTTCGCAAATGCTAGCGGGGTTTCGCTATTCCTCTTCTCGATATGTGGCGTTGAAGGTGCATCGTATGATGAATCTGCAGGAGGTGTTGCAAGGTCTGAGCTTGGGGGACTCGAAGACTGAACATAGCCATCTTGGATCGGGCCCAGAGTCCACCGCCATTCCCGCTGGACTGTGCGTTGGTGTATAGGTGTTTGTGGAGGTAAGCTGTCTTCCCGAGAAGGCAGTAGGCCGTCTCGGACGCCGGCTGCAAGTATTTGTCTCTCGCTGCGAAAGGTCTTGTGTTTTGACCGGGCCTGCTTCCTTGTTCTCTTGGGTGATTTTGCTACATTCTCTGACTCATCTTCTGAAGGAGTCGACCCTCCGGATGCAGAGTCGCTGGAGTCTGAATCTTCCTCAGACGAAGTATACGAGTACGTGTCGAGCGAGGAACTCGTTCTGGAGGCATTTGTCGATTCAATGTCAGAGTGTTTGGCGGTAAACTTGACTGTTTTTATTACTTCATCAAGTGGATACCGATATTTCACTCGTTTTGTAGATGGAGTCGACATCGTCGCTTCTGGGCTTCGGATTTGTTGTTCCACACCCTGAGCTGGAGAGGGGATGGGTGAGTTTCGTAGAATTCCTCGGATGCCCTTGGGAAGCTTATAGGGAGGCTCTGCTGTCCGGACTGGTCCGGCCTTTGCAGGCGAAGAAGGCGCACGCTGACGATTCCTTATGGGATCTCTTAGAGGGGAACGACATATTGGTGAGTTGACACGGTGAAATGTTTCGTAGGCGTTTTTGAAAGTGTTCCTGTTGGTAGGAGATTGGCAACTGTTACTCGAAACAGCTAGCGACAGTGCAGTTGATGATTTGCCAAAGGTGACAGGGACACAGGAGGTTTGGAGAGATAGCTTTGGTCTCTTGTTGATGTTGGGACCAAGTTGGCTCCGGATGGGCGCAATGGGTGTTAGAGGCGGAGCTATTGTCGGCACGGTTGGGTATACCGCTGGTTGGGTAGCAACTTTCAGCATATTAGTAGGAGGCCGGTGGTAATCTTCTGAAGGTGAGATTACAGGCGAGTATGCGGTTGCGGAAGAATGAGATGAAGAGAAGGACGCCGGCGAGAGGGCGGTAGAAGAGTATGATGAGGATGATGAGGAGAGCGCTGGAGAACTACTTCTGCCAGGAGAGGTGGCTTCAGGTTCCACTGATGTGAGATTGATGGGCTTCCCACTAGCCATTGGTATAGTGATCATGGCTAATCTGGGAGAGGGCGGATGTTATAATTCAAATAGCCCAACGAGGAGGAAGCCAAAAAAAGAATATTGAATACAGGAGAAGACTCCAAAGTCCGACCGACCCGGCCTTGAGACCACGCGAGAGGCGAAAAAAAAAACAGGACAAAAATAGACCGCCCAAGGAAGTTCGCTTCCTGCAACGGGGGGATCCGGATATGGTAAGGACACAGTTAGAACAAAAGTGCTGTCATGAGTTGGAAGTTGTCCGTGAAGTACGCGAGGTAAGTGTTGATATAGCGACAGGGGAAACAATCTATGATAATGCCAGTTCGAGTGGACCCATGCATCGTGAGAGATGGCGAATATCTGGTGGCGGGTAAATTTCTATTCTTGTGGGAGCTTCATTGAGGTGTCGAAATCAATAATTGTTTCGATCCTGCCTAGGCGACGATCAGAGCGTGGCAGGGTAGGGGACTCCTGGTGGAGAGGGTAGGTTGCGAGGTGAGGAGGGAAGGGAAGGAGGAGCAAGGGAAAGGGAAGAGAGAAAAAAACAGCGGGAGGTTGAAGAAGCAGAAGCAAGTGTTAATAAAATGCAGGTTACAGGGCGATAGCAGAACGGCCTCTCACCGTCAAATGAACATGCTATGTAAGAGAGAGAACAGGAATCCCGATCTCCATCATCTCGGAATTTCTTTTCTTTTTCTTTTTCGTCTTCATTTTAATTTTCAGTTGATAAAGTAAAAATTTAAAAATAAACGTCCAAGATGGAAATAGACAGAGAAAGTGTGAGAAGAGAAGTGCGAAGCGCCCTCACAGACGGAAAGGCACTGGGGCAGGGACAGGGGCCGGTCCTGGTGAAGGCGCACCTATCCGCCAATCGAAGGCAAGGGGAGCGCTGGTCTCTCAACGAATCATGGCGATCGCTAGCGGAGCCACCACGCGCTGCCTATTTATATATCGGCACCACTTGTGGAGGTATCCCTTTTTTTAGGCCAGCGTTTCAAGGCCTTGCTCATTGGCTGCCGTGGCCCTATTGATGGAGTGAGGAGAAGATTGCTGATTTCCTGTAACACAACGCCAGTGTATCTGTGAAAATCCACTATTAGCACATTGATGTCAAAAGACGAGAGGAAATACAATATAAGTAAACGAGATATGCTCTCATGATACGAGACGAGGTTATCCTTCTCCGATCCTTCTTGAGAGATACCACCTCTTCCACCATGTTGGGTAGCCACCAGCGGTTCCCATCCTTGCAAAATACGAACTCCAGACTCTGTTGCGTCAATACGAGGGAGAGCCCTTACCCATATACGTACATACTCCGTCCCCTGCTATTAACGCTCCAGACCCCCGTGCATGCCCAGGAATTTCAGGAATCATTTTCTTTGCCCTCGCTCTGTGTGAGAATAAATTAACTGCCGTGTCTGATTCTGATTCTGAGACGACGGGTTGAAGTGATTTTTTGGGGGAAGCCTGGCAACAGAAAGGCTCGCGGGAAGGTGGTACAGAGCGGGGCGATCCGTTCCCATCCACTCGAGTTACGACATTCCTCAGAAAAAAAACGGGTGTCGAGAAAGGGATGGCTCCCCCATGTGCAGGCACTCATCACTCTCTACTCTGTACTGAGATTTGTTCGAATTGGTTCTCCTCAAAATCAGTACGTCATCAAGAAGGGCAGCCAGCACGGGCAATGCTGTCAGAACGCAGAGAGCGTCATCTGTAACAGGAGACGTGCAAAACGCCACCCGTTTCTTTTTCCCTCTTTCCCATCTTATTCTACTTGTCTTTGCCGGTCCATGATATCTTCCGAACAACCGAGAGCTTCATGGCCTTTGCATAGAGAGGAAGTTCTAACTCATCTGGGGCCTTGAGATGACCATCACGTCAAAAGAGTTATGGTGTGGTTCCTCCCCAATCTGGCCAAGGGCCAGGATGTGTGACAGGTGCGTTAACTTCGCGGACCAAGAGGCCCTATCAGGTAAAGGTCTTGAGCCAAAGCCTGTTGCCTTTTCATTTATCCTTTCTCTCCCCCGCTCTCTGCATATAAGTATATAATTTTCCCGTACTTATATGCAGCGTGTGTGCATCCATCTTCTTGGTCGGGGGTGACAAGTCCCTTGGTCTCTCGGAGTCTCTCCACGGCTTAACTTACCAATGGGATAAAGCAGCCTGTCATGGGAGAAGATCTGTATCCGCCGCACGAGAGAGCATAATGCTGTGAGATATACACCTAAATCTCACCCATGTCTGAACTGCTATTTCCTCCGACGGAAAAAGCAAGGGCATCATTCTGCAGACCACAATATATTCTCCTTCATTTCTTTGTGCAGTTCGTTTGCTCTTCCTCTAGGATCACACCTCAGTCATGTCCACTCGGACGCCTGGAAATAAGCACTTACGGGACCGGGAGTCGCCCAGGATGGCGTAAGGGACTCATCCACCTCTAATTAAAGCCCTGCAGCAGTGACATGACGGTGATCCAATGTATGGCCATCTATTTATGGCTGATGATGATATGCGACTGGCGCTGTGCGATGTTGGTGTTGGTGTTAGTTTTTCTTGTCGTCGAAGCAAGAAAAAATAACACTCAAAGAGTAGTCTGTGCGTTGTCCCAATCAGGGAATTCTCAATGTCAAATATTGCATTACACCAAAAAATTGAGTCTCCCGCGAGTTTTATCCCATCTTCTGATCCTCTTACCACGTTCGTTTCTGTCTATATCAACAGCGTCTTTCTACGTGTTCACTCAGAGTATGTGCAAGCAAGTCTGCTGTTTAGGCAAGTCTGTTGTCTAGAGTTGGCATGGCTACCCTGACTTGGAAAAGAGATGCGCTGTCCTTGTCTCTAGAACGACACCCCGCCTGGTCTGTTTTTCCACCCCTTGTGAAAGAGAGATAATATAATGTAAGAAGCGGTAAACAAATTCCCTCTACGGAGTACAGACTACCAGGATCCATTATATGCATAAATCTAAGTGTCAATTCCGGCTGGTGGCTGTGGCAAAACAAGTAAATCCCTCCCTATGTTGCTTTCGAGTCATTTGCTATATATATTTAATAACCCTAGAATTGGCTATTAATATGGAGTATATAAATGACAATGATATCATTCAGTAGCAACCCCTCGGTCATCATTATGGCGAAATCCCATGCGTGTCCGCCCTTCTTCGGCACAGCTATCTCATTGCTAATACGCCGAGGGTGTTCTTCGGCTCTATCCCTTGCCCTCTTATGCATCATTGTGCATCTATCATCTATTGCCAGTGACAATATCGTCCTGTATGGGTGGAGCAAGCAATGGAATGACCATTTTGATGAGATGGAATTCGAAACGGAAAAATTAATAATAATAGCAGAACTTATATATGCTATGCAATGCCAAATCTCCACTTTGTGCACAGCATAGCCGTCGATCATATGAAGAACGGCTTTTCATTTGACGCTACTGGCCACTGGTTTTCGCATGGATGGCTGTTTACAATTTCAACCCCCTCCTTTGCCTTTTGGGAGCAGATCAACAACTAGGGCGGGGCGATCGAGACTTTCCCATTTTCTCATGGCCCCACGATAGTGAGTGATATTATTAGTATTTGTCCTGACCTTAATCTCGGCCCAAAGCAACGACGTGAGAGACTGAAACTCCTTGCCTGAAAGTGGATGTTCAGCAGTAGCCAGCCGTTGGGACGTGATCATGATTTCGACTGGTCTTCATTTCCGGGCCACTTAACTAGGTATGTTCTACGGATTATGGAGTAACAATGGTTATGGGAATGCAGCACGAAAGTCACGATTGTGTGGGGAGAAAAAGTGTGTGGAAAGCAGCACGCAGACCATAACTTAAGCAGGCAAAAAACCTCCGGTAGACCGTTGAGAAGGGGATGGTCGGATTGACAAGTCTCACCAATAGACTGATTGATATAACTCCCGAGTTTACACTCCGGCTTGGTGAAGCTCCATCCAGCTCGTCTTCTTCCCCCTGCACCCTGGGCCCTTCTTATGAGCTTAGCTGCTTAAGTAAGAGAGCCCTGTTCTTCGGCTTTCGCCGTGGGTTCGAAGGTTTCTCGGAAGTCTTGACGTTTCATTTCTGGCAGCCCGTGGACAACTTATAGTTGTCTCCATTCCCTGCGAGCCGGACGGGACGCCATACCTTTCTCGCCGCCGCAGGGTGTCATCGACTTTCTGGGGCATGGTCCAAATTAGACACCTGACGCACATCGAGTCTCGCTGCCTGTCTCGGCACTCTGCAGGAGACGAAGGGGAGGAGACAAAAAGGGGGTGTGAAGAGGATAGGTCGGAAAAGTAACTAGTCTGCGCGACTGAGTTGGTAAGAGTAGGTCGATCCATTCAATCGTGACGCTGTGCCATGTATGTATGCATGCAAGTAACTAAGTATATTCGATGCATGACCTGGTGTGTGTGTAGAACTTTTTCAAGGCCGCTTTCCTCTCCTTACCATGGGTGCGAACCGGGATGGCATGACAAACTAACAGGCACAAGGTCGTGGAGCAGGCCGGGGAAAACATCATGGCGCCGACTGTGCAGAAGCAAGGGGTTTCACGGGCAGACCATAGCAGGGTCATCTTACATTTTGTCAGCCTTCCTCATGCCATTTCGTTTGCTCCCTTTTCTTTTTTTCTTCCTTCCTCTTTTGCTTTGTTCCCGTTTTTTGTTCAGCTTTGTCTGGTCTTGTTTACATCTACCTATCCATCACCTTAGCCAAGGTCGAGAAGGTAGCACGACGTTATATTAGTTCCCATAATTCTACATCGCTGCAAGAGGGTGCTGGGGACCGAGAACAAGACTTTTCGGTCATGCTGCCTGGTGGATCTTATATCTGCATATCCATTTATATACCCAGCAAGATGCAAATTGCATTCTAGCCTACCCCATTTGTTCCCTCCTTTTCCCGAGACATATATCTTTTCCGTGGAGATTTTATATCCCCGTTCCCGGACAACTTTGACCACAGCTTTGACCGCTTGTTAACATGTTGAAGAAGATAGGACTACGATTGTTTCTATGCCTCTGTCTTTGAGGCCGAGAATCCTGCTCTCAAGACTCTGCCGCTTGCTGTGCAGCAGAAGCAGATCGTAGTGACCTGCAACTATGAAGCACGGCGGAGAGGGCTGCGAAAACTACAGCTCATCAAAGACGCCAAAAGGATCTGCCCCGACGTCGTCATTGTGCTTGGGGAGGATTTGACCAAGTTCCGTGATGTGTCCAAGGGTCTGTACTCCTTTTTGAAATCGCTCACATGGAGTGACCAAGCTGAAAGGCTGGGATTCGACGAGGTGTTTCTGGACGTTACCTCAATGATAGATTACAACCTCCAGTGGCTAGCGCCTAATGTTAGGAACTCTTTCTTCTTGCTGGATAGGGATGACTTTACTGTTGGTTTCGAGTATGATCCAACGGTATATTGTGGCCCGACATCTCCTTCGTTGGATGACAACTTCCAGCCGTGGCGTGGATCACCACCTTCAGAACTTGGACAGAGGTTAATTCTCGCCTCACACTTGGCCAACTATATCCGGAAGCAACTAGAGGAGAAGCATGGCTATACCAGCACAGTCGGGATATCTACTTCCAAGCTTCTCTCGAAGCTAGCTGGCAACGTACACAAACCAAGGAACCAGACGACGCTTATACCGCCTTCCTTAGGAGATGTAGATCAGAGTGATAGTTATATCACTCGATTTATGGATGACCATGAAATAGGCAAAATCCCGGGGATTGGATTCAAGATCGCTAGTTGCATAAGAGCAGCGGTACTAGGCCGTGAAAATGATTTAGAGCTGTACAGAGAGCTTAGGGATGAGGATAAAGTGACTGTTGCTGCTGTGCGGACATTTCCTGGAATGGGCCCTCTGATGATAGATAAGATACTATCCGGCGGAGGATGGCCAAGGGATATTGGGAGTAAGATATGGGAACTAATTAATGGTGTTGACCATAGCGAGGTTGCCACAGCCCGCATGATCCCTGTACAAATTAGCATTGAAGACTCGTTCCGCCAACTGGACATCCTGGATGCCGTGAGGAGAGAACTGCTTCCACTAGCAGGTAGCTTAATCAGACGGATGCACACTGACCTGACAGGCGATGAAGATGACGATACAGCAAAGGACGACTCAACCAACCAGACTCCTGAACTATCGGGGAGGAAAAGGCGATGGCTGGCACACCCGCGAACATTACGACTATCGACACGCTCCAGGGTCCCTCCTAACAGCACCGGCCAAAACCAGTCTTTGTATAACAACCGCATCTCAAGATCATGTCCAGTACCACAGTTCATATTCTCCTTTAGTGAGAGCGTGGATGCCATAGCTCAACGCCTGGTCCATGAATGTCTGGTACCGACCTTCAAAAAGCTTCATCCTGAAAAGTCTGGCTGGCGGATCAGTTTGATCAACGTTGCCGTGACGAATATGGTGGAGAGTGCAGGGTCAATGAAGAGCAGCGCTGGTCGAGATATAGGAAAGATGTTTAAATCGCAGAACCAAGTGCATCGAGAATGGACGGTATATGATACGGATGTTGATACCGGTGGCCATCTTGAGGGAAATGACATACCGGGCGGGAATGAATTGAAAGAGCCAGCTGGTGATGTGACATGGGAAGAGGAAGGCGACTCAGACTCTGTGAATGATACGGGCACACATTGCAGCGAATGCCAGATATGCGGTGCCTCTATACCCAACTTTGCACTGCGGGCTCACGAAACTTATCATTCAATCACTGATTGAGGGGTGATGGATTCTACATACATGATGTTATGGAATGGAATAGAATAGCTGACAAGCATCTCTTGATCTCATAACTAATGAGCAATTGACTTTCTCTTAATAGGTATATCTGCTTCTTTTGGCCATATCTAGATAAATGGAGAGACAAATTGAAATACGGCATCAATTGCATCCCAAGCTTTCATTGGCCTATTCTCAGTACTTCGTAGTAGGTAATTACCTAGTAGTATAAGCTATCAGCGAGGCATCCATCTTAGACCAAAGGGACCATGCCATGCGCATAACCCACACCGGCAACTAGACGTCCACCAAAAGCTCTTATAATATCCAAATGGGGAGGAGAGAATGGAAAAAAGAGAAGGTGAAAAGAGGCGAGCCTCATGCCCAGTTTTGTATCTAGCCAGCCTTTCGTCCGTAAAAGCAGCAGCCTGACTGCTCGTTGGTTAAATAGTTGGTTAGCGAAGAACAAGGCTGACAGAACCAGCATCGAATGCGCTGGGTTCCTCGTAACCAAATCCTCCATCTGCATCTGAGCCTCAACAGCGAGCTTCAGCGGGCTATGCTTCCTCCTCCTCCTCCTCCTCTCGTCTGGTTAGACTGAACCGCTAGCCAGGATGTGAACAGCCGAGAGAGTTAGCTTAAGCTGGTCCAGGAACCGAGTTTTGACGTACGGCACCAATCAAATGGACCCTGTATATGGAGTAAATTGGTGCCCTTTGGACACCATCTTTATGGCCTTCTTGGCTCGTCCGGCAAGCCTTTATGTTAGTTAATTGAATAACTAGAGATCAGGAAAATAAATAAATAAAGAATAATAATGATAATAATGATAATAATTTCACCGAACAGTCTCCAGAGGTTTAAGCCTACCTCTCTCTCAAAAGATGAGGTCGAGAAACCGAAATCTGACGCCTGAACTAACCATCAGGCCAGATCTATCCTGGGCGAAAGATGCTGGATGTTTCTACCCATCTCCGACTGCAATTTCTCTGTCTCTGTCTGGATACAGCACGCCTTATATCAGTATCCTTGACTATCAGAGAGAGCAAGCATCTTCAGCTGCTCCGACTTATCTCGGCTATCGACCATCGACGTCCAAAGCCCGTATAACTGGCTGGTTAACGAGTTAATTGCTTTTGCCCTGTCGCCTTTCGTGTGAGAAGAGGGTGTGGACGTCATGCAGTGCCACATCAGAAGGCCGCGCATCACAATCGAGGGTCCATTGAGGTCCAGGGCAACCGAGAGCGAGCTGCGCCTCAGTTGATTCCATCGTGCAAGGAACATCGAACCACCGGCAGGCGTCGCCGTTCGTCGAAGAGGTCGATATCGGCTTGTCTTGGGTCTTGTCGAGCTCTTGTTTGCGCTCGCCCAGAGGAAAGCTGAGGCGTTGGTCTGTCAGCGCTTCGTGATCGACAGTCAAGCAGACAAGACAGGACAGACAGACAGACAGCTTGTTGCGGGTTCTGCAGCTGCTACTGTCATCGAGGCTGACAAGAATATGATATCTTCTTCTTCCTCTTGTTCCACTTCTTGTCACTCTTAGTTTTTTTCCTTGGTCTCTTCTGTCATCGTTTTTAATAGTGTCTCTGGCGCTCGTTTAACTGACCTTGCGGGCGCCCGGCCTTGACACCAACAACATCTTCCACTCTTCACCAGGAAGGACGAAGTACTAACAGTGTACAAAACAGCTTCTCTCTCTTTCCTCTTCTCTGTGGCTGATCCCTATATCAAACGCTCGGTATTGGGGCCGTCCGATAGCCGCCGTGACTAACGCGTCATACTCCGAACAGAGTTATCCCCAAAAAAAAGTAGTGGCTGTATATCTTCCATCTTCTATTACTTCGCACCCGCTGAGCAGGTCGGTCGTCAGGTAAACGCTACATGAACAAGAGGTCGACGTCTTGATATCTGTTGGGAATGAAAGCTTTCAGCTGTCTGCTTGCTGTGATAGCTACGGCGGCTACCATTTTCCAGCATGTCGACGGTATACACCCCCCTTGGACTCCTTGCCTCCTCTCCCCGATGTAAACATTTGCTGACTGCTAGGTTGCGCATAGCCCGCTCGCATGCGAGAGACAAACTGAACAATATCTCCCGGGTTGAACGGCCGGTTATACACACTCCTTCTCGCCGTGTCCATGCCCATTCGAACTTTGACCTTACTTTCGACCTTCATCCCGGGAGGAACCGGATAAAACTGCAACTGGAACCAAACCATGATGTTCTCTCCCAAGATGCGCGTGTTACATATCTCGATGCAGAGGGGAATGTTGACCGGGTGGAACGGATAGAACGGAGAGATCACAGCGTGTTTAAAGGATGGGCTTGGACGCAGGCAAAGTCGGGCGCATGGGAGCGGGTTGGATGGGCCCGAATCACGATGCAGCGGGATGGAGAGGATCCTCTGTTCGAAGGTGTCTTTACCGTCATGCATGACCATCACCAGATCATAGCAAAATCGAATTATGTACGCAAACGGCACCAGCAAGATCCGCCGTTGGACAGTACCCCGGGCGAATACATGCTTCTCTTTCGGGGGTCGGATATAGCAGAACCGCACAGTCAAGGGAATGTCGAGCGTTCGATTATGTCTTCGCCTTCATGCGATGCAGATACTCTCGCATACGACTCCAATTCCGAGTTTCTGTTTCCCCCGCTGCCGCAGGAGAACAATACCGGCCTATGGAATCAGTTCATGACAAGCATAGGTAAACGTCAGATGACAGATACGGGCGGCAACGTCCCTGGATCTAGGGATCTAAAGGAGACCATTGGAAGTACAGCGGGCTGCCCTAATACCAGAAGAGTTGCCCTGATAGGCGTAGTTGCAGACTGCACGTATACCAACACATTTGCCTCAGAGATGGACGCCAGGTCGGACATCATTTCAGTCGTCAATGCTGCCTCCGTCGTCTATGAGCATTCGTTTAACATATCCCTTACTCTCGGAGAAGTGAACATCTTGCCCAAGAACTGTCCCGCAACAGCATCTTCCGCAACTCCCTTTAACCAGCAGTGCGATGACCGTGGTGGGAGCAGCTCCTTCACACTCTCAGACAGGCTGAGTACGTTTTCTGCCTGGCGAGGAAAGAAGACGGATGACTTTGCATTCTGGACTCTGATGACGGACTGCGTTACCGATAACCAAGTGGGCCTAGCATGGGCTGCACAGCTATGCGTCAAAGGCGTCCAGGGTGATCCAAATACTCGTAATGCCAGCTCCCAGGCTGTAGCCGGTGCCAACGTTGTCTCCAAGACGGACAACACCTGGCAAGTCTTTGCGTAAGTGGATGTCTATCGCCCATTTCTTATATATTGTACATGCTAACTTTTTTCAAAAACAGTCACGAAGCCGGCCACATCTTTGGAGCAGTTCATGACTGTGACACTATGCTCTGCCAGAACCGGGCTAATCCAGATAACTCCAGATGCTGCCCATCAACCGCAACTACATGTGATGCAGGCGGAAAATTCATGATGAACCCTACTTCCGGAAGACAGATCACAAATTTCTCGCCCTGCTCAATAGGACAGATATGCTCTCGAATGGCAAGACATACCATCCTAACGGACTGTCTAACCACAAACCGTGGTGTTGATACGATCTCAGGCCAGCAGTGTGGCAATGGCATTGTTGAGGACGGTGAAGACTGTGACTGCGGTGACGCAGAGAGCTGCAAAGGCAATACTTGCTGCGATCCTAAGACATGCAAATATACTTCTGGCTCTCAGTGCGATGACACGAACGAAGAATGCTGCAGAGGATGCAAATTTGCATCTAGCTCGACTGTATGCCGTATGAGCAGTGGACCCTGCGACCCAGAAGAAAAATGTTCTGGAGATTCCGGAGATTGCCCCAAAGATACGCATTCCACCGATGGAGAGACATGCGCTGCCAACTTGCAGTGCGCTAGTGGTCAATGCACCAGTCGAGACCTGCAGTGTCAGATGCATCTTGGGAACCAGGTTGCTGGCTCGAGGACAGTGGCATTTGACTCATATGGCTGCGAGATAGCCTGCAAAGACCCGGCTAGACCCAACGTGCGGTACGAAGGTAGCCTCACTTTCCTCGATGGGACACCCTGCGGAGGTGGTGGCTCATGTAAAAATGTAAGTTCTTATACCCTCATATATCTATCTCATTAACATATATCTAAACATATTTGCTAACTTTATGCCAAAGGGTCAATGTACCGGCAGCACATTCAGCAATGAGGTATCTGAATGGGTCAGCCGCAATAAACCCATTGTCATTGGCGTATCAATCGGTGCCGGCGGTCTACTCCTCCTAGCCATCGCGTCCTGTATCTGTGGACGATCCAAAAGACGGAGGCCCAGAAACAGAAAAATGCAACCGGTTAACATGCGTCCTATGGCCCCAGGTTACAATGGTTGGAATGGGGGTCCTCCAAACCACCAGCAACCGCCGGGCGGACATCCCCCGTATAACAATGTCCCTCCGCATCTCAATGCTCCTCCACCTACATATCCAGGAAATATGCATTCGACACGATATGCTTAACAATATATCCGTGATTTAGCCAGGTTTTTTCAACCACTTCTGCTTCTGCGAATGTTTTATACGGCATCTTTTTTTTCCCTACACTTTCCGCCTTGTTTTAGAATGCATGGGTGTGATGTGATGGCTTAGCGGAAGGTATTCAGTCAGGCACCGAGAAGTACCGAGAGCACATCTCTGCAACCTGGTGTTTGATACTGTACCCTCCCTAACATCTTGAACCCCACTGGATGATTAACGATCATATTTGCAATCGGCGTTTTAACGGAGGAATCATCTATTACTTTTAGGGTGAATGTATATTCAAAGAGGGATATACACCTCTGTATATACTGTTGATTTACCAATGACATACTTTGATCTTTCATAAGCCGCCATGATAATAAGGCAGCTGAAAATATATAGTACCTATTTGTTACAAGAGCGCAGGTGACACACCTATGATCGCATCAACTCCATGCACGACCAAAAACTGTAATGGAATCAGCTTTCCTACCTGCGCCATACGTAGAGCAGAACAAAGACAACCAAAATTAGAAAATAGCAATATCGCAAAACAAAAACAAAAAGAAACAACTAGACAAAAGTGTCACTGTAAGCATATACCAACAAACCCTTCTCGAGTCACACCGCCAACACCCTCCAAATCAAATTCTTCAATCATAGCTCTAAGCTCGTCCTCTTCCAGGCCAGTTTCGCCCAATTCACGGGCTACACGCCTTAAATCCTCGAGATCAATATACCCTTTCCCTCCTTCATCGAATAGTTCAAAGGCACGTAGTATCTCCTCTCGAGGATCTCGTTCTAGTATCTTACGGGCCGTTATTGTTTGGAAGGAAGAGAGAGGCATTAATAGTGACGACGGATGTGGTGGAGGCTGCTGCTGCCTTGACTGCTGCTGTTGCTGGGCTTGGCTGGGTGTTCGTGGCACGCCATATGTCGTTAGGAGAGAGATAAGATCTGGTTTTGATAGTGTGAAGCCAAGTGCGCGGAACGCAACGCGGAGCTCATGGTAGTCGAGGTGGCGGTCCCTGTCGAGGTCGAAGAGAGTGAACTACACAAGCGTTAGCAAGGACATGGTTCCCTGAAGTGTCCGAGTGGGATAGGATACTACATACAGCCTCGTTGATTTCCTCCCTCTGTTCTTCTGAAAGGTCGTTTAATGGGTTATTCACGTTATTGTTAACGTTGTTATTCCCGGAATTCGGTCCAACGCCCCCCATCACGCCGCCGCCTTGAAGTTGCCCTTGTCCTTGGATCTGTGAATGCGCTGGAGGTGCGCCTGCTCCAGCACCCGGATGAAGCTGGTGGCCCTGGGATTTCCCTGCTGTGTCTCCGAAGTCACCGCGATCGCGCCGGGATAGCACTGAGGATCCAAACGGGAGAGGGTTGTTGGTGTTCAGCGGCCTGTCTGAGAGTTTACCTGCGTTGGCGTATACGGAGCGAGGAGCAAATGAAGGGTGAGAAGACGAGGCCATGATGTGCCCGTGGTTTCCGGGCCTTTTCGTGTCTTGACAGACTGGGAATTCAAGTGCTAAGCAGCCCGGGAAATAATTCTGGGGGCTGGGTAGCTATATGAGGTATGTGGATTCGGTGTGGTGTTTTACGACTAGGGCGCTGGAGTGCTTCATGTATATGGAGTCTGGCTAAAATCGGAGCTGCGAGGGCCGGAGTATATGTATCGTAGTCTTAACTATCGCGTTAACGTCAACGAATGCTCCAGACTCGTTCATCCGGCGATGCTTGTTGTGCTGCTTGCTTTGGTTCTTGTTGCCGTCGCTTTTCTTTTTCGTGTTCGAGGTTGAACTTTCGCGGGCGCGACGAGGATGACTAAGCAGCTAATTAAGGAGCAGTTCGGGCGACTGAGCGAGCACAAGGGATGGAATATTGGAAGAACTGATAGAGAATAGAACCAGTTACTTGTTTATGAACAATAAGGACTATAGCTCAAAGCCTATCCTTATTCGAAGCCGGAATTTACCTTCAACGCACTTACAGAACCGTTGATAAACTGTTTGCAGAATGATGTGTCCATGGGCGCTATCTTTGTATAAACAGTTGCGAGGCAAGCGTTGACTGGACCCAATATTCAACTTTAAGCATAAGCATTAACAAACCCGAGCAATGACACTTTCCGAGGAAATTTGAATTGAGAAATACTAAAAAGTTCTATCTGTTTTTGAGGCCTTGTACCATTAGCCTTGTTGATCTATGGATAGGTTCAAAATAATAATAGCAAATATTCATTCACGGTTCGAGGGAAGGATCGATCTTAGTCCCAAGGTCAAGGTCCTCCAGGAACGTTCTTCCAATTAACTTGTCAGGAAGATAGTCTTGCACTACTTTTCCATCCTTGTAGTCGGGGTTGTATTTATACTCTTTTCCATATCCAATTTCCTTCATCAATCTTGTGGGCGCATTTCGTAAATGTATTGGGATAGGTAAACCTGCTATCCCTGGCTCTTCCAAGCTCGCCATTGCATTGGCTAGGCCTCTATAAGTCCTTGTACTTTTAGGAGCTAAAGCCAGGGCGACGGTAGCATGAGCGAGGTTAATCCGCGCTTCTGGGAGACCTATCTTCTCAACAGCAGTATAGGCCGCTGTAGCTAGCGATATCATGGTGTTGTCTGCTAAGCCAACATCCTCGGAAGCAACAACAATCAGGCGACGGGCTATGTACAACGGGTCTTCGCCTGATTGAATCATCCGGGCTAAATAATACAAGGATGCATCAGGGTCGCTTCCACGAATTGATTTATGAAAGGCAGAGATGGTATCATAGTGCTGGTCGCCCGCTCGGTCATAAACCAATGTCCGTGTAAGGGATTTCTTCAGCTCGTCTTTAGTCATGCCTTCTCTCTGAGAGAGGTCCATTGCTAGCTCCAAGAGATTCAGTGCGGTTCGCGCATCGCCATCAGCAAATGCAGCGAGGTATTTAATTAGCTCATCGTCAACCAGTGCGGACGGCGAGTAATTCGGTCCCTCGACTCTCAATGCACGATTGAGTATGGCACAGATATTCTCCTCCGTAAGCTTCGCCAAGGTAAAAGTTCGACACCGTGATAGCAACGCATTCTGAACCTTGAAGGAGGGGTTTTCGGTCGTAGCTCCAATCAGTGTTACCTGTCCGCTTTCAACAGGCCCAAGAAACACGTCTTGCTGCGATTTCGAAAACCGGTGAATCTCGTCACAGAATATGATCGTCTTCCGCCCGGTCAGGCTGAGCTCATTCTTTGCCTCTGCAAATAACTTCTTGCACTCAGCCACACCAGAACTCGTACTGTTGATTTCAACAAAGCGACTCCCTACCATGGAAGCAATGACTCTTGCAACCGTGGTTTTCCCCGTGCCTGCACTGCCCCAAAGTATCATACTCGGAACCCTGTCTCGCTCGATAAGACCGCGCAACACCCCATTCTCACCAACCAACTCTTGGCCGCACACCTCGTCAAGTGTCCTTGGCCGCATTCGTTCTGCCAATGGTGCTGATTTTTGCAATGCATTGGACGGTTTGACTCGCTTTGCTGAGTGTTCATTATTATTATTATCGTGAAGAGGTAACGGTGAAACAGCTGCCCGCAAGGTACTAGCACTTGGTGTAGGTGTGCTAGGCTCCTCCTGGGAAAAGAGTCTTTTGCCCGAGCCGGGCTTGGACGGCTGTGCATGAGCTGCCCCATTTGGCCGTTCCGCCAACTTTTGCGCAGCAGCCGCTTTCCTCGAGCTTGTTGGCTGGAAGAAACTGGGTATGGAACTGGATGGGCTGGTTTGAGACTGGGATGCGCCATCTATGGCTAAAGTCTGGCTGCTCTGTGGGGAATCAACAAAATCCTCGCATCCAGAGTCGATGTGTTCGTTGATTTTGTTTGCATTGACGGGCTTAGAGCAAATCGGACAGTTGGGTCCCATAGCTATTACCCGGTTTGGCCCCGTCCTTGCGTCTTTTTGTATAATCCAGTCACCCAATTGATGCTCACAGGCTTCTTGGTGACCTCCAAGACGAGGTTTGCAACAGCCAAGTTTATAGAGCTTGGCCGTTCTATATGTGTTATATAACGACTCGCTTCTTGCAGGCCTGTAAGATTCCCGTGATACCTAGGTGTTGCCTCTAGAGTCGATACTGTATTCCTAGAATATCGCCGCGAAGGATTTTTCGATTGGCTTTAAGCTCTCTTGGCTGTTGCTGTAATTTTAGGAGCCTGTTTGTGAATTCAATTTTCAATCGCTAACACAAGCGCTTCTTCATCGACCATCTTGTGGCTGATTTGAGATGGCGTCGGGTCAAGGCAGATGATTCCCTACCGAAGCGCTCATCAGCAATTATCAAGTCGCGAGGGTCATCTCGTCGTCGAGCTATAAACACATTGCGAGTTGTGCAAAGCAGAGGTGAAGTTGTCATTTTAAGCTTAACTAGTGAATAACACATCAATAAGATGGTTAAACTAGTTACCGCGCGTAAGCTACGCGTCTAGGTCGTTTACGCGACGAAGACGACATGAAAATTGAATATCTTTTGTTAATTCGAGATATCATATCAAAAATAACTTCATCCTTCCTACGCTTAATACGTGCGCTCAGTCTGTTGGTTCAATGGCATTTTTGATATAAGACTAACTCCCAGCTAAATAAGCATGCAGTGGATAACTAATGTCACCTGTCAATACACGCTCGCCACCTGAGGAGGTTCTTAAAACTGCATCTTTTTATAGGTGATGTTAGATGCTTAGATGCTTACTGAATTATACTGTATAGTCGAAGAATAGTACAGGGTAAGAGTGGACAACTAGGTGCTCCCTACACTGATACTGTTCTAGAGTAGAAGAGACGCGGCCGCTTGTTTCTAGCGTCATCCACTAGTTTTCTGAGTCCGAAAATGTGTCTGGCATGTTGACGCCTTGTCGGTTAGCCGCCGTAGCCTGGCGCAATCCGTTAAGAGTTATGATAGTGGCCCAGCAACATGGCAATGAATAACGGGTAAGGACAAGGTAAGACAATCCAGACAATCCAAACAATCCAGACAAGCCTATTAAGCGGATGGCTACGGGTAATAGCAGGTGTTTGTGGGTATATGACGAAGATATCATAAAATATAATGCATCCCTTGATATACCGAGTATCTTGAAAAGGTCTCCTTAGGTATGGCGGTCTTCCGGGATGAGTGGAGGACGCCGTCACCCCCCTACCGTATGGTATGATATACACTATTATCCGCAGACAATGAATGTATACATATCTGTATGTAGCCTCTGTGTCGTCAACTTGTACTCCTTCATTAGGGCGTAGGCGTCGAAAACAGCCGAAGTAGCCGCGGTCTTGGCGCCCTCCCTCGCTCTCAAACGAGCCTCAACTTCACCTTCATCAACTCTCAACGAGCAAGACAAGAGACGCTGTTGAGCTCACTGCATGTTCCGCTACAACGACGGTGTCAGCCATCGTCCATGCTCGCTCGTCGCTTTCTTCTGAGAGGAACTGCAGCTCTCCGCCGTCCGGTGGTGTCTTCGGAATTAAACCTACCTTCGTCGTATATCACTGCCCCGCCAAAGCGTCAAGCTGCCATGTCTTCCACCACAGCTGCAAGCAACGAGCCGTTTAAGCCGGCGAGGAGGGTTGCCGGGCAGCGACAGGATGTTTGGTAGGCCACACTTTTTCATGGTGTAGCCTTTGATGCTTGAGACTTACACTGCATCATAGGTCGATTGTCAACGAAGCCGCGGCTGCATCGCCGGTTCAGCCAATCGTGAACATGGGACAAGGTTTCTTGTAAGTATGGCTTCTTCTCACTTTACATGAGCGGTTTCTTATTGATGCGTTAGCGGTTATAATCCTCCTCAGTACGTGATTGATGCCGCTAAGGAGGCGGTGCAGACGGTTGAGTCTAACCAGTATGCGCCTACGAAGGTGTGATCATTTCTCTTTGTTGGCTTTTCCAATGGCTATCAATGTTAATGGGGGATCTAGGGCCTCCCTCGCCTCAAGAAGGCAATCTCTGATGCTTACTCTCCATTCTTTGGAAGGGAGCTCAATCCCAACACCGAGATTGTCATTACCAGCGGTGCCAATGAAGGTAAGTCCAATAATTGACCACTTGTATTGCATACAGCCTATGCTGATACTACAGTAACTAGGAATGCTGAGTGCCTTCATGGGATTCATTGAGCCTGGAGATGAAGTTATAATATTTGAACCATTTTTTGACCAGTACGTCCATGATGGGAAATCCTTTAATTTAACTCATTGAAGCTAATATCGCCAATAGATATATTAGCAATATCGAAATGCCGGGCGGCAAAATCAGATATGTGCCACTCCATCCTCCAAAGGATGGTGCCGAGAAGACATCTTCTGCCTCAGCATGGACCATTGACTTTGATGAACTGGAAAGGACTATCAACGAAAAGACGAAGATGATTGTACGTATTTATTGTCTACAGTATATAGACTTCTGCTAACGTTCATACAGGTCCTCAATACTCCGTGAGTAGCCAATTGCTCTGTTTCTGCATTAACTTGTGAGTTCTAACTATACCAGCCATAACCCTGTGGGCAAAGTAATGTCCCGCGAGGAGCTCGAGAAAGTAGCCGATCTCTGCGTCAAGCATAACCTCATCATCCTCTCTGATGAAGTGTATGATCGACTCTTTTACGTCCCATTCACACGCATGGCAACGCTCTCACCCGAGGTATCCAAGCGAACTATCACCGTCGGTTCTGCAGGTAAGAATTTTTATGCCACTGGCTGGCGAGTTGGGTACCTCATTGGCGAAGAGCACCTTATCAAGTATGTCGCTGCTGCCCATACCAGAATCTGCTACAGCAGTGTTGCGCCCTTGCAGCTTGCCACTGCTGTTGGGCTCGAGAAGGCAGACGAGATGGGATTCTGGGACGAGAGCCGAAAGGAGATGCGCGGCAAAGTCGAGCGGTTCTGTGAGGTATTCGACGAGCTTGGAATTCCCGTACGTACATCCGTGTGACAGGTAACCTTAAGTAACTAGCTAGCGAAAGCTAACTTGCGATCGCAGTACTCTGATCCAGAGGGCGGCTACTTCGTCCTGGCCAATATGGCGAGCGTCAAGATGCCGGAAGACTACCCGTTCCCTCCTCACGTTGCCTGCCGGCCGCGCGATTTCAAACTGTCCTGGTTCTTGATTAAGGAGGTCGGCGTTGCCGCCGTCCCGCCTACTGAGTTCTACACTGACGCCAACGCCCACATTGCAGAGGACTACCTCCGATTCGCTGTCTGCAAGCCAGACCAAGTTCTGGAAACGGCCAAGGAGCGGCTCCGTGGCCTGAAGAAGTATATCCAGTAGCTACAATGTACATAACTAGTACCCTATTTTGTCTGTGTAGGATATCACTAGAGGCGGCCTGCCATTAGATTCACTATGCCATTGTCTTCATACCACCAGCTAACCTGTCCTGTCTACGTCCCGCTTCACCCCCTGTGCTGGCTCCTTGTCTCTGCTCTTCACTGCTGCCGCGGCTAACTTAGTCGAGCTTGGCGCCTGAACCAGCCGCGGAGCAAAAGCAGAACAAAAAGAACATCCGCTGCTTCGAAGAACAGAAGGAAAAGGCAAAAAAATTAATAATAGCCACGAACAAGCACAGCAACTCGCCAGCTTTGCCTTCGAGCCTTTGACACGAAGGAGACTGAGGCCATAGCCATCCGTGGTGACGCTCAAGTCGGTCGCCCGCGACAAGCCTGACTCGGAAAACTCTTCCCATCCTTAACTATTTCCAACGCCACGCTCAGCCTATCGCAGTGCAATAGCTATGGGTGATCAACAGAATATATCACAGATACTGGCAGCTCTAGGTACATTATCCCCCCGTCTAGTTCTTGTGTTCCTTTCATTCCTCTCTTGCGCTTCATCTGGGCCGACGTTTATGTTTTGTGCTCTGCTAACGGGGTCCGAATTTTTCTCTTTTTTTGTTTAGCTGCCGTTCGGCCTGCTGGCGCCCAATATGCTTCTCCTACGGGAGCTACACCATCAACTGCTCCTCCACCCTCTACAAATGCCGGAGGGTACTCCTTACCTCAGCCAGATAGCACCGGCAGCTTGAACATCGGCGGCGCAGCATCTATCAACGCTGGCTCAGTTAGTATAGCTGATGCGATTGCTAAGGCGCGAGGAATCGCTGCGGAGAAGGGAATCACATATAAGCCTACACCAGGTGAGTCTTTGTCGACCTATCCCTCTTTCGTTGAAAGAATATAGCTAACAGCCTTATGCAGTACAAACTCGAGACACCGGTCGATCGTCTCACCGACGTTCGCGGTCACCATCAAGGACACCTCCGCGTAACTCCACCTCTCGGGATGTGTTTAGAGACGGATACAATCCCTATCGAGACGAACGTCGAGGTGCCGATAGGCGCGGCGCTGGTGATCGTGGATATGGGCGAGAGAGGTCATCCTCTCCTAGACCGGACGCATACTCGCCTCCATCGAACAGGCATTACAGAGCTGGCGGTGATAGGTCTCCTCCGCCACGAAACCGAGGGCCTGGACCAGACGAGAACACCGAGACTATCGAGATAGACAATAAATATGTTGGATTGATAATCGGGCGTCAGGGAGAGAATCTTCGACGGATTGAGAACGAAACAGGTGCCCGTGTTCAGTTCCTTGACAGCGCAGAACATAACAAGGCCATTCGGCTCTGCAGATTAACTGGGACCAAGTCAGTAAGAGACAAGGCCAGGGCAGAGATAGACCGTGTCGTGAATGAAAATAACCAGTCTCGTAATGATGGTCGACCATCTGATCGGTCTGGTCAAGACGGTGGACGATCTGGTGAAGGAGACGAAACCACGAAGATTATGGTTCCTGATCGAACTGTTGGCCTCGTCATTGGTCGCTCGGGTGAGACTGTCAGAGATCTTGCTGAGCGGAGTGGGTGTCGCATTAATATTGCTCGCGATGGAGAAAGTATCAACGGTCTACGGCCGGTTACCTTGACAGGATCCCAACAAACGATACAGCGCGCCAAAGAGCTGATACTGGGTATTGTGGAAAGTGATACGAGAACAGGTGGGAACCAGGGACAACGGGAGCCAAGGGGGCAAGCCGCAGGTGGTGAGAACGGTGGAGGTGATAAGCTGAATGACAAGATGTTTATCCCGAAGGAATATGTTGGCATGGTTATTGGTAAAGGTATGCGTCTATTTCCTGCAGTTTCATACATTCAAGCAAGGCTGACATATAATCATAGGCGGAGAAACTATAAGAGAACTACAGAGCTTAAGCGGCTGTAAAATCAACATATTGCCACTTGTTGGTCGAGAGCCCGAGAGAGAGGTTACTTTCTATGGCGTCCAGACCGCAATTGATGCTGCAAAGAAAGCCGTACTGGCCAAAGTCGAAATTGCGGTATGCAGTATACCCACTACCAAGCCCAATATTTTATCCAGATTTAGCTAACTAACGAGATGCAATAGAAAAACCGCTCGCAAGGGCCTAGACGTGACGATTCTTATAACCAACAGCCCCAGTACCAACAGCAGCAGCAGCAGCCATATTCTCAGGACTCCAGTTCGCAACAGCAGTCTCAACAGCAACAGCAACAGCAGGCGATGCAACCCGGTGCGAGTGACGGAACAGACCCGTACGCCATGTATGGTGGTTATGAGAACTACATGGCCATGTGGTATGCTGCTTTGGCTCAGCAGCAGCAACAGCAACAGCAGCAACAACAACAGTACCCGCAATACCAAGGCGGAGGAGCGCCGCCTCAATCCGGCTCAGACCAGCAGGGACCCCCCGGGGTATCTTAATCTATCTGTCATCTTAATGCAACAAAGAAGGTCTCATGCTTATGCATGCCATCTTGTTTTATTTCCTGCCTATCGCGGGTTGTTGATTGTGTTCTCCCTTGATGAAAAAGCGTGCTTGATGGTCGGCTTAAATATAGCTCTGAGCATGTCTACTTTTTGCCATCTATATGATGTGTACGCAGTACATGATTTGACATTGCCATATTTCTTCTTCCCCTGTAATGCTACCTACTCTAATAACTATAACACGACTTCCTGTACCCCTGATATCACCCAGCACCTCAAGGACCGGATAGATCACGACCCGTATGTTTGTAAAAGTAGTGTGATTGAGTTAATGAAGGGCTTGTGGGTATTCGTAGGAATGAAACTAGGCAAAGGTACTTTTGTAAGGGCGCCCAGCAACTGCATAACTAGGTATAAGTAATCAGGTAAAAACAAATGCAGACATAGAGCAACATGGATGGGAAATATGGAGACAGGAGAAGGCAAGGGAATGAAGAGATAACCAAAAAAAAAAAAAAAAACAAGCAAACAGCAACAGCAAAGCAGCGAATACAGAGTAAACGATAAGTGTCCTTCACTAGTATTCAAGATGGACTTACAAGCCCTCTTTACAATTGCCAATTTCAATCTATACCTATGCCTTTAAGTAATGGATAGAAAGTAATGGGCAATGTAAGCCTAAGAGCTCTCAGGTATTTCTAAGTAAAAGCCCTTTTCGTGAGGACAGGTATAACCGACGAAAGGTACACCGTAACCCCTTATTTGCTCTCACTTGGAGTATTCGGGCGCGAGTTGATAACCTATTGAGGCTCAGTATTAGCTATATTTATTCGCTTAGTTAACCAGACATATGTGTAGTCGTATGAAACGCACCTTTAAAACCCGGATCTTTCTTCTTCTTTTCCATCACCTGGCGAGTTCATTCCTCCTCTTTAAGGGTAAGCACCATCAGAGAGGCTCGTGATTATTAGCCCGCAAGCTTGGAAGCAGAAGACCTTCAAGCGCAGGGTTAATAAACCTGGTCCCCCATCTAGTTACGCTCCGAAGATCCTCGCTTGAAGGGCGAGTATTGGTGGTTTGGAGCCTGTCCCAGTCCATGCCCATAGTGATACCGGCAATGTAGCCTAGCGTGAAAGCAGTCCAGTGTCTAGCACTGTTAGGACCATCTACATGGAATCTTTCAAGATGTTTTTCAGATCCTGGGGAGAGTACCGGCTGCCTGCTGGGCCGATATGGACATGTGTTGAACAATGTTTAGTGGAATGGATACTGCAATGTTGGAGTATCACGTTGAAGAAACGGTCAATATTGTCAGTCCACTGATCATGGCTGTGCAGTGTATCCCGCTCAGTTCGTCCACTCCTTGCTACCCGTGCCTCTGTCTCCATCCTCAACTTTCGATTTCAAAACCCAAATAAGGACATTCTCTCCCTTAGCGTGCTCTTCTATCTTGTCTAAGTAACCAAGGTTAATAGCACAATATTCTAACTATTTTTCCCTCCTCTTTTAGGCGTGGCTGGGTCCCGAGAGAGAACGTTGCCCGAGTAGTGACTTTCACTTCTGGTGTTTCCAGGTCAAGAACTTCCTATAAGCTCTTTGGAGAGGTAAAAGGCCCCGAGCTGGATATAATAACCGGATGTGTTGGGGAGCACGTGATAGATAGTTAACTAATTGTTGAAAAGGAGATCGATGATGTATTGAGATATCTTTGCGCTCACCGAATGTAGGTGTAGCGAAGCTGACTAATACACGTAATTTGACACTAATGTATAACTAGGCTCTAGCAGAGGCTCTGGTATAACTAGCAGAAGTATAGGTATATACTTATCTAGATTATACCGCAGACAGTTTGTAGCAACTATTCTCCCTCGTGGAATCTTAACACGGCATCTATTGTAAGAAGAAGAAAGAGATCTTATAGCTATATATTTCATTGAGATGCAAAGCTATTGAAAGAGTTATCGCGAATAGCTATGCACAGGCGTCAGAAGAACTAGCCATCCCAAGGTATTTGCGTTCCTTCTCTGGCTCAACGACTTGGCTATCATCTAAGTCCCTCACTCCTGTCTCTATCTAACTAGCGCAATGGGCCACGGGACCAACACATTTGACGCAAGAAGCGATTCTGCTGGCCTTGTAGGGCTCGATGCATTTATAGAGACCGTATCCGGCGATATCGGGGTCCTCCCAGCCTTTTATTGAGTCAGAGCTGATTTAGACTTTGCGGGATATCAGAGTCACTTACCAAGGTCGTTCCTGAGATACCAGCCACAGTAATTGGCGCCAATTTTGCAGGACTTGATAGCGAAGGTAGAGGCGTGTTCATCGTTGGGGGCCGCCTTGTCTTGCCCAGCGGTCACAACATCAGCAGGTGGCTTCTCCTGAAGGGCCGCGCCACTCGCGAGTGCGGCGAGGGCAAGAGTCACAAAGGTAGTGATTTGCATATTGACTGCTGTTGGAAGATCTGCTTTCGAACTATTGCTTGTGGGTGAATGATGCTAAAAGAGAAGGTCTTGCTCGAGGCCGAAGACTCCCTTTTATATCTCTTCGAGGCCAGTTCAACGTTCCCTCTTGGGTTGATACGAATTAACTCACTGCCCAGACTGCTGACAACTTCTTGCTCCCCGTATAGCTGGTAAATTTAGACATTGCTATACCTCCAAAGGTGAAGCAAGTGAGCAGAGCATAGGGCGTACGAAGGTGAAGTCGCTCTCCATTCTCGATTGGGAGCAGGTTGCGATACCTTGGCAGCAGAACACACCATAATCTGCTTATCCGAACTCGTATACAGCATTAACAGAGCTTCAACCAAGAAGACCACATCGTATCGCGAGTCCATTCTGATATCCGGGAAGTGCCGAATAACAAAACGGAGATGGTCTCTGTGCGAAGACTCCGCGGGCCGAGACTCAGCTAAACGGGCCTCGGCGAGTCGGAGTAACTAATTGTTAAACTAAAAAGCAACGCTACTTAGTTAGCAGCAGCGGAATGAGGATAGGCACTTCTGACACTAATCTACTCCTGGTGTCTCTCAAATTCAACGAACCGATAACAGGAATATGCTCAAAGGCGAACAAACAACCCTTGTTCTAGAGCATTGATACCCAAACAAGATACAAGTTACTTGGGCGGTATACTATCTAACCACTGACTCTAGTTCTACACCCTAACGCCACTCACCCGCGCATTCCGGTGAATAACATTCTTGATTAGATAGAGCTAAACATTTGCACGAGTAACTCTTGCACAAGTGTTACAAGGGATGTCTTTCCTTAGACACTAATGGGTAGTAGTGATATAAGGGCGGTAGCCTCAAGTAAAAGGTAGCTTAGGTGTTTTCAGAGAACGACGCCGCCAGAGGATATCAAGACACACCTAGTTATCCTTGTCCTGAAGCGCTGGAGGACGCGCATGGATAGCTGGCCCGCATGGCAATAGCCTGGGATCAGTTATGCTCTGATATACAAGTCGCGAAAGACTCCCACCTTTTGCCCCTTATCCGCTGCTTGAGTCTTAAAGCCAGGCGATATCGACCATGCAAGCTAGCTAAATGCAATGTACTCTGTTATGCATTTACAAACACACTTCCGTTGCTAACCTATGAGACTTATCAAACGGGCCAAGTTTCTAATATATATTTTCCATTGACATACATATTATCACCTTACCTGCATAATTGGAAAAATAGATATACAGTCACAATCCATCACAATTTATTTCCTTGGACATGATATTTCACCATTACTACTCTATGATATATTGTTTTTAAACTACTCCGATCTCATTACAGCTTTTTTATTGCGCCTGTCAAACCCTACAGTCGGAAGATCAAAGCTCTCCATACGCCCTTTGCACCTACAAGCCACCACCATGACAAACCAGAAGGAAATGGGGTATGGTTGGCTTGCGAAAGCGAGATTTGAGCAAGAAAATGCGTTAAAGCAACAATCCCAGAACTGGAAGGTCGCAAGATGGCAGGCATACTGGGAGGATGTCCGTAAGGGGACTGTGAAATCGATAAAGTACTATATCCTCATAACTAGCTTGGGGCTGTTTACATCGCCTGAAAAGTTGCAGGAGATTGCTGGTCTTCCATCAACCCCAGAGCTCCATACCACTGTGAAGCTGGAAAATATGGACGACAAACCAACAGCAGAGCCTAGGAGGAAGAGAAAGTCCAATACTGCACAGTTCGTGACCTGTGGCAAGTAAAGGACCTCACTTACGGAGTATTTCAGCTAATATGGGGTCAAAGTGGCCCAATTGGCGCATGGCTCGCGTACTCTTTGAAGGCGGATGACCGACAGTGGGATGATTTTCGCGAAGCATGCCGTAAAGGAGCCATTACATACACCAACGGCACCTATCCCATTATCATATCCAACTCAGGTCCTTTTACGTCCCCCGAAAAGATACAGGAAGCTCTTGGACTGACAGCACTGCCGGAAGTGAAGGAAGCCGCCCGGGCAAAGTTTTCTGAAAAAACGCAACCTTGGACGAAAGAGGGGGATGAATTACAGTATTGCGATGTTGACCTTCGCTACTTGGATAAGATAGAGGAAATTTCTGACGGAGAGGATATCCTTATTTGGGTCGATTTCAAACAAAGGTGCGGCTGGCTTGCACACTCCATGAAATCAAGAGTTGGATGTGAAGACGTCAACAATAGCAAAGAAAATGCTGAATGAGAGAGAACTTCCCCGACAGCTACTGCTACCGAACAACGGCTTTTGGTCTTTGAATTGTGTTACTTTCTTATTTCCCCCTTCTCTATCCCTATGATCTAAAGAGACCTAGTGATCCTTCTGTGTATGTGAAGCCATTCAATAGACACTCTTGAACAATCAACAATCCAGCCGTGTACCTAACCGAATTTATTCACTCCTTGTTTTTGCCTTGGCTTGACTTTATGTATATACAACAACTATTTCTATGTGATCGGGTCGGAACAAATAGGGCTTATTTTAAAAGGCATGATTGCTAAGAGTAAATTTGCCTAGATGACCAAAGAGTTTCCAGGGATCACCGCAACCGGTCATGGTAGAAGGCTTAAGAAGGGGCCTGTTAATCAACTTCTGTAGGGTCCTTCGCATCCCGCAAGATTCGGTTGTAGGTTCAACCTCTCAAAGATATGGGCAAACGTCATCAGGTTGTCAAGCATGACCCTTTTTAGCTCAAGCTCTGAGTGGAGAGGCTTAACTACGACATCGATAGCTAGCCGCTGAGGGAGGTGAGCAGATGGATACTGCCGGCATGGTCGTTTCATCCACAACAGTCCAGGCTCAAATGCTTTGCTCAAGGCTGTCCATCTTGCTGAAACAAACTCCACCTACTGGGAGAAGCCCTGTCCAGTCGCTGCAGGGTCTTCATTCTTCAGGCATCTCGCACCCTGTCGTGTCGTGTCCCAGTTAGCGCCCGTCGTTCTGCGTCTTCTTGTTTGTTGATGTTCGTTTCTCTTGCCGCTGAGCTTCTAGCCAATCAGCTGTTTCAAAGCCACTTACCGCTCACGGGCCTCAAACATCACGTGATACACCTTAAGAACTTTTCTATTTTTGGTTTTTGGTCAAAAGTTTTCTTCGACTTCAACGCATCAAATTTGCTGCTGGCGCCGTCATGGAGACGAGTTTGTCGACTGACAGGCCATACCATGGCGTGGCATGGGAGCTGGATACGGCCTATGGGCTGTTGCGCGACCGGCCGACGTGGACTTGGGCGCGAAGTGAATCATAGCTTCCGCTTGGCTTGCCGTGATAGCTGGACGATGGCATTGAACTTGCGCTAGACTGGAGGGACGTTAGAATGATAAATACTATCAAGCCCAGATATTGCTAAATATCTGGTTTCTTCATCTTTTATCTTTCTATTCATATACATTCTATGCGTGTTCACTTGATGTGAATTACGTGAGGGGCCTATTTTTCTATTATTGTTTATTCATTTCTTGCATATACAGTGAAGATACCCTTAGTTTTTATTTGTGTCCTCTTACTGGAGTTCATTTGAACTATTCATTAAAAGTGTCCTTTGATTGACAATAACCTTCTTTTCTTGAATCTTTTCTTTTCAAACCCTTTCCTTATATTTCCGGGGCCTTCTTACACTTCCTAAGACGCTTTAGCTTTATATTCTTTTTCTTTTACTTCTTCCTCTCTAATTTGCAACGAAATTCCTTCCTTTTTTTCACCACAGAGCCAGATCCCAAACTGTCTGGCCTACGAACTTGAACCTGCGCTGGTCGCATTACTGCATCCACGCTACCACCCTCATAGCCGATATTATGCAGTTCTCACGGTTTATTCCCCGAGCGGGAACTCCTACCCTCCCTCCATACGGAGCTCACGATGCCCCATCCTCAGCGGACAGACCCCGCGGTGCTGCTCCTCCAGACGCCATAACGCCATACTTGGGCCTTAGAGCTCGGCTCTCGCAAGTCTGGATCAATAAATGGACGATTCTTATACTCCTCGTGCTCGTCAGATTGCTAATTGCAGTCAGCTCGCTGGACCACAATATGGCCTCTGCAGAGAGAGAAGCACTTTCGGCATGCACCAGTGTTGAATCTATGGGCAGCGCTATGGCTTCGATGCCTCACTACATGTCCATGGGAGTCAACGAACTCACTGCCTCTGGTGTTGAAAAGGCTGTTAACGGATTGATGTCGATGCTATCTCTTGTCGTTACCGGTGTGGAAGAGATCGTCCTTTTCATCATTCATGTCTTGACCAGCACATATCTTTGCCTTATCACCCTCGTGGTCCGTGGTAGTTTACACGTTGCCTTAAAAATTATTGAAGATACGACCGAGTTCCTCAACAAGACCCTCCACGAAATCGGATCCGGCATCAGTAAAGGCGTCGATGGTTTCCAGAAAGAAGTCAACGAGTTTATAAAGGGAATCAACACAGTCACAAGCCTTTTCGGAGATAACAACAAGATTCCTTCCCTAGATATTTCTGGCGAGGTTAACAAGTTGAACGATCTGAAGTTACCATCTTCCATCAATGACGGATTAGACAAAATCAACTCTTCAATTCCTACATTCGACGAGGTTCAAGAGATGGCTGATACCGTTATTCGAAAACCTTTCCAACTTGTGAAGAAACTTATCAACGAAACCGTAGTTGACTACCATTTTGATCGCACTCTTTTCCCGGTTCCTGAAAGGGAAGTTCTTGATTTCTGCACTAAGGATGATGGCATTGGCAAATTTTTCGACGGACTCAGAGTGGTCATTAGCACCGCGCAGAAAATATTCATTGGCGTCCTTATTGTTGCTGCTATTGCTGCCTGCGTTCCTATGGGGTATGCCGAACTTCGTCGATATCGTCGCATGAAGGAACGATCACTCTTGGTACGGAAAGATGCCCATGATCCGATGGATGTGGTCTATATAATTTCTCGGCCTTACACCTCTGCTGGTGGGCTGAAGATATCCAGCTGGTTCCGATCTGGTCGCAAACAAGTTCTCGTCCGATGGATGGTTGCCTACGTGACTTCTCCTCCAGCTCTCTTTCTCCTTTCTCTTGGAATAGCTGGTCTCTTCGCTTGTCTTTGTCAATACCTTCTTCTCCAAGCAGTTAAGAAGGAAGTTCCTGCTCTCACAGGCCAAGTGAGCCAGTTTGCTGACAAAGTGGTTCACTCGCTCAACAATGCTTCTAAACAATGGGCAACCGGCACTAACGGAGTCATCGACCATACAAACAATGATATCAATCAAAAGGTCCTAGGATGGGTGAACCAGACCACTGGTCCCGTAAACGATACCTTGAACACCTTTGTCGAGAAGACTAGTGATATACTTGATAAAGCTTTTGGCGGCACTATCCTCCGCGACCCAATCCAAGAAGTTCTCCACTGCCTTATCGGACTTAAGATTGAAGGTATTCAGAAAGCCCTTACATGGGTATCCGACCATGCTCACGTTGACTTCCCTCATGTCCGCGAGGATATGTTCTCCCTGGGTGCTATCCAAAGCATCTCCAAAGACAACGCTACCAATCCAGATAGCTTCCTTGCCAACCCAGGAGACAAGACAGCAGATAAAATTAGCTCGGTCGTCATCCGTGTGACTGATGCAGTGGAATCGGGTATCAAAACTGAAGCACTCATATCTGCTGGTCTTATCTGCCTTTGGGTATTCCTCCTGTTAATCGCTTCCATTCGCGTACTCACCCTTGCTTGGCGTCGAGACAGAGTACGTGGCGACGGTGGCATCGACGCGATCTACCACCCCCCTGCCATTGGTGCGCGTGCCATTCCAAACATTGAACTGAATAACTTCCACGATGTTCCGCTCAATAGCCCTGCGATTGGGAGTGGAGGAGCTGGCATGGCTCTCGGTGCGGCTCCCAAGTACAGTGCGACGCCAAATCCCCCTAGATCCTTACACCCAACTGCCACCAGCAATGAAGAAGATTACCAGGCTCAAAAGCTTGGATATGCAGGCCAGAGAGACTACGAAATGGCATTACAAAAAGACATGAGGACGAGTAGTCACGGCCAAGTGGAATATGGGGTAGATGTAAAGCATGGTTGAAGATGAGGTACATGTACAACTAAGCATTTCCTTTGTTTTATTTTCCTTTTTCTCCCTCTTCGGTGCATTGAGCATTTGATATTTACCCGGGAGTATGGTGCAAAGCAGGCAGGCATTTACATGTTGATCGAATAGCTAGAGCTAGAGCCTTCAAAGGCAAAGAAAGTAGAAGACGGAATATACCCATGAGTGCTTTAGTAAAAGATATATCCTTCATTCAGTCGTTCAATCCAAGTGTGCAAATTGACATATACAGCTAAATAGTAACAAAGAAACCATCACCCTTATCCTCCACCCTTCCCCTTTTAACGAGGGGATCACAACAAGATATTCTAATCCTCTCGGGAGTTGCGGGGCTGTTTAAACGCAGTACTTCTTCCGACTCCCACTCTTTCCGAGCAGCTTTCAGCGCATCTCGAATGGCGAAGAAAACAGCGCTTCCCATGAACAAAGGTGGCTCGCCCACTCCTCTTGATCGTTGAATGGTTCGCAAATCCTTCCATTCTACGTCTTTCAGGAGGCTGACATTGAATATTTGGGGGATATCCCTGAATCCCGGAATCTTGTACGTCCCTGGCCCGCGGGTAAATACTTGTCCAGACGCACGATGCCAAAGGCTTTCCTCAGTCGTAAATAGGCCTTGCCCCTGAATGAATGCACCTTCTATCTGACCATAGTCAATCGAGGGATTGATACTTTGACCCACATCCATTTTAATATCAGCACGTAAAGGAGTCCAGTCTCCAGTCAAAGTATCTATCTCAACTTCTGCAGCAGTGACACCCTGCGTGAAGTAATAGAACATCTTGCCTGAGTTCTCGCCCCATTTATACCCAATCTCAGGGGTTTTATAAAAGCCTTGTGCGGAAAGGTTCACACGGTCAAAGTATGCTGCAGTTGCGAGTTCTTTCATAGTGGCATTGGGATTCGCTTCTCGATATGGGCGAAGCCGTTCGTTAAGTTGTTCACATGCATTAAACAATGCGTATCCGTTGAGGTCTGAGCTTGCCGAAGCAGCAGTAGGCGATGAATTGGCTACAGTATTCGTCGCAGTTTCGGAGATGAAAACACTTGATTGAGGAACCTTGAGCGCCTCAGCAGCGATCATGACCATCTTAGTATGCAAGCCCTGACCCATTTCGGTACCACCATGAGCCAAGAGGATGCTACCGTCACGATAAATATGTACTAATGCCCCGGCTTGATTCAGGAACAGGGCTGTGAACGATAAACCGAACTTGGTAGGTATTATGGCAATTCCCCTCTTCGACCATTTGTGGGTTTTATTATACTCTTCCACAGCTTTTTGACGGACATAATAGTTTGATTCCTCAAGGACCTGCTTATACATTAGCGGTACATGCCAATCGGTGAGTGCCTGATTGAAATGAGTTTCCTCCTGGTCCTTGTACATGTTGATCTCCCTCAGCTCCTCCACTGGTATCTTTAAGTGATCTGCAATCTCGGAGACAAAACTTTCGGCAAAGAACATGCCCTGTGGCCCTCCAAACCCTCTGAAGGCAGTGTTTGAAACGGTATTGGTACGGCAAAGGTATCCACGAACATGGACGTTGGGTATCATGTAAACTCCATCAATGTGAGAAAGAGCTCGCTGAACAACACCAAGAGAAAGGTCCTGGGAATGGCCACCATTTGCATAGACATCTGCGTCAAGTGCCTGAAATTTACCGTCCTTGTTCACGCCAACTTTCCAGTGGCACAGGAATGGATGGCGTTGTCCAGAGGTCGCGATATCCTCGTCACGATTAAGCATGCAACGGACAGGTCTCTTGGTTTTCTTCGCACCAAGGGCACATATACTGGCAATTTGCACGGATCTGGATTCCTTTCCACCAAACCCACCGCCCAGCCGCTTAACTCGGCAGACAACTTTATTCTCTGCAACACCGGTGACTTTGGCAACAAATGCTTGACTATAATATCAACGGTTAGAAGATAGCTACATTAAAATTATTCAGTAGACTTACACTTCCGCGGGGTTTTGTGTACTGCTGAACACCTCAATTTCCCCGTCTTCTGGCTTTGGTACAACCGCACACGCATGGGTTTCGAGGTAGAAGTGCTCCTGACCTCCAATTCTAGTGACTCCGCTGTAGACATGATCTGACGAAGCAAAGGCTGCTTCGACATCTCCTTTCTTAATCTCTGGTGTAATGTTCTTGAAGAACGAGTTTTGTTCGATCGCTTGTTCAATAGTTAGGATGGCGGGAAGAGCTTCATATTCAACTTTGACAGCTCTAGATCCAGCCTCCGCCAGTCTAGCAGACGTTGCAAGAATCATTCCAAGTGGCTGGCCATCGGTGATAACTTCATCAACTGCAAAATATACTTCGTCCGAGACTGGTGCCCCCCACCAATTCGACTCTGGGTTAAGAAGATCTTTAGCGCTCACGTAGTCAACCACACCCGGGATATCCAATGCTGGGGTAAAGTCAATGCTTAGTATCTTAGCTCGAGCTTTGTTTGAAAGAACGAGACATCCAAATAGTTCGTTTTTCTGTACCGGAATGTCATCAGTGTACTGAGCTTCTCCGGTGGTCTGCAGAAGTGCAGAAACAGTAGGTGTTGCCTTTCCAACAATTTTCTGGGAATATGCGGTTGTTGCTTCATGATCTTTAACACCGGAAGACAGTGCTCGTTTAATCTCTGGTACGGCGTCTTCTTCACAATGAACCTGGGTACCTTGGATGGATGAGAGTACGTCATGGTAAAACCGGTAGAAGAAACCAAAAGCTAGGGTCTTCCGGTAAGTAGGCATGCCTCCCGGCACTGACGATGGAAGGTCAAAATCCTGGCCAAGGGCGTCCATTACCCCTTCAATTGTTGCGGGGTCTGTCCAATCTTTTCCGACAATGAATTCTTCCGCATTCTTTGCAGGTATAGTGGTTGGTGCCATACCGCCATAAACCAAATTTGCGCTTGTAACAACGTTCGAATCAGAAAGTGATACGCGCAAGGCTGCGTTGACAATAGCGATGTCATCGTCTTTCCTCTTTGCCTGCTTGTACGCTCGTAGATATTCTCCTTTCTCTTGAGCAATAGGAATACGTAATTTTTCAACCACAGCATTTTCAGGAAGTGCCGTCTTTCGGTACCCTTTGAAAAATTGACCCATCGGTATTTGAACCTCTTCCTTTAATGACTTGGCGAAGAGGATGGTACCAGTTGCGACAAATACTGGGTTGAGATCAGAAATCGGAGATGCTGTGGCTATGTTACCAGCCGGCGAAGCCACGTTCCGTATTTGGCGTCCAGCAAAGTATCGTATCTGCTTTTTGATGGCAATAAATGGCTGTGCTTTGGCGGATCCATACCTGTGGAGAGCCTGGTCACAGATCACTTCCAGGTCTGTGAGTGAAACATTGGCTCCAAGGTCCAGATAGTCGTCAGTGAAATTATACTGTTTCAACTCTTGAATGTCACCAACGTATACCGAGTGTTTGTACTCCTTGGCCTTGAACTTGATTTCGATCTGTGTCTCAGAACTCCCTCCTATAATTTTGGCCTCTGGGTATGCATCCTTAATCTCCAGGAGTTGCTGAAGCGTTACGGGTCTGTACCACCGTTTCCTCTTATTCCCAAAACTTAGGGGTTTGAGCTCGTGTCTGTGCAGTTGGGGAGGGAAGATGAGTTCTGTTTCTGGGTTGTATGGGATAAATTCTGGAGAATCGAATGATTTTGCAATAGATTTTTGAGTTATCCCGTCGGCATTGCTATTCTTTGTACCGCCATTACAGCTTCCGCCGTTTTCCTTACAGCACCCCAATCCCCCATTTGCCCGTGCCTTGGCGCATGATGGGGTGGAGAATGACTGCGCCGAGTCGAGGATTGACCGGTATCCAGTACATCTGCAAAGATTACCATCGAACGCTTCTTCAATCGCAAGTTCCGAAGGGGTAGGTTCATTCCTTAGTAAGGCATATAAGCTCTAGAGGAAAAAGTTAGCCTAATAAAGTTATATAACTCCTATATTCCCAAGCTTTTGCCTACCATGACTATCCCCGGAGTACAGAAACCGCACTGACTTCCATTTCCGACTGCTATCCGCTGTTGGACTGGGTGAGGATTTTTCGAACTCCCTATCCCTTCCACGGTGATAACGTGCTTCCCGTCGACACTCACCAACGGTGCCAAACACGCATTTACTGAGGCGTGATATATCTCCTTGGTGGTCGGGTTGCGGTACGAAACGACCTAATAAATATCGATAAATAGTTAGGATGGTGCTCCCTGATTAGAAAGTAACTAAGAAAAAAACCGGTGACATACCACGGTGCAGGCACCGCAACCACCTTCTGCACATCCAAGCTTTGTGCCAGTAAGTCCAATACCTCGAAGGTACTCCAGAAGTGTTGCCTCAGGGTCTACCAAGTCTAGGGTAACCTTTGTGCCGTTTAGATAGAACCGGAGCGTGTCATCATATGTCTCTGTCACCGCAGCTAGGGAATTTTTGGATGCAGGGGGCTGTGACTCCTCTACAGTAGCAGGAGCCATGATGAAATGTGAAGTAATTGAGTAACCAAAAGAATGTGCTAAATGGATAATAATGAAGATAAAAATAAAGCTATTTTCTCAGGGCCGTACTGGCAGCAAAAAGATGTAGTAGCTGGCTGCTTTTAACGACGCCATGAAGCGGCGGAGTTCTCGTCCCTGTCTCTCCTCCGCGCGGTTATCTTAAGCTTAATCCGCCATCCTTTCTTGGCACCTAAGCGCTGCGGGGCTGACGTGCGGGGAAACTCGGGCATCGCCACTCGCCGGTATCTGTATTGCCAGTATTCTTAGTCATTCTTAGTCATGTGACACATATAATACCGGAATTTAGTTACTCCGTATTCCAGGCCTCGGCACATGATTGGCTAGTATGCGATCAACTTAGTCAGCAGTACCGATATCGCGATGGTGGGTTGAGTCATTTCTAGATAAGCCAAAGTTGGAAAAAAAAGTAGAACATCTTGATTTCGACTTCGACTTCAACTACCACAGCTTGCAAAGTGAGCGAAGAGGAGGTGCTGGCCGAAGGCAGATGAGCTGAGAAGCATCCATCATGGGAATTGAGAGCGGTGCTTTGCAAGAGCGCCTCGAGAGATGGGCCCAACGACTGAAGAATCTCACAATCTCACCGCTCACGCGAGACTATCCCGAATCCACGTCGGCAGGGTCGTCCAAGCGAGCAATTGAGGCATTCGAGTCGTTGAAGCTCTCACCAAATGAACAGGCAGCTGTGAAGAAGCTGTGTACGTCCAGGGAGTCGACGTTCCTCGTCTTTCTCACTGCTCTCGTTGTCATAGTCAGCAGGTTGACCGGGGATGAGGATATTGCCCTGGGAACAAGCTCCGAGAGCGATGGACGGCCGTTTGTATTACGGATACCCATCAACCACAGCGAAACCTTCGCCCAATTGCTCGACAGGGTTACCAATATATACGACGAGAGTGCTGCAGACATAGTTCCACTCAGAAGTCTGCGAGCTTATATCCAAAACACCTCCAAGCTCGAGCAGGAGCCAGTGCTCTTCCGCTTTGCCGCCTACGATGCGCCTGCTGCGTCCCAGGATTACCCAGCAAACACCTTCGAGACGACTGATCTGCTCTTGAACATTGCATCTTCTGACTTTGAAGTCGGTGGCTACTACAACCAGCGTCTCTTTTCCAGCGCTAGGATAGCCACAATTTTGGCACAGATCGTTCGCGTAGTATACAATGCATCAGCTAACCCTGAAGAGACTATTGGAAGGATTGAATTTCTCACTGAGTCGCAGAAGGCTCTCTTACCAGACCCCACGGTTGACCTGCACTGGTCTGACTTCCGTGGAGCAATCCACGATATCTTTTCCCGCAATGCGGAGGCTCATCCGGAGAAGCTTTGCGTAATCGAGACCAAGTCGCGTTATAACCGACATCGACAGTTCACTTACCGACAGATTCATGAAGCTTCGAACATCCTCGGACATCATCTGGTTCAATCTGGTGTAGAAAGGGGCGATGTTGTCATGGTATATGCCCATCGAGGCGTTGACCTTGTCATTGCCGTCATGGGTATCCTGAAGGCTGGCGGCACCTTCTCTGTCATCGATCCCGCATATCCTCCCGAAAGGCAGATCATTTATCTTGATGTTGCACGACCTCGAGCTTTGATAAACATCGAGAAGGCTACCCTAGACTCCGGCGAGCTGGCTAACTCTGTTCGTGCCTTTGTCGATCAAAACTTGGAGCTCAAGACGGAAGTTCCGGCTCTGGTCCTGAACGATGATGGCACTCTTGAAGGAGGCTTGATCAAGGGTGTTCCAGTTTTGGAAAAGCAGATCCCTCTCAAGTCAACGCCAGTTGGTGTTGTTGTTGGACCCGACTCCGCACCTACTCTCTCCTTTACCTCTGGGTCTGAGGGCCGTCCAAAGGGTGTCAAGGGGAGACATTTCTCTCTAGCTTACTACTTCCCATGGATGGCGAAGACTTTCAAGCTCACCCCTGATGACCGTTTCACCCTTCTCAGTGGTATTGCTCACGACCCTGTACAGCGTGATATATTCACCCCTCTGTTCCTTGGTGCCCAGCTACTAGTTCCTTCAAGAGAAGACATTCAGAATGAGCGGCTGGCTGAATGGATGCGTGAATACAAGGCAACGGTTACTCATCTAACCCCTGCTATGGGTCAGATCCTTGTGGGTGGAGCCACAGCTCAATTTCCATCGCTTCATCATGCATTCTTTGTCGGCGACATTTTGATTAAACGCGATTGTCGATCCCTTCAGAGTCTGGCGCCAAATGTCAACATTGTGAACATGTACGGTACCACTGAGACCCAGCGTGCTGTTAGCTACTTTGAAATTCCTTCCTCGACAGAACAGGTGGGATATCTTGATACCGTGAAGGACGTCATTCCTGCTGGAAAAGGAATGGTAGACGTCCAGTTGCTTGTCGTTAACCGATTTGATCGAACCAAGCTTTGTGCCATTGGAGAAGTTGGAGAAATATATGTGCGTGCCGGTGGTCTTGCCGAAGGCTATCTAGGTTCTCCAGAATTGAATGAAAAGAAGTTCATTCCAAACTGGTTTGTTGACCCTCAAGTTTGGAAAGATAAGGAGAAGGAGCGAGCATCCTCCTCCACTGAGCCATGGAGAGAATTTTACGTCGGCCCACGAGATCGTATGTACCGCAGCGGTGATCTGGGCAGGTACACTCCAACGGGCGATGTGGAATGCTCAGGAAGAGCCGATGATCAGGTTAAAATCCGAGGCTTTAGAATCGAGCTTGGAGAAATTGACACGCATTTATCTCGCCATCCTCTTGTTCGAGAAAATGTTACTCTAGTCAGACGTGATAAGTTCGAAGAGCCAACACTTGTCAGTTATATTGTTCCTCAAATGGGAAAATGGTCTTCCTGGCTAGAGCAGAAGGGATTGAAAGACAACACATCGGCCGAGGGAATGGTTGGAATGTTGACCCGGTTCCGACCCCTTCGTGATGATGCGAGGGAATACCTTCGTGGGAAACTTGCATCATATGCAGTTCCGACCGTCATAATTCCACTACGAAGAATGCCATTGAATCCGAATGGTAAAATAGACAAGCCCGCCCTCCCCTTCCCTGACACTGCTGAACTCAGCGCTGCCGCCCCGCGTCGCCGATCTTCAGTCCTGCAGGAACTTTCGGAGACCGAGCAAGAGGCAGCAAAGGTCTGGGCAAACCTACTTCCAAACACTACTGCCAGAATGATCGGGCCAAATGACTCCTTCTTTGACCTAGGCGGACACAGTATTCTTGCGCAGCAGATGTTCTTTGAGCTAAGGAAAAAATGGAGAAGCGTCGACATCAGCATGAGTGCTATCTTCCGAAACCCGACACTCAGGGGGTTCTGCAATGAAATCTCGCGTATTCAAGATAGCCACTCCTTGACTGGCGATGGTCAAAACCAGAGCGCAGAAGGAGCGCAAGTAGAGAAGCCAGCCAACGACGAGTATTCAAAAGATGCAAAGGAATTGGTTTCCAAGCTCCCTAACGAGTTCGCTGCTTCGGCCGAGTCTGCTTTGAAGGAAGGTTCAACGGTATTTTTAACCGGCGCAACTGGTTTCCTTGGAGCATATATTCTTCGTGATCTCCTTTCAAGGTCAAACCCGTCTCTCAAAGTTGTTTGTCTTGTCCGTGCCAAAAGCCCCCAACTGGCCCTTGAGCGAATCCAGTCAACCTGCAAGGCATATGGTTTCTGGTCGGACTCATGGTTTAAACAGCTGGAGTGCGTTCAGGGAAACTTAGGTGATGAGAACTTAGGCCTTTCTGCAGATCTTTTCAATGATCTTGCAAACCGTGTTGATGTGGTTATTCATAACGGTGCACTTGTTCACTGGGTTTACCCCTATTCCAATCTCAGAGGTCCAAATGTCTTAGGCACTATCGACACGCTGCGTCTATGTGCCTCTGGCAAGGCAAAACAATATGCGTTTATCAGCTCTACTAGTGTACTGGATACCGACTACTACGTGCAAGAATCTGAGAGGATCGTTGCTGAAGGTGGGCTGGGTATCAATGAGTCTGATGACCTTGCTGGAAGCCGAGAGGGCCTCGGCACTGGATACGGACAAAGCAAATGGGCTGGAGAATTCCTTGTTAGGGAGGCCGGTAAGAGAGGTTTAAGAGGGGCGATTGTTCGTCCTGGCTATGTAACTGGAGACTCCACGACAGGAAGTAAGTTATATACCCCACAATATCCGATATGAATATGCAAACTGACGAATGACGATTTTAATAGATACAAACACCGATGATTTCTTGATTCGAATGATCAAGGGATGCATTCAGCTTTCGTCAAGGCCGAATATTCACAATACCATTAACATGGTTCCTGTGGATCACGTAGCGCGGGTTGTTGTTGCATCGGCCTTCCATCCTCCAAAGCCGGAGCTCTCTGTGACACATGTAACTAGTCATCCCCGCCTCCGATTCAACCAATTCCTCGGCACGCTACAAACGTACGGCTACGACGTTCCGCAGGTTGATTACGTGCCATGGTCTAGCTCGCTGGAACAATATGTGAACGATGCGCAAAATTCCGTTTCTCAGCATGCATTGTAAGAACCACTAATATCCCTATGAAACGGAATGAAAATCTAGCTAACTAGAACTTTCTTTAGGATGCCACTATATCACTTTGTCACTGCGGATCTGCCTTCAAATACTAGGGCTCCTGAGCTCGACGACACCAATGCCTCAACATCACTCAAAACAGATGCCAAATGGTCTGGAGTTGATGTATCCGCCGGCAGTGGTGTGACTGAGGAACTAATGGGTCTCTATCTTGCCTACCTCGTCGCAATTGGATTCCTTTCGTCACCAACTGCGACTGGCGCCAAGTCCCTTCCAACCGTTAATCTTTCTGACGCACAAAAGGCCGCTCTTGCTGGCGTGGGTGGTCGCGGTGGTACTTCTTAAGCTACCTAATACTTGCACCTACTTTACCTGGAGTCTTGGTAAAAAAAAAAGCAAAAAGCTCCTTTTGCATTATCTGGCTTTGGTATAGAAACCATGGTTAAAATTTTGATGTCTTTAACATAAAAAAGCGCCTTTCGGATATCCATATTTTTAATTATATTTTTTGATACTCAAATAAACAACTGCTGAAATAAAAGAAATAAAAGCGACATCTAATCTAAACACAATCTTAAATCACTTCTCCGTCTTGATCTCTTCGATTTTGGCAAAGATCAAATCCGCTGCCCAGTCTAACAATTGATGCATAGGAGCTTCACCCTTTCCAGGCGCAACAGCGATTCCCAAATCTTCCCTGACAAAAGACCCGTCTCCAATGAGTTCCTTCATTTTGTCAAGGTCCATCTTGCTAGCAGACGCAGAATCCGGGAGCAAGAGCCATGAGCAATTTGAAATATATCGAGGCCAAACAATATCATCAACGTAGCCTGGGGGATCTATCCAGAAGTTAACGGGTGCACCATCTTTTCCATTGCCGTCTTCAGCCCCGTCATCTGCAGACTTGTCTTGCGAGTTATCTTCCTCTCTAAACACAGGAGTTGGTGCAGGCCCGATAGTAACATATCCTGTTCTTCCCTCCCGGCGCTCCTTGAGCAGTGGATACGTCACCGGCAAGAAGATAGGGAGGTTGATCTGATCATGAACATGCCGCAATGGATGTGTAGAGTCATTTGAAGGAGCATATAACAAAAAGCCATCCACGAACACAATAGTTAAGCTAGGATCCAGTCCCTCTGTTCTCTGCTGCTGGCTTGCTAAATGTTGCTGTAGCTGCTGGGCTATACGCCCTTGTAATGCATGTATGGTGGCTTCATCAACTCCAGAGTCCGTAGCGTCATTCAAATCCTCCTTGCTTTTCAACTTGGGAGGAAATCCACCCGTTTCACGAATATGAGACAGGCAGGAAACAAATTGCTTGATATCAAAAGCCTCAACAGTATCCCAGTCCTGGACCAGTTTGCCCGACGATGTAGTTGTAATTGGAATTCTGCATAGCCGCTATTAGAACCGTACTATTATCCGACTTAGGTTCACTATATCGTTGTATAATTTGCTTACTGGTTGTCAGCCTTGTAGAAGTCATCTTCATGTACCAGATAAGTTTTGATATCACCGTTCGACTCTTGCTTTGGGGTAAAAACCGTTCGCAAAAGTCGTGCAAGCGTTGTTTTGCCGCTCGAGGATGGGCCAGAAATCCCTACGACGAAGATTTTGCGGGCGGCCATTATTCACTCGTATCAGGAATATATTCCAGGTCTCTTTTCTATCTCTAAAGTCACTTACTCCTTTGGCTTTTGGATAAATGTATGCAGAGACTTTGCCTAGGATGTTAAGGAGGGGCTAAATACTCGACTAGTTAACTAACCAGTTAGATAGCCGTCAGTCAACTGGTAATATTTTAATTTATTCAGTTGAGTAGTCACATCAAGCTGCAGATTTCATAGTAAAGACATCAAAAGCTCTGGCAATAATATTGATTGTACACCCTCTGTTGTTACCAAACCTCTACCTAACATTACTAGACAAGCGCCATATTCGTCCGAACAGAAAAACAGTTATCCTTAGCACAAACTATTTAATAGTGCCATGCCTCGCACCCTCGTAGCTGTCCCATAATTCCCCTCACAAAACAAACATGAGTAAAATTGGATTTGAACAAAGTTAACAAATAAACTCGAGATAATACGGCTCATAAAATAGAGAAACTCCTCTAAAATTGTGTCTATGCGGAGCTGCCGACGTTGCTGCGTGTGCTGGAACCGGATGAGGTGCTGGAAGATGTTCGTCGGATCCTGCGAGGTGTTCGTCTTCGGGGAGATATGAAAACTATGCCATTTTCATTCACTACTTCTTCGGTGTGTAATTCCCTGCGTCGTTTTGGTGAACTTTTCTCTGGAGACGGCGTAAGCAAATCGAATTCAGGAAAATTAGCTCGCCTCCGTTTATTATCCGAAGTTGGTGAATCAGGCGTGATATCGGAGGTGATAGGCTCCGGGCGTTCTGCAGGTGGTGGGCTGGGGGGATCAACGTAGTTCTCAGGGATAGAGAGGGAGTGCCTATCAAACAATCCAAGGGCACTGCTAAAACAAGCAGGAGCAGGGAATGTAAGATCGTCCGGGAGTTCGAGAAAGCCTTCATTCTTGATGATGGAGCTCATTGTCCCATCGTCCAGCATGTCTTTCTCCGCATGCTGCATCTCTGTGCTTGTCATAGCTTTTCGGCGCCTCAGCATTTTGTCCTCCAGTGTATCCTTCAACACCAAAGTCTCCACATACACTGGTCGGGTTTGGGATATTCGATGAGCCCGCTTGATGGCCTGGCTCTCTATATTAGGGTCCCATATAGGGTTGACGATGAAAACTCTTGAAGCAGCTGCAATGTGTAGACCATGGGAAGCCTGACGAAGATCCATAAGTAGGACACGGACCGATTCTCCTTCATTAAAAGTGGACAGGTACTCCGACTTTTGCGACGCTTTCAAAGTCTGCGCGTAAATGCGAAAATCTATGTTTAGTAGTCGAGCCCTCCGCGATCCAAAAGCGTGTTTCGCTCTCATAGAAGATTATATCTCTCTCTACTCTCGACTCGAGGACCTCTCCAGCAGGTAAGTCAGCTTAGCTGACACTGTGCCGACAATCTTTGTCTCTTTAAACTAGAGTCAGAAGACAGACTCTTGTTCCTTGAACTCTTGATGTGGTTAACCTTTTCAGATTTTGGTCTATGGGAGACATATACCACTTCTTCCGGCTTCTGCTTATGACAAGACTGTCCAGATGGCTCAGGCTTTTTGTATCTCTGTCGTTTCGCTTTGATGCCGGCTCCAGCGAGCCCTTCTCCTGGATCTACTTCACAGAGGCGTGCGGTAACAAATTTCTGTGCCTCTCTCGCCAACGAGAGCCCGAGTAATAGAGGATCGTGATGCACTGCTCGCTCATTGATAGCCCAGAATCCCCGTGCATGTTTAGGAAAGCAATCGACGACTATTCCAACATCCTCTTTTTCACATAAGGAATTTCGAGACGAGAAACTGAGGACCTTTTCTCCAGTGGCTATAGCTTGATGTAGTAAATTCAATTCTTCATCCGCCAACCGAAACATATTCTTCTGCAGGTATTCTTTAGCCACCTTCAGTGTGGTTTTTTGGATTTCTTCGGTCTCGACTGCTGGCCACCAGAATCCCGCCAGCCTCAGATTGTTCATCAACTGGCCAAGATGCTTTCTATTTCTGGGGTGAAATAGGTAGTCATCGCCAGTCCTCTCAGAGGTTATCGCATTTACCACAATTCTCAGGATAAACAGGTTCAACGACGCTTTGTCGTAACAGGTGGGCTCGAGGTAAACAGCCTCGTTGTGAAGTTTTGGAAGTGGCAGTTCTCGCTGTAGGTCCTCTGAGCGATGACGCACGACAAGGGACTGAAGCGTGGCCCGAAGAGACGGGGACATCATTCGCTTTCCATCAGGGCCAATTGGAGTCATGTACTTTGTCCAGCTTGCCGGGTCCGCGGCACGAGAATTTGACCATGGTTTGAGATTGAGGAAATCGATGACCATGTACCGCAGGCTGTCAAGTCTCTTTAATTCATCATTGAGCAGATTTTGGGCATCCTTACGGGCATTTAATATATCTCTGATCTTCTCTTCCTCGGGCATCGAACTAAGCGTTTTCTCAGCAGCAAGACTGACCTCGACGCCATAGAGGCCTTTCCATGGTGTTCCGGAGACGATCCATCGTCGTTCGACCTGTAGCTTATCTAGCATGTAGACTGAACTCGTCTTTCCCCCCGTGCTAGCGAAATTGTGGCCTTCATCAACAATTATCCGGAGCCAATGGAGATTCCTCAGGGGCGAGGAATATGTGACTGGTCCTGATGCAGTGAACCCGCCAGACTCTTTCTTAAATCGCGGCTGAGAAAACAACACGATGTCATACTTCAAAAGTTCGGTTGCTGATGGGGTAGAGATACTGCTATCTCTTAGTACCAGAACCATTAAGCCTTCAGTATGTTTCGCTATCTCATTTAGCCAATGGTCAATTAAGTTCGGCGGCACGATAACTAGAGTTGCGGATGAGAGTTGCATTGTAATCGAGCTGTCCCTCACATGCATTGTGCTGCGTCGGCCGTACTTCGGAGTTTGCGTGATAGTATACGTTCCGCGGTTTTTTTTGCAAGCATCGACACACCTGTCGAAGTGCATACCATCGGATTCAAGAGCTCGAAAGTGGCTTTGCCAAGGAAGCGAATTGGCGCCGGCCGCTGCAGCAGCCATATCCAGTAGAGAGCCTGTTTGACTTCTAACAGGTGGGGGCCTAACATATTGTGACGGAATGGATGGCATGTGGCCCCGTGTTGCTAGGATAACAGCTAGACATATTAACGTCTTCCCGTACCCCATAGTTTCTGCCAATATACCTAAAAGCTTGTTAGCCTTTACTTCAATGTATCCAGAGTGCCAGAGCAGATGGAATGCGTACCTCCTGCCACATTAGAATAAAATTTTGGTTCATCCAACACAGTTCCTTCCTCTCTATCATAGTAATATTTTCTTCCTTTTGGACTATGTCGAGTCTGTAATCTTGGGTCGAGAGATAAGGAAGGCTCCGCCTCCTTTTGGATCATCATAGCAGCAGATCGCTGTTGGTAAGGGTATAATCTTGTCCTCAAGCCCAAAATTCCAAGGCTACTATCATCGTCGCCAGCATACAAAAGATTACTGACTGCCATTTTCGACCACGAGTCAGAGACATGCGCCGCTTCTGGCTTCGGAGATTCCAATGTGTTGAAGATGTAAAAAAGGGATTCACATCCAGAGCCTGCTTCAACTTGAACTGGATTGCAACGCCTTCCTTCCCATGCGTCTGGTGATGGATCTATTCTAGACATCACAGCTTTCAGAGCACGCCGGAGGCGTTGGTAAGTCCTGGGCGGCAGATCCGGAGCTCTTTCTTCGGGTATCACGTAAATTTGGACGCCAATCCATCTTTCCGCAGATTCCTGGCCGACGGACAGCTTTATCAAACCGGCGTCCTCGAGTAGCTGTAACGAATCGGCTTCCGGACAATACCCTTGTAAAGAATCTGCTTCGGGTGTCTGACTGGCATCTGGTGTTCTCCACCAGAGGACTCCAACTGGGATGAAATAGCTAAGGTCACAATGTGCTTGATCTCTCTCCGTGTCTATGGGAGACGCACAAGTTTCCGCTGTCATGCATGTTGAGTTGGAGGATCCTCTCGGGGAGCTCGGAGGGGATTCACAATGAGAGAGATGACTTGAAGGCATGATAATGTAAATGTTAACCCAGGCCTCAATTGCAGTTATAATTGTCTTTCCCGTAGTTCTAGTTATCTGCAAGTTGGTTTTGATCAAGTTCAAAGTGAGCGAGTGCTGATATAAAAAAATGCATGGGAAGAAGCCCTTTTCATCTTCCACGTAGCTGACCAGCCACTCTGTTCCATGTTCTACCTGGTTAGTTCCTGCGGTGGCTGGGCAAAGTTTCTATGTGTTGAGTGTTATTGAAGTGTTACTCCTTGCTGCCTTTTCTTTCAGGAGGCTGAATTTGATATCGCGCTAGTTAACTAGTTAACTAACTAAGCGCTCCAGTTCGCAGGGTCACGGGATTCCCCATTGAGGTATGTGGTTTCTAACTAGGCTTCCGACTTATGAGTCTCAGGGGTCCAAGGAGCCCGTATACACTCAAGATGTTTCGAGTGCCCAAAGCCTTGCCTTATGTAGTTGAGAATGTGATGCTGGAGATCTCCAGGTTTTTCGAAGACCCCAGGTCGCCAGACGTATCGGATTAGTCAGCAGCTCAAGTTCGCTAGTTACGGGTGAAGGCTTAAAAACGTCTGTCAAGGAGGGCAATTTATTAAATAATATATTTAAGTGAACGCTGGATAGCTTCCAGTATATAGGAGCCAGTGTCATCAGCGCGCCCTCCGTCTAAGATGCATTGAATCATGGCTGAGAAAACAAAATTGTCCTCCCGATCCTGTCCCAAGTCGTACATCGTCCGTCTATCAAAAAAAAGGGGGGGACAAAAAATCTAAAACATGGTGAAAACGCTAGAATAAAAAATAGAAAGAAAAAAAAAATCGAGCGAAAATGTGGCATGAGCCAGGCAAAAAGGCGACGAAATCAATAGGGCAGTTAGCTAGTTGAGCCGCTGTGGAAGAGCCGATTCCTGTTGCAAGACATGGCATACTCCGTATGCCTACCTCATTTCCTGAGGAACTCTTTGACCTCGAATCCAACTCTTCTTAGTGCCCTTTCATCGATACCCTCGGTGCTACCAGCAAGGCGTCTGATCACCAGCGTACGAACATCATTTAAACGGTTCTCAACCGGGTTCCCAGAGCCATATCTGTTCATCTCAGCTTGGTCGCAGTCCTGTATAAATACGGTGATGTCTGGCCCGACACAGCTCCCCCACTGCATCGCCATGCGTTCCCAGTAATCTGTAAGATCGTGCGAGCGATTGCGTGGCGTCGAATTGACATGAGATTCCGTGGTAGCTAATTGATAGTGTGGGACTAGGGCAACACGGAATGTAGAGTCACTGTTGCAAGAGGATGATGTAGGCGTATGCACTGCTTCTTCAGGTTCAGGGGTAAAGATAGTTTCACCAGAAGCGGACCGTTCTGTCGAACAGATACTCAGGTCTTCGGTTTTGGGTAAGATTGACTGCAATGAAGTGCGGGACCCAGTCTCTCCGACCGTTGATCTTCGAGCTGCGGGTAAAAATCGGTCATTCAGGAACTCAATTATGGTACCGGATATTTTATACCAGGAAAAGATGGTCTCAAGGAAATTCCCAGCAGCCTTTCGTGTATCCTCTGACGCCGTCGGATTGCCTGACTCTGGTCTTTTGAATATTCTGACATTTCCACCGTCGTCACAAGAAAGAGAATTGTTCAAATATTCGGTGACGCATGCTACTGATTCTGAATCATAGCCTTCGATAGCAATAACAGCACCCTCAGGTTGCCCAGACTCTGGGGTAGAGCACGATGCGAATGGAGGAGAACCTTTGGATAAAAGTCTTATCTTATCTAAGAACGAAACAGCCTTTGGCTGTTCTTCCAGATTTGCTAGACCATGGGGGTAACTTGGGGTTGCTATCTTTAGTGGTGGGAGAACCAGGCTTGGATCATGGGGAGACGCAGGTACTGAGTTTGAATAATGCGACTGAGAACCCCAAATATAATTAGGCGAATGAACGCGTTGAGTCAGCTCTGGACGGGGCAAAGTTGTTATCTTGGACAGGTAATCATCAGGACCTAAATGATGGCGGATTGATGGGTAAATCTCCCTTTCTTCGCTGCGCCGTCGCTTAATGCATGGGGATTGAGGTGGTATACTCTCATCATGAAGCGGAGCTGGACGCCAGCTTTCTTCGTACGTGGCATTAATAGGGCTAGGGATATTCTCCAACTTCAGGCGGCGGCCTTGTGTATGTTGTATTTCCTCCGGGTGGGACGGAGGAGCTTGCACATTGTCCATCTGATCATTGAAGTTCGGAATGAAAGGGGTGGACGGGGTTGAAGGTGGTTTCATGGGCTTCCCGCCACATCGACTACAAATCGATGTGCCAGAAATATCTACTTTTACCGTAGGCCCAACCGTACTCGTGTTTCTCCTCTTGCGGCCAGGCCGTCGTGGTTGATATCGGTAGCCTGGGTATTTCTGCAAATGCCTTGCCTTCTCTTCCTATATGGCTGTATAAGTAGGGTTCCCACGAGATGAAAAAAAAAAAGATAAACAGAAGGGGGATAAATTTACATCTGCATGTTTCTTCCACGGCTCTTGGTCTTTCAACGGAAGCCCCTTCCATATCTTTCCGATGATCTTTGATATATCTGGGTTTGGTAGGCCCGGGTTTTCTGCAACAACAGAGCTTTGCAAGTGCTGTCGGAATAGAATAAATGCTAGAATATCGCAAAGTTAGAATTTATGCACAGCTTATGGACAGGGAAATGGCAATCAGTTGCTGGGTAGAAAAAAAAGTAGCGTATGCTTAGAATCCAGCACTCAGGGTTGCGCTACTGGGTGCCGGCTATGTACGTAGGCATAAGTAAAAAAAAACTAACGAACCATTTCTTGGACGGGGAATTTTCGGTTCTGGTCCACATAAACAAAACTGAACATTGGATTCCTCTGTAAAATCAGACTTGGGGGAATATGGTGAAGTAGAACACTCTTGGTGAGCAGTTTCTGGCTTGATGAGACATGCATCTATCTCCATAGATGACCGAGCCGTTTCTGCTTGAACAAGCACTGGTAACTTCGACAAAACAGATATGTTATCTTTATAATCACATAGTGCAACATGTGAGATTGCTTCCATTCCTGTCATTTGCGATGCTCTTGGCGAAGCCAAATTCTCTTCAGAATCAAAGCCAGAAGAGAGACCTTGGGTAATTACCCTGTGAGCCAGTGGTGTCGTAGACTCAGGGGTCGGCACATCTCGCCTCGAGTAGTCATAATACAAGGCGGGCTTTGGGAGAAGTCTATCGTGAGGCATAGAGGGAGTCCGAATATTGTCTGGGTTGGCCCGGGAAAACATGACAAGAGAAGTGAAAGGTAGGATTCGTAAGAAGTGTTCTCGTTCTTCTTGTTCTTGTCCGTAGGTATCATGATGTAGTTATGAATGTGGCAAAGGACTGCCACGACAACGAAGATACTAGAAGGAAAGAAAGAAGAAAGAAGACGATAGCGAAGGAAGAGGAGAAGGAAACGGAAACTTCCTTTGTTAATTTTTGGTTTCTTAAACAATTCCGTCATGCTTAAGCAACATGTTGTATTTTGCATCCTGATTTCCGCTGTTCTCCTTGTGTTTTCTTTGTTGCCATTTGGATGTACAGCAAGCTTCTCCTTACAAACAATTGCAGCTGTCCGGTGCATTCCTTGGTGATTTATCAACCGGTTAAGGCTATGAATCTTCAGAGCAGGGGTGGAAAACGTGAACTATTGTTTTGAGCATCCTTTGTCCCCATGGGCTGGCTGAAAGCGGCGACATGCACATATTTCTTTTACCCAAGACATCCAATCAGTGGTTGAGTACCTGCAACAATGCGGTAGGTAAGACTAGGTAGAGCCCTCAGAGGAGCGTTTTTGGTGTACAACGACCGTACAAACGGAATACCTTGGAGGCTCAGTAATGATTTACCTCTCGGAAGGCCGGGGTGGTAATCAAGTGGAAGTTAACTCAGAATCACTAACTGGGGAGGAAGAAAGAAAGGTAACACTGAAAGAAAACCAATGAAATCAGATGTAATGCATAACTAAGGGAGCACAGCAGGGCCATGCAAAACATTTTCACTCAGCTTAGTTAGTACCTACCGCCAACAAAGAGGTTCGCTTCCGATCTCTTTTCCTGATAGGGGAAAAGTTGGAGAAAAGGCTGCTTAGTTATGGCAAGGCGCGTACATCCTTTGCTGCCTACCGTCAAGCGGGCATAAACTCCAACAAGCCACAAAGCTCTCACACCTTAAAAATAGCTCTCTATCACCGACTTTTGCTTGGATAATCGTTTTTAATAGGGAGATTCCCGTGGCGCCATCATGAGGGACATGCCCCTAAATAATAGCGAGTACATTCGTAAACACGCAGTACCGGCCCTAGGCGATAAATGCTTCATTCGTGAATGGACCCCACGGAGTCGTAAAGCTCATTTGCTTACCGGTTGGCTGGGTAGGCTCGGGTACTGGAGTTAATAATTATCGCTTATTGATACAGACCATCTTTGTGGGAAAGTCAACATTCTGCAGGTAAAGAACCAAGGCCCGATTATGGACGGGTCCTTTTCCTTTTCACTTAGCAAGGTATGGGCACCAATCCCTAAGAAGCGGATTTCTTATTCCCTCTAACCGTGGTATCAACGGTGTAAGTACTCCGGGCGGAGTGGCGGTAGCAAACGGAACGTGGGTTGTTGCTTTGGGGGCTGAGAGACAACGACTCCCTACCTCGCGAGTGAGTTAAGGGAATCGCATTTAAACTGACCGATATGTTTGAAAGAGACAGAGTTACGGGCTGTATGCAAACAAACCACGAAGAGGTAGAAATTCTTTGCAGGTACTCCATACGTGTCTCAAGGCTCATGGTGAGTGATTTCTTCCGCATGTCTTACGCCACGTTGAATCCCAAGCTTGCCGATTTAGGAACGGCATTCATTTGTCGTTTTCTTTCTGAGAACTTCGGACGCTAATAGGCAATTCCATATCCATTTTGGTACGGTGAGTGCGACCCAAATCTCCTATCTCAGGACAAGCGGTCCTTCTTTGTAATAATGCGTCGAAGGGCGGGAATGACATAAAAACCCCTGGTGACTGTTTTGTGCACAGCGTGTATAATTTTGTGCTTGATGTCTTGAGGTGATGAGATGATGTCCGATTCCCTGGCGTATATGGCCATAGAAAAATAATCAGGGCGTACAGTTATATATGTTTATAGCACGAGTCTCTTCAGAGGGTTGGGTACACCAAGATACGGTATTCGAGCATTCTGCTTATATTTTAGTTTATTCCAGAGGCTTTGGCTAAGCTGATGAGCCATAACTTTTTAAGAGTAAGGAAGTTTGCAAGGCAACTGTCGCCATTGTTGCAACTGAGCCACCTATCAGATGCTGTCAGCTAAAAGTAGCATGTTGGGATGTGAGCACGCCCGTAGAACCATAGGAGCCCAAGTGAGTGTCTTCGGTTCTATTGTCGTCCGCGTGCACGACAATGAGCCACCGGAGAATATCAAGCCTTGGGTCTTAGGCCGATCATCGATGATCATGAGTCGTCGACGCCGCCCATTCTTTGTATACCTGCTGTACATACACGAGAGATGTGCGTTATGTTCATGTAACAGCGCTCACGGTGCAACCGTTGCTGGTTAGAACAATTAGGATACGGAGGAGCACAACAACGCGCGTCAATCAATAGCCGGTGCGATTTGGTGTCTTTGCCGTTGTGTTTACCGTTGTTGTTGTCGCTGCCGCTGTCGCTGTCGTCCTTTTGACGACGTTCAAGTAAAGATGCTGCTTACATAACTTAATATTATATTAGTCATCCCGAGACTAGGGCTGCTTATGTTATCAACAGATAACGTGACGCTTAGTCATGACCCACACAGAAAGTTCGCTACACCAACAAAAAATTCCACCGAAATCAAATTTGAAGACAGCGAGAGAAAGTTGAACTTCTGCTTCACGCAACCGACCACATCGACCACCGCGCGCCGTCTTTTCTCTCCCTCCCGGCCAACTTGACAGCGAGAGAACTTTGGTCAAGATGAAGCTCAACGTTTCCTACCCGGCCAATGGGTCGCAAAAGCTGATTGAGATTGACGATGACCGCAAGCTGAGACCTTTCATGGAGAAGCGAATGGGAACTGAAGTAAGGACCAACAACCCGCGGATATTAGAGAAGAGGAGGGACGGAATACGCCCATATGGTCTCGATGCTGGCCTTTGTTTTGGCGCTGTATTCGATTTGGATGAGATGGCCGTAGCTGTCTCGAAGTTTTTTCGGCATGGCGGGCAAATGCAGAGGAGCTTCTTTGCTGATTCGAGGCTATCTAGGTTGCCGGCGACTCCCTCGGCGATGAATTCAAGGGATATGTTTTCAGAATCACTGGTGGTAACGATAAGCAAGGTACGCTCTACATCTTCTGGCGCGGTATGGTGGGTGCAATTTCAATGTCAGCTTGCTAACAGCCGTGTGATCACAGGTTTCCCCATGAAGCAGGGTGGTATGTACACCATCGATGGAGAACATAGGTTCAATTCTTACGGTGGCCATCTAACAATATTCTTTAACAGTCCTCCTGCCAAACCGTACCAGACTCCTCCTCGCTGCTGGCCACAGCTGCTACCGCCCCCGCCGAACAGGAGAGCGCAAGAGAAAGAGTGTCCGTGGAGGTATATATATATATATATCCAGTTATCCTTGGTATCAATGGGAGAATCCAGCTTCTAACGTTCCGTCTTAGCTATCACCGGTCTCGACCTCTCCGTCCTTGCTCTCAGCATTGTCAAGCAGGGTGAGGGTGAGCTCCCCGGTTTGACCGATGTTGTCAACCCCAAGCGCCTCGGCCCCAAGCGAGCCACCAAGATCCGCTCCTTCTTCGGCCTCGACAAGAAGGATGATGTAAGAAAGTTTGTTATCCGCCGTACCGTCACCCCCAAGGCGAGGGAAAGAAGGAGTACACCAAGGCCCCCAAGATCCAGCGTCTCGTCACTCCCCAGAGACTACAGAGAAAACGCCACAGAATGGCCCTCAAGCGCCGCCGCTCTGAGGCCTCCAAGGAAGCTGCGTATGTTTGGCCTTTATTTTTTCCCCCTCAGGATCTCAGTGCTTTTTCCAGTGCTAACGTTTACCTGCAGCAACGAGTATGCCAAGATGTTGGCTAGCCGTGTCCACGAAGAGAAGGCCAAGCGTGATGAGCTCCGAAAGCGACGAGCTTCGTCGATGCGCAAGTAAGGTCGTCGTTTTAGGGTGAAGGGGTTGGAGAGCGTGAGACTTGAGTCAATATGGGCGCCGCACGATACCATGTCAAATCCAGGGGGAAAAGTCAAACCCAGCCATGTTTTCTTCCCAGCCGTCTCGATGACGAAGTAATGAAAAGGATACTACAACAATGAAAAAGGTATATTCTTTTATTCTCTGCGACCGAGCTGGGGACGGGGCCATGACTTATTACTATGATAATCTTTCTCATTTGTTTTGTTCCTTTATAACGGGAGGGGAGTCAAATAGGGAAAATTATACATGGGTTTGCGACATAATCGAGAACCAAAAAAAAATTAACCATTTCCCCGTTCTTCGTGTAATAAAATCATGAGCGCTTTTCTTGCTTGCCTTTGATGCTGCGGTATGTAGGAAGAATGTGAAATTTATCAACATTTTTCATCTCATCAACTGCATGAAATGCTTAAATGCCATCAGCCGTAATTGTCGCCCAATTCTGTTCGAGGAGGTTATATATTGCAATTTACTTACAACACTCCACGATTTCATTATCAGAGTGTCTCCATAAGATAGCGACAGATATTCAGAAACGAGAAACATAGCATGGAAAAAAGAGATTATAAACCGGAATTTCTCACCAAAAATATTGGATCATTAAGAGACAGCGTGCGAGAACAAAAAGCTAACGGATTCACCGTTATGGGTTCTCCTGCAGGCCTCGGCCAATACAGGACTGATGTCGATCGTCTCAATTTTCGAGCATTGGTCCTTCTTTTCGTTGAGGGGGACAGTATTGGTGACGACAATCCGACTTAGACAGCCGTTGTTCAGTGTCTCGATAGCCTTTCCACTCAGTATACCGTGGGTGACAATGGCAACAACTTCCTTGGCTCCATGACCCATCAAAGTATCGGCAGCCTTGACCAAAGTTCCACAGGTATCGGCCATATCATCCACGATAATGGCGATTTTGCCCTCAACACTCCCAACGAGGACCATACGAGAGACCTCGTTGGGTCTTGCACGTTCCTTGTGGATCAGAGCGAATTGAAGGTCGAGTCGATCCGCTATGGCAGTAGCTCTCTTTGCACCACCAGCATCCGGACTGACAATGACACAGTTCTTGATGTCCAGATTCTGGCGGATCCACCTGAGCATGCTGGGTTCGGCATAGAGGTTGTCTACGGGTACATTGAAGAAGCCTTGGATCTGGCTGGCGTGGAGGTCCATGGTGATGACGTGGTTACAACCAGCAGTTTGCAACATGTTGGCCATCAACTTTGCGGTAATTGGTGCACGACTCTTATCCTTCTTATCCTGTCGGGCATATGGGAAATTGGGAATGACAGCGGTGATACGTCGAGCCGAAGCGGTCTTGCAGGCATTGATCATGATGAGGAGCTCCATCAAGCCATCATTGATGTCATTGGGCTTCGTAGATTGAAGAATGAAGACTTGATAGCATATTGTTAGCACCGCATTTCATGAGCCGTAAATTGTAAACAATCCAAGCAAATGCAAATGATTCAGACACATTACTTCCCGAAATGTCTGGTATTAGGGGAAGATATGCAAAAACAACATCCACAGTCAAGGGAAGAAAATACCATCTTCATCTCGAACACTCTCGCCTATGGTCACACTGGTCTCTTGATTGGAATATTGCAGGACCATGATCTTCGTCAACTCAATTCCTAGCCTATAACGCTGAGATTAGTGATCTAGCTCGCTGAGTTGACATATCAAATTATGTGCAAATATCCTTTTTACCACTTTCTTAAGCGCTACCAAAGAGCAGCCTCAGAAGCGCTAATACCTGGTGAAACAAAGAGATGCACCGTACCTGTCTGCAACAAGCTGTGCCAGCTCCGGATGGCTATTGCCGGTCAACAGCTTTATGGAATTGCTCGCCATGATCAAAGATATTGCGGAGAATAGTGTGAGGGATCAGAATAGATCACTGCGTGGCGGGCGAATGTACGAATAGTCCGTGGAGATTTTGACAGGGAACTAGCGCATTATCGGTGGAAGTCAAGCTGAAGAGTATAACGGAATCCGGATAGCCCTCTATCGGTTGTTTGGCTCTCGTATCAACACACAAAACATATCACAGCATGTTTGTTTTCTCTTCCGCCTCGTCTTCTTCTCATCAAACCCGAGACGTTCAACGTTTGCTGAAAGCTTTTTCGATTTTTTATTTTTGCCAGGAAAAGCTCCGACACGCTAGTCCTAAACAGGAAAGTGGCAGAGACCGCTTATCGATATGGAAAACCCAGGGTCATGTGATTGAACTTACGTAATTTTATCAGCAACCGCTAACCGAAGTAAAAGAGTTGAGTAGAAGGAAAGCTCAGGCAAGCAAGGCCTGCAAAGAATTTCGAGTAAGAAATGTATTTTTAGTGGGCACCCAAGAGAGGAGCTGATCTGCACTTCAGCTACTCAGAGGACCCGGTATTATCGAACCTATCTAATGGGGAAAGGGAATGTAGGAGCAGAATACAACACAACCGTTGGAAAGCCAGGGGGAAAGGGGGAGGACACACAAAACCACCAGGCGACAGCCGCGTCGGCCTCCATTTGCGAGAACGCAGTGTCAAAACATTCTGAAATATACATGGGGATCTTAGAGGAAATGAAACCCTGAGCCAGAGCACGCCGTCCTGATGCCTAATGCTAGAGTTCACATGCAATGTATCAAGGGCAGTCCATAGCTATGGGAAGTGGAATGGGTATGGTATGGGAAAGAGGATCACGAAAAGCTGATAAACAGTAAATGTGAATGGGAAAGGGTAAAATTTTTAGCCTGGATAGCTCTTAAGCGAACCCAAAGTATTCGCTACCGGCAGTCATGGCTGTGTAGAGACATTTACGTAACGATTCATAGCTGTCATACTCAGGTAGATCGAGCTCTGCGAAAGGATGAGTTAGCACGTTAAACAGTGGCAACATATTCTGGAATGGTAACTTACGGTTAAAGCAGGTATGTGAGCTTGGAAGCCTGTCTTTGCTTCCATAGTCACGGTGGATGTTAAATTTGCTGAATCCATTCATCCCTTCAAGCTCTCTGAATCCGTTCAGGGGTACTTTGCTTGTACCAGTGACGAACTGAAGAAGTTTGGCTCGCTCTTCCTTGTCAAATGAGCGCACGGCACGCCAGAACCATTGGATCTGTGGGGAAGATGCGGAATAGTTGTGGTACTCAGAATTATTTTTCCAGTCATTGACATCGATCTCAGGCAGCCCAGAAATGAGAAGCTCTAGTTCTTGTTCGTTGAATATGGAGATAAGGTCAGCTGGTATAATATCGTGGAAACCGCGGAGGAAGTGGTCCAATTGCTCTTTGACAGACCCAGTCAACCGGTGTTCAACAACGTGCTGAACGTATTCTTCCTTGTTCTCCTGGGTGACTGGAATGTTTCGACCATTCTCCACTAGGTCAATGACACGGGTTTCACCAAAATCTTCAACCTCAACCGAGAAATTCTCAGTGAGAATGTCCGTGATGTCGTTTTCCAGCATCCACAATAGCGATTTGTAGTAGTCGAGGTCAAGAGTTTCCATGTCTTTGATAGAGACTGACTTGCCCAAGATCCTCTTGTACACTGCTCTGCTGAAATGGCAATCAAGAACTCTGCCTTCATACAATGCCTTGCCAATTATACGCCCGATAAACTTGAAAAACATCAAGTGTTCCTGATTAACGCCACTGAGACGATTTGGGTGGAATGTTGTGCGGTCAGATGCAACTGGAATGAACAAGGCGTAGTCAGGGTTAAACATTCCTCTGGCAAGGACTTGGAACCATTCCCTGCTTACGCCGCCAGCATCAACGCCTTCTTCACCGTGGAATCGAATGCTAAGTTTACCATATTTCATTTCATCTGCGGTCTTGAAATATAGGGATTTGAAAGAGTCAAGGAATACCTGATCACGGCGGACAGAGAGCTGTAACGGAGGATGAGGATGCCGGGCCTCAGTTCCGCGTGAATGAATCTTGCGGTTGAAGTAGTTACGTTTGTTGTCGAACTCCAAAACCTTCGGATTCTTGACCAAGAGCGAGAAAGTACCGCTCATCAGCCGAGGGTTTTGCCGCACAAGCTCATTGAGAATTTTCCGGTGATCCTCTGTGAAATTGAAGAACAAGCCTTCCATCCCAGAATCAGGGGGTGGGCTTGATACAGAGAATTCGCGGCCTTGCTTAGGGAATAGGGGGACGTCCTTTAGTGTAGTGTTTTTGCAGACAACCATGAGTGACTCAATCAATGGAAGAAGGGTCGTCGCAACATTCAGCATCGATTCTTTGCGTTGGACGGCGTGGAGGCAATCGCTAAGCTTCGTCCATAAGGGTCCAAAAGTAACACTCTCATAGAGCGCTTTCAGAGTATTTGCTTTCTCGGAAGCCTCCGCTTCAGACATCTTCTCCTTGTCTCGGCTGGGGTCAAACAGGTAGTCAAGAGCTGTCAAAACGCGCAGCAGCTTGGCCTGATCAGAACTTGCTGGCGAGAATTTTGCAAGAGCCAGGCCCTGTACGTCAGTACCAGACTCTGCATTGGTGATATGGGGTATAAGTTCCTCCAAGTCGACCAATATTGATTTGCTCAAAGTCTGCGCCTGTCCAACTAACTCCTTCCCAATGACCTCTTTTGCGCCCGGGATTGAAGACAAGTTATTAATGGTGGAAAGAGTTTCTCTGAATGTCCTGCCATTACACTCACGAGCAGAAAGAATATGAACCACAAGGCGTAAATTATACTCTGGAACCACAGGAGGGTCAATGGTACGCACTTTCTTCTTTCTGTCTTCCTTGGGCGATTTATCACCTTCAACGTTTCCGTCTTCTTCTTGCTCTTGTTGGCCAGCAGTGTCCGAATCCCTAGCTGTTGGCTCCACCATAGTAGTATCTGATTGAGCTGGTGGGTTGTTCTCCTGGGCCTCACCTGTACTCTGTGGTTGAGGCAAAGATTCAGGCTTGTTATCAGTCTCCTTATTTTCAGTATCCTCTTGTTTATCTGCTTCTCTGCGGAGTAGTATTGTGAGAGGATGAGTAATACTGCTAAGTAGCCCAGATAGCTGTTCCATGCAGTTCGGGCTATCCAAGATTGCTTTCCGGTCGAGTAGCGATAGAAGAGAATTCAGCGCAAACTTATTTGCCCTATTTTCCTTGGCCTTTCCTTTGCGCAGGGTTTTCATTTTAAGGGCCGAGATGGTTTCATGCTCGGTGAGGAAAAACCATGGGATATGCGGGTTATACTGAGTTAGGAACGAAAGAGCGCCTAGACATTGTTGAATGACGATCAATGGGGTCACATCATGGTTGGCACCGGGAGTAGGAATGGACAATGCCCGCTTAAGAGATTGGGGAGTTCGCTGAGAAGTGGGAGTTTTCGCACGTAAGGACAAATGAGCGAAGCTTCGCTCCACCGCCGAGATATCAGCACTTCCATCTTGGAGGATCAGCAGAAGAAGGCTAATCACTTCCGATCGATTTTGACGATTCTGGCAAACATTATGCAGGATATCATTCAGATGATGCCGAGCGTTTCCTTGTAGCGGCATAAACATGAGACGAAGTAGGGTGGCTACACCAGCTTTGTCGACGATCTGTACAATCTGCCGGCGCTGAGGCTTCTTCGGCTCCTGGACTTGACGGGCTGGTGGAGGCCGGTCCAGCACTGGGTCACCAAATCGAGGAAGTCTGCGACCAGTCAATGCTCGAGCTTCAGTCACAAACTCTGGTCCGAGTGAAGCTAATATATCATCGGGTTGATCAGCCAAAACAGTTTGTCGTAAAGATGGCTCAAGTGTTGCTATGAAACTGGCAGGGTCCATATCTTCCGCGTGAGGACCTCCATTGGCTGCGGCTTGGCGACGGGCAGCTTCCCGCTCACGACGACGACGATCGGCTGCCTCTTGCTGTAGGAGTTCTTCTCGGATTTCTGCTGGCAGGGCTTCTAAGAATTCGGGGTTGATTTCGCTTGGCTCTTCACCAGCCACGACAGCTTGAGAACGTTGCTCAGCAAGCTGTTGCAAGATTACTTCCTCGCGCATTTCTTCTGGAAGTGCCTCAAGGTATTCCGGATCAATTTCCATGCCAGTGATATCAAGTTGCCGGCCACGTATGGTAGTGTGGATTCTTTGGACTGGTTCAGACGGCCCGGGGTCAGGGGCAGCAGCCTCAGTAGAAGGCCGCCCTGCAACACCGGCAGTGGGCTGTACATCTTCCATTGGCTCAACAATATCTGCTTGAGCATTTTCTTCTGCACGACGTTCTTCTTCCAATCTTCTCGCAGCTTCTTCCTCTTCTTCTTGTTTCCGTTTTTTCTCCTTTTCAGCCTCTTCAAGAGCAATGCGTTCTAGTCTCTCGCGCTCGAGCTTTTCTTCGTCCATGCGTCTTCGCTCCTCCTCTAGCTTCTTTTGCCGCTGCTTATCTTCCTCAATAGCTGGAGGAATTAACAGTTTAAGAATGGACTGCACAATTCTCTGTGCCCTCTCCATATAGAGGTTGTTGAAGTGAAGTCTAGCTTCTTCCTGCCAGCGATTTAGAGTCGAGCCGGTTGGGAAGGCAACTGCTTGACCTGGATCGTCACGAGAACGGGGGGCCACCACTGGAGCTCTTCCTAGACCAAGAAGATCCTGGAGACGGCCAGGAAGGACGGATCCACGCTCCACATGAAGGTGAAATCCATCGGGTCGGGGTATGATACCAAACTCTGGTCCTCCTTGACCAATTGCTTGCATGATTGCATTCATGAAAGTAACAGGGCTATCAATTGATAAAAGCCTGCCATGACTATTCGGGTCCATTGCAGTTACCCAGTCACTAAATGCTTCAGCATTTGGGCCTCGTCTTTGAGTTGGCTGTTCATGTGCGCGATCATTGCGACGTAGAAGGGGGTTAACTCCATCGTCGTTCCTAGGAGGTGCGACTTGAGTCCGATGGGATCGATAGTCTGGCACTGGTATGATACCCTGTCGGCTTGCCATTTGACCGGGGAAGAAATTCCACGATGAGATGTTCCGCGAAGGAACACGGTTCTGAGTCAAAACTGGTTCATCCCAGCTCCATGGTGAGTTGGAAAGGTCCCCGTCATCATCTAGAGTATGGTCTTGTTAGTCTTAGACATAAAACACCAATTATATTAACACGTCAACTTACGGTCGTATTCATGATATATCGCTTGCTCATCGTCAAACTCATCAACATCCTCTTCCAGTTCGTCAATTTCTTCGTCTTCGTCTAGTAGAATGTTAGGTAAGCGTGAATATATATAAGGGCCGGCTGCAACATACCTTCTTCCTCATTCAGGTCATCCTCTACAAAATCCTCTCCAAGGTCCCTCATATCCATTGCATGATCCATTTCATGGTCCAAACGTTCAACCGAGGCACCCGTCTCCTCCAGGACTCTTAAGAGATTTTCAATGTGAGGCGGGCCCGGGCGATTATGTTCTCCTTGCCCCATGCCACCCCCTAGTTCAATTTCGAGCTGGTTCATCATGGCCAATTCATCGTCTGCTTCCTCGGAACCTTCATCACTCTCCCATTCATCTTCGCCATCTTGAAGACTGTTGTTATCATTGTCACCAGTAATTTCACCGGCAACAATTCGTTCGTCTAGATGTTCATCGTCATCATCCTCGTCCTCGTCTTCATCATCGTCCTCATCGTCTTCATCGTCATCGTCCTCATCGTCGTCATCTTCGGAATCTCCATCGATCAAAACCTCAATATCCATTGGAGTATCACCAGGTAATCCTTCAATCGGACCTCGTTCGTCCATTTCCTCCTCATCTTCATCGCTGACGACTTCTCCGTCATTCTCTGGTATCTCTTCTTCATATTCCATCTCTTCATCGTACTCATCATCGTACATTTCCTCATCCTCTTCATCCTCGTCACTGGAAGTCTCTTCCTCATGCGGCTCAAACATGCCTAGAGTAGAATGGCGGAAAAGGTCGGGTGTTTCTTCTCTTGACGACGAAAACTCAGATACCGAACTTGCTGATGATATTTCATCAGAATCGCTTTGATTCGGTTTCGCTTCAATCGAACCACTTTCACATAAGAGTACAGCAGTTTGTGACAGCTTATTAAGAGGTCGTAGAATGTATTTCACGACACGCTTGGATGACGGGAAGTTTAAGTCAATATCAGCAATTGATGCGGTGAAGGCATTGACGAAGTTCTTTTCAAACATGGTCTTCGCGATCTGACGAGTAGCCGATGAAGTTCGTGGTGAACCATCTGGGCCAGGACCACCGCTGAGCATTTTATCAAAAAGATCCGCCATACACATGAGACGCGCATACTTGGAGTCGAGAGGTTCCCGGGAAGTACTGGCATCTTTGTAGGACTTCAGAGCATGTTCTAAGACAAACTTTCGGACAAATAGCAAGTCAGACTCGACCTCTTCTTCTTGCGCAGGAACAGATCTTCGTCCGCCATATTCAATTGTCTTTGTGCATAGGGCGATAATAACCTTCATCGCCCATCCTGAAGTATTAACTCGTTTTTTGAAGGGGATTGATTCGTCATGTTCCATGGTTCCAATCGGAATGAGGCCATGAAGTAGGTAATTCAAGATCCCTGACCGTGGTTTTGACGGAGTCGTTGCCAGGGGGTCTGCTTTGCGAGAAAAGTTGATGAACTCCACCTTGGTACGATTGTAAGACGACAAGAGTTCCGTCAAGCAATGGAGGAGGAAGCATCGGTAGATATAGATGGGATGCTCATCTGCCTTGAATTGGGGTTTCTCTGCCTTCTTCGAGGATAGATCGCGGTTTGTAGCCGCCTGAGGTGGGGATGAGCTCTCACTAGTGGCCATTTCGACATCCTCAGCTCGACTACCCGGTTTCTCAGCTGGCGGTGCGGGAGCGGACTCTTTGTCGTCTACATCTCTATATGAAAGTAATTCAGAGAGGAGATAATGGATTACACCATCTGGATGCTCAACAATTGGGGTCTTCAACTCCTTGTGTTTCTCCTTGCTTTCCTTAGGCTCATGCTGATCAGAGTCCTTAGATGGCCGTGGATACTGTTCTCCCTCAACCTTGGCTTCCTCTGGCTTGTCGGCCTCCTCTGATGACTGCAGCCCATCATTCTTCCTCGGGTTCTTTAAAACAAGCGTTTGAGGCCGTTGATTTGCGTCATATCTCGAGAGTTTCAAAAGTTCATTCGTGACCTCAACAAAAAGTCTAGGGGCTCTTATTACCAAGTGGCTATATTGACGAACAAAGTTGGTAGTATCTGTCTGGCGAGAAGGTCTAGAATCAAAGTTCGAAATGATATCATTTCTTATTATTTGGCGAATTGTATCTTCGTCTTCAACGATATGTCTGAGTATGAGCATAAACGCATTTTGTAGTTTTTCGTTAGATGGGTTGCTCAATTGCTTGATCATAACAAACAAACGTTGAAGATTTCTGCGTTCTCCAAGTCTTGTTGCAAGAACACGTTCCCGAGTGAGCATAACAAGCACCCTAGCCACAGATAGTGCGAGGGACTCATCTTTACCAATTCGTGGTAAAACGTCCAAAAGCGCCTCGAAGAGCTGCGTTTTACCGTCTAGCGAAACGAGAGGTTCTCCGAGCTCCGCCGCATCCGAATCCTCAGGAGTATCGGCATTTGGTGGATTCCATTGAATGACCCTAGGAGAGGCGTCTTCCGCCAGCACTTTTTCAAGGATAAGCAGGATTTGGCCAATCCAGGGACAAGACTCCTCGGTAGATTTATCTGATGCAGGAGGTGGAACTTTGACAAATCCAAGTAGCACATAAAAATTATCTTGGAGTGGTTCCAATGTGGATTCGTAAAACTGTGGCTCCTGGAGGAGTAAGGCCAAAAGGCTAGCATGTGCAGCAATTTTCTTTCCTCCTGTCAAAAAATTCTCATCCATTTGAAGGGAGGCTAGGAAATGCAGCAGCGTCTCCCCAATCTCTCTCCTGAAGTTGAAGGGGTTTTCAACCTTAGATGCAGAATTAATGAGGTCAGCCAAGTCGAAGGTAACATCATTATGGGCGTTCAGAACTTCCAGGCATCGTTCTATTAAATTTGAGCGAATGCTATCTCGTTCTTTGTCCAAATCCTCAATTGTTACAACTTCTCGCTTCTGCAGTGGTTCCGTAGAAGTAGCTTCACTAGGTTTGGTTTCCGTGCTAGCAACAGCAGCTGAACCTGGTGCTCGAGTATTTGAAGTTGGCGACGCCTCAGAAGACACGTCGCCTTCTGTTTCCATACTTTCGGTAGCTTCGGCGTGTATCTCGGCCAAATCTTGGGCAGGCTGCGTAGAAGGACCTTGGCTGGTTTCGTTACCTGTGCGACCCCCCGGAGTTTGATCGTCTTGGGAGGTGGTGCTGGGCTTCGTTACTGCAGCCTCCGCATCATAGTCTGGAATTGAACTTCTTGGTGGAGCTCGAACACCTTTCTGGGCATTGCAGTATTCTTCAGAAGCGCTGGCAGAGTTATAACAGCGGTAGAGAGCCTCTCTAGCAAGGGTTTCTTCGTAGCCCTTTTCAACAAGGTGACTAAGGCGCTCAGGGTGAATGGCGAACACCTTTAGAGTAGTTGCTTGGGCTTTTGGTATGTTATCCCCACGGCGATAAGCGTTGTTTTCATGTTCTGCTTCAAGGACCAGGCGAAGAATGTCGATTAACGACTTGACTATAGAACTTGAGGCTGTCTCCACAAAGTCTGACGTCCACATGCTTTTCACTAGGGGTAAAGCCTCCATTCGAAGCTCAACTAAGAATTGTTGAGGAAGGAAGGTATCAAATCGCTCTCTATCACGGTCGTTACTGGCCATTGCTAAAGTCTGGGCAGAATCAAGAACATATCGAGCAGACGTCATCTCTGAAAAGAATGTCAGGATTATTTTGATTCCTCCATATGCAGATGCAAGTCTGGCTGGTCGGTCCCGAGGTGATGAAGCTGACTGCTCTAACGGTGCCAACGCCTTAACTTCTTGGAGAAAGATATCAGCGATTTCTTTCATTTTCTGTATACCATTTTGCCTCTTGAATGCGACAAGGATCATTGTCAGGCACTGAGAGTGGGTGCGCTCGGTAGCTAATAAAACTGTTAGGAATTTTCACGTATACTTATAGAAGGAAGGTAGAAAGTGAAACGTACAGTCAAATATCAGTCGTGAGAATGATGACAATATCACAATAAGATAGGAAAATCGATCCTTCGTGGATGCACACTCGTTAGGTCCTTGGAGCTCCAGCTGTTGAATTACCATAGAAGCAATTGCACCAGCAACTACGGCCGCTTTCTGTCGTTGGTATGTGTCCACACGCCGTTTCGCCACAAGCCCACGGCCAAGAGAGTGAAGGAATCCAGTTATGCAAGTAGGGAGTGTTCCAAGCAGCCAACGAAGGGTCTTAATATTTTTTACTGTTGCCCCTTTATCTAGCTGAGTAGAAGCAGGGTTGTCGGCTTTGGGGGATTTCTTAGCTCGGCCACCCTGCGCTGTCGGTGTATCCTCAGCATGAGACTCAGCAGGAACGTCGCCTACCTCAGATGCCCCGTCCGCTGTAGTAACTGGAGGAGTTTCTTGACCTTCATCCATCACGTCAAAGCTAAAACCGGGAAGTGTAGTGACCTCATGCCATGCCTCGGGCATGTCTTGCTGTAGTAGTATCTCTTCCCAAACACAGGCAGCATGCAATCGTCCCAAACGTTCAGCAATCAAGGCATATTTATCGGCAAGGTTCACTTGGTGAAATGGCAGCGGCTGCTGTGCTGGGCGGGTAGGGTATATTGGAGGAGTATAGACTTCACGGAGAATGTTTGTCAAGGTTCCAACAGCAACCATGTGTTTGGCATAATACGTTCCTTTCGCCTTTAATTCTGCCTCTTCAGGCCCTGGTTCAAAGTCTTGCAGAGGGCTTGTAAGGGGAGAGAAGAAGCCTACTGATCCTGGGCCGTTGGACCAGAATGGCTCGAGTTTATCAAGGGCGGAGAGGGTGCGGTTAAGGAGAGGTGGAAGTACTAGGTGAGGTTTTGTCTCGGCCATGAGATGAAGTACTTGCGCCAGTTGGTGATTCGCTTCATTATTATGGAAGCTAAAAGGCAAGGACTGAAGGACAGCAAAGTCGAGTACGTATTCCACACCTCCATTTTCTATGAAATTGGCACAAATAGCCTGATTCTCAAAAAATGCCCCCAAGAATTTTAATACTGGGAAGATGTAACCTGTGACGGCAAGGCCATCCGCATCAGTATCCTTGGTAGCCCACTTGCTAATGTCCGGTTCACCAAAGAGCTCTCGGTAGGTAGTGCTGCTACTACCTAGGTTGGGAACCGAGGCATTAGGCCAGTGGTCTTCATTCGGGAAGAAATCGGAGCAAAGGTCGCCAATGGTACCAGACAGGCCGCCAGAAATGGATTCCTTTCCATCTTGATCCTCAACCCAGAGTTTGGCTCCCAAACCAGACTCCCACGCCTTATACTTACCAAGAAGCCCAACACGGGCAACCGTTCGGAGAACGGAGCTCATGACCGACGCCTTCAGGGCTGGATGGTGCCTTACTAATTCATCAAATGAATTTCCCAGCAGTCTAAGCAAGTTCGAGTCATTCTTCATACATTTCACGTGGACGGGACTTTCGAAGATATCGAAGAATCTTTCTAGTGCGTCGGATGACTGGAACAGTTCAAGGCCAGTTGAATTCAGGCATATTGCACCAAACGCCAAGGGTATACCGACAATAGCTTCCGTTGAGGGTAAGATTCCATCAGATCCCTTACGTTCAGGAGTTTTGGAGAGATGATCGAGTAGGTTCTTATTGCCTGAAGTTGATGAAGGGTTAAACAAATTTTGCGGTTTGGCAGGTTTCTTATCCCCTTCAGTTGATTCCTCTGGAACTTCCAGCGGTTTGCACATAACCGCTTCAAGGAAGCTTTTGCTGAGTCCGGCTTCAGCTATGACGGCATAACTAGTGGGCTCATTGTGGATAAAGTGGCTCATAATGTTAATGGAACCGCTCCATACATGCGAGCCAAAAGTCTTTGCGTTTTCGATAACAAGGCGAAGTGCACTAAGAAGAGGAGGAGAGTCTATGAAATTGCGGATCAAACGCTCAAAACCACCACTATTATGTTGCATTACGTGGTTGACAAATTTGAACAGCCATCGTACCGCCTGTTGCTGGAAATAAGGAATAGAATAATCCGTAGATGGAGTCTTGAATTCTTCGGGGATCCCCTTGCCTTCTCCTACCATATCAAACGCGGATTTTGTCTCTGTTGCAATAAGGTCAGATATGGCATCGAAACCCTTTGCGGCTGCTAGGGTTGCCAATGCATCTCGTACAGAATGGACGTAATTGTCGAGAAACTCTAAAACTTTGGGGTATACCCTTCGGGCCTTTTCAGTTCGGAGATTCAACATGTCAACAAACATGGGGATCAAACCAGCGGGCATCAATGTTTCGGGTGCTCTTGTTCCGGAGCTTGGAAGGGTTCGAAGAAGGCCAAACAGGGCATCGCGCCAGTCGTCTCCCTCAATATCATCAATTGCGCCATCTTCCGCAGCCAGTTCGGAAACAGTTTTTCGGACTAGAAACATCAAAATTCCATGGTTGACATTTAAATTTAATGCAGCACAGACGTCTGCAGATCGAGTCTTATGCTTAGCTAGAGCATCTAAACATGTTAACGCGAGTGTTTGGTTTAATGTGGATGCACTGATGTCGCCAGCAACCCCGAGATGCACAAAGTCGGAAAGCTGGTAGGCCAGCTGAAGACGTTTGGGTTCGTCAGAATCTTGCTGGAGAATTTTCTGCTGGAATATAGCTTCGGGGTAAATATAAGCCAAGTTACTGAGAGCAAGAAGTCTAATGCCAAGTATTTGCCTCCTTGTCTCCGGGGATTTAGCGAGAGCGGCGCCGATTCGAAGTCTGTTTAACAGATCATATGTTGATTCCTTTGGCAAGTCGCTCAGGTTCTCTTTCAAAAGCTCTTCAGTGCTAGCAGACAGAACCTTGGAGCTTGGGATTTCCAATATTTTCATCCCTCTAGTAACTTCTTGTTTCATTGCTGGTGATTGAGTCGTGGGCGTTGGGGAATCATCCACGCTTGATGTATGGAGCAACCTTGAACTTTGATATTCAGAAGATCGGTGGCGCATTGGTGTCGGCGTCATTTGAACCTGGGAAGTATTCAAAGTACTACCGGATGGCTCCGCCGTAGTATCACGCGGGTAATAAGCAAACCGAACAATTCCCCAATCTTTCCATTCAGAGGTGCCAATCTCAGCCGCCGGCGAAATATCCGTCATCGTAATCTTATCAGAAGGCACTTTGGTCAACGAAATTAAATCATTAGCGTTGCATTTATCACCAGCTGCAGCACTATGTTGCGCAGATTTCTCCTTTCCTTTTTCCAACGAAGTTCCTTCAGCGGTTTCAATGAATGAGGGTGGACGTGGAAATGGTGATGCCAGTTTTTGAACGCGGTCCAACTCAATATTATAATGAGCTGCCAGTAAGCTCTGGTGAAAGTGTGTGCTGCTGGTAGATCGTTGGCGGAAATAGTATCGCTGTGCCAGGCAGAGAGAGAGCCGTAAAGTGCATTGAATTAAACTGAGGGAAGTTGTGTTCAGAAAAGCATTCAAACGCTCGCTGCTGCTGAACAAGCTTCGATTGCCGCATTTCTCTAATAGGAGCCGTGAGAAGTCTAAAATTGACTCTACTAGCTCTCTGTCACCTTCAGGTCCAAGCCCCAACTGGTCAAGTTTCCGTTCGCCCTCCTCATGATCAGAAACCAGGTTTGTCGAAACAGAATCTTCGATAAGAACATGTCGACCAAAAGGTGTCGATTGAGGACCTTCATCAAGTCCATATTTTTTGACAACACGCGCCAGTATCTCATCAAATCGATTTAAGAGACCAATCCAGTGGTATAGATCACCCCGCGGAAACGGCCACCGGCGAGGAAATGTCGCGAGGTACGACGGTAGTTCGGCGACAGAAGTTTCAATAGCTTTTTTAGAAAACTGCGCTATGGCCGGCGACTGCAGGAGAATAGGATAGCATGTTAGCGCCAACACGGACCAAAACGGGTAGGATGCTCAGATCGAGAACCCAACAACTTACAATCGTAGCCTCATGCTTAGAGCTAGCCACCTTCTCAATTCTCCCCATGATGATGGTGTGCCGTACCGGCAACCATGTGAAGTAAAAAGGAAACTACCAGGTTTTGGTAGAATTCAAAACCAGTAGATTTGGCGAACTCAGTATCCTGTCACTTTTTCCCGATTAGGGTTCCGGAAGAGATAGACTAGACGTGGAACTCCTCGAAGTCGCAGATGCTATTAAGGAACAGGCTAGCTCCCGAGACTGTCTCTTATGAAGAGTGAAGGGATATTGGGATGACAGTTCGGCTATGGCAGGTTTGATGATATAGGGTGGTGACGAGGTGGGTTGTGACGAAGTAGGTTGTTTTGACACAACGGATAACAGTTGAGGCAAAGAACAGGAAGACGAGTGCAGGTCGTCGCCCTATACCTTTGCACACAAGCTTCGGTAATGGGGTACTTCGTAACTGTGGGTAGGAGGGAGTCGAAATTTTAGTTGTTGTTTGTTGTAGTTCTCTTGGAGTTGACCTGCGAAGGAAGTGAGGGCAAAATAATCGCCATGCTGTATTAGATAAGCATGCGCTTCGGAGCTTTGGCCATATCTGCTGCCCGCTTAATATCGGAACGGCGTTACTTTTTGCCAGAAAGTTACGGCGCCTGCAGGCGGCTGACCGGCCGCTCGCTTGTTGAGCTATAAAGACCAGTCTACAGTCTGGGGACGAAGTAGAACTAGGAGTTTTAAACAGTTTAATTAATAATAGAGGGTTGAAGATTAATTAATACCAACGGCTATCTATTGAAACCAAAATAAACAGAAACCCAGGTCTCTTATCCATCTCAACACAAGCAAAAACTCCTACCGTACCTCTAGGAAATTAATATATCTCTCTTCCATCGTCATTATCATGATCATAATATATTCTAGTTCTTATCCGTTTGCTTGCCCTTAATTGATGGCAAAACTCCATTCCATTGGACCTTCATGGAGACAGGAAACGGCGAATAACTGCCCTGGTCCTCAGGCATGTACAGGGTCAGACCACCTGGCCCAGGAACCTTCTTGAGATGGCCTTGTGGTCCCGGCGTACGTCGGAGGGCTTCTAGTTGGCAGATAACCTTCAACATTGAGGTAAGAGCAAGATTACACATATCTGCGCCAAGACACTGGTGAGGGCCGTATCCAAAGTGAATGTAAGATCCTAAACTCCGGGTGAGGTCGACTTTGGTAGGGTTTGGGAAGGCTGTCGGGTCCATGGACGCAGCAACCTATGAAAGAAGGCCGTTAGGTGTTTCTTGTCTCGATATATCCTAAAAGTGAATTAAAAAAAGCTTACCAGGTTACATCCAACCCGCTGACCAGGCTTCAGGATTATATCCATGTCACCGTCTTGGACTTCAGTCGCCGTTGTAACGTCACGGTAGAGAGCAACGCCAGATCTCAACCTACAGCCTTCCAGGACACTAGGGTTTGGAATTGTTAGAATACGATAGAGGTAAAAGACTATCAGTCAACTTACTATCGAAGAAGTATATCATCGGCCTCCGGAGTATCAAGCTTGGATAGCCTCCGAATCTCTGGTAGGTGCACTGAGCCTTCTTCAGAAAGATAGTAGTCCAGGCACTGTGAGAAGAGCTGCCCTTGATTCGCAACCATACCACCAGCTGTGGGTAAGACATGTGACCAGACGATATCCTGGGATGGAAGCCCAGTATCCAGCAAACGCTGTATCATATGTATACCATAGTCGGCAAGAATATTGTCATGCCTATCAATCTTCTCAATTAGGGGAGCCAGGAATCCAGCTCGTTTGATCAGCTCAACATTTGTTAACACAAGTCGGCCAAGGGCCTGGGTGTTCTCCCGTGCCGCCTCATGAAGACCAAAGCTCTTGGTGGGGTCTGCATCGACGAAAATGCAGTTAAAAACCAGCGCCATAATGCCATAGAGCTCTTTTTCGGTATAGACGCCTCGTGGGTTTTCCTCAGTCTTCAGGGGTAGAGAGAAAACTGCAGCACAGAAATGGACATGTGCCATATTTATCACGTCACGGACAATATCCACCTGGTTGATTCTGCCGGCTAACTTGTACGCTTTGCTGTGGAGCAGTTTTATCGTAATATCTTTGTAGAAATCCCTAACTTCCTCACGCCAGCGGTCAATATAGAGGGCATCATGCACCATCTTTCTAGATGCCGAGTTTGCAGGACGGTCTCCAGCAAGCATGAAGTCTCTACCAAATGGACGGCCGTCTCGTTTCATCAAGTACTCGATCGTTTCACCCCAGATGACTTTGAAATCTTTCTTGTTTTTAAGGACAGCTCGACAAGTTGAGTGAGAGGTGAAAATGATGGGTGGACTCACTCTTCTAGGCTTGTCCCAGGAGTATTTCCGAGCAATTCCCAAGTTAGAGAGAATTTTCGAATTTTCCCACGGGGTAACAAATGGGAAGTGAGCGTAGACCGAATTGCGTTTAAAATGATGAGGAAAAGCCCTCAAGATAAGTTTGTGGAACACATGTCCATTGTTAACTTTAAGATCATAGCTGCATTCGCTAAGTCCCCAGTTTGTAAGGGTTTTGGGGGTATAATCAACGGTGTAAAATCGGTCGCCTCGAACCAGTGCAACCGCATCCGAAAGAATAGCACGGGAAATTGTGAAGTTGGGGCATAGTCCACTTCCTGGAACCATAACTTCTTTTGCCTCCTCAACGACTACTCCAGGGTAGAGTTCGACATTATCAGGATGATCGTAAAGGTGCTTCAACTGATCAGCAATATACGGATCCGAGTTGATCTCTTCGAATGTCTCGTGCGGTTTGAGATGGAAATACTTCCTAAATTCGTTAAGGGTGGCTAGATTCCATGATCTTGCCTGCATGATACCCAAAATCTCAACAGGCCGTAGAAGTTTTGGCACCCCCCTAGCACCAAAAGCCCCAGCACAGTCCTCAATTCCTTCGGTCAGCATCTGAACAAGTTCGTCGTCGTTGAACAAGCCGTCCGGTCCGCGCTTAAGGTGCCCTAATCCTCGCTCCTGAGGGTCGTCGGGCAGAGTCGCACTAAATTTACCTAGAACTCGAAGAAACTCTTCCATAGGGATTGTTTCAGGGTCTTTACCTGGAAACATCTTGCGGAATTTGTTTTCCGACCATTTAGCATCACGCTCTGAAATACAAGCGTGCCACCTGTAAATGAGGTTGAATTCCACAGAAACTTGGTTTCCTGTTGCAGACGTAATCGGGGAACCCAAGAACGGCTTTGCGTTCTCTGCTCGCGGGTCAAGACTCCAATCGCTATCAATACGGTTGATATTAAGAATAGTTCGTACGTAGTCCTTTAGAATGCAGTTGATATATAGCCCACAAGTGATTAGGCGACCGGTCTGGAATAGATCGTTGTCGTATTTTGCATAAGCCTTAGCATCTCCATTCTGGGGTTTTGAAAATCTACCTCCTTCATTAATGGCTGCCAAGTTTTCAACCACATAATTGTGGAAGCGATTGAACATCACGAGCAAGAGCCCGGTGCCAGGAGGTAGTCCATGTACCCGTCTTTCGGCAAAGCTGTCAGGCTTCAGCTTTCCATCCTTGAAAGTTCTTACACTGTTTTGCTCTGCCTGATTTGACCCATATAAAGGGGATAAATCAAGATACGACGAGGTTTTCGAAATCGTGTGATTCCGCGGGTCCGTCTTAAATAGGTCTTTAAATAGAATTAGACATCTAGAAAGTCATATATGCAGTGCACGGAGGCCTACCGTGGATGATAATCGAAGCGAGATAGAATAACGTGCTAGAGATCTGGCTAGGGTGTGGTTCAAAGCTCTCCCGGGCCATGAGCGAGTCAAAAAGAACTCCCGGGTCTGGAAGATTGACCGGCTGCATAGATTTTGGTTGGACAGTCTTTGCATATGTCGACCCAGCAACTCCAACAGCCGGACGGAGTATATTCTATATCACAAGTTAATCATCAAGTGATCCAAAACCTGAGGCAGCCCGGAATAGGCTTACATTATGTGATCCATCCGCAGTTCGGTACATATATTCAGTGCCAACTTGTCTATGAAATGTGTTAGTATTTATAGCGTAAATGTAGATTAAAACAATAACATACGTGAGTGGGGGGTGCTGTAAATCATTCCATAATTGAGAGAGTAAGTCTCCTGTTAATGCCATGCCATTCTTAGATGTGCTTGGCAAGGATGCTGCTAACTATTCCATCCACACATTAGTACCATATTCCATCCCTCATAGCGTATACGTATAACTGAAGACTTACCTGGATAATCCTCTCCATAATATAACGCTTATCATCGATTAGTTGGCCTGTGGCGGCTAGCTTAGCTGCTTCTGCCAGTGTTCCTGCATCTCCTAGCTTCATATGAGCAAGGTCATCCAGAATACCCGTTGTTTGTGCCTTTGGAAGATAGGTGCCATCCCCAGACGTAACAGGCAATGGCCGCAACGATGCACTGATAGCTTTGCTAACATCCGAAACGCCTTGTCCAATCTCCTCGCGGAGAGTCAATGGATCACCGACTTCGCCCATGGCAGCCTGTGTGTTGTAAGGAAGAGCACTTCTAGATAGGTATCTAGGAAGCGGGTGTGGTATCTAGGTTAAGGAAGGAGTGGAATAAAAAGCTCGGGAGCCAAGTCTCGGCCAAAGTAGGTTGAATAAAAATAGTAGTAATAATGACAAACGAATATCAAACCCTAGAGAATATAGGTATTAATATACAGTAGGGGAAATATGGAAGAAGTCTGGCCAGATTCTTATATTATCCAGGCCTCCATGGCCGTCGGCGATAATAGCTCGAAATGCGCCGCCAAAACAGAAGAAAAGGTGCCTGGAAGGTAGATCCCGTGGACCCGGGTCGGGGAAAGAGCAAATGACGGTTAGTTTATAATCTAACCCTCCATTTTCCTTGTTGGTGGTGGGAAGTCCAGTATTATTTCTTCATTTCAAAAGGTGAGAAATGGTCGGAGCAGATATTGCTAGAGTTATTGCTTTTGGGAGCGCAAGTCGTTAGGCTGGCAAATGCACTTCCGACCCTTGGTTCGGCTTCTGATGCATGCATCCATCAAGCTACAACAAGTCGGAATATACAGATGACTAGCGAAAAGTGTTTGCCCACACAGGTAAAAAGCAAAAAGGAAAAAAAAAAAAGGAAAAGTAGAGAATCAAGAGCAACAGCAAGAGCAAGAGCGTTCGCAAGCACAAGCTTTGATGGGCTGATGTTTCGGTATCAGATAGGTCCGGGGATGCTTGGGATCGAGTATGGTGTCGTTTTAGTGGTGCGCTAAAAGGACCTTGTATACAAGCCCGTCATCCATGTAGCCAAGCTGGGAGCGGACTTGTTTGCGAAGAAGTTGAATATGATTCATGGGCTGCGGGTAAGCAAGGCGCGTGCTTCTGCATTTACCCTGCTTGGGAGAGAACACAAGTACAGAGGACTGGACAGCATGGATGGTACCTAAATATGGCCTAAACAAGGGGGGCGACCATGATGCATTTTGGTTTATCGATTTCTATGCAAAATCCTTCTGTCGCGCAGCAGGTCGCGACACCGTTCACGAGCATCCAAGCACGCGTACGTATAATATCACTCACTCTGACCCGTCTACCCATAGTCTCTGGTACGGCCAAAGAAGAGAGACGAACGGCATTGTCGAAATGGGCGGGTTGGTCGCGAGTGCATTTCCCGTCCAGCTACTTGACGAGCGAGCCAATCATGGAGGGTGACAAGATCGGTAACTAGTTGAGAAGACAGCTGCGAAGCAGAGCGTGACCCTTGTTCTGATAGAAAATGACCAGCAACTATGATCCCACAGAGCTCTGTCCACGCTACACACTATGGCTCCTAAAAAGAAACTAAAAGACGAGCGAGTCAGTCAGAAAACAAACCAGAAGGATGAGGACGAAGAGTCGAGGTTGACGATGGAGGTTGAAGTTGACTATTTGCCTAAACAGGACAAAGGCGCTAGCCGCGGCGCTTATGTCAGGCTTATATAAGGAACTATATTTATACCACCTGTTTTTGTAGATGCTGAGAGGCACCAGCAGGATGGGGAAAAAACAGCTGCAAAGACGTCTATGGGGTAAATATCAGCTCCTGAAGCTTTAGCCGTCGATGCAGCCATTTCACTTTAGTCGCGTAATACAGTAGGGTGCCGTATGGACCAGGCCTCAGGACCTCCAGCTCATACTTGGTCACGTGTGTATAGCTAGACCTCGTCTTACATAAGCACTGAGGTTCCTGCATCGTCCTTTTTTGCAACTTCGCAGTAACATCAATTGGCAAGTGAGGCTTGAAATATCTTGCAATCGCCACCTACGCCGCAATACCAACTGGCAAACGGAGATAGGTGTCTAGAGACATGGCGAGCCAAGGAATTCTGTTGGAAGTGAAGCCGAGAGGTGAGTGATCCTTCCAGGCAACTTTTTTTTTGCCCCTCAGGCAATGTCTAGCTTGTCTGCTTATACGTCAAGATACAATCTCACTAATTCACCTTGTTTTACCCCCGTTAACCAGGCAAGCCCATATCTAAACTTCCTGGAACGATCTCAATTGGTCCCGAGGAGAGCCTTGCTGCGCTATATGCTACGATTTCGAGGCGATCCGGGTTCCCGGTTACGCGACTCAGGATCACCAAGGGCAGCGATGGCAGCCTCCTAAAGAACGATGCCCGTGTGACAGTGTCCAGCACCGGAGTCAGGAACCAGAGTGTCATCTACGTTAAAGATCTAGGTCCGTTGGCTGGCCCCATACCATCACAGTTTTGTGCAAAGTTATCATTGCTAATGCCAATCAACACCAAACAGGGCCGCAAATAGGATGGCGTACGGTCTTCATTATCGAATACCTAGGACCCCTCATTATCCACCCACTGGTTCTCTATGGCCTGCGACCTTTCATATACCGAAGTCCTAAGCCATTGCCTCCTGTATCGAGCCTACAAACGTTGACCTGCGCGTTACTGACACTCCACTTCATCAAGCGCGAGATGGAGACCCTCTTTGTCCACCGATTCAGTGTCTCGACGATGCCCTTTACCTATGTTTTCCGAAATAGTGCCCATTACTGGCTCCTTGGCGGCGTAAATCTCGCATACTGGGTGTTTTCGCCTTCATCATCAACAGCCACTGACCACCCTAACCCAGCACTACTATACCCCGGCCTAGTACTCTTCCTTGTAGGTCAGCTGTCCAACCTTTCTACACATCTCACCTTGAGAAGCCTCAGGAAACCCGGTAGCACAGAGCGCGTGATACCTACTGGCTTCGGATTTGATTGGGTGACGTGTCCAAACTACCTCTTCGAAGTGATGGCCTGGGTCGGAGTATACCTTGTTAGTGGGCTCAACTGGAGTGTCCTACTCTTCCTTGTGGTGGGAGCCGGCACTATGATGAAATGGGCTAGCCAGAAGGAGAAGAGATATCGGCGGGAGTTCGGGGATAAGTACAAGAAAAAGCGCTTTGTTATGCTGCCTGGACTGTGGTAGTCCAGGTGCGCTAGTGTAGCTGGTCGCTTTCCAATTTCCTTCCCCCTTGCGAATTCTACTGGCGGATTGTCATTCCGGCAAGCACCTGCCATCACTGCTACATCTGTATGGAGGTGCATAAGATGTATCTCCGGGATACACAGGTTCCGGCGTTTGTGAAACCTGAGACTTCCGCCGCACCCACCATTACCATGCCACAAGGCTACAAGGACGTTATTCTAGGCTTACTTCTTGCTTGATCATCATCGCGCATCCTAGGACCTAGTCTAGTTGCATAAGACCAAAAAAAAAAACCTGCTATTTTTAAACTACGATTACTATCTGATTACTGTCCAAGCTCCAATTTGCCGGGCCGAACCGTCCCCATTACCCAGTCATTATTAGCGCATTCTGCTAAATATCCCTACCAAACTACTTTCTGTACACCACATCCTGGTTCACAACAGCCAGGTCAATTTAGTGGCAGGCGATCAGCTAGATAATGTCACCGTCCGGCTTGATGTCGCGAGGTGATACGGAATCGAGATCGGCTTGGCCAAGTGGATCAGTGCTGGCAAACTTGGATGCTAGTTCCTACATTCAGTGGGTAGGTTATCAAACTAGAGGCTTCGAGCTTGAAGGGCTTGCGCCTCGTTAACAAGAAGCCACGAAAACTATTCCAAATGTACCCGGACATAAGCAATGGAAAAGAAGGATATAACAAGAAAGCGTAAGAGACGTCTATCTCATCCAAGGCTACCAGCCTGCGGGCGAGCTCCTGAGCATAACCATACTATTACATCAAACCAAACAGAAACAAGAAAAGAAACATAATTATATGACAAAAGCCGATCCAGTAAATGGAGGAATTAGAAGTGAAAAAGGGGAGAAGAGAAGGGGAAAGGAAGAAGAAGTATGTTAAAACAAGAAAGATACGCTCATTAATGCAGAATATCACAGCTGGCTTACCCCCTAAATTTTTCTCGTTTCGTGTGTTAACCTTTGGCATAGGCCTTTGCCCATTTGCTCCAGTAGGGCTCCATTTCTTTCTCACAGTTTCGTGAAGGTGTGGCCTCGCATCCGCCTAGACGAACGATGAAATCACCCTCTGTGTATAGCCCGTTTGAGCCAGGCTTTGGGGCTTCATGAGAATAAGCGTTGATTATTTTCTGAGGAATAAGAGCTAGTCTGGCCAGGATGGTCGGATGCCATTGTACAATATGATCCTAAGAGAAAGTTAGTTATCACTCACAGCAGCAACAACAAACCCCTGAACGGCTATCTTGCTTACCAAGGCATGGTTCTCCGCCTTTGCAAAGTTATAGCTCCTGTAAAGCGGATCGAACCAGGCGTCTAAGAAGTAATTTGCCCACTCGCCTCTCCTGACGATAAAACTTCCCGGACACAGGTTCTCTGCATCCTGCGTGATAACCAGGTCAACGTCGTTTCCAGAGAGGTGGGTGAAAGTCTTGATGACACTGTCTGGTGGCACAACAGGAGTATCCTTGATCATGAGAGACTCGAGCTTCGATTTTTCCAGAACGTGTGACGTGAGCGAGATGGTCGGGTCCATGATGACAGAGTGGGGGGAGAGATGGAAGAAGTATTTGCTGCCGGGATATTTGGTCATGGCATGTCGCATAGCCGGAACGAGAGCCCAGCTCCTAGGAACCACTGTGCCTGAGGGGAGGTTCATAACAGGGACATAGTCTGCGGTGCTAGCAAAGAAGTTGAGGTATCCTAAGATAGATTCCACGTCAGCTCAGCCAACACAACCCAGAGTATAACATAAACCGAATCAGCCGCACCATCCGCTGCAGGTGACATGACATACCATGACGTTTCGCGTAGTCCTCCCTATTCTGCTTTATCCGCTGTATGTATGTGTTGCTAAGGAATTCCGTGTCAAGAACGGTGACGATAACGACAGGAGGCCCATCCGCAACAGGGGTATCGACTGAAGACGAGCCGGACGAGAAAAGATGGAAGATAAGGAAGAGAGCCGAGACGACAATGCAGCCTATAACGGCAAATGATTTCAACTGCCGCCGTCGAAGGGCTGTAGGAGACGATCGGGAATAAATAGGAGGACGAGACGTCTTTCGTGGCGGTACTGCAAATTGCATCTTTTAGGGCTGAGAGCGATTCTCCCGGCGCAACCAGGGCTGGGATACCAACGATATATATCCTTCTTTTTTTTGCTTCAGGTTTTCATAGCCGGTCCGGTACGTAAGATTTCGAAAGCCGTTTAAAAATCACCCTCCTGGTCTTGTTATTACCCTTCTGTCAACACCTTCGATATCAACTTTGAAAAAGGGCTGAACGCTGAACACGATATGCGGCTCGGGATGAGGTTAATCCGGGGTACTTGTGGGCATTTTTCGATTTAGAGACGTTCGTACTGGAATTAAGGAGGCAGGATATCTGGATGATGCGATATTGGCAAATCAGTAATTGTCGTATAGATTGGTAGGACACCTCATGTTATACAGGTTTTGTGAAAGTGTGGCTCTAATATACAAGCAAAAGTAATAAAACAACCAGGACCCAAACCAACGCTCCGCAAGTTAAACCCATTCAACATAAGTGATGCAGAGTTCAAATCTAGGCCGGGTTCGTCTTCAGTTCGGGAGTATTCGCTTCCCCCATTGATGCAGCGGTCAACGGTGTGGCCGCCTCGTGGGCCTCCTGCTGTCGTTTCAAATCGTGCTCGGTGGCTGCCTCGATCTTCTCGCTCTCCGAGTGTCGTGCCAGAAACTGTTCAAATGTCTCTGGCTCCTGTAGACCCAGCTGCTGTCTCTCCAACGCGAACTTCTCCTTCATGGCCAGTGATGTCATCACTCTCCACCGTAGCTTCCAGCCAAACATGCCCAATTCCTTTATTCTAGCAGGTTTGTCGCCGAGCAGGTATTCGTCCAGTCCTCCCACTTTATTGATCGTTCTCAAAACGCCATGAGTGACCTTGAGTTCTATTTCTTCGTCCAGGGCCTTGCTGTAGACCTTCTCCTTTCGCACATTAGGCTTCCAGATTCTTCGTGTCTTGCCCTTGTTCCGGCCTTTGGAGATCTTGTTTCCGAATATTATTGTAGCACCGCCGTAGAGCCCGCTGTCCGCCTGCTTGAAGGTGCGTCTGGGGCCATAAGGGTATGGGGGAATCTCAGGAGGAAGAGTAGCTGCCCGCTGTACCGGGAGGGTCGTAGAGAAAGATCGGTTTGCTTGTAGGGAGATGTTGCCGAAGGAAGCTGTGAGAAGGGAAAGGCGAGGGAGCTGTCTGGCGGAGCAAACCGCTGCGTGGAGGGCCATGTCGAGTTATAGCAGTAGCATTGCAGGTTCCAAACTCGATTCAAACAGCCGTCTGCGTCTCCGAGCTCGTCTGTCCAGCTGTTCAATGTCTTCCTGTTCTCCGTCTCGTCTTTGCTTCAAGTTTCTTTCGTTCGCTTTTTTCTTCCCGCGACTCCCAGCTTATTCTCTTTTAGGCTTAGCGGCTGAGTTAATCGCATTCCAACTCCAAAAAAAAAAAAAGAAAAGAAAAGAAAAGCAGCTCTTCAGGCGCAAAACAACGAAGAGAAAACCACATTCTCTCTACTTTGATAAAGACGAGCTGTTCTTCTTACGTTTGGGTACTCATTTACAGAGATAGAGGCACTGGAGCTTCAAGGCGGACTGGATATATTGATATAGGCTGCTTTGTGTGCATAATCCTCCCACACTCCCGCCACTATGGTGCACATCAGCGAGGTGAAGGGAAGCTCGCGCGAGAACAGGACCGCCGCGCATACCCATATCAAAGGGCTTGGTTTGCGTCCTGATGGCACTGCTGAGGTCTCCGGGAATAGCTTCATTGGCCAAGTCCCCGCCAGAGAGGTATGAATCTCAAACGTTGGCTGATATTGCTGGACGCGAGCTTGTGGGCTTACATATCTACTGTTCCTAGGCATGCGGCGTGATTGTCGATTTAATTAAGAGTAAGAAGATGGCTGGCAGAGCAGTGCTGCTTGCTGGAGGACCAGGAACTGGAAAGACAGCTCTAGCGCTCGCTGTCTCTCAAGAGCTGGGAACGAAGGTTCCTTTCTGTCCGATCGTTGCTAGTGAGATCTTCTCGGCAGAGGTTAAGAAAACAGAAGCCTTGATGGAGAACTTCCGTCGTGCAATCGGTACGTCCCAAAATATAGCTGGTGGATATGGCTAGGATATTAATAGATTCTAGGACTGCGAGTTCGGGAAACGAAGGAAGTGTATGAAGGTGAAGTCACGGAGCTTACGCCAGAAGAAGCGGAGAACCCATTAGGTGGTTACGGCAGAACAATAAGCCACCTGATCATTGGCTTGAAATCATACAGAGGGACAAAGAAGCTACGACTCGATCCTAGCATATACGAAGCTATCCAAAAGGAACGGGTTACCGTGGGAGATGTGATATATATTGAAGCCAACACTGGAGCGTGCAAGCGTGTCGGAAGATCTGACGCCTATGCGACTGAGTTCGACCTTGAGGCTGAAGAATACGTCCCAATACCCAAGGGCGAGGTTCACAAGAAGAAGGAGATAGTTCAGGATGTGACACTACATGACTTGGATGTCGCCAATGCCAGACCCCAGGGCGGACAGGATATAATGAGCATGATGGGCCAATTGATGAAACAAAAGAAGACTGAGATCACTGATAAGCTACGGCAGGAAATTAACAAGGTCGTTAACCGATACATTGACCAAGGAGTTGCCGAACTTGTTCCTGGTGTTTTGTTCATTGATGAGGTATGTTCACTCTTCGCCTGCCTACTTTCCCAATTTCTAACATCTCTCGCAGGTTCATATGCTCGATATAGAATGTTTCACCTACCTTAACCGAGCCCTTGAATCATCCATTTCGCCAATTGTAATTCTAGCTTCTAACCGTGGCAACACCGTCATCCGTGGCACCGACGACATTGTTGCTGCCCACGGTATACCCTCCGACCTTCTTGCCCGTCTCCTCATCATCCCAACCCATCCATACAATTCCGAAGAAGTCAAGACTATCATCCGCCTCCGTGCCAAAACAGAAGGCCTCCAAATCACAGACGCCGCCCTTTCCAGCCTTGCAGAGCACGGGAATAAAGTCAGCTTGCGCTATGCTCTGCAGTTATTGACTCCAGCTAGCATTCTTGCACGGGTTAACGGTAGACCAAACGGTATCGAGGAAGCCGATATTGCTGAATGCCAGGACCTGTTTATTGATGCAAAGCGCAGTGCCAGCATTGTGGCTAATGAGACCGGCGCGTTTATCTCCTAATTACTTCGTTTCTTACTTTTCCTTTTTGTTTTATCATGTATGACCATGTACGCAATAGCTGCTCAAAAATTCCTTTGACTGTTCTCACTCCAAATGATCAAGTCCCACAGTCTTTAATGTAATTCTTTCTGGCTGTAATGCACTCCATATCGAGGTAACGAGGAATAGGGATATTCTTGGATGTCTGGAGATATTATACATGTAGGGTCGTAGTAACTGTCAATATAGGGGTATGTCTTACCCCTGAACAATTTTTTCTTCAAGCGATGTCGACATAACACCCTTTACTTTACATCTACCTTATAAAATTACAAGTATGTATTTTACTAGGACTTAAGCTCATGAAATATTTGATATGGGGACCTAATTTTCTTCTACAGAATGCTTCATTATTACATATAAATGCTGGATAGCAACTTTACTATTTGATCAGTTTTAGTTGTGACCCAATAACTAGTAAATTGGAGAGCCAGGGGAATGAAGCCCCCTTATATCGGTTTAGCAGAAAACACCGCAACATATTAGGAGATAAGGAGGCTTCAATTGCCTGTTTATTGATACGCCATCTTCGAACATGACACCCCCTTAAATATAATGATCAGTTTTGATCCCTCTGGATGCCTTTGGGCCGACTCTAAAGGGTCACGTGTCTTGAATACGCCTCAATACAGCCTGTAATGCGGAGTAACGTTTTTGTTACATGATGTAATCCAAAAATACGCGACTTGCCTTGGCCTTTCATCATCACCACCGCCAGCCATCAATCAGCTGCCGCCAACCGACCGACAGCTGGATCAACATCTTCCATACCTGCGGCTCCCGGAAATCCTGCATAGTGCAAAGCACCTTCATTTGAATCCTTGTTTCACTTATACTGACTTATCTCCCCCGCGATCCATTATCTAGACAGTTCGCTCATCTGCTTTCCCCGAACGACCTCAGTAGCCAGCCGCATTCCTCTTCAGCGGACGATACCCAGCCGACCATAATGGCCAATACTCTCGATACTGACGCCGGCTCTGAGCTGTTCAGCAGCTATGAAGCAGAGCTGAAACTTGTTCAGGCCGATCTCAACCAAAAGCTCGACCAGATCGCTGAAGCTTCCGGGGAGGCACGGAAGGCAGCCATCAGACAGGCGGAGAGGGCTCTAGAAGAAGCAAACGAGCTTGTAAGACATCTACCCTAAAGAAGTTGCTTGCTACCTTAACTTGGATATCGGGAGTTACTTTTACCTGTTTCTGATGTTTTTTTGTCGTTGCTAATTTGCGGTTCTGTACAGCTCGACCAAATGCGCATGGAGAAAGAAAACATCCCATCATCCACTCGTCCGAAGATAAACGCCCGCTTTAGAAACTATCTCACAGACATAGATAATACTAAGCGAAAGCTACGCTCGCTATCAGATGATCGCAAGGCTTTATTCGGAGAACGCTATACCGATGATCCAAGCAGCACCCATGACCAACACCTGGAGCAAAGACAGCAGCTGCTTTCCGGGACAGAGCGGCTAGAGAGAAGCTCCGCCCGTCTACAAGACAGTCAGAGGGTGGCACTATCGACGGAGGAGATTGGGCGAGATACCCTTGCCGACCTATACCGTCAGCGCGAGACGATCGAACATACTAGAGCTGGATTACTGGAAAGTGAGGGCTACGTTGACCGAAGCGTCAAGACATTGAGGGGGATGGCTCGTAGGTAGTAACCCCTAGCTCTTTGGCTTCACAATGGCGGTGATACAGAGACGTGCTGACTTTGACATCTTGACTAGGATGGCTACCAATCGGATAATCACCATTGCCATAATCACAGTTCTGGTTTTGTTGATCCTTGGTGTGATTTATAGCAAGTTCCGTTGAAGAACTGGGCTTTTCATTGGTTTTTTTATTCTTCCATTCCACGGCACCAGCGAGTCCCTTTTTACGATTGTTTGTACGAATACATTCCCCTAATACACTTCTTTCTTTCTGAAACTTTGGAAGGCCCTTCTTCTGCGCTTTAGATCTCAAGCCATGGACCAATATCTTGCTGTCATCATCCCATTTGTCGCCCAATTGTCAATGTTATAAATATACTATATTATGCTTCTAAATTATATATATAGTCAAGTATCCTTTAAACAGTCGCTCAGAACATTTCAGCCAGCAGAAAGCCTCATGATAGCATAATAATACAGTACTTCAGTTAAAAGGCAAAGACTGCCCTTCAACTCAGCATCCTGACTGCCCCAAATCCAAAATTGACTACCACCCCTACAAATACAGCCAGCCCTTTCCTCCAGCTCCATACTCCCTCTTCTCGTAGGAGCCATAGGGCACATCCAACGGGCCAGAAGAACCCCATGACTGATCCCCATAACATATCGTCCAAGGCCCGTGAAGTCCCAGACCCAAATGGGCCACCTCCGCCGGTATTATCGGTATTCATATCGCCGAATATATTTGATTCTTCACTGTTGCCTCCTAATCCAGAAACACCGGCCTCGGTTGACCCCTCGTCCATCCACCTATCTTCTAATCTTCGCAGTTCTGTGCCGGATGGTAACGTATCTGGGGTATGCGAGAGGGAAAGCAGAGCCAGGAATTGGGACCGAAGCGATGATACCTCCGCCGGTGTGAACCCAGCAGACAGCAGTCTGTCGAACCCCTGGGGCGCAGGTGTGGCAGTAATATTAGATCCAGCAGCACCTCCATCACCTGTAGCATGCCCCGTCGAAATATCACCTCCGCCTAGAGGCCTGCTCGGTCCCGCAGATCCGTCCAGACCAGCTGAACCCGCTGGGCCCTGAGCATAGGTGTTTGATTTAAGCGCATCCTGACCAGAACGAGCAGCACGAGCTTCAGCATCAAGCTCCGCCGGGGTAAGAGTTATATCCCCAATCGAACAATGTATATATATCCTAGGTTCTCCCTGGTCTCGGGCTGGGGCTTTACCCTTCCCTGACGAATCCGGCGCAGCCTGAGATATGGTCGATGATGAACCGGAGGTCGAATACCCGCCTTTCAAGTAAGGAGACGCTACCCTTGAGCCTGGCTCTGAAGGTGACCATGATGAAGGTACCCGCTGACCGTTCCCATTATGAGAACGTAAATGGCTATTCCTCCCGACCTTTATCTGTGTTGCTAACGAAGTTGAGTCGTCAAGGGACTTCCCAGCATGGATAAGCCGGAGACGCCGCGAGGTAAGGTCTGGAGGGAGTCTGTCGCGAACTAGCCGCTTCAGCCCCGCGACAGTGGTGCTGTTAGGGTCGGGTATGTCGAGGAATATATCTGGTATCGAGGCGGAAAATCGTATGGCCAGAAGTAACTCCAGCTCTAGGGGTAGCCGGTTGAAGTCCTCCATCTCTCGTGAGCTGTTCAGGAGGTCTGTATTATCTTTAAATCGAAACGTCAGCGCTTGCGGCAAATGGAGAATACTGTCACGTGCGGTGATCGAAGATCTACGTCTATTATTAGAATATCCATCAAGGTTGTCTTGAATTCATGTTGTCTCGCTGCGGCGACCATTTATCCTGAAGACGGGATTGGCGGCTTATTACACTTGTCAGTATGAGTGCAGATACCCTCAATTATACGCTATGATGGATAGTCAAAATCTGTGTTATATGTTTGAGAGTTTGTGTATTCATTAGATGAGTGGATATAATATGCCATTATAGTATAACAAGCATCTAAAAGTATACAGAAAGTAATGCAAAAGTGGTTGATTCAACCCAGGCCATAGATGGATCTTCCCATCACCCAAAACGCCAATCCAACGCTGTAAACATGAGATTTAAGTCATAGAATCTGTGGTATATATAGGATGCAAATGCTACAGCTATACCATGAATGATTCACCACAACCGCATTCGTCCTCTATATAAAGTTAGTTAGAATTGTCTTACTCCAATCTTAATGATCAAGAGGGATACTTACTGATATTTGGGTTGCTGAATACAAAGCGGCTGCTGAGGGGATCTTCGTGCCAGTCCATTTCGCTTCCAATTATGCTGAAAAGGGCCTTGGAGTCAATCAATACTTTAACACCATCCTGCTCAACAACCTCGTCGAAAGGAGCTGGCTTCTCAACATATTCCAGATGGTATGATAGCCCCGAGCAACCTCTATTCTTCACGCCTATCCGAATTAGCTTTGGGTCTGGCTGGGAAAGAAGTTCTCGGAGCTTGGATAGCGCGGTTGGTGTGAGCGATACAGCGGCTTTTCTTGCTCGTAGTCTGCTCTTTCGTGGCTTCGCTTTAGTCTCTGAAGGTGCGGTTGCACTGCTGGACACGGGTTGCGACTTCTGAGATTCACTTTCTGGCAGGGGGTGGGACGATACGGAAGTTGTACCATCATCCTTGGATAGCTCTGTGTTCTTCGGTCGTGGGTATGTCGGGGTAGTGTTTAGTCCCGGGATCGCATGGGAGATGGATGTGTCCGGGGTGCCCGCATTCCGCGGAGGTGGAACAACAGACTCGGGTAGAGAGTACGGTCGGTAAGCGGTTGCTGTCTGAAGTTCACGCTTCGAAGACGAGTATGTTGGGCGGGCGGAAGAGAAGAGTCTGATGCCCTGTGTACATTGTCGCCGTTGTCTAAGCAGAACCCGAAGCGCTGATGATGTCACAGGCTTCACAGAGGTTTGACACAGCGACATGGTAACTGGGAAGAAGGTGACGGCTAGAGAATCATTAACTGGTCGCCTACACGAACGCTCAGAAGGTGGAAGACAGATGCTAAGTGAATGTCGATATTGCTCAGAGGAAAAGACTGTCAGCGAGCAAGAAGATGTTTAGAGTCGGGCTTTTTTGCTGTCGTTTTCGTCGCTTTGAAGATTGCCGTGATTAGTCATGGATTGTTATCGGCAAAACATCGGCCCGTATCACATGATGTAAAGTAGTCCAATCAGAGCTGTGCAATTATCAACCCTGATATCGCTGACTCAGCACCCGATCATGCCACTTTTTTAAGCGCCGAAAAGGCTAATTTAGACTTCGGCAAATAAAAAGAAAAGAGGCTCTGCAGGAACTCTGGGTTATAATTCTTTCTAGCTGACTTTTGGGACACTCTATGATATGTCTATGTCTTTCAGTTTTGCGGCTATGGAGCCCAATCGGCGTTCTAGCCATTACATAAAGCCTCGTATAAAAGACGACAAGCCTTGGCTAGTTAGAACCCTCCATTCGGCCCGAACTTTATCGTACTCAACCATCAATGCTTGATCCCATCTAATTTTCTTACCTAAAGAAAGGAAATGGAAGAATTGAAAGGGAGAAAGGGCCGGGGAAATAAACGAGCGGAGAAAGAAAATCGCGGGGAGAGAAAGACAGGGAAGGGAGCAAGCTTGCATCCTTAAGCTAAACCAACTTCCATGGGAAGAGAAATATGGGAGTTCAACGAATCAAAAGGATGTGATGGATGACCCTCAACCACTGGCTTTCGAGTGAAGAAGATGAGCATATCCCTGGTAGCTGGACAGCTCGGGTCGACAGCATGGACTGGCGAGAGGCTGTGCTTTCGTTCGTGGTCGACAAACAAGAGGGTGTCTAAGAACTCGCGATGCTGATGGCTGCCCAAGGTGTGCTCGGGGTTGACTTCGTTCCAGCGCAAAGCGTTCTTTGCGCGCATATCGTGCACAAAAGTTGTTGCGCTATCGCTAGACATGTTTTCGCTCCCCAAAAAGGTTGTCATGGTGAAGTCCACGCCATCGCTATGCACCCCTTCAAGAGCTGGTTCGCCGAGTATGTCTGGACTAGTGACGGTCCGCAGGTTGAACAGGGTGCACACGAATTTCTCTGTTTCGTAATTCAACTTTGGGCGCTGTTTGAAGGGAACCCCATGGAAGATCAGTGCTTTGAATACGAATAAGGCTTGCAATGTGGAATTCCCTGGAGGTCGTCCTCAACCTCTGCGAACCTCCTGACCTGGCCGGAGTCATGCCTGACGAAATCCTCGTCAGCCGAGAGGATGAAAGGCTGAAATTCGAGGCGGCGGACCTTGGATTGTTCAAAATCAAAGCAGAATCGGGCGTTCTTGCTTTTCCGGAAGGGTAAGGTAGGGTCGTCAGGTAAGCTGTTGCTGACGGTTTTAATCTTCTCCATATCTTCATCAGTTGCCCCAAGCAGCTTAAGAATCGGGATCATTCGAGTGCTTTCCACGAAGATAAGCCTCTCTTTGACGAATTGCTCTCGCAACCTGATTAGGTCTGCAATGGCTGCGGTCGATTCTGGGCTGACTACAGGTATCGCCATGTTGAATTAAGAAAGAAGAAACCGGTACGCGCAGTCGTGTACAGTAGAGGGACAATATAGAGCCAGTGATGATGGGTGTCAATTGATTGTTCACCTCCATCCTCGATCAAGGAGCCTGTCATGTTTTTATACTCCGTACTTGCTCTGTAATCATCGGTGCGGATTTCTCAATACAAGCTTAATCGATACGAAAGCCCGGCTATGCAGGTATAGAGATGCAAAATGTGCGTATGACGTGTTCGTCGTTGCTAACATACTCACCACGGCATGGGATCTAATAACTATACGAGTATTCAGCCCCGCTCCGATCAATTACCTATGAGTCGTACCACCGTGGCAAAGGATCTTGGATTGAGCTGACTCTGGGCCAGGCCATAAAGACCCAACAATACTCGTGTGAGAGCCAGTCGGCTCACTAACTCCAAAACTTCCCGGCATGGCTGCAGGCATGGATCACACCCCGGAGGAGCAAACGGCCGTAAAATCCCGTAACCCACAACCAGGCTAGAAAAGATTGATAAGCTAACTAACCAGGGGGTAGAGATAAAGAATCCCCACGCAGACGACAGTTAAGACTAGTCTAGTACTCTGGCCCCCATGCTTAAAGCAACGACATAAAGTTCTTAGTCTCCATAAACGCACTGGAATTATGAGCCAGCATCAATTTGAACAATCACTCACCAATTTCATATATCACCATAAAAGGGACGAGAATGAGCCACCCGGTAGATGATCAACTCGGTAGCAGGCTCTCCGTCAGCCAGTATATCCAAGAGCCCAAAGTCCTGCCAGAGAAAGGCTTGGAGGAGAGTACGATGGGAACGGTTGAGAACCCTCTGAAACCTGCAACTTGGTGCGGTGTAAGTCAGAATCCTCTAGGCTTTCTGCTAAACATGATGAAAGGCTCGCTTACATTAGTTACGGGACAGAGTAAGAAAACCTTCGTGGCATTCGTCGGCCTTCTAACGCTCTTCAACAGCGTCTTTGATTCCACCATCCCCAGCGGTGGAATTCGGTTCATTGCCGCTGCATTGAATGTACGGGGAGAATCTCAGCTTGCCTTGCCCACTTCCGTTTTTCTGATCGGATATGTGACCGGACCACTTGTCTTCGGGCCCATGAGTGAGGTTTATGGCCGACGACTGGTTATGATTGGTAGCTTTGGGCTCTTCACTATCTTTACGCTTGCATGCGCTGTGGCCCCGAGTTGGTTAGCACTAATCATATTTCGATCCCTGTGCGGTATCTTCGCATCCACTCCGATTGCAGTCACCGGAGGTATTTTCGCAGATATCTATCGCTCCCCGTTGACTCGGGGCCGGGTTATGGCCCTCTCAATGGCGGTAATAACCCGAATCCTTCTCAGCCCCAGCTATTCTGCATATCTCTAATGGATAGTTTTAGGTCACTGCCGCTGGCCCGCAATTTGCTCCAGTAATTGCAGGGTTCGTTGCAACCGCTGGATGGAGATGGATTTTCTGGGTGTCGCTGATCCTTGCTGGTGTGACTCTGATTCCGGTTTTATTCCTCCCAGAAACATTTCAGCCAGCTCTGCTGAAGCAGCCGCAACAACGTGGTGAGAGAGGTGTCACCAAGGCGCTTGCGCGGCCACTTCATATGCTTTTCTGCAAGCCGATATTATCATTCACTTGCCTTTATCTGTCCTATGCAAGTGCAATATTTTGTAAGTGTCTACTTCTGCCCTTAAAAATGTATAACTTCGGCTAATTTGATGAAGTTATGTATTTCGAAGCATATCCCCTAATTTTCCAAGGAGTTTATGGAATGAGTGATGGTATATCAGGCTTGGCATTTCTCCCTAGTATGTAACTGATATCAAGTATGGATGGAGATATTCGCTTGCTAACCTTTGCCTAGTTGCTGTGGGAGCTGGCATCGGCCTGGGCATCTTCGTGGCCTATGACTCGTTTCTGCAGCGTGCAAAATCAAGAAGGGCAGGCTGGTCCACCGTTGAAGAGTATCAGCGACTTCCCTTGGCATGTTTAGGAGGCCCGTTGCCCTCTTTTGGTTGGGATGGACCGCTTCACCGGAAATACACTGGATCGTTCCGATGCTGGCGGGGATACCGTTTGGAATGGGGTTCTTCCTCATATTTGTGGCTCTGATAAACTATCTGATTGATGCTTATCATGAGTATGCCGCCAGCGCCATGGCAGCTGCAAGTTGTTGCCGCAGTATCTTGGGAGCGGTGTTACCGCTTGCTGCTGTCCCGATGTTCCGTCGCTTGGGTATAGCATGGGGCTGTAGCTTGCTGGGATTCTTGAGCCTTGTCATGTCGCTGATTCCGTTCGTATTCATCCGATATGGCGACAAAATTCGTTCGAGGAGTAGATATGGACATTGATGGTGCCAGCCGTGAGGAACGGACCGCCGTATAGCAGCATGGATCCCACACCCCGCTTCCTGGGCTTTGCGATCGGATCCCAGTAGGCAGTCTAGCTCGAGAATCCTTGAGTTCACACCCATGTTTGATGAAAATCTCAATGTATACGTTACTATGTATCCTATAACTTCGTAGAATAAAGCATAGACTTCAAGGATGGTTTACTCACTCGTGCGAAAAAGCACATCTAATCCTCTCCAGTAATCCTTGACTTGAGAAAATTTTAGAGGATTGATCAGCCGAATGCTAAGTTACTGGTATAATTGAGCCATCTGCGGGTATTCTTAACGACAGGGGTAATGACTCCGGTTCAATGACTCCGGTTCAATGACTCCGGTTCCGGGGCTCCTAGATTAATATGCCCGATGACGTGTGAACTAACGGCAAGTTCCCTGTAGCATTGGAAAGGCCCATCGGGATCAAGATAATAGCCATACGAGATTTCTTGGGAAAACCTCTTACCATGCCGGTAAAGATCATTACTCTCCAGTTATCCATAAACTAAGAATATCTTAAAACTCCGAGTGCATGTGTCTACATTCAAACATCCCAAAGCGAGTATGTTGGCAATTGGAGTATCTCAAGAGTAATGCGGTATCAAATGTGAGTTCTGACATTAGGAGGGATCGGCGCTGTGCGCTCAATAAAAGAAACGTGGTAAGCATCGGCAGCTTCCATATGTTGAAACGTAGGAATACTCGCAATAGAACTTTCTAATTCTAGATTGATGGTATATATCCTATCAAAGCGGTGAATGACTTGTCCAACTCCATTCGCTGTGGTTTAAAAGCTTTTACCAAGACTATCCGTCATAAGTCCTAGATACACAAGCCAAACCTGAATAAGGCTGGATATGGGCCTCATGAGGTATAGGAACTTGGGTAAAAAGTGCTCCTTGGGGTATCATTGTTGTTGACGGACTTTGCGGGCTGGTTGATGATGCCCTCTTTCCTTCGTGATGAGGTCGTTCAAACAACCTCCGCCACGAAACATGCTGACTAAGCAGTAAATAACTATTTTAACTCTGGTCAATTAACGTTGGTTTACGGAGTATTTACGGAGTAACAAGCCACGTTTTGTTCGCTACTAAAAGAGCGACTATTGGGGCTGTATGTCTTCCTTGAAGCGAAGATGGAGAATGGCTGTTCCTGATGTTTGAGATTTCACTGATGAATATCCACTATCTCACTAGTAAACGAGCGACGCGAATCCCTCCCTTTCTACCCCTTTTTATGCATGCTTATTCATTTTCAACGCTGCCAACAGTGACTGGCTGCGCCTAGCCAATCAGCGTTGCTGAGTAAGATGGATGGAGAACACTTTAACATCAACTTCTTAGGCAATCAATTCGAGACTGGCCAGCTTGAGGACACGGATTTTGGGCAGGCTGGGATGCATGTCTTGGTGATATGACTAGCTCCATGATAACTCTTCACTCGGCAAGCTAGCCTGCAGAACATATTGCTAGTTTATCTCGAGACAGCGATGCTATCAAAACCAGGTGGAACAGACAACGTATCATCATGGAGTCCTCTCCTCTCACTCAGCAGACACGGCCTGAGACGTTTCAGCCCAAGATAGTGAAGTTATACGAGACTCTACTATTTGTACGCCAACTTTTAACCTTCCAAAAAATACTAGTATTGAGCGTGGTTGTGCTAATGCATTGTTCTAGAACTCAGACTATGCACATCCCACAGAGGGCTTCTGGCGGGAGTTTTTCCTCCTACAGCCAGATCGAGCGTATCTATCAAAAATGATAGGTAGTATTAGTCCTCATGACATTCTACATCTTCAAGTAAGCGGCTGGCATTCTATTCATGCATGGATTCTGGCAGTGCTGACTTATCTAGGCCCAAACACAGCAACTCTTCGCTCGTGCTATCAAAGAAGCAGCCTCTGATAATGCTGCAACAAGTGTTAACGCCTTGGAGGTTAGACTCAATGATACACCTAGCCGCTGGTTGGTTTGATTTCTAACCACTTTTGGCAGATTTTAACTGCTTTCCTAGCCAGTGCATTATCAAAGAAGTATACCAACCCAAGTTCGGACATCATTACAGTCCTCGCAGGCCTCGATGAAGTTGATTATATTTGTTCCGAGTTTGTATCCGTACTGGATTCAATCATACGGAATGGAAGTTCATGTATGCACCCGAATATCTGCATCCGTCAGCTGAAGTGTCTTGCTAACTACGAGACAGTGGATGTTCGGTTAAAAGCAATCGATACGGCGCTGGCAATGGTTGGCGGGGCATATAAAACAGGCGTTATGTCTTACTTTATTCATCGAGACCTCTTTCCATCACTGATGAAGGTTTGTTTATCATTTTGCTCCTTTCCATTCTTTCTCATTGGCAGACTATTCTAACGGATTCCAAGTTCATCCACGATTCTGATACCCACACTCAAGTCTTAAGGCCTTTCTTGTTACTTGGTCTCCTGGCTAATTACAACAAATTTGATTTTCAAAATCCTTATCAGTTACGGCTGAACGATTTCGTAAATGAAACTGCGATACAAAAGGTTGTTAGGGGAGCCGGTGTGGCATGCGCGTCCCTTAGGAACTCATATATCGCAGTTCAAGATGACCTTCCTGAAGGCTGGAACTGGAATACAACTCTGTCGTTTTTCAGCTTTGGTTTCTTCTCACCAGCAGGAAAACCCCAAAACCAGCCTCTTACTGCGGAAGAGATGAAGGAGCGTTTTAAGGCGCTGTGAGTGAACCTTACTGTTTTGTGTGTACGGGCTCCAAAATGCTAATACATTTTTTTTCCCAGCCCATCACCTGAAGCAGCTGTTTTATTAGCCACATATGACTTTGTAAATGCGAACAAACTCTTTGGTCATACCTTAGTGACTACTAGCGCCGAGAAGAGGGCCGAGGAGGCTCCATTTGCAAGCTTCCTCTCATTGACATCATACTTACTGCAGCATGCATACCGTTCAACGCGAGTGGCGCTGTATGCAGAAGCCAACCTCTTCTCGCTTCGGAACCTAGTGGAAGATCCAGTCATCTGTAAACAAATTTGCAGTGACGAGAATAATGCTAGGGTGAGGCTTTGCCGTCAACGATCTCCGCACCTCCCATTAGTGAATGGGGAGAGAGTTCTCGCAACTGTCATATTTGACATTCTAATTGATACCATAAACCATAACCTCCGTCGGAGTCTTGACACGTATCTATACAGGTGAGATCACCATCTAGCATATCCTTACACAACATGATATTAACGTTAACTGCTCAGCCACACGATCATCGTACTTTTCCGCCTTCTCACATACGCATCCTCCAACAAAGTCCGCTTCTCATACCACTGGTCTGAGCTCTGGAGAGCCCTTCTTACGTTCACACGCTTTTTAACTACCTATTCAACGGACCTTATGCACAGTCCACATATCCGAATTCTCACAGCAGACCTAATCGACCTCATAACGTTTTGCATATCCGCTGGAGATACTTTTCTTCCCGACCCGTCATCTTATGACGATCTTTTCTACAAAGTCGTAGAAGCTGACTCCGTTCTAAAGCGTTTCCGTGACGTTTACAAGCATCTCTCCGCCCCATCCTCCCACACCACCAATTCAACTCTCTCAATTAATGCTCTAATCAGCGTTTCAACCCACTTTCACTCTCTATTATTCGTGTCTGACTCAGCGGATACATCTCGCCCTGGTAGCAAGAGTGGTGAATCACCAACGGCTTCCCCTCCTCCAGCCGCAAGGAAGAAAAGGCTTAGCCCAAGAGAAGTCCATCAGATCATCAAGGAAGGCTACTCAACGCTTAGCATTCGAGCAAATGATGATTTGACCAATTGGGAAAAGTGGCGCGATGCAGATTGGAAACCACAGTTAAAGCGGATCACTAGAGCCGCAGTGGAGGACGTCATTACAATAATATCCCAGCCGGAACAGCCACATACCTTAATGGAGACTAAACACAAACCGAGTGGGTAATTGTTGTGCGAACCCATTTGAAAATTAATCTTCGACTTAGAATAAATTTGTAATGCTTATATTTACTACCGAAACGGGACTGCTTTTAAAATGCTATATCAATTCAACTCTGTGCAACATTGTACAACGCCTTGGCCTACTGCGCCACACTGTGCGATGCGACAGGTATATATATGTATGGCAAAGAAGCAGGGATACTTGAAAGCAGAACGTTGATTACTTATTATATTGGAGTCTTTAACAAAAGTAATAAAGGAACTCACTTCGCTTGATAGAAAAGAAAACTTTGGCCAGCTCACACAAACCTAAAGAAGGCCTAGAACAGACAGAACAAGGCCTGTCATAAAACAAACAATCAGAAAACAAAAAGGCATTGAAGCGCGGATGGTAATCTATTATACGCCAAGTCTAGTCGGATTTCTCAAGCTTGTCCATTTCAAATAGGCGAGCCGTTGCAGTGCCAGGAACATCCTGGCTGTTTACGCCCTTCGCCTTGTCAATGTATTCTTTGCTAGGCGCATCATATTTGGCAGAGAAATAACGATCGGAATGTTTGCTAAGCCACATAGAGAACTTTGATAATTCCTCTCGCAGTCTCTGCGTAGCTTGCTGACTTAGCCCTGTTTGCGCAATAAGCTCAGGTAGGGATGCTAAATTGCAAATATCGCTGTTAGCGAATATACCAGATTAAGATAATTATGACGTTATGATGAGGATGGTATACCGAACAGACGAGCAAGGTGCTCAGCACCGTACACCTCACAAGGCCCTTTATCAATGTATCCTTCTGCTGCAGATTCCCATTTATTGCTTATCATCTGGTACTGTTGCCTCTCAAACTGGTAGAGTAGAATCTTGGAGAGGGACTTTTCAAAGTACTCCCTAATTCCAGCCACTACCTCTTCGAGCACATCGATATCCGAAGGACTGGCCCGTTTGGGCTTTTCTTCTTCAAAGTAATGGTCGAGTATGGTGGAAACTGGTCCTTTGGCTGGAAGTGGGACAAGCTGGTTATTTTTGGTAACATATTCCCAGTCATCCACAAGGAGTGCTTTGAGGTTATCTGGTATCACGATGCGAATAGATGGGCGTGCATTAAACTCGTCCTCCTATTTGGAACAATTAATGTCAAGGAAATATGTTAAAGAGTACAAATACCGTAAAACACCCATACCTTTTCGATCTCCGTATCTCTTCCTCGCTTGGTTCCCCTGGCTGGGATAGATGATTGCCTGTCATCACTCCCAATGTTGGAACCCGGATCAGAAGCCGCTGCAGCCTTCTTCTTTTTAGATTTCTTGCGCGAGGCGGCCTCTGCCTCACGTCTCAGCGTGGCGGCGAGCTCTTTGTTGTCCTCTGTGGCTTTTCGAAGTCGATCTTGGAAAACCCAGTCATCCCACCTATGTGTAAGGAAAATCGTCAGCTATTACTCATTGCCCATCGGCCTCTAGGATGATATCATCAGACATAGACTAGAGAGCATGATATCACAGCCTAACAAGACAAAATAAACATTTGAACATTCGCCCCTGCTATCGCATCTATTGAACGAACTCTATGATATCGACGAGTGGTAGCGAGAATAAGGTAACATACGTATGCTTCCAGCCCTTGTAATGGACTCGATATTCGTAAGGACTCTTTCGATCTTCTGGATCACTTAGCCGCAGTGCTATTATCTTGGCTTCATAAAGGATATCATGGTGAAAACATAGCACAGTTTCGTCCTTATGATATATGGGGTGATTGAGAGGCATGTCTGCGAATGATTCAATGTAAGTCACGCAGTAAATCACTTCAACGTGCGAGAATGCTACAACGCTATGTCTGGGCCGAGCCTTTTGAGGAGCCGGCCTGATATTCAGGCTGAGATAAAAACCAGCCAAGCGCACAAGCCGGGTTCGAATCCAGACAGTCCGAGAGACTAAACGAGCTGGACTGAGTACAAAAGATGAGTTCCAACTCTGTTAAAATGAAGTTTGATTTAAATTGAGGAACAGATAGCAGCTCTGTTACCACAGCAGTCTGCCTTTGAGTGCAGATAAATGTGCTGAAAACAAGTTAGCTTCCGTGCCAAACAGATAGGAGCAAAGGATAAGTACGGGGTATACCTATAGCAAAAGCACTTGACTATGGTTCCTTGAAGAAATATGTATATATCTGCTGCCTCCGGGGGGTGTTTGGTATCACCGCTTCCGCCCCTTTCACGATGTTGCGAACAGACGAGATAAAGTGAAAATTACATAATGTGTTAAGCCTTCGAAATAATACCGTATTTATGCCATTTTCTATGCATAAAATTTGTTCTACGATGTAAATAGTCACGTGGTCATCGCGACGCGCTCGACCAAGGTTTGTAACTTCGCAAGTTTGATATGAAAATATTGTTGATATTAGAGAAAAGTACCATGGGCTAGTTCAATAATATCAACGCTGGTAGAGGAAACAAAGACAGGCTCTCGTTTAGATACAGATAAGTCTAGACATATTATCAGAAGTCTTGGTAATCCCCATTTCTTGGGGAGAAAGAGCAATATCAGCCACGATAATCCATACATTTAATCCATACGATGGCACCGTCTGAGGAGTCCATTCTCACAAACTTCTTGCTATCTCTTTCTCCTTTACCAACAGTTATATCCCTTGAACAATTCACAAAACTGTTTCCCAGGCGGCTGCAGTCTCATCCACAGATTAGGACGTTGTATCGTGATTTACAATACCTCCGTGCTCAGGATATCGATCTGGTCCAGGAAAACATTCGGAAAGAGATCAAAAACGGAGAGAAGCAGAAAGAAGAGCTAAAGAATGCCCAGCTAAATTCAGGGGTGACGAATATGACCCATGGTGATAAAACGGAGGCTGATATGGATATCCAGCTATTTGGCCACAATGATGGCCTGGTAACCAGACCGGAAGATCGCCATACGCTAAACACTCTTTTGATTGATATGGAACGGGCCTGCAGTGCTATAGAATCCAATATCCAGTCGCTTGATACCGAAACGTCAGATCTCGCTAGTCAAATTGCAACCACCGTAGGGGAACTGAGTGATCTCCGGTATGGAAAATTGAACGCAATAGCGGCCGGGAATACTCTAAGGGACGATGTTATCCTGGGCTTGAAAAATCTGGAAGACAAATGCAGTAAGGCTATGCCACGCTGATAAAGATATGAATGCTGTTGCTGTAGGCAGTCATGGGGACGAGCTCATTCAACTGAATCAGAGCTTTCCAAAATCCAAGTCGCGGATGAATGATTTGCCAATCAATCTAACGGCGTTGGCGATGCTTATATCGGTCGCGTCGTCGTCGCCCTTCGCCTTCACTTTTCCAACTTCATCAAACTCGTACTGTATCACTGGCTTCCGTTGCTTCCAATTCACAGTCGCATTCGCTAGGACTCTCGGCAGAGGTGGGAATCTCGAGTATCCAGATCGGCATCTGTCATCTCCTTCATGTTTGAACTCTTCGCGGGAAGGCCAATACGCGTTCTGGCGGCCACTACCCGGATCGGACAAGGGCCCCCAAATTGTTTCGGTTGCCAGGACCAGACCAAGCCGGTCCCTTAGCCTCTTGCCTCTGAACAGCTTATCCGTCTTCATGGTTATCTTGTTGAGCTTTTTCTGTTTCATAGCAAGAGACTGAGCTATCTTGCGCTTATCCTCCTCTTTTTTCAGTAGCTTAAGCGCGAGCCATTCTTTGAACGTTGCTGGCACAAATGGAGATTTCGGCGCGACATATGACATACTATCACGGGCCCTTGCCCAGGCCTCATACTCTCTGGTTTCCTCTGAAACCCAGGTTTTCGAGGTAGTATGGGACATTTCTAGTGATATAGATAAGTACTATTGTCCAGTTGTTGCCCTTTCCACTAAGCTGAAATGCTAGGGTTGGTTAATATAGGGCAGATGGCCTAGGACAAGGGGTTGTTTCTATAATAACTATCAATTCCATTCTATCCTTAGAGCTTGTACCAGATTTCTACTTATATAAAAGGCTTACCTCTTCCCTTAACGCGTTATCTTCTCTTATTTGTTGCTGTTACTTCTTCACATCAACACAAATATCAGGCTCCTAGCTAGATTTTCACAGGCTTAGGTGCCTAGGTAGTTATAGCTAGCTTAGCTAATTGTGCTGGTGTAGCTATCAAGGGGACTTTGTTAAATTGGTGGAGCTACCAAAACAAGCTGAATATACATATTGTTGCTAAGGAATTTACATTTGCTTCACTCTTTTAGGAATTTCCCGGGTCAGTAAGTTAGCTGTTGAGGAACTGTGAAGGTTAAGGGGTTTGCTTAGTTACCTACTAAGGAAACTATATCTAAGCTGCCTTCATTCTCTGGTTTCTTCTCTTCCTAACCTTGTCAATGATTTTCATTACATATTTACCACTGGCGATGTTTATATTACCTCTTATCTTAGACTGTGTTTTTTATTATTATTATAGAAAGTAATATGTAATATATCATCTAAAAGCATAAAAACATCTGAATACTCTTTGGTGCAATTCCGCCTTGTATAACACAATATAGATTTGATATAGATCTACCTAGGTAGGTACCCAACATATAGAGCTTCGGGAAGGATCACATGACCGTGTGTAAATTTCGACCTTCCGCCAGGGACAAAAACAAACGACTTCCGCCGCAGGATCAACTCTTGGGTAAATACGAACTCCAGCAAGAAGCAGCTAGTTATTTACCATCTTATAGGCGATATGCCCACAGTTCCACTCCATGTATCTCTGCCTAGAGGCAGTAATGGGTGCTTTTCGGAAGCAGTTACCAACGCCCTACCCCAACTGCTCCAAACACCCTCCGGTTTAGCCATACTAGAGCTCCAAGGAACCATAAATCTCCCAGAAAACGATGATCGCGCGGTGCAAGATATTATACCCGATGCCTCGCAGCATACACGCAATGTTGAGACACCGATTGGCCGGATCATATTTGCGGACTATGACCCATCTGCTGACCCATCGGACAGAGGCTGGATGAAGCGCGTGTATCTGACTGTTGGGCAACATCAACGGCTGACAGGCGAAGTTAAGAAACTACCCAAGCCTATAGCGGTCATTCAAAGGCGAAAAGTAACATCCCCCGATGCTATGAATTCAGAATCTGTGGCGAAGGATGGATTTATCCCACCCTCCCCGGATCAGCTAGAGATCGTGGAGATAATTAAATACAAGATAATGTTTTCCTCGCGCCCTGAGCCTATCACCAACGAAGGGTTTTAAATTCCAGCGGTTTGGCACTGTTACTGTTCCTTGGAGTACAGCGCGAAAAATTGCTCTCGGTGTCGCACCTGGAAGATTTGCACAAAAGGCCTACCGGGTTTACCTACATACAACAGCAAATGGAGCTGTCGTCGCTTTATTCAACACTCTTAATTGACTCACACTCTCCGCTCTTCAAACTCCGGCATGCCGTACGACGAGTCGAGCCCTCCCCGTTACTACGCTTCGTGCTCCGTACACAATTTTTTTGCTGCCCTTGCGGCAGCCAATATTGGAACGGACATTATCCAAGAACCCCGCCTGAGTTGGTGGTCGTCGCGTTTGAACTTTCTAGAAGCAGGGTCGCACAAATCAGTGGAATCTCAAGTTCAGCCACAGATGTTATGCTTGATTTCGTGACAAGATAGCCAATGACTAGTGAAAATCAGCCGAAACTGAATCTGGCGATGGCTGGCCACGAAAGCGAATCGGTTCCCTTCGCTCGGACATTTATGCTACACAACAACTCAGCTATAAGACCATGGGCTTCCTTCTGTGACGTATAAACAACCATGCCCCAAATGTTAGTTACGCCTAGCACGAAAAGAAAATAAGAAACTCAAAAGATTCTGGGTCTTTTTCATGTGCTTTTTCGAGGTATGACAGAATCGTGGAACATATAGCCCCCTGTCCTAGCCAGCAATCCCTGTCCTAGCCACATCAATGTACTGATGGTCTTAGTGTGCGTGTTAGCTCGAACACAGTCCTTGACACCAACTAAAATACGGATCTATTCAGCCGATGGTATTATTGATGTTCAAATGAAAAAAAAAATGGATCATCAACGCTAAGGATAGGCTTGGCACTTGTTTATATGTAAGGAGGTGGCAACATATATCTTGCCATCAAAGACCTCCGTTATACCTTATATAGTTGTTCACACAACACACCTGAACTAACTAGCACCAACCCTTCATCCTTCACTTTCAATTTTCAGTCTTCTTTACCAAACATTAGCAAAAGACACAAAACTTCATTGCCATGACGTTCATTCCCCCTCAAGAAGATATTGTCCCTAGCCAGCTAGGCCCAGAGTACCAGGGTTTCGACCATATTCTTTGGTATGTTGGCAACGCCAAACAGGCCGCGTCTTATTATATCACTCGTTGGGGCTTCAGATCAATTGCCTACAAGGGGCCAGAAAACGGCTCAAATCACATTGCTGGCCATGTCATTAAGAACGGAGACGTGATCTTTGTCTTCATTTCACCAATTATTTCCTTTCCTTGCGACAAGCTGGATCACAAAACAACCTCGGAAGAAAAACAGCAAATACAGGAAATACAGAATCACCTTTTGAAGCATGGGGATGGAGTCAAGGATATTGCATTCCGAGTCAACTCAGATGTCAAGCCTATCTTTGACAAGGCAGTTGCTGCAGGTGGTCAGGCTGTGCGTCAGCCAGCTATTATCAAGGATGAAGAGAATGGTGTGATCCAAACCTGTACAATTGGATCATATGGAGATACAACCCACACCCTCATTAATCGCCATGATTACAAGGGTTGCTTCATGCCTGGATTCCACCCAGCCGACGAGAATGATCCAATTGAACGATACCTTCCACAGGTTGACTTCGTAAATATTGATCACTGTGTTGGAAACCAGCCCTGGGATGGACTTGATCCTACTGTTAGCTTGTAAGTACTGCCTACTCAGCTTGTTGATCTGCCGTGGCTACTGGTCGGTAGCTGACCCAGAGCGAACTAGCTATGAAAAATGCCTTGATTTTCACCGCTACTGGAGTGTGGATGACAAAACCATGTGTTCTGAGTACTCTGCCATGCGCTCAGTCGTAATAGCTTCGCCAAACGAAGTCATAAAAATGCCTCTTAACGAGCCTGCTGAAGGCTTGAAAAAGTCTCAGATTGAAGAGTACGTTTGTCTTCTTCTATGCATCTGTTGAGTATAATGCTTACAATTCCTCTTTCTAGGTTTGTTGACTATTATAACGGAGCTGGTGTGCAGCATATCGCATTTCTAACAAACGATATCCTCAAGGCAATCGCGACTCTTCGCGAGAGGGGAGTCAAGTTCATCTCCGTCCCCAACGGATACTACGATACCATGCGCGACCGTCTAGCACAGGCTGGGATATCGCTTAACGAAGATATCGAAGCCCTAAGAGAACAGAATATCCTAATCGATTTTGACGATCGCGGGTATCTCCTTCAAATATTCGCCAAACATGTTGCCGACAGACCCACAGTCTTTATCGAAGTCATCCAACGAAACAATTTTGACGGATTCGGAGCTGGTAATTTCAAGGCTCTCTTTGAGGCTTTCGAGCGGGAACAAGCTTTACGAGGCAACCTTTGATCAGGCATCAGGCAACCATTATCTTCTTCGGCTGGATGCCGATAATCACACACACCCCTCTTCTTCAACCTTCTACAATTAATTAGCTCTTTTAATGTCACCTTATGGAGTATGAATTTGTTCACAGAACGGAATGCCTATTTCTTCGGGATGTCGGGCCTTTTGCCTTTCGGGTTATGGATAATTTGGCCCGGTTACGCCAGGAATGACCAAGAAAAAAAAAATAGACAAGGCATACGGCGTTATTTTAGATTCTTGATTAGAAATAGACATGCATATACGGCGATGTTGAAAAGTGTGTTTGATGACTCTTGTGGAGTTTCCGGACCATCCATCCGTGCTGGTACTCGCTTTGGCCCAACCTTCAACAAATAAGAATTTAGATAGAGGAGGGTTGGACAACATTGTGGTGAAGAGACCAGCGTTGCAGTACTCCGGACATACGGAGCAAAGTTGTCTTAATTCCTTGCTGCAGCGCGTCTCCCTGTTAATAGTAATATTGGGGGCCAGGATTCCTTGCAGATGCTTGAGTGTATTATCATTAGGGTAAACCAACCCGAAACTTAGACGTATCTCCATCCGTGTCGTCTCCACCAGCAACAGGCTAAAGCAGGTCAATAGTTGCAGTAACTAGCGGTGGGAGAAGGAGTGTCATGATCTATTTTGTGTAAAGGCAGTAGCTATCATACGGGGTGAGACCAAAGGCATGAAATGAGGTGCCACGGCAGATATTAGACGGGATAATGGTGTCCCCCATTAAGCAAGTCTTCAAAATAAACATGGGAAAATTAGGTCCGGGTGTGGTCGATCCCGATAAGTTAACCTATATAACTCGGGGAACCAGGTTGAGAAAAATGGAGCGGCGGAGTCTATGTCATGCGAGAAAGTGATCAACGGACACGCTAAAAGGGGTAACCCAACCCATATACATACAAAGGTAAAGAGAAAAGATACATTCGAAGTAGATATGCCCCGAGGAAGTCCGGATGATGAGATAGGATATAGTAAACAGAAAACAGGCTGGGCTGCGTTTCCAAAGACGTAATGGAACAATGAATATCTATACTCAGCACCGCCAGCGCTGGGGAAGGGGTGGCGAAGCATCGAAGTATACATGGGGAACTCGATGATGAACAGTTGATCAAGGCTCTCGGTATCAAGGTTGAGCCGAAACCCAGCAGAAGCAAGCAGAGAAGGAGATCAGAGCCTAGTATTATTATTATTGATTCAATGTCTTGCGTAAATCGCCGAGTTTCTGCTGTAGCGCCTCGTGGCTTTGCGATAGCTAGAAGTTTGAAAACCCAAAAGTCAGTCTCGCAGTACTTAACGGCCAGAGGGAGTTTCTTATTTTCTTTTTCTGTTGCTCCTTTCTTTTTCTTTTCCAGAAACCCGCGTGGAAAAAAAGTATAGCGAAACGTACCTCTGCCCATTTCATCTTTGTCTCGACCAAGTCCTTTTCCATCTCTGCCATTTGCTCCTCCATTGACCGGTTCTCATTCTGTACCTCGATATTTCGCTGCATTATACGGTCCATTTCGGTCCGGAGTTTCTCTTCAAGCTCTGCCGGTTGTTTGTCTATCACGGCTTTGAGTTCTACTACCTCGACCTTCATACTTTCATTCATATCTTTGAGTTCTTCGTTCTCAACCTTGACTCGAACAAGCTCGGATGCTATCTGAACATGTTCCTTGTCTGACTTTTCTGCGTGCTCTTCCAGCGAGCGGATGCGGCTGGCCTGAGTAGCGACGGTATGTTTATAGTTCTCTAGCTCATCCGCGAGCTCTTTCTCAGCGCGGGTCTTCTGTTCCCACTCGTCTGTGTAAGCCCTGATCATTTCAGGAGTCAAGGGAATGGCACAGGCATCCTCAACCATGATATCCGCACGGTAGATTTCCTTGTCATTTGCTCCTGAGCTGCCGAAGAACCCGGATTCAAGGATCGAGCTGGGAGTTGGCTGCTGGTCGATGTATACGTCAAAGACTTTTTCTTTGACAAAGTTGGTCAAAGCAGTCATATCATTCATTGCAAGAAGCGTATCTACATTTCGTTGCATGATAGCGACAGCAAATCGCAAGATGGTGCTTTCAAGACCCTCTTCGAATATCAGATCGTATATGCGAAGGACGAGCTGAAGCGGGAAACGATAAGCAAAAAGGGTGAGGAACCATTGCGTCGCGTAGAGCCCTGGGGAAACACCTCGTCGATGCAGGTGGCAAGCGAGGGCTGGCTGTAGATCTTCTAGCAGACGCTCAAACTGATAAAGGTGGAGATGAAGGCCCGGCATGTCCTGGATGAACATGTTTCGCATTCCATACTTGTTCATAAGTTTTACCATAAGGGTAAATGCTTCACCATCATCCATCTAGACAAGGTTAGCATCAGTTATTTTTAGAGCCAGGGGTAAAAGCAGGTCACTCACATTAAACAGGAGTGGCATAGCAATAAAGTTCATCCCCTGAGCATAGCCAACACCTGAATCATATAGAGCATAGGCTTTGCAAATATTGAATAAGCCTTCCTGATTGCGCTGAGACATGAAATATTTTGAATAACTGGTACGGGACCCAAGGTCTCGGCGGATTTGCTTCTCCAACTTTTGCAAGGCAGCTGCATCTTCCTTTGACCGCCTCTTACGCTCAGCTTCTAGAGCAGCCTTTGCCTTAGCTACCGATTCGGAGTCCTTTTCAGAGTTAATTCCAGCAGCAGTTCCATGAATGGAGCTGGTAGCCTGGGTAGAGCTATCAGAGCGTATTGACGAGCGGGAAGAGGAAATGGATTCCCTTTCCTTTGGACTTCCGGCAGAGTTCCCGTTGATAGATACTATGGACGTCGAGCTCAGTGACCGGTTTGGATCCTTGTCTGTACCACGTGCACAAAGTTCCCGGTACACATGCTCTAGCTCGGGGTTCCTACTGTCCGCAAGTACCTGCCATATCACACCACGGATTGTTTGCGGTATACCTCGTTTTATAGCTGCGTTTAATTTCTCCGAGTTTTCCCCGGCCAATGCTTCAGGGCCATTATTCACAACCTGTTGCCAGAGCTCCCAGTCGACCGGCGCTGAGGCATCTGTAGCAGATGCTGAAAATCCAGATACGGTACCGGGTGGCAGTTCTGGGTTGACTGTGGACGGAAGCGGAGACGTTGCTATTGGCGAGGGCAAGGGTACTGAAGCAGCAGCTTCGCCAGCATCTAAGCCTGGGCTACCAATAGATGAGCGAGATCCTTTCCCTTCCCCCGACGCAATACTGGCCTGGTCGTCGGTTCCAACTGGAATGCCTTCATCCTGCAGCCTCAGCAATTTAAATTGATCTTTCAGGCTGTTTCGTATTTGACCACGGGAGTCCAAGCTTCCAGTTTCTCCATCACTCCCATCGTGGTGCCTCCCAAGGTGTTCTGAAGTGCTCATGATTGTAGACACAGAGGCTCCCGTATTCCTCCTAGCTCCATTAGTAGTAGAGGATGGGTTTTTGCTATCTTTTGTATTCCCTCTAGAAAGCCAGGAAAAGGGGCTAGTGAGCTTTCTTGACGAGGGAGTGGTAGCACTTTGGGGAGCCGGAGGGAGAGCTTTTGTCACCGGCGGCGCACCCCAAGGGACAGAGGGAATAGAGGCCGATAGGCCTTGTAGGCGGTTTTGGCTGGGTGGTGAATCTTTAGACGGAAGCATTGGTGGAATATCCGAGTGTTGGTCAGGAGACAGGGGAGGTCCCGTGCCGTTGGTGTTCTCGTCCTCCTTTGCATTCGAAAGATTGACATCGTCGAGGGAGGAAGACGACAGCCGGTGGGTTGTCAATAGCGGTGACTTTGGTCGTCTCTGTTTCCTAGGTGTGTCCTCTCCCAACTGCGAGACGGGTGAGGTTATACTGGAGATCTCTCCATCCTCGTCAACTCCGGGAGATGTTAACGGTAGCGGAGGTAATTCGGTGGCTACGGGAGTAGAAGGGGACTTTGCAGAGCTGTTGGAAGGCCGTCTATCTGTCAAGGATCGAGGGAGCTTGGAGGAATTTGGGTTATCGCTGTCTTGAGCTGTATCTCGGGCGTCTTCAAAGGTGTCCTAATAAACAGTAATGTGTGAGTCCTCCGCGTCCCAGGCTACAGGGGAAATCACAGCGAGTAAGGAAGAGAGAGGGAATGGCCTACCGCTTCATAGTCAGTATTCTCCGGACTTGCAACCATAGTGTATAATTATCGTCATATGGAATCTCCAGACAAGTGTGAGGTTGAATTGCAGCGGAGAATTGCAGTGTCCTTGGGGATCCACGGTCCGACAGTCCGACTTTGAAACTTTTTTTGCTAACCAGGTCGGATAACACGTAATCTTACACTCCGGAGGCTAGGTGGGAGGAAACTCGGGGTCGATATAGGGCAAGGTTGTCGAGACGGGATAGAAAATAAGTAGTTATCAAACGAACAACAGGGTGGTTGGTGGTGTGGTTGTTCTATTTTGACGAAGTTGAATTTGATGATGATGTTTGCCTAAACGGGAAGAGGCTGATGATCTTATCTCTCGAGGTCACGTTTCAACATTTACATCAAAGAGACCTCGCGTCTTTTTGGCTCTCTCTTTGGTCAGCTGTGGGATTATTTCCCTGCGTCTCGCATTGTCAGCGAGGATAAGGGGGGTCTCTGGCTGATTACGCACTCTCGGATACACTGATTGCCTTCTTTTATGATCGATCCCTGGCTCTGGGGCAGATGGACGGGCTGGTTGGATCCTTAGGCCCAGTTGCAACCCCTTGGCTGCATCAAACGTATCTTCAGGCGTGTTTCACCATTCAACTCAATTTATTTCAGTGATGCTTAATGATCCTTGACTGGCTCGCTGGCTGCCGGTGAATTTAGCGAAAGGGCATCCCTCGCACCGGGCACTCGCTTGTGTGGGAAGTGGGTGAAGAGGCGGGAGAAGGCCGTTCACAGGCCGTCTAGGGGCAGCCAAAGGATATGTTACAGATTGATGTCTATGTTGGCTACTCCGTAACTGCTTTGGGGAAGATCTTCTTGCGATGCTGCCGATTTCCACAGATGCCCCATTGACCGGGAAGCCGGGATTGCTGGCACCATGGTCCAGGGATGAAATATTATATACTATATATACCAATTATTTGATATATCAACAAGCCTCCAATGGGGTCCATATTCGTTATCTGGTCAGTAAAGGCCAACGGCACTCTCCACCTAGCTTTACGATGAATACATATACCGAGCAACGAGCCTTTTATGGGCGGATTCACCGGCCCAGGGCAAGCGAGATCTATCTAACAAACTCACTAAGTTACTAAATGGCCGGGATCTCCAGATCTTCACCTCAGGAAGCCTGTCGATGCCCTCGTGAGCAAATTTTGGCTCCTGTTACTGCATAATTGATGCGGTTATTCATGTGGAAGGATGTTGGCCGGGCCGTTTCCTTTTTGTTACACGCTCCTTCAAAAAGCGTATACGGAGTATATCTTCTATCATACGCCGTTGCCTTAAGTTTCATTGGAATCTCCACCAGAACGGCGCAGTGCTGATATACCTACAGGGGTCAACCCCGCCTACAAAGGCCTTTGAAGATGTACCATCATTATTTGCAGACAAGTAACTTTCGAGAGTCACTTTAAAGAGAAAGAGTATAATAAGGGCAAAAAACCATCTATCAAAAGGGATGCATGCACTGCAGTCATATAAGAGCGTTAGATTAAATATCCGTTCAAAGAGAACTTGCATAAGCATTGCAACAGTTCATCTGCCCAGTATTAAATGCAAAGGCAGTCTGGCTACATATTCCTTCACCAAGTCAATCTCAGTGCTTTGATAATAACGCGTCTGGCGTGGCCAACGACTTCTTCAGATCATCCCATCGACCTTTCCTCAATGGATCCAGTCGCATCAACTCGGTAAGCCATATTGAAACCCTTTGTTGCTGCATGTCATCCACTTGGTTGTTAATTTTAGCAACAAGCAGGGTATAGGTGATCAGCGCTTGGTATATCCATTTGCAATCGTTGGTATCCTCCAGTATGTCCTCAATAGCTTCAATTTCTTGCTCGAGATACTGCAGGCGGTCACTGGTAGTCAGGTTCGGTGCCATTGTATGAGGGGCAAGCTCTATATCGCAGACACTCATTAAATATTGATGATAGAACCAGATCGATTGGTCATATGGGTCAATTAATGCACGGTGAATGAGGCCCAGCTCTGTAAAAATCTCTGTCAGGCACTTCGCACTTGACACAAGTGGGATAATAAAAGGGGTGCAAACCATTATCAAGAGTCTTTTTCCTCTTTATATTATCAGCTGCACTTTCATCCAGGACCTTGAGGATCAGTTTTGACCGGTTGTGCCATGCCGAGAAATTCGATAGGTTGGTTCCAATCATTTTCATGGTATACTCTAGTTCATCTTGTGTCATACTCTTCGGAGGCTCTTTAACAGTCGATTCGGATGGTTCGTCAGGTATACTTTCAAGTGCATCAACCACCGCTCGTCGATACCCCCAGCCGTGAAAATTCCGTCCATCTCTATTAAGCATCTTCCCAACTAAGCCAAGCTCGGTTTCCCAAAAATTCCGTGAAACGGCAGGCTCTAGGCGTTCAGTTGCTTGCTGTAGAAGCCATAGCCGATGATTCCAGATCCAATAGCACTTTGGGTTCTTCTGTAGTAGTGGTACGAGGAAACCTAGGTCTTGTTGGATAAGCTTCTGAGTTTGGTCAACAGGCTGCCCCTCATCTTGTGTAGAACGCTCTACAAACATAGACTGCAATATCATGCGTCTGTAATTCCATATGGTATAGTATTCTGCATTTTTAAGAAGTAGTTCCGAAGTCTTGTCAAATGCTTCCTTGGAAAAATCATGCTTCTCTTTCTGTTTACTGGTATCAGCTTTGTTTCTCTCGAAAGAGATAGGAGCTTGGAAATAAGCACCTTTTCGAGAACTAACTTATCAAGTGTGTGGTATTCATCTATAGCTTTGAGTTCAGCTTGCCGCTGTGCCTCTGTTCTCTTGTTTGCTGATGATTGTCGCAGGACTCCATGCTTGAGAAAAGGTTATAATCGTGTACATCTCTGGAAAAAGGAAAACTAGAAGTACTCTACTTACACTCGACATATTTACAGTTGGAAATGTACACGCCGCCAATAAATACCTTTCTGATACCAAAGCGTTATCTGCTTCTTTCTCCTTTCTCCTTTTGGCTTTCTTGATGTCCTCCGAAATTCCACCTGCGCTGGGCGAGGGCATATCACGTGAGAATCATTATTTGTCAGCTATTTTATATCACGTGGTTGAATTAGCGCTTGGTCACAACCAATTAGCGTCGAGCCGTTGGTTTCATTCTTGGTTCAAAATTCATGTCCAGCGCATACCTGAATATCTCAACGCCTTTTGACACTTTATTCACGGAATACTCTGATACCTTTTTGATAGCCAATTGAGCATGCATCACTTCAATGATACCCACTCCTCGACGTCTGCTCGCGGGTTAGCCTACAGAACGATAACGGTCACTTCAACATGTCTGCCTGCATCCAGCAACAATTAAGAATTACGCTGCTACGAGAGCTAAGAGAGCCACGAGAGCTAGAAACTTGGCCTTCCAGCATGACGCCTGAATAGCTCTGTTTTATATCTTGTGATATTGCTGGGCTTCGAATGTGGTGGTGTGAAATACTCTGGTGTAGCGAGCATCATAAGCATTTTGGGGGACCTGAACCCATGGACGCCCTCACAACAATCATCACGAGGATTGAGGTCGCTTTCCCCCGCTGAGAGGAATATGCTGTGGTACCCTCCCTGATACACCGGGGGACTGTTACTAAATCATGGTCTAGAAATGATACCCTAGTAGCCTGCCTTAAGTTGCTCTGATATACCCCTTTTTGTTAATGGTCCGGGATATGACGATTGGCCATCTATCCATGGCCTCCTTCACCGTGGCCTGCCTAAAGTACCAGGCCTGCAACATATCATGAATATCATGAACAACAATGAAGTGATCATTTTAGTGAATATCTTGAAAACCGAGGCATGGGAGAGCTTGGTTGGCTTCAAGCAAAGCTAGGCTATCGAAAGCACTCTCCCCTGAATTATTTTTTGGCTAGCCATCTCTTCTCCCTTTCCTTCGCCTCTATTTGTATCTTGCCAATATTAAACCCCGAGCCCTCCTTTCTGCCTACTGCGTAACATGCTTACTCAGCAGATATGTCAAGGTTTCCTCTTTAGGAAAACGCAATGACGCTTCATCCAAAGGAAGGCGAGAAGCGTTAAAAGATGGCGAACCACGTTGAAGAGAAGCGGCTCTTCAACATGAATCCTCCATCACCCAGCCACGATGACGGTGAAGCTCTGTATTCTTACCTGTGCATATACAACTTTCAGAAAGTCCTGATGTGCTTGACGATTACGCTGTCCAGCGGCGATAATGCCATCTTATGGTGATGAACTAGAGACGTTTTTATTTCCCGCAGGCGGGCCCTCTGTCGCAATCTTTACTTCCTATATGGCACCCGAACCTCCCAGGCGGTTAACCCAGTCTCCTCTTATCGCCACAGCTTCTCCTGCTGAGACTGAACCTTTTGCTCTGTTTTTGCCAGCAATTTCCCGCCGAAGCCAACGTAAAGCTGCCACTTCTAACAACGATGTGTTTTTGATCCGGAATCTTGAAGAACCTTCTGGGCCGAACGACGACCCAGGTTATGCCACAGCATCCTATCAAACCACGTCAATGCTGTCTTATAACACCCGGAGTTCCCCAGACCGTTTTTTACCTATCAGAGATCCGTACAGTCCATCATCTTTACCATTCAGGCTGTCCAGAAACCCGGTTTTACTCTCCCCAGTTGAACGTTCTCGGCGGCTCCGGGACCCTACAGGCGTCTTTGCATATCCGCCACCGCATGCCATTCTAAACAATAACGAAATTGGGGATCCTAGAATAGTACCTCACCAACTGCCTCGCTATATAAATCATGGCCTCCTTAGCGAACACCCATCCAATCCTGGTGAGGTTGCGCCAACTAGAAGGGTTAGAACTCATGCAGTTTGGAACTTTCAAGGCAGTATAGGAACCGGGCCTTCCCCTTGCAATGCGGTTTCTAATGGTCGTGGGGGTCTTTTTGGGAGCGGGACAGTGGCCCCTCTCCACATCGCAGATTTTCTCACAAACAGAAGCCAAGCCCAAGATGATCTTGCATATGAATCGCGTCTTGCTTTTGCTATAAACGTCGACCAAGCAGCTCGGGTCCTAAATTCAACGCCACAGAAACCTCTTCAAGAAAAATTCATCCCGTCGTTCAATTCTCCTATCAGGTGGAGTAATGGTGTCTGGAAAACTGACGATTCACGATCGCGTAAGTTTTGGAAATAAAAGGAAGATCAAATCCTTCCCCGTGAAGTAATTCCTACCTTTTAATATTGTTATTTTACTAATGTATTCTACAGCCTCCCCTAAGAAGCAGGCCGCCAAGCCACCTCGTCCAGTGCCATCAACTCCCTTTCGTGTTCTAGATGCACCTTTCCTCAGAGATGACTTCTACTGCTCTACCCTAGCATATTGCTATACAGCTCGGGTACTTGCCGTTGGCCTTGGACACAAAGTGTATATATGGTCTGAAGGAACACCAGTGAAGTATCCTCCGTTCAAGGACTATCCAACTGCGAACTATGTTACTTCATTGTCGTTCTCATCATATATGGGCGGACATAGTATATTGGCCGTTGCTCGTCAGGGTGGCCAAGTTACTTTATGGAGCACTTTCGACTCTGAACCCCGGTTTGAATTCAAACTTCCTCATGGAGCATCTTGTATCTGTTTTAAAGGATGCACCACACGTAGAACATCAAGCCGGAATGGGTTGACCTCAGCTGACATGGAAGAGCTTGCTATCGGCGACGAATTTGGGCAGATTTGGTGCTACTCCGTGGAATGGACAAATGCAAAGTGGAGGAAACGGTATAATTGGGACGGTGCGGTAAGGCTTCTCGCAAAAATTTCAGCACACACGCAGCAGGTTTGTGGTGTGGCATGGTCTCCGGATGGGATGTACTTGGCCACTGGTGGAAATGACAACATTTGCCTGCTTTTCGACTTCGTTGAACTTATCAAGAAGACAGAATTCGAAGGGAGCATTGTTAATTCACATGAAAAGACGAAAAGCATAACTGCCGGGTCTGCCCTTTCTAGTAGGTTATGCCTACTTCAGTCCTACTTCCACTGTGGAAATACATGTGGCAGCACTTTGTCTACCGGAACAGGCACACCGGAAACAGGCACCCCTTACCCTGGCAAAAGGAGGCCTAAAGATTCATCCTCAGCAAACCCAGTTAATATACCAATGGGCTCGGAGAAGCACAAATTCACACATGCTGCTGCGGTTAAAGCAATCGCCTTTGCCCCTTGGCAACCATCTCTTATGGCAACAGGTGGCGGTACAAATGATCGATGCATTCGATTTTTCCATGTTGTTTCCGGCGCATGTCTAGCTATCATTAATGTTCATTCACAGGTAACCAGTTTGATATGGAGCAAGACCCGTCGTGAGATAGCTGCAACCTTTGGCTACGCATCGCCTGACCACCCATATAGGATAGCTGTGTTTGCATGGCCGAGCTGTCAGCAAGTCGTCGCTATACCTTGGGTGGTAGCCATAGGTCATGAACGATTTGGAAGTTTGAATCCAGGAGACTGCGGCCGCGCACTCTGCGCAATCAGTTACCCTGGTGGTCCAAACGAAATGGCTCGTCAGCTAGCTGAACCTGCATCCCGCAGAGGTTATGGTCATGGTCCAAATAGAAGTGATACCGGCTCAGAAGACTCCCAGTCTTCCGCCTCGAACAAGGAGGGAGATACATGGTGGTCACGCACGGCCGAAGAAGGATGTATCATTGTGGCATCCAGTGACGAGTCGGTAAAATTTCACGAGGTTTGGAGCGGGACACCTAAAAGTATCGCTGGCACCAGCGGAGTACTAGGTGGGAGCGCAATCTTAGAAGGCTTGGAGGGGATTGAAAAGGAGACGGAGATTATTAGATAGGACGGGTAAACGCAGTTGGTTGGTAGTACGATGCCCCTAAACTCATCTTTGTCACGAAATAGCCCCTGCATCCACTTTGGGCGTCGGGCGTGCATGTACGACGTCTACTACACATTTGGAACCTAAGTACACTACTTCAAATATCATTAACTATCATCGTTGCTGCTGGATAGCTATAGAGAAGACTGTTGTTTTCCCCCATCGAATACCACCCTAATTGATTTGGTAGACGTAAGTACCTAGCCAAACAAGGCCCAGGGCCCGGAAGAAATGAAGATTGACAACTTGATGCAAGATATTGATATTTTTATAAGTCCATGGACACAAACAGGAGATTTGCAGGCAGAGAGACAAGACATGATAAGCAAAGTAGCAACTACCCACATTAATTTCTCTCCCATGGTCTTGAGCAATCGCAATCGCCAAATGAATACATGCCAAAATAAATAAAAGGAAAACATAATCCAGCCAATGGAAAAGGCGCAAAAAATAAAGCCAGGGAAGACAAGAAGCAATTCCATTCTATACGGGTTCTTTTTATCTCCATTTATTGAGCTCCTTTTTTTTTATATCTCCGCGCTCCAGCGTTTAGGAGATAAATCACCTCACTTCCTCTTCGATTTTGTAGCAGGGGTATCAGATACGTCGGACTCTTCTTCATCTGAATTAGCAAGGAACTCCAACAAACTTGCTTCCTCCTCGTAGTTTGGCTCTTCGTCGCTATCTTCTTCTTCGTCATCATCTTCACCTTCACCATCATCAGAAACTTCTGCCTCGTCATCGATAAGTTCCTCCTCATCATCTTCTTCATCGTCTTGATCCTCTCCTTCATCATACTCCACACCATTTGTCATGGGCATATCTTCATCCCCTTCCTTGTCGGCGAACATGTTATCATCTAGGATGTCACGAGCCTTCTTGTGACTGGACGCATGCTCGCCTTCAGTAATAAGTTGCATTGCTTCATCTTCATCTTCGTCTTCGTCTTCAACAATGTCCTCCTGTCCCTCAACGTAGATTACTCGCTCCTCATCGGGGTCAATAACACGGCCGTCTCGACCTTGTAGGCTTTGTCTCAATGTGAGTTGGGCATCGAGCATATCCAGTTTGCCCTTTAGAAGTAAAAGAGAAGGTAAACTTGCCGAACGCTGTTCCATGACTTTGAACAGTGAGCTGATCTTCTTGAGGACATCTCGATTGGAGGCAATGGAGCCACCGTGGGCAATGCATGTCCATTGTACCCACATCAGTAGATGTCCGTACCGGCCTGGACGAGTGGACAGACGCTCGGCTAGCTTTTGCAACAGAGTAGCTGCAAGAGACGAGTCAAGACGTTGAACAGTTGTCTTTACAATGGCCATGTCTTTAGTGTGGAAGCAGGATTCTAGTAGAGTGTTGTCGTTTGTTTTGAGGGATTGAGAGAGGACGGTCGCTAGGGAGAGACCGGCAGGGAGCTGGTGGGACTCTGCGGGGAGAGCTTTTGATTGAAGAAGCGAAGTCTTGTCCATGAAATCTGCGGAGACACTAATGGTCTGGGGAGCAGAAGCTAATAGCTCACCGAACGAGGGCTCCGCGGCATCATCCGCATCTGTGTGATCTGCCATTTCGACATCTTCATTAGTGGTCGTTAGGGCGTTAGAGGTTGGGTCTGCATCATCCAATTCTTCATCTGAATCATTATCTTTGTCCGAGGTTTCGTCCTCCTCTGCCTCATCGTCGGTCCCTTCTGCGAATCCACCTTGCTCGACAATAGCCTGGCTCTCATCAACATGACTCTTGCCTAAATCCTTAACACCGTTCATCATGGCGTTACCAATGTTAGAAGATGATTTGCCGCGCACCAACTCGGTTTCACCATTGTATATCAGCTCCTGCGTTGTTTCATCAAGCCATGGTATCCTATCAAAGACCAGGTCTATGCCTCCTTCAACCCAAACAACCACAAGGTCCGCACCGTCAAAGCACACGGAGACCACGGGAACAGGGGTCCGTGTTTTATCAGGTTTAACTAGCTTTATGATAGCGTCTGGTCGACGGGTCATGGACTTTCGGAGAGACTTAAGACTCGCGCCACTGGTACCGGACGCAGAGCTATCACCAAATTGATGGAAAGGGTTAGAGAAGATCTCAATCGCGCCGTCGCGAGTGACAACAGCTAGCTGTTGTTTCTGGCCTGAGTTCTCTGTCTCATTGCTCCCCTTGTGAGAACCAGGGTATATGGTAACTAGGTCGATTTCTTTATTTGCAACCAATGAGCCAAGGAGCTGTTTGTTTTGGGGGTTGAAGACATTGACATAGCGGTCAGAATCAGAAGCGAGGAAGGGGCCCGATAAATCGGTGTAGTCGGTGTTAGAGGAGATGAGCGAATGAACTATATCCTTCATCGAACTGAAGGACGGCTCTGAATCGCTAGTCTCATTGTCTGGGTCGATGAGGTAGGGCGTTTGAGAAGCACATAGCACTGGTGGGCTTGCTGGTACTGGCCGAGCCAGTGCCGAGATGGAAGTGGACGGTAAAGAAATCACACTATAACCGAATTAGCCCTGAATGCCATAAAATAGCGCTTTAAAGGTATACATACCGCACGATGTCTCCCTTGCGCAAATTCCATTGTACCAATTTCCCATCGCCGCCAATACTCCACCCTTCCTGTGCAGGCTTCTTCGGTGTGAATTTGAAATCTCTGACTCCCTTCTCATGCCCTCCAGCAAGAACACCAGTAACCTTATCCTCAGCCGGGCAATACATCCTAATTTCAGACGTACTCGTACCGAATGCAATAACAATGGCACCCGCATCATCTCCAGCTCCAGCGACCATACCATTGACACCGGAATGTCTCTTGCGCCTCTTCTTCATGGGTTGGTCACCCCGCGAAGCTTCCCCGTAGTATCCCCAGTCCAGAGAGGTAACTGATTCCTTGGGGTTAACCGCATGCTCGCACTGGAGGCGGCCTGAAGAAGTGCTATGTATCCGTACATGGTGCGCATCTAGACCCTGGATAACGGATGCAAAGAGCGCCAATTGGAACTCAGACGGAGAAAAGGCCGAGCGGATTATGGACGATTTCTTGACTGTCACTGTCGCAGAGGCCGTGGAAAGTGCAGCGGTAGAGGATATCCTCGATACGGCTCGAGACGAGCTCTTCTTCCCCATCTTGGGCGGGTTGTATATATCCTATGAAACTTTGTAGTATATCAAGACAAATGAACAAGTTTTCCAAAGTCCATCGGCAGCGTCAATGGGCTGGCTGAGCTATAGGCAGAGTGAATGTATCCCGCTCCACAATGCCTGGGAGACCTTCTGACCTGCGTTCGTGGTCAACGAACTCGCTTGCTCTCGATGTCTTTTCGTTTCCAGCTTCAACCATTTTTTTTCCTGCTATAAAAAAAAAAAAAAAAATTAAAGGTGATACCACGTGAGTTTAGCCGTTTTGGGCTTAGCTCAGCGAAGTTTGGGCCATGCGGATATATATAGTGCCGTATCTCCGAAAGCTTAGTCAAACTTGACATCGGCATCATCGACTGTACCTATTACATAACACACACGTGACGATGATTTGGCTCTCTTAAAAGATGGACGCCGCTTAATCTTCAGCTCTTTTCTCCCTTCTCTCTGATCCTCATCCGTTCTGCATTTCTTGTCTTCACAAAGATGTCGACAGCCTTGAAAAATACCGCCTGTCGGCTGTGCTATACCATTTATCATCACTTCATCCGACTTTCTCTCATGCGGCTCTCGATGCTGCTTTATACGGCGAATTTGCTGAGCCATCCATCTATGCATCAGAGTGCTCCGCGGACAAGCTCAAAGTACCCTCGTTCAAGACCTCGTTTTTGAATGAAAGGCCTTGCTTATATGACATGGAATATGGAGCTAGCAGACCCGGAGCAATCTATGCTGTGTCTACCTGCTGTCGCTCTTCTTTCAACAATACGGAGTACAGCCAGCTAGAAATGGCGAAATACCCATCACGTGATATGGAATTTCCACGTGACCCAGGCAAAGCAAAAACATTTCTGACATAAGGGGGCTCCAACCACCCCCTATGACGAAACATGTTACGGGAAAAATTCAATAGAGTGTGCGACTGCCATGAAAAGAAGAAAAGAAAAGGACCAAGATGAGAGGACACTGCAGATGATATTTTATGATCTATGCTGCAGGACAAGAAACATGCATCTGGGCCGGTCGAGATGGCCATCGCCGTGTATGGGAGCGGCCGACGCCTGCTGCTATCTGTATATCCCACAGGCAGCGTCACAGCAGAAGCAGAGATCAGAGACAGGAAGAAAGGAAGCAGCAAGCAAAGCAAAACAAGGAGGTAAACAGGGCGTATTTCGATACAGCGTAATATACGCAGGCAACTACGAAAAACACGCCTCAGCGGGCGCGTTGATACGATACCGTACTGTGTCCTTTCAAGTAGACGTCCCAAAACAGACAAGGGTGGGACCGCACTAGCCAATGAGGGTGCGACGCGTCATCCTGTAGCCAATCAGGGGAGAGCAAATCTCCACCCCAGGGACCGCCCACATTAGTTCGGCCATCCGAGGCTAGCGGCAGGAGGCTGCGGTGATTTCCCAGCAGCGCGAAAGAGGCCCGTACTTATAAGGATTCCTCGCACCCCCCCCCTCCTTCTTCCGACCTTCTTCACTCTTTTCACGCTTCTTGCTCTTTCTCGCATTGCCCCCGTGTTCTCGCCCCTTCACACCCTTGTTGCCACGCACCGCGATAAAAGCCTGACTCCGCTCACGCCTCGCTGGCCCACACACGACTGACACGTCACACACTACTCACTACGCTACACCCACCGCACTTTCTCTCCTTACGCGCACGCACAGGCTGCTTCTCTTCCTTTCTCTTTCTAGAAAAGAAAAACTTTCTTCTCTGTCTTAGTAAGCTTTACTGCTTATCTAAGCATTCATCTGACTCATCGGAGTTTAATTGATAACGTAAGCACCTTTTCCTTCTTTACCTTTCAGTTGCCGCCGCGCCTAAGTTCGCGCCAACCACGGTTGTTCCTCCAATCAACCGCGGGTCTCCGGATAAGAAGTGACGATATCGGGCGAACCCGCGGCTATAAAAAGGACTGCCACCTTCCACTCTTCCTCGACCACCCAAGCTTAACCTGACCTCACCCACCACTTGAACACGCTGGACTTCACAGCGCAAGAAAGATTCATTTGCCCACCGCGCACTCGACACTGATTGATACCTTTTGCCCCTTCACAGGAAAAGGTATATATCTTGGTTCAAGGTATATATGCTTGGCCCGCGTTTTTTGAGTTCTATTCTGATACCCTACTGTTTGCTGTTCTCAGCCTCCACAGACTAGCGAAGAGGACAGCCTTTCACAATAGCTGTGTTCCTGCTATCCTCTGTGTGCTTGTATCATACACTTTACTGTAGTATCTTTGGATCAAGTGAAGTGCTCTATTGTTAATACCCAAACTCACTGTCCTCTCGCTCCTTCTATTGTTTTGTTTCTGCCACTTTCTCTTGCCTTCTGTCGCGCTTTATCCTGGCCTCCTATTTTATTTATTTCTTTTCTGCCTCAAAAAATTTGAACTCATGACTTACTTTATACGTCTGCTTGCCAATAGTTATTTCTTGCCAACCACGCGCCATCAACCACCACCAAGACATATCCTCTTCTAAATCAGATCCTTAATATCGACTCTTCACTCCCATCGTCACCTTAGACGCGTCATATCACGAGCCATAGCCCCTGGGTATCCATAAGTATGGGAACCCCGCCAAATGAAGGCACCGCAGCTGTTTCAACCCCTCTCCAACTAGATTCACAGCCCCGGCCTGATGTGCAGGCTGAAGCCAATACCACAAGGTATGTTGCTATTCACCCGCCTTTCTCATGACCTGTTATTTGTGTGATCTCGTGGATGACTAACGCATGCGACAGTGAATCTAGTTCAAAGGGTTTGCCGGACAAGACTAAACCAGAGCAAGCGGAAACTCCCGCAGCAAATGGCACTTCCCAACCAAAGTTAAACGGCCATTCATCCATATCAAACGGTCTTGGATCAAAGCCAGAGTCCTCAGCCGTACACGAACCCTCCCCGGCTGACCTACTATCCCCTGTTGATCAGCCATCCAACCATAAAACTGCTGGTGTGGAATCGGAGACGGCGGCTCTACATCTAGGCGAGGCTACCACAAGCGAGGTTATGAATGGAGATCCGAAAAACCGCCCAGTCGTAGACTCTACTGATGTTGATACCAACATGGGCGCGTCAAAGGATGCCGCTAACAAGGGGGATACTGCGAATGCGGACATGGCAATGGATCAAGATGATGAGAATGATCCTCTTTTCTCGTCAACCCAAGATCCGGAGCCAGCGTCAGCTTCAGAACAAGCTCCAGCATCTAACCCGGCTCCAGCCGCAGAGTCCACCCCGGTTCTTTCTAAAGGACAGGAGAAGGGAGAGCAGGATGTGGACCATGACATGGATGCCGCCTCTGCTCCAGTGGCATTAAATGCCAAGCCATCAGAGGCAGAGAACCCTGCCGTATCTAAAAAAGCGCCTGAAAGCGGAGAAAAGGACAAAGAAGACCACGTTATGGAGGATGTGTCTGAGCCAGCCCCATCGTCTACTGGCGAGGTATCCACTACAAAAGTTTCGCGGGAACGCGAAGACGACGATGATGAACGGGCGGCAAAACGTACTAAAACCGAGGATATCAGCTCTGATAACCCAGTGACTGAAGTTTCTGTCCTTCCCCCCTCATCTTCCGGCGAGCCCGCCGCTCCTAAAACTCCTGTCACGCCTGCCCATGACTCTGCAAATGGCATTCCAGATATACGTCAGGATATGACCAAGGCTCAGTTGAAGTTCTTCACCCGCACATTCCAGAACTTGAAACGCCTTAGTGATGCCCAGATGTTCAAATTCCCCGTTGACATAGTTAAGTTAAACATACCCACTTACTTTGACTTTGTCAAACAACCAATGGACCTACAGACCATGGAAGGCAAACTGAAGTCAGAAACATACCGTACACCACAGGATATCATCGACGACTTCAAGCTCATGGTTAACAACTCGAAGGTATTCAACGGGCCCGCGCACGTAGTCTCGCTGGCAGGTGATCGTTTATATGAGAACTTCCAAAGACAAGTTAAGAAGATGCCTGGCCATGATGAGCCTGACATCACTCCTGCCGAGAAGAAGAGCAAAAAAGTTGCCACTATGCCGACTAAAACACAACCACCCCGAAGAGAGACACGGCCTCCTCCTCCAACCCCCCCACCTGCTCCAGTCGCTGCTGCGCCCGCTCCTCCGCGCGCCAGCAATGCTGGATCACCAACATTTGCATTGGGCCCAGAAGGCCTTCCCCTAATCCGTCGTGACTCGACTACGGTCGATGGCCGACCGAAGCGATCTATCCACCCGCCCAAAAATCGCGATCTACCCTTCTCCATGAAACCCAAGAAAAAGAAGTTCCAGCAAGAACTGAAATTCTGCCAGGAAGTGCTTGATGAACTGCACCACAAGAAATACTACGCGGTCGCCTCATTTTTCTATGACCCTGTCGACCCAGTTGCCCTCAACATTCCTACCTATCACAATGTAATTAAGAAACCGATGGACTTGGGAACAATGAAAAGCAAGCTAGCGACCGGCCAATACGAAAACGCAAAGGAGTTCGAGGCAGATATGCGCCAGATTTTTAAGAACTGCTATAAATTCAACATTGTCGGTGACCCCGTGTACACTGCTGGAAAGCAAACCGAGGAAATCTTTGATCGTAAATGGAGCCAAAAGGCACGATGGTTGGAGGCGCACGAACCTGCCTCAGGCCATCAGTCAGCCGGCACATCTGACGACTCTTCTGAAGATGAAGAAAATGAGAGTGATGATGAGCAGGAGAAACTAACCATGCTGCAAAAACAAATTGCCGAAATGTCAAAGCAAGTTGAGGCAATCACTAAGAAGAAAAAGACACCTCCAGCCTCAAAGAAGCCCAGCAAGTCCAAGGCTAAAAAGGAAGGGAAGAGAGGTGCTGCCGGAACGGCCGGCAAAAAGGATAAAAAGAGCGGTGGCTCAAAGGCTAAGAGTGAGAAGGGTCGTTGGGTTACATACCAAGAGAAGACTATGATTTCAAACGGAATCAGCAGCCTGCCGGAGCATAAAGTCCAGGAGGCATTTACTATCATTCAGAAAAACGTGCCTTCTCTTCAGGTATGCGCTATCTCTGGTTTCTATTCCGTTTTCCTAATATCATATTACTAACAATGTCTATATAGGGAATGGACGGGTCCGAAATCGAACTTGACATTGATGAACTTCCCAACAATGTGCTTGTGACTCTACTCAAGTTCGTTAAGCAACATGCACCTGCTTCTGTCTTGGGTAGCTACGAGGAGCCAAGTGAACCAGAGCCTCTCCCTTCCTTGCCTCCACCAAAACCCAAGAAAAGCAAACCTATGAACAAGACAGAGCAAGAAAAGCAAATTCGTTCTTTGCAGAGTAACCTGTCAAAGTTCAAAGGCGGTGCTGGAGCTGGGGTGGCAGCTGCAGGAGGATCTTCTTACGAGCAGGGTAAGTTTACCAAAGCTATCTTACCCTTGGCTTAACAGTCGATCCTTGACGTTGAAACTAACTGTTTTATGTTGTAGCTACCAAGTCTGAAAGCAGCGGTGACGACGAAGACTCGGAGGAGAGTGAAGAAGAGTAAACGAGTCGTTACGTCTTGCAGGCTCCTGTACTCTTCTCAGGACAGGCGAAGCCAGACGCTCACTTCATCAACTCTTTCTTTCCATTTTGTATGGGCAGGATTATCATCATGCTGAGACCACATCACCACCTTCTCTCTCGTCTCTTCTCTCCCAGCAATTTTCTCTTCCCGTCACAATACATACATATATCATGTATCTATTAACAGGAATAAGAAGTTCCAACTTCACGCCAATCAAAAGAGGGTTGCCACGACAAGTCGACAGCCCAATGTCCAACGACTCAATCATCCCCCCCTTTTCTCCCAGGGCATACCGTCATCCTACCCATCCGAACAGTCTCCCTCAATCATCTCAGCTAATGTTCATGTAATCAATTAGACTCCATCCCCGTTTCCTGTCAGTGTCAGTTCAATCCCCCCCTTTTTTATCCTTTTCTCCTTTTCAACTCAGCGCCGAGAAGGGACTTGGACATGGAATTCATTGCATCTCGTCATCGAGAGCACTCCTTCCCTTCCCGCCCACTTGTATGTGTCTATGGAACGTTTTGTTATTGTCTTACTTCCTTTCCTCCTTTCCCTTTCCCCGTTTACCCGGAGTTTTCGATGTTAGGTTTGTCTAGTGTACTTTTGGGACTTACCTTGCTCTTTTGTCAGCTTGTCTTGCCTTGCATTTCTGTTTACTCTTCATTTTCTGTTCTACTTTTTGCTTTACCTAATTTCTGGGGTGTTGGCTGTTGTTGTTGTTGTTGCCCTCCGGGGAGTAAACGGGCCTGATGAAGCCAAAAACCATGAACTAAAAGGTGTATCAAGACATTGTGATGTACGATTATGATAAAATTGACAATGGCTATTAATCAAAATCTCCTGTTCGGCGTGTTGAAGTTGCCAAAAGTTGGGTGAAAGTTGTAACTCAAATACTTATATTTCATAAATTCTCCTGTAGTACTTGGTTAAATGATTGTATCATCGTATGAGTATTTATTTAGACTTATAGTTTATTATTAAGCTGTAAATTACTAGAATAGGGAGATTTTTGCTGACTCATTAATACTTAAATCACATGACATCCTTATTGTGATAAATTAATCAGCATAGTCACGTGTATAAGAACAGACGATGACATAATAAAGTAAATCTTATCAGCCGCCACCACGAAATTTCAAGATAGAAAAAGAACGAAAGCATTTCTCATATTGATGATATTGATGATACGTTTGGTTTTCACAGCCTCGTGTATTGTCAAGAATAAACGGCATCATCATGGCGGACTCACTTTCTATCTACGATGAGATCGAAATCGAAGACATGACCTTCGACCCAACTCTGCAAATATATCACTACCCATGCCCATGCGGGGATAGGTTTGAAATAGGCCTCGCAGACTTGCGCGATGGAGAAGAGATCGGTATCTGTCCTAGCTGCAGTTTGATGATCAGGGTGATATTTGATGAGGTGGGTTTTATCTACTTTGGATATGCGCTATGGGCTATGGCTAACATATGTTTGGGTAGGCTGATCTACCAAAGGACGATAGCGGCAACAATGGCGGAGTGGCTTCTGCTATAACTGCGTGAGTCATGGAAGGGAAAGAATAAATTTCGAAGAAAGATATGGCTTGAAATACCCCGTTATTACTCTGATTGAGACTGCGAGTCAACGATGCGTGGACAAGGCCTTGTTCATAATGCACTCTACCATTTATCGTCCACTCCCTTCGTGGAAACATATCGAGCCATGCTACGAGTGTAGGGCGAAAGTAACCAGCTCCGATGCCCGGCCTGTCCATGCAGGGATACACTGTTGATGGGAAGGCAAGCTGTTATAGGGCCTTCTGAAGATTTGCAACTTCATGTGTCTTGAGGCAGTTCATAGAATGGATATGGAAGAGGGCTGAAGAAGCGAAGGAGGAGCACGAGCCTCCTTGGAACAAAAAATGCCGTGTCATTCAGCAATGTGCCGTAAGCAGAAATAGCATGTACATGTACAAATGTGATTTGATCTTCACAATTAAACAACGTCTAGCTGGAATCCGACCAGTTCAAGTGCAAGTAGCCTTGCATCAAACGTCTTTTCACTCGTAGACCTTTGCCCTCATCTCCAGGTTCAGCTCTGCGTTCAAAATATCTGTCAGATTTGTCCCGTCACGAAGGTATATCCACTGTCCACCGACGTATTCTCTAGTGCCTTCTTTCTCGGCCATCTCGTCGCCTTGAAGGACCCAGTCGAACCGCTTGGGGCCAGAGATGGGCGAGCTGAGCCATATCTGCTTATTCGGAGGCTGCTTGTTGAGAACGTAGGTACCGATTCCGGGGACAACAACATTGAGAACTCCGGCCTATGTGGAATACGGGTAAGTAAAAAGCTGCTCAATTTTTCAATATGGTATATCCAACTGAAACTTCACGTACACTGTATTCGGCTTCTACCTCGGAGCCTTGCTCTTCCTGGGTCCTCTCTATCTCTGCCAGCAGTGCATTGATATACTCCTCTGAGCGATCACGGTAGTCCGGTTCAGATATGTATGATGGTTCAGTGGCCTGCTTTACCCCGATGTAGTTGGGCTCAGGGTTTGGCGGAGCAGGATCTGAGGAACCCGGTGTGATCCCCTTGAACGAAGCAGGCGACGAGCAGAATGATCTCCGTGGAATTGATTGCGCGATTGTAGGACGGGCTACCCTTGAATTTGTACGAGTTGCAGCGGTTGTGATGCGGTTGTGATGGGCACGAGATGAGTAGAGAATAGAGCGAAGAGCTCCTCGGCTGCTAATTTTGTATAGCATTGTGACGAGAGCAGAGTTGTACCTTTTCAGGCGATAGTATCGATTGGTTCTTCGTATGGTGTAAAGTAATCAACGGGCTGTTGCTGGTGAGAAGTTGACTTTGCTGGTGGTTGTTGTTTTTGCCAGTGGAGAAAGCCGAAGCTCGAAAGGTTGCGCAAGATGACGTCGATGCACATCAAACCACCAAGACCCAGCTTCAGTGTCTCACGCTTCAACAACCAACAAGAGGCCACACTCCTGTTTAATGGAGATCCACTCGAATCTGAACTAGCAGAGCTGAGTATGCTTGAGTATGCCCTGAGTATGTGGATATAAGTTCATATTATTATCAGGCCATTCTTGCATTTGGGACCTACAGCCTAGTCGATGCTCAAACACTACGCCCGCCAGCAAATCTGTCTTACCACGCGCTTTCAGGGGACTCGGGCATATCAGATCTCCTATTCTAGCGGGATGGGTAACTTTAGACCTAGACGGGGCGGCGGAAGCCAGGGGAACAGTGCGAGTAGGAGCAGCAAGCCGCCGTTGACGCACTTCCTCTGCATACCCTTGGTCAACGAACGGTCGATATACCAGCTAGAACGCTCCTTGACTGAGTTCAAATCGTCAATACCGCTTGTCTCTCCTCCTGGTCCGGCAGCAGGACATGCCCCGGATACGCCGCTTGTGCCGTATGGAGCTCTACGGCCGCTGGGGACGTTGCATTTCACGCTGGGAGTTATGAGTCTAACCACTCCGAAACGGCTGGATGAGGTTCTGTCTTTCCTTCGTTCTCTTGATATAGCATCCATAATGCAAGAAGTCGAGCAAGACGCCAAACCCCAGGATCAAAGTAGTGCTAGGGAACCCCTATCAATCGACTTGGTATCACTGCATGCCCTTCCAAGAGCCAGAGCTGCAACGATTCTGCATGCGTCACCGTTGGATACTACGGGCCGTCTGTATCCATTCTGTGTGAAGTTGCGAGATATGTTTATTGAAGCCGGTTTCATGCATCGTGACATGGTGAAAAGCAAACCTAGTAATAGAGCAGCTCAAGGTGAAAGCTCCAGAGACAATGAGGACTCAGATGGAAATGGAAAAAACGAAGACCAAGAGGAGGCCGCAGCAAACCCAAGTGTTCCAGAGGGCAAACCACGTCCACTGCTTCTCCATGCAACTATTGCTAATACCGTTTACCTTGGAAAGCGACGGCAACAAGGCGGGAAAGGCCCAAGGGGCACCGACAAATCAATACTGAAATTTGATGCAACTGAGTTACTGGAGATGTTCGCGGGAAATCAGCATAAACCACATACTACCGGACCCAAGGACGTTAAGGGTAAGGGGCTCGAAGCTGATCGTGAGCCGTTCACATGGGCGAAGAACATTCCAATTGATAGGATATGTATTTGCGAGATGGGTGCAAAGCCGGTATCTCATAACGAGGCAAAGGGTGGCCCAGTACTCGGACAGGAATATAGAATGGTCGAGCAGCGGCAGCTTGATTAACTGATTTTGGCATAATGATTGAATGATATATCACAATTTACGGGTTTGATGATAAAATAGTGAATCGAAGAATGGACATTAATCCTATTTAAACCCATCTCCTTCCTGCAACCCACATAGTGTATGTTCTACCTCACACTGTTGGCCCTTTTGAACACGGTAACTCCATGAATGCAGCCCCATCAAGCAAACGCCGGGTCTTTTGAACCATCACTGAAAACAGCGATAGACAAGACCTAATAAATAAAAAGGTAATAAACAGGTGAAAAAGAATCGCATATAGCCAAAAAGTTTTGTGTGTCAAATATATTCAAATGTTTCGTAGTGTCAGCTCCAAGTAAGTCACCCGATGACATGTTTACCGGACTCTCCCCATCAGCGTATCAGGGCCCATTTCAACAGACAGTTCGGCAGCCTTTGCCTTGATAGCGCTAACCATCGATCTCTCAAAGTCGTCTCTACATCGTAGGACAGCTTCGACCCATGAAAGCTGTAGATCCCAATACTCAGTTTTGAACCCTTCATAAACAACCACAACACCAGCCTTGTCGGCCTCAAGCAATCGAACAAGCCAATCGACAAGTCTCCATCTATCCTTGATGCCGCCGCCAAAGGAGTCAGGGAATTTCTGGAAGAAACCAAAGACAGTGAGGATATCGTCTTTGAACTTTTCGGTGTAAGGGTCTTGACGGCGGAATTTGGCGCCCTTGTTGCGGACACAGGAGAGGTAGTGGACGAGTAGTTCGTCGGAGATTTCTTCAACGAGAATGTCACGTAGAGACGGGTGGAGGACAGAATGGTAGTCGCTTATGTAGTCTTCGAAAGTCGAGATCATGCGCTTCATGGCGAACTCGCCGTACCACTTCTGGGTGAAGAATTCAGGTAAGGTGGTGCGGAAGTCGACTGAGAAAATCAGGTCGATGAAGACAGATATGCAGTGTGTACCTAGATCGACGTATCCGTCTCGTAATATAGAGACTTCGTTGGCTGCTTGGGCAGTTAGGTATTTGTCTGTCACAAGGGGTTCGAAGTCACGGTTGAAACGGGTCAAGTGGCCGAGCTGGCCTGATGCGTCGTTGTCGTCGATACAAGCGATCTGGTCGTTGGCGACGGCGATGAGCCAGTCCTGGAACTGTTGGAGACTCTCGGGCTGATCGATAGTGGGCGTTTTGTACTTTGCGCATTCTTCGTCGAGCATTGTCTGCCACATCGACTGGCGGGTCTTGAGGGAGCGGAACATGGCGTCTACCACTCCCTCAGCGACGTCTGTACGCTGCGAGGCGCCGGCCGCCAACAGCTGTTCGTGAAGCATGCGCCACATGTCTCCGAGGGTCTTTGTGCGGAAGTATCCGTCTGGGTTGGTATCGAGCGAATCCATGTCACGGTCGAGGAATGCCCGCTTGTCGGTGTTGAACATGCGATCCATCCATTCATCCAGGGCCTTGACGATGAGGTTGCGCCAGTCTTGTACGAGTTCGCCCTCGCGGTCATCAAGGACGTTGGGGACGAGGTCGGATGCCTCCCAGCCTAGTTTCTTCATCTTCTTGTAGTATTTTTCTGACCAATTGATGATGGCCAGCATGTTGGCAGCCGGCATCTGGGGGTCGTCGACGAAATCGATCAGCCAGTCATGCATCATGCGGTGGTATATTTCGGTGTATGTCTTGAATATCTTCCACTTCTTCGGCACCAGGCTCTGCATCCCCTGTTGGACAGTAAACAGATCATTGAAGAACCACTTGAAGCTCTTCTCCAGCCTATCCGGGTCATCTAGGAACTGTTGTTTCGAATCTTCAAAGTTGGGCTGAGCGTACAGCTCGATGCTCTTGAGGAAGTTCTCCTTGTATCCCCTGATGGTCTTGGGACCGATGTTCATAGACTTGAACCTGCTGGCGAGGTATTCATGGTCCTTCTGCGCATCCTGCAGGGCCCTGACTTTGGCATCATTCTTCTCTTCGTTCGCGATAACGACAGCCAGCCTGACGACCATGCTACGGTTATCAGACTGGATGAGCGGGATGATATTCATGCAGGCCGTGCCCAGATGGTCGTCAAACCACTCAATGGCCGAGTCAAGTCCCTCGAACAGCTCTGTCAGCGTGGCCTCGCTACTCTTATCCTTGGCTCTGCGTATCTGGTCCATGGCTTCGTCTCTGAAATCCCGAAGACGAGAGATGGCCATGTGAACGTTCAGCAAGTTAGGCTGGTTCTCCATGTCCATGTCGTCTTCCCTCAGCATCCGCTCTACCTCCGCCACGTCCGCGTGGAAAGTCTCCATGCCCTTCTTCATGAAGAGCACCGCTTCAAAGTTCCGCTGTATCTTAGCCAGCTTGTCTATCTGTGCGAAATCACCGAGAGCAGACTGTGACTCGGCCCAGAGCCTGTCTATCCCCTGCGGTCCCATCTTTGCATCCATGATCTGCCGTCGTCCCTCGGCCAGGTCAGCCAAACTCCGCTGAACGAGCTCGAGCTGGTCCCGCAGCCCTTCTCGCAGTTGTGAATCGACATTCTCTTTTTTTCTGGTATATTCTGCCTTGAGCACTGATATCTTCTCGAGATCTTCGGGATGCCGTAGCAGGTCCTCTAGACGTGGCACCACCAGGCCCCCATCCGAGCCGTTCTCGTCAGCCATGTCTGATGTAGTCGTAGATGTCGATGAGGATGCTGACGGTGATGACGACCTCGTCGAAGCAGGCGGGGTATGTAGAATCAATTGGGGTTCACGGTCAAGTTCAAGTTTGCATGGGCGTTCAATATCATGGTAGACTGGTGCCTGGACAGGAGGAGCAACGTAGGGCTCAGCAGACGAAACCGAGTCGCTGCTGTAGCTGGTCAGGGGCGGCGTGAGTAGCGGAGGCTCAGGCGAGACAACAGTCACTGTTCGTAAAGTCGACGGTCTTCTAGGAATGGCAGCTCTAGCAGCTTTCCATCTAGAGTTCTGCTGTAACTGTTGCTGTGGTTGTTGCTGTGGTTGCGGTTGTAAGGGGGGAGGACAGCGGGATGAGATGTTGATATTGGTATCGACCGGCCGCCCAGCACGCCCAGGTATGTCAGCTCTAACTATCTCCTGCTGCTGACTTTGTTCCAGTGGCTGTCCCTCGAGTAATCCCTGAAGCTCTTCGTGCCGTCGACGTATGCGACTCGACCTGGTGCGACGTATCTGCGTCTTCTCAACAACGCCCTCCACGCCAACGCCAACGCCAGCGTCCTTCTCAAAAGCAGCTCGTCTTTGCGCCACAGACGGAGTCGACCCTGGCAAGAGGCTGAGCCGGACTTTGCGACGCTCGTTCATCGTTCGCCAGCTTCGTCCCTAAGAGAAAAAAGCAATAAGGCCCGACGGCGTCGCTTGAGGCGGACAATCGATATTCCGTTATAATTTTCTCCAGGACGAGACAAGGACGGACGGGGGAGACGGGAGCACTCGCTGACAGCTTCAAGTTGGGCTTGCACTGGTCAATTGCACTTTTGAGCGGTCGTTACGAGTGAAGAGACGGCAGCAGTCGTGTTGGTGTGTTTATCTCGAGGCGAAGGTCGTTGAAGCAGAAGTTGAAGCCGGAATTGAAGTTGAAGCCGACGAGCAGACGAACAACTCGAACGACCAAACGGCAAACCAACAAACAGACGGACAGACGAGGAATCAAACCGGACTGGACGTGACGGGGCGTTTCAAGGACGATACAATATAGACGGACGAAGCAGAGTCGAGAACAACCCTGCCAAAGACCGCTGGCGCATCAACGATAACAGCACTGCACTGAGCGTTAAGCCTTCAAGCGTTTCCGATACAGACACGCAACGCAATCAACCGCGCAATCGAATCGAGCATCAGACAGACATCCAGTCTATCGACCATCGAGATCGAAAAAGAGGAGATAATAAAAAAAAAGGGACGGAAAACAGTCGATCGAGCAAGCTTGTATATCAGCACTTAAACCGAGACAAAGACGAGACGAGGGAGAAACTATCCTTGTCTACCTACAACAACACAACACAACACCAGCTTTTCTTCTACCTTGCCCTGCCTGCTATACGCTTACGCTTACGTATATTGCTGAGTGTGTTTACCATGTCGTACTTCCGCATCACCCTGCTTCGGTCCGCCATAGGCCTGCCACGGCGCACGACAGGCGTCCTTCACGCTCTCGGTCTCAAGAAGCGAATGGCTACCGTCTTCTACCCTGTAAGCAGGGACGTGGCCGGTCAGATCATGAAGGTCAAGGAACTTGTTGCTGTTACTGAGGTTGATAGGCCGTTGAGCCAGGAGCAGTTGCGGTTGTCGAGGAAGCCTGATCCGGGATACTATGTTGAGAGGAGCGCGGAGGAGGTTTGGAGGGAGAAGAGAGAGACATAAGTAAAAATGATGTTGGACGGTGCATGTATTATAGATGTATGTATTGATATCTTTCTTAATGAAAGGGTGTTTGGTTCTGCCTAGGTGAATGGGGTGAATGTACAGGTGTGCAGAGTAAGGATGGAAATAGCAATATAAACACCAACAGCCCGAGGAATATACAAGTTTTTGTTTTCTGAAGTTAGAGCCACCAATAGTAGGGTAGGGTCAGTATCCAGTCCGTCAATCCAGTAGAGTAGAGAAGAGTAGAGTAGGTTAGTTGACGTAGAGAGTATCGAGGAAGCCCTCTGCGAGACGACGAACAATGCTCTTGTCTGGAATGCTTCCTGCAACACCGTACAAAGCGGATGTGTCACCGCGCTTCTTCTCGACTTTAACGCCCGCAGCCCGTCTCTGCTCGGCCTTGAGCACTTCCTCTCGCACAACGGTGGTAAGGTCCTCAATCAACTTATCTACTGCCTTGGCAGTAGGCAAAGTGAAAGCAACGTGCATTGCAGGTGGGGACTGGAGAGCATTCAAGTGCCATCCCATATTGGACATGGCGTCCGCGATGTCATAGATATCTACTTCGAGGGTAGATGAGGCGAATCCAACGACACTCACCATGGGTTTGCCAACTACTTCAAGCGTCGGGCGAAGAGCTGGATCCTGGCGAATAGCAGACTCGAATTTCCTCGCTGCGTTGATGATCTGGTGGCAGCTGTCGATGTAGCCTGACTCACCTACGGCCATCATACTAGCCCAGCATCCTGCAATCAGGGCGCCGGGACGAGAGCCGGCCATGGAAGGGGAAGCGTAGACGCCACCGGGCCAGTTGGGCATGACAAAGTACTGGTATGTACGGTAGGAGCGGTTGCGGTAGAGCACGACAGAGCTGCCCTTGGGAGCAAAGCCGTATTTGTGGGTATCGACGCTGATGCTGGTGACTCCAGGCAGACGGAAGTCAAAGCCCCCTTGCTCTTCGTAGGGGGAAGGGAAGCCAGACTTCTTGAGGAAGGCGATGACGAATGAGCCCAGGCAACAGTCGACGTGCAGGGGGATCTTGTAAGTGACGGCCAGACGGGACAGGGCTGGGATGTCGTCTACCAGTCCGTGGGGGAAGTTGGGCGCCGATCCGACCAGCAGCACCGTGTTTGGGTTGATGTGACGGCGGACGGCAGAGACGTCAACCAGGTAGTCTGGAGCGGGACAGGCAACAGAGTGCAGCTTGATGCCAAAGTACTTTGAGGCCTTGGTGAAAGCCGCATGGGCAGTTTCCGGCACAATCCTATCATCGTTAGTCAATATATCTATCAACGGATATATAGGGTATAGGCATACATCTCGGGCTCGGTGACGCCGCGCTCAGCATAGGCCTTTTGGCGAGCAGACAGGCAGGCCATAAGGATAGACTCTGTGCCGCCGCTAGTAGTCACACCAGCAGATCCCTCCGGTCCATGAAACAGTGACAAAACCTATACCGTCAGCATGTACCTATACATATATACATACATATATGTATATATAGGGGGAATATAAATATAAGGTGTGGTGACTTACTATGGCAACAACCTCAGCCTCCATCTTCCTGACACCAGGGAAGACATCAGGATGAATAGGATTGGTAACCGCAAACCGTCCAAAGGCCTCCGTCTGCAGCTTCAACAGCTCCTCTCCGCCATGGTAGACTGCACCACTGACCCGACCCTCCTCCCACATGGTATGCTTCATTCCACCCAACTTGTCCAGCTCAGCCGCGACCTGTTCATGCGTCATTCCCTTCTTAGGCAGACTCATGAACTTGAGCATGCCGGGTTCCTGCGGGACCAGTTTCTGTTCGAGCTTGGTCAGGGCCGTAGAGACCTGCTTGTCGACTTGGGAGCGGACGCCCGGGGCGCGCAGGAAGAGGGAGTAGCAGACCAGACGGATGTGGGTGAAGAAGTTGCGTAGGCTGCCGAGGATGCCATGGCCGCGGAGGTTGTAGAATGAGCGACGGAGCAGGCGTAGGATGAAGACGAAGAAGACTATATTCCGGGCTCTAGAGGGTGTTAGTAGGGGTGGTAGATACGTGGTATGGAGGTTGTAGGTAGGGGACGTACATGTCGAAGTTGGAGAGGGTGAAGACGGCGCTGGAGGACGAGCGGGCGAAGGACATGAGCTTCGCCTGCATCGCCATGGCCATGGGCAGCGCCTGAGCCATGATGACTATCGTATGACTGTGGTATCAGAAGAGTGTATGTTCCTGTCGGTGGTTATAGGTTTGTCTGTTGTAGGGCGTGGGAGTGAAGATGTAGGCAGGTAGGAGTTCGGAGGTCGACGTCAACGAGAGCAAAGCCGGAGCAACTGAAGACGCCGGCTCTCCGCCGTGTCAATCACTTAAGCAAGCAGCCAACTAGGGCGTATGGAGTCCGTCGGCGTCCAGACAGGCTTCTCTCTGGCTTCTCCTCTGGCGCTGAGCTGGCTTGCTTGCTTGACGTTGACTTTTTGGCCTGCGGGCGAAAGGACGAGCTGCAAGTTCCGAGGTTAAAGTAGCTGAAGTTTGTTAGTGGAAGAAGAAGTCGAAGCAGAGGCAGAAGAAGGCGCTTTACAGGGACGACAACAACAAACAAGATGCAAGTAGAGAGTAGACGATGGTTTTATAGATTGTTATGGATAGTGACAGTCAGTAGTCGGCGGGTGGTTGAGAATGTGAGAATGTGAGAGTACAAGATGGCGAGAAGATGAGACGAAAAGCCAAGAGGAAACATGTGAAGAAGCAGAAGATCCTAGTAGTTATCAGAGAAGCTAGCTATTACGACGGTAGAAGCAGGAAGTAGAGTAAAAAGGTAAGTAGTCTAGTTCTATTATTGAGACAGTAGTTGTACAGAGGTCAATGGCTAGAGATAGAGGTAGGGGGAGGAAGAAGTAGGGGAGAGAGTCTAGCCGGTGACCTTGTAGATGCACTCGGCAAGACGCTTGACGTTCTCAGAGGTGATGCCGGCAACAGAGATACGGCCGTCCTTGGTGGCATACACGGAGTGCTAGAGAGAGTTAACATAGGTCGAAGTAGTAGGAAAGTAAAGGAAGAGACTTACCTCCTTAGCAAGCTTCTCCATCTGGTCTGGCTTGAGGCCGGTGTAGGCAAACATGCCGATCTAGTCGCAGTTAGTCTGAATATTATTCTATGTGATGATAATGGTATGGATGTATGTACCTGGGAGGTGATATGGCTCCAGTCGTGCTTGCTGCCGAGCTTCTCGAGGTTCTCCTTGAGCAGGGCTCTCATCTCGATGATGCGGTCGGCCATGGCCTTGAGCTCAGCCAGCCACTGCTCGTTCAGGGCCGGGTCGTTCATGATGGCGGATGCGATGCGAGCACCGTGGACGGGGGGGTTAGAGTAGAGCGGTCGAACGAGGATCTTGATCTGCGAGTCGACGCGCTTTTTCTCTTCGGCGGATGCACAAGCAACGGAGAAAGCTCCTACTCGCTCACCATAGAGGCCCTACCACCTATCAGCAACGGAAAAAGCTATATCCAAGTGAAAAAAAAAGGGCCTACCATGTTCTTTGCGAAACTCTGGCACAGGAGTAGAGGCATGTCCTGCTCAGCAAAGTATCTCAAAGCAAAAGCGTCACGGTGGATGTCACCACTAGCAAAGCCCTGATAAGCCATGTCGAAGAAAGCAAAGTGGCCCTTCTCCTTCATGACCTGCGCAATCTGCTTCCACTGCTCCTGGGTCGGGTCGACGCCGGTCGGGTTGTGAGCACAGGCATGCAGCAGGAAGACGCTCTTCTCGTCTGCGTTCTTCATGTCCTGCAGCAGGCCATCAAAGTCGAGCCCGATGGTTTTCTGGTCGTAGTATCTGTACTTCTCGACGGTGAGGCCGGCATCCTTGAAGACGGCAGCGTGGTTGGCCCAGCTGGGCGTGGGGATGTGGATGGTCTTGGAGTGAGGGTAGAAGCGCTGGATGAAGGCAGCGGCTACGCGCAGGGCACCGGTTCCCGAGATGGTCTGGGTGATGGCTACGCGGTCGTCGCGGATGAGCTGGCTGTCGGCTCCGTAGGCGAGTTTGGCTGCGGAGGCGGTAAAGGCTGGGATGCCGGTGATGCCAGCGTACTCCTTGTCGAGGCTGGAGGAGACCACCTTGGACTCGGCGGCCTTGACGGAGGGCAGCACGTATGGCTTGCCCTTGTCGTCTCCTACACATAAAGTATTAGGACTGATCTCTATGCTGTATAGGTGTTTAAGACCTACGGTAGGCACCCACGCCGAGGTTGATCTTGTCCTTGAAGGAGTCGGCCTTGAAGGCTTCCGTGATGCCCAGAATGGCGTCCTACTGTCTATTAGCATCTATATTATAGATTTACTGCCCCAATTGAGGTGGTCTGAGGTGGTCTTTAGGTGTCGTGTGTCTTACTGGAGGTCCCTGGGGCACGGCACCCCAGGTCGAGGACTGTCTTGCACCGGCGACAAGCAGGCGTCTGCCCACGACCGCCCGGCCAGCTATCCGAGAGAGCATCTTGTAGAAGGTAAATGTGAAGCTATAGAGAGGGAGAGCAAGCTAGAAGAAGTGGCTAGAGAGAAGATGGGCGCTGGTGGTGGTTTAGCTGGTGGTTTAGCTGGTCAGAAGCCAAAGAAAAAAACAGGTGGTCGGAGCTAAGAGAGAAAAAACGCCCTGGAGATGATGAGTTGCTTGGCTGGAAGAAACAAGGGCCGGGACGATGCATGGCAGCAGATGCATGGACGCGCAGAGTAGAGCATGGCCAGACGAAGATATTCATGCATGTAGTAGTAGAAGTAGTAGACATCGATGAAGTAGATGTAGACAGTAAATAGGAGTAGACATAGTACTGGGAGAGGTGGATATGGAGAGTAACGACTCCTCCTGTATCATCACCACTGCGACTCCGTACTTACTTACTACTTCATCTACTTCCAGCACTGACAACTGCTATGACCTGCTATGACTTCCGCCAGTCTTGACCACTTACTGACCTCACTGACCCGACTGACTTTACTGACCGTCTCTGCGTCCCTTTGCCTTTATCTTTGCCTTTCCTCTCGGCTTCTTCTCGGCCTCAGGTCCCGTCCCTTGACCACCATCCCCGGGAGCCGTCCATCGTCCCATCGTCCCATCGAGCATCATCGAGCATCCTTACTTACTTCGACTACATCTTAGACCAATCCTTACTCTATCTGGTCGCATCCTTACTATCTAGGACCATCTTAGGCTATCCTTACTATGTAGCCATCCCTGACCGGTCCTTGTCCTCCTTCATCGAACCTCTGATTTGACTCTGCGATCAGACGCGAAACAGCCACAGGGTCAAAGCCATGAGAAGAAGCAAAGAGTGAAACTATCGTCTTGCTTCCTCGTCTTCGTCTCTTCTGCGTGTCCATGTCCGAGCGCAGGGCCTTATCTCTCCCTCTCTTTAGTTCACTACCTGGGCAGCAAAAGGAATATAGCCAGTCGAAGCTAGTTGAAAGCCAGTTGGGAGCCAGTTTGTTCGACTTCTGCTGCTGCTTCTCCGCGAATAGGGTCAGGCCAGCGTTCGGAGAGCCTTCGTCGTTGCTTTTTAAGGGCCCTAGGAAGGGAAAGATTAAGACGTGGGAGAATAGGGAAAAGCCAGCAGAGACGCCACTGCAGATGGTGCATCTCCATCTGCATCTGCATCCCCGTCTCCGTCTCCATGGACTCCTTTTCCTTTTCCTCGAGTCAAGAGTCTAAGTCATGGCGTTTGGGACTAGTCGGTTGTCGATGCGATGGTCGGTGGTCGGTGGTGGTCGGTGGTGGTCGATGTACGAGGTCGAATGGGATGGAGATGGGATGGATCAACATCTTCGTCTCTTTCTTCGTCTCTTTCTTCTCGTCTTCGTCTCGTCTGGCTTCTTCGTCGGCTTCTAGAAACAAGCCACGTGTGTGACTCCGCTAAAAGGGCTTAAGAGGGTTGGTTGGTCCTTTTCTCCATGGATGACGATGCTAAGATGACGGTAGAGATGACAGGGAGTACTAAGAAGGTACTTAGTAGTTACTAAATAAGTGAGTGTTGAGCCTTGGGACCCCTGGCTATATCAGACATGATAATAACGAAGATATACAGACGCTGGCTTCCACGGAGCGCTCCGTTCTACAGCAACTGCCGTCCCAGTGCATGAGGAGGATGGCTGCTCTACTGGCTCGATCGCTCGCTTCGACCAGGGCCAGGAGACGAAGATCACTTGCTGCCACCCATCTTTGCTTCTTCCGATGAAACGGGCCTTCCTTCTGCTTATTCTTCCTTCTTCCACCTCGTCTTCCTCGTCTTCTTCGTCTTCGTCTTGTTCTTCTCCGGCCGTGAAACAATGGTGCATCTCCAGATACGGCTTAGCCACCACCACCACAGCATCCACACGCCGCCGCCCCGACCTTCTTTTTGCCCTTGGGAAAGCCAGTGGCGAGCTGAAGAGGGCCCTTGATGGATAAGGAAGGTCATCGGAGAGAAGAAGACGAGAAGCAGACAGGCAGAGAAGAAGAGAAGACCACGATGGTGATGATGAAGAACACGAAGAAGAGAGAGTCAAGGGAGAGGAAATAAGCATCATGCATGCGCTGGGGAGGGTGGACCATCTGTTTCATGCCATCCTTGCCCTGCCTTGCCTCTGCCTCTGCCTTTGACTTACACTTAGCATCTTTACTCTTCCCGAACCGAAGTTGGCTTGACCTCGAGCTGACATGGGCTGTTTCCACCCTAGAAGCGCTAGAAGGGATGGAAGGGTGGGAGTGGCTGCCGGGCCTGGTCTGTCTGTTGGCTGTTGGCTGTTGGGCTGGTACCTAGTGAAACGCCGGAAGGACAACCAGATAATAACCAATAACTAATAGAGATGGAAAGGAGAGAAGAGGAAGAAGAGAGAGTCCATGAGTATCTACTCTCTACCTCTACCTCTACTTCTCTTCTTCTCGTATCAACATCAACATCACGATCTACTTCGACTTCTTCTTCTTCTACCTCTACCAAAAGCAAGCATCAAAGTCAACCAGAGTAAGAATACGGCCGTGGTCAAGGCCATCCCATCCCATCGTCTGCTTATTTTCTTCTTCTTCGTCTTCCTCTTTGCTTCTTCCTCCTTTGCTTTTTCTGTCTCCTTTTCTTCTTCTTCCCTTCTAGAAGATCGAGTCAATAACTCCATCGTCCTTCTGCTTGACTTCTTCTATTACTCCATGGTCAAGGGTGCATCTCCATCGTCTCTCTCGTCTCCATCCGCGCCATCCACCGCGTTTCACCTTCTTCCCTTCGGCTTCTCGAAGGTCTTAGCCTGGCTTAAACTCCTTACTCCTTGTACTTCCTCTCCTCTG